TTACCTGTTCGTGGTATATCAAATAGTTGTCATATTTACAAACAAATTCTCACAACACTCACACGTCATATACTTCAAATATATCTACATATTTACTAACCAACTTCCGTATATATACTAACCAACTTCCGGATTTAGATATATATATCATGTAGGTATATCATAGTTTAAAGAGAGAAAGAGAAATGGGGTTTAACGTCCACTCGACACAAACTAGGTCATTTCGGGACTAACATATGGTTCAATTTTATTTCAATAACTCGCTTGCGCGTAGGGGTCTTTAGCAGTGGGGGGAGGCGGAGGACCCGAAGAAAACTCACGAGGTTGATCAGTCGACATTACTCCTTTTCACGTACAAGCGGGGGAATCGAAATCACGCCAGCTGACTCAATGCCAGACATTATGATGCAGCGCGCACGCGGTAACCATTCGGCCACCCAACCCCACTTCATAGTTTAAACCTATCTATATTACTCCCAACAACCAGTGCTGGATTTACCAATAGGCTTAACAGGTCTCAAGATCTAGGGTTCCTGTTGCCAAGGTGTATACTATTTTTGACACTGATATAAGAAGCATTTCTCACATACACATTGTAGTCTTGAAAATATATCGTCATCCAGAGCTTTTCTAAAAGTCGCGAGGGTGAAGGATTGTGAGGGAGGGGCTTCATAAGCAGGGCCCTTGAGAGGAAAAAAATGTGCTGGGGCGGGAACTTTTTCTGCCCCCCCCCCCTTCTTTTCCAACACTAGCAGATTGCGATAAATCGAAAACTTTTGAACATACTTATATAAGCTTCAAGGGAACAATAAAACAAAATCCTGCATAATTGCCCGTTTCATGGGCCCTATATCGACTCTTATGGGCCCTGGGGCGGCGCACTGGCTCCACCCCACTCTCGTGAGGCGTGTTCATAAGTAGAATAGACTATATGGCCTCCCTTATCTAAATCCGGTACTGACAACAATAATTTGATACGCCTATAGCAACGTTAGTGCTAAATGACAAGGCCAGCTCAATTTTTCGTTATAGGTCGCGAAATGTAAACAGGGCTAGCGCTAAGCTAATCCCAACCCTAACCCTGAACCTAGCCCCAATGCTTACCCTAACCCCAACCTACAATCTTGCCAACAATCACGTGTCCTAACCTTATTTATAACTCAGCGACCTTGACAAAAATTGAGCTGGCCTTAACAAATAGATTTAGCCCTATAGCAACGTATTAACTCACGAGGGAAAAAGAGCGTATATATGTATGGTATATAAGCAATTTAAGCGGTTTTCTGAATAGGTGTTTATAATCTCTAGTACAAAGTTCTTTGGTTGATTAATCTACAGGTGATTAGATGACTAAAAACGTTTTTGTTTGGAGATTAAGGAGATATTGTGTATGGTATATTTAACCTGATAATAAACGCTGCTTATCAGAAATAAATACCCGCGAGGGTGCATTACCTTAAAGTAGCGTATTGTTATTAATTCATAAAGTGGCGATACGTTCAGTCTTGCGTGGGGTTGGATGGCCGAATGGTTAGCACGTGCGCGCTGTATCATAAGGCCTGTCATTGAGTCAACTGGCGTGGTTTCGAATCCCCGGTTGTACGTGACAAGGAGTAGTGCCGCCTGTTAAAGCTCGTGGGTTTTTTCCGGGTCCTCCGGTTTCCTCCCACTGCTAAAGACCCCTACGCGCAAGCGAATTATTGAAATAAAATTAAACCATGTTAGTCCCAAAATTACCTAGTTTGTGTCGAGTGGACGTTAAACCCAATCTCTCTCTCTCTCTCTCTCTCTCTCTCTCTCTCTCTCTCTCTTGAGAAATGTAGATGACCATAATACAGTAAGAACTAATAACAATATCGCTATTGAGTTAAACCATACTATATCATGGTCACCTACGAACGTATTGAGCCATATGACCGGTAACCTCCGCATTTCTTAAATAAATCCCTAATTATATAAATTGATAGGCTATAAAAATAACGATTATTTACAATAAGGGACATTACGGAGAGATAAACAATGGATATTATTGGAGAATATTGCAAGTACTGGAGCTCAAAGTAGCTAAGTCTCTAATCTAACTGTAAAGGCAAGCCGTTTAAAGAAATAGGTCTCAAAGTAAGTCTTAAAAAAATAAGTCTTAAAGTCTCTTACTCAATATCATCCACAGTCTTCGACATTGAAAACACAAATCATTTGTCAATTTAAATCAACATTGATTTTGTGATCTTACCGGGAAAAGATCGGCTTCTGATATCCAATATTTAAGACAAAATAAATATTTAACCATTGGTACACGAACCCAAAATGAGTTTTAGCACCATTTGTAACAAGGGACTCGAAGGACGAGACTAGACATATTTCATAAGTCATGTCAAACGGTGACCACATATTACATTATTATTTGCGTTGCGACTCACTTGTGTCAATTTCTAGGTCTCAAATATTACCGATTAAGCTCCTTTAAACAGGCAATATGTAAGAGCTAAATATGCCTATTGCAGGTCGTTCTTTAGGCCTGATATGTTATATAAATTATTATTTAGACCATAATATTCAAATGACAAGACCATAATAAATTCTTGATGTCATCGGATGGGTCCGATTTTAAGTAGATTAGAACGATTTGGCCATTTAATGATTTAATTTAAAAATGGAGAAGCGAGGCTAAGACTTGATTGACCAGTACGGTAGTTACGAACAAAGCACATATCTTGTCAATATTATAACCGTAGATATCTTTGCTCAAAATAAAGTAATTTGAATCAAATTTTTCAATATATCCATTTTGTATTATCTATTTTTGAAATATTATAGCGATAATGGCCATCTTTTTTTTTATCTAAATCTTACATAATGTCCCTTTAAACTGTTAGCATTCCTAAATTAATCAGCATATTCAACAATTAGCTGATAAATGAGGTTAAACTATTATGGCTTGCTTAGATATATTACCACTTTAAGAGAGAGAGAGAGGGGAGAGAGAGAGAGAGAGAGAGAGAGAGAGAGAGAGAGAGAGAGAGATTAACGTCCCCTCGACACAAACTACGTCATTTCGGGACTAACATATGGTTCAATTTTATTTCAATAATTCGCTTGCGTGTTGGGGTCTTTAGCAGTGAGAGGAAACCGGAGGACCCGGAGAAACCCCACGAGGTTGGACAGGCGATCCTACTCCTTGTCACGTACAACCGGGGAATCAAAACCACGCCAGTTGACTCAGTCAACGCGCACGGGCTAACCATTTGGCCATAAGTATTATAAGAACTGTATTAATCACAACAAACATAATAATATTGTAATTTAATACGGCGTATCGACAAATGACTTCAACTGTAATTACCTTTTCATACTCATGACTAGGAATATTACAGATCATATTCAAAATGGGATTGTGTCTATGTTGAGCGGTAGGGCACGGGACCTTCTACTAGAATATTCTGTGCTAAGACAGTGTCTAGTCGTTCGGATGGAACGAAAAACCGAGATCCCGTGTACGTATTGGCGAGCACGTAAAAGATCCCGTGAGAGTTGAAATTCGAAATAAGAGGGCGTAGCGGCGTTGTTCGGGCACATTTTCCCTCATAGCACACTGTATGACGTAAACCGGTATTCTTTAACCTGGTCGGTGCCTAACTATAGGACGCTAAACCCCATTTCATTTCAGAATATACCGGTTTCAAAGTCCGGTTTAGACTGAAAAGAATTGTCGGGATTTTTCAATCAAGCCGGGTCCTCGGTTAAAGTGTAGCTAGTCATTTCGATGGGACAAAAACTCAAATTTCACGCAGTACACACTGACGTGCACGTAAACAATCCCTTTTCAGTTGTTATTCGAAGAAGTGTAAAAATATCCCCATCGCATTGTATTTTATTTGATTTCATGTATTATGCATTGTTTAATTATCTACCCTTTTATCATTCATTCAAATCTATAATTATTTCTAACCAAAACTATACAATTATATTTTAACACGGTACAATTTTATGGATACACAATTACTGAGTTTAAAGTTTAATACTAAGCAACGTTTCGACGAGGATACTCTCGTCTTGATGCCAATCAAAGACAATCATATTTTAACCGCATAAACTAATGAATGAGAATTACACTGTATGCTCTGTCTTATGATTTGTCAGCATTAACTTGTGTACATGTATGTCTTGTTATATTTTCATATTATATCATTGCTTGATAATGACTAGAGAAGCCTAGTCGTAATGTCACTCAGTAATAAGCAGTAAGTGTATTCCATAGAATTGTGAGCTGTATAGTCTTATGATTTGTCAGTTATATTTTAAAAACACAAATTAATGAATGAAAATTACATTATATGCTCTGTCTTATGATCATCAATTATATTTTAAAAACACAAATTAATGAATGAAAATTACACCATGATTTGTCAGTTATATGTTAAAAACACAAATTAATGAATGAAAATTACACTATGATTTGACTACACAAATTAATGAATGAAAATTACACTATGATTTGTCAGTTATATTTTAACTACACAAATTAATGAATGAAATTTACACTATGATTTGTCAGTTATTGTTTAAAAACATAAATTAATGAATGAAAATTACATTATATGCTCTGTCTTATGATCATCAATTATATTTTAAAAACACAAATTAATGAATGAAAATTACACTATGATTTGTCAGTTATATGTTAAAAACACAAATTAATGAATGAAAATTACACTATGATTTGACTACACAAATTAATGAATGAAAATTACACTATGATTTGTCAGTTATATTTTAACTACACAAATTAATGAATGAAATTTACACTATGATTTGTCAGTTATATTTTAAAAACACAAATTAATGAATGGATATTACACTATATACTCACACGTCTAATGATTTGTCAGTTACACTGAACGTGACAGGTATGTTTTATTTACAAACAATATTAACCTATGTAACATATATATTTAGCTTATATAAAATACCTGTTAATATCTATAGAAACATCGACCCACCTGTTATAGCTTACGGTTTAACACATATTCACCAGATATACAACCGTTTACATTGAATAGACCAGACCAATGCCTCAACGTGTCCGATCAATCTACACGCTTTATCCTATCTGTCAGATAAACCGATTGAACACCGAATGAAATATCGGTTGTCAAGAACGCCTTGTACACACACAATGCCCTCAATGGGTATTTGATTTGTAAGAACGATAACTCTTGGTATTTGACTTAAAAGCCCGTTAACAGTGTCATTCTATCAACCGAGTCATGCGACACATTATTTTGATTATTCGGTTTTATTTGCATATTTACAACATATCTGTCCGTGACTATGAAATATAAATAGGGTATTGTTATAAAACAACAAACAGAGATAGTTTATAGTATAGGTATGGTCTATCTACGGTGGGTTACAGGCAAATATGTAAATGTAATTAAAATGTCGAATTTTCCATCCAAATCTTAGTAGTGTTTGGTATATAATCCTGCGAGTTGAATTTAGAAATATATAATATTGCAAGTGAAGAGAGAGAGAGAGAGAGAGAGAGAGAGAGAGAGGGGGAGAGAGAGGGGGGGATAACGTGCACTCGACACAAACTAGGTTATTTCGGGACTAACATACGGTTCAATGATATTTCAATAATTCGCTTGCGCGTAGGAGTCTTTAGCGGCGAGAGGCAACCGGTGGACCGGTTTAACATCCACTCGATACAGACTAGGTCATATCGGGACTAATATGCAGTTCAAATTTAAATTTATTTGGGTGTCTTTGGCAGTGGGTGGGGGGGGGGGGTGGATGGCCGAATGATTAGCACGCGCGCGCTGTATCATACGGTCTGCCATTGAGTCAACTGACGAGGTTTCGATTCCCCGGTTGTACGTGACAAGGAGTAGGGTCGCCTGTCCAACCTCGTGGGTTTTCTCCGGGTCCTCCGGTTTCCTCCCACTGCTAAAGACCCCTACGCGCAAGCGAATTATTGAAATAAAATTAAACCATGTGTTAGTCCCGAAATGACCTAGTTTGTGTCGAGTGGACGTTAAACCCCATTTCTCTCTCTCTCTCTCTCTGCAACCGGTGGACCGGTTTAACGTCCACTCGATACAGACTAGGTCATATCGGGACTAACATGCTGTTAAAATTTATTACGATGTCTTTGGCAGTGTTTGGTAGTAGGAGGAAACTGGTGGGCAGGAGAAAACCCACGAGGTTAGACAGGCGATCCTACTCCTTGTCACGCCACTTGACTCAATGACAGACCTTATGATCTAAAGAGAGTAAATAGATGATAGAAATGAGAGCGTGGGAGGGGGGGGGAGCGGTGGTCTTTTGACAGTATTAATAGATCGTCTATAGTAATATCAAAGGCAAGGATCAAGGAAATGAAATGAAATGAAATGAAATGGAGTTTAACGTCCTACTTTTCTGCTCCTAACCTGGGCTAATGAAGACGGGCATACGCCATACAGTGTGCTATGAGGGAAATTTTGCCCGGACAGCGGCACTACGGCCTACTCTTATATCGAATTCCAACTGCCAAGGGATCTTTTACGTGCACGCCAATGTGTACACGGGACCTCGGTTTTTCGTCCCATCCGAACGACTAGACAGCTTTCCTTGTCAGCCCCTCCGTCCTGCATCACTGACAAGGGAGAACCACGCCGGAAAATCTGGATGAACTTTCTCGGCCAATGCAGGGATCGAACACCCGACCTCCAGGCTAGCGAGCTAGCGCCTTACCCAAAGGATCAAGGAAGCTGCATGACATACATAATATAAATAAAAAGGCAAATCACAAATATTTTATCACGTATCACATCTTCAGATATATCATCAAATATTTCTTTGTAGAAAGTTTCAATCGTGCTTGGTGACAAAGGAGACCTTAATGAGGTAATATAGACCTAGCCTGTTCCTCAATCCTTTTCTGAGAATAAAATATTGTTTATAAAAATAAAAATGTTTGCTTAAAATAGCGTTCCACCCAGTAGCGGAGTCAGCTTTTGGGTCCAGAGGGGGGCAAATATATTGTCATGGGGTGCATGGAGTTGAGGGATCGTTTCACGTAGCGGAGCGAGACGCGAAATCTTTGATAAATTACTATCACTTTGCGGAGCGAGACGCGAAATCTTTGATAGAATTACTATCACGTAGCGGAGCGAGACACGAAATCTTTGATAGAATTAGTATCACGTAGCGGAGCGAGACGCGAAATCCTTGATAGAATTACTATCGTTTCATTCAGCTTATGAAGCCTCTAAACAAATTTGATTTTGATCAATGAGTCTGCTTTTGCGTAGATTAACTTGCCAAATTATTCATTTATCGAAAAAAAATAAATGAAAACCCGATTACTCAGTCGTATTGTTATAGTTGTTATTGATATTTTTTTCTCAGAAAAATTATGTCTTCAATGGCCCCTCTCTCGGCTCCGCCAACGTTTACACAAAAGAGGCGCAGTAATTTCCAGAAACCCATTGTTAAAAATTGGAGTGTCGGGTGAATGAAATGCTTTATAATATAGTTCATGCAAAGATTGCAGTTGCTCGTGATGTATTGATGTATTGTTTGTTCTATATAGTGTTGTGCGGAATGCGTTGTACGTGTCTATATTACAATACAAACGCGGGTGCGTCACCCCAGGAAAACTATTCCCAGGTATCTCACAGATATATTAGTTAAGAGTTTTATAAAGAGTTGGCCATTCTTGCTATCATAATTCAAAAATAGATGATAAAAAAAGAATTACTTTGTTCTGAACGGAATTGTCACTATTGGAAGTTTGGACTAGAAATAGGCATCAATTGTGTCTGCACCGTCTATGAGAATTGACGATCGATTGATTGACAGACGATAACTCCATCCGCATATTCTTGATTATCAAGTAACATGCTCAATGGCTAAATCGCTATTCTTTGGCGCCTAGAAATAGACACAAATGGGTCGCAACGCATATTATAATGTAATATGAATGTATATAAACTGATTTACATTCAATCGTTTCTGTTTTTACTATAATTTCTGAACAGTTATGTTCGGCGAAATACGCGAAGCGTCCAAATTGAATGTCATTCTTTGGCGTCTGGTTATTCCAGTCTACACCAGTAGTATACCCCCGTGGGATATGTTTAGACTCGTTAATCGGGTCGCTTCATTACAAATGGCGCTCGAAAGCAACACATCCTGACACGCGATTCTAATGAATTATGTTCGGGGACAAACTGGTTAAAATACAGATCCTATTTCGTTTCGTTTTTATAGTTCAAAATTTCGTTTTACTTTTCTTTACTACACTAGGATCTGGAAGAGTTGGTGTGATGGATTAGCCAATGAAAGGATCTGCTACAGCCAGTTCTTGGCATATGGTGGACGGAATTGTGGGTAGGCCTATCCCTCTAGAAGCATCTGATTATTGAAAGTTTTTATTTAGGCTTCAGATGTCATAGAAATTTTAAATTAGATCTTTATTTACACAACAAGCACAAAATCAACTCTGTAGACCCACGGATGGCTTGGATTCAGCTTGGATTTAAACGGGATTTCGTTGACTGATTTAATTTTAAATGGCGTCGTGAGCGAAGATTAACCGTTACGTTGACGTCATACTTCCGGATCGAGGCTAAATGATAGAGTGTACGAAGCGAGGCCGCTGTTGAGCGATGCCTTAACAATAACAAATGACATCTAAACTCTCTAAAGTGCAATAAACTAAACACAGATAATGACAAATTATACAATTCCTGGAGACCGTGTGATGACTAATACAGACGGGCAGGTCTTCTGTCTTAATAATATCAATAAAAATATTTTTATTTCCCCAATAGGCACCCAAAATACAAGTAAGAATGAAAATTTACCCTCTCACTCATTTTGTCCATTTGTTATAAAAATCCAAAAAGGTATAACACAAATTCGGATATGATGACAGCAGACAAAAGACAACAGAGATTATGTAGGTGGAGTTAACGCCTGTCAATCAAACGATCGGCCATACTAAGAATCGGTGAAGATGGAATTCAATCCCATTTCTAGTCAAAATTTACACTGGTGATAACTATGTTCAGAATAAAGTAATTTGACTGAAATTTCCAATATATTCTTTTTTCATCATCTATTTTTGAACTGTTATAGCAAGAATCGCTAACTCCTTATAAAAATCTCCCACTATGTATCTTTAATCAAATGTATGACCCCTAACCCCATCGAAAGCATAAAAACCGAAACGAAATATAGATCTTTATTTTAATCAGATTGGTGAAATACGTGAACAGTCCAAATTGAATGGCAGTCGTATGCATGTGCTTAGTCCATTTTAATCATCATTTTGTTGTTGTGAATCAGCCCGAAACCATTGAATGGCAGTCGTATACGTCTGTTTAGTCCATTTTAATCATCATTTTGTTGTTGTGAATCAGCCCGAAACCATAGAATGCACGAAATGAAATGAAATGAAATTGGGTTTAACGTCCTACTGTTCTGCTCCTATACTGGGCTAATGAAGACGGGCATATGCCATACAGTGTGCTGTGAGGGAAATTTTGCCCGGGCAGTGGCACTATCGCCTACTCTTATATCGAATTCCAACTGCCAAGGGATCTTTTACGTGCATTCCAATGTATACACGGGACCTCGGTTTTTCGTATCATCCGAAGGACTAGACAGCTGTCCTTGTCAGGCCCTCCGTTCTGCACCACTGACAAGGGGAAACCACGTCGGAAAATCCAGATGAACTTTCTCGGCCAATGCAGGGATCGAACACCCGACCTCCAGGCTAGCGAGCCAGCGTCTTAACCAACTAGCCACCGTGGCTCCCATAGAATGCACGGCTCGTGTACCGACTTTAGGATGCTCATTAGAACGGCTGTTCTAATAAGGAGTGGTCTTTTCAGTCAAATTACTTTATTCTGAGCGAAGTTATGAGAGAAATGAAGTTTAGCGCCCACTAGACAGAAACCAGGTAATTTCGGGACTAACACATGGTCAATTGTATTTCAATTATTCGCTTGCGCGTAGGGGTCTTTAGCAGTGGGAGGAAACCGTGGTTTCGCTTCCCGGGTTGTACGTGACAGGGAGTAGGGTTGCCTGTCCAACCTCGTGGGTTTTCTCCGGGTCCTCTGGTTTCCTGCCACTGCTAAAGACCCCTTCGCGCAAGCGAACTATGGGAAGAAAATTGAACCATATATTAGTCCCGAAATGACCTAGTTTGTATCGAGTGGACGTTAAACTCCATTTCTCTCTCTCTCTCTCTCTCTCTCTCTCTCTTACATAATGTACCTTTAACAACGTTTATGAGTCTTGCTGAACGTGGATAAATATAACCCTTGTAGTCAACGTCCAGTCTAATAATACAGAATAAGGAGTGGTGGACATGATTTGTTTAAATTAGTATCCAAACATATTCACCTGACAACAAAGTAACAATCATTATTTTAAATTCAGTCATTACTATAGAAATATGCACGTCCACAAACAATGCATATTATTGTTAGGCTGTTTCCTTTACGCACTGTTCCCATTAATCGAAGTTTTGGGTGTTTTCTTTGTTATTCGTTTTCCTTTTCAGTATTGTTCCCAAGAAACACGGGTGGCCATATTGTTTTTATTTTTCATTTTTTAAGTTTGTGTTTTCATAAAAAAATACATCCCAGATGCCAGGTGTTTATTACGTGTAGGTAATTTGTGTCTATTCAGCTGGGGTATTTTGTAGGTGATAAGTATATAAATTCAACTAAATCTATCGAATAATGTAGAATAGTCCATCGTATTCAACCAAAATGAATTCTGCAATTACTTGTTTGGTTGTACTCGCGTCTCTGTTCTGTGTGGGATCTGCAATTTCATATTGCGGTAAGCTTTTTTATTTATTTCATTTTTTTTTTTTTCATTTCTTTTAGTATTTAATTCATTTTTTTTCTTTCATTATAATATTTAAATTTTTTATCTGCACGAGCTGATATATGCTTAATACAAAACAACAAATATCTGACCGGCTTTCAACGTCCGATTCGACAGATGGGTGAAAATATTTCAACCACAAAATATCTCAAATTTATACCATTTTATACTTAGAAATAACGCCAAGACGCACAATAAATTTGGGGATTTTGGAGGCTAAAGCGTAAAATTATAAATCGCAGCAAATTCTGCGATTCATGTCTATAGTTTCAATGACATTTAGTAATTGAACTGGAATATCCAGGGACCCGTTTCACCAAATTTTAAGTAAAATAAAATCAAAATTTTAGTAATTGGATTGGATAATATTACATTGATTTTAGTGCTTAGCCAATCAAAATTGAAGTATCTACTAAAATTTGGATTTTATCTTTAGTTAAAATTTCGTGAAACTGACCCCTGGGTCGAAATTCTATGGAATACGATTACTGATTATTACTGAGTTACATTTAGACAAGGATTCTCTAGTCTTTGCAAATTGTATTATATCATCGTGTTTTGGCAGCCATTTTGAAAAGAGGGCAGGTACCAAGTGAAAAATCCATTTTAGAAATTATTTTTTTGGCCAATTATTCTTTCATCATTTTTTGCTTTAGAAAAAAATATGCGTTAGCCTAAACCTAACCCTAGTTTTAAAAAAAAAAAAATTTCTTCATTATCCCATGGTATAAAGCGCTTCCTTTCCGATATATTTGACATTTTGAGTCATTTTACGGAACCATCAGCCATCTGGAATTGATTATCAATTTTCTCCCAGACCCGCATATCCGATTTTGGAAGACTTGTGGCGGTATGTTGATTAGCAGCTAACCTACAAGGCACGTTTCGTTTTTTTACAGTTCAAAATTTCGTTTTACTTGTCTTTACTACACTAAGATCTAGAAGAGTTGTTAATTAAGACTTGTTCTGCTTTTTAAATATAACCCGCGTTCTGGTTGATGATGGATTAGCCAATGGAACGGTTCGTTACAACGAGTTCTTGGCGTGTGATGCACGAAACTGTGTGTATTCTACTAGAAACATCAACGAAGATTGGTTAATCAAATGTCTGACGTCATAGGGACAAGAGCCACTCGTCCAGTGACAAGGGAAAGAAAACCACGCTGGAAAATCGCGATTAACTTTCCCGGCCAACACCGGAATCGAACCCGCGAACTCCAGGCTAGCGAGCCAGGGTCTTACCCACTTAGGAGATGCTAATTGTAGGCCGGTTGGAGAGGTTCGGGTGTTTCCGGAGTCCAAAATGGCCGCTTGGGAAATACTAATCCACCCTAACGCAAATCCTTTTTAGAAGACTGAACTTGGATCTAATTTACCTCTTACCACTCCTAAAAGGGTTATATATATATCTTTATTGATCCTCCAAATATGAAGAGTATTACAAAACATTGTATACAATAATAATAGTAATCACAAAATATAATAATAATAATAATAAAAAAAAAATGTTGAAGGGTTAAGCTTCTAGATTTACACTGTCTAACGAATCACATTTATATAGAGTGGTCTCATACTAATCCCTTACAGACTAGGAATATAAACAATACTGTTTGTTTCCGCACGTGATCGTCGACGTTACGGAGAGAGAGCATTTTAACGAGGAAATTATTGTCGGATACATCTTCGTTTGAATACAATTTCATTACATCCAGTCGTTTTTGCTTAAATAGGACACAGTCGACAATAGCATGACTCAGGTTGCATGTAAGGAATAAGCCACAATATTCACACAGTAATCTATCTAAAGATGTTGGATCATTGATCCTAGCGTATGCACATACCTTCATGAATACCCTGCAAGCTTTGCTAAGCGACGGATCACTAGACCACAAGGAGAAGATAGGGTGGGGTTCTAAGGTCTGATGGATTTCACTAAATAATTGCATGTCTTCATCCCGTTTAATTCGTTCTAACCATTTCCTTGTTTCAATCAGTTTTACGGAATCTTTTACTAATTTTTTTTCATATAATACATTAGATTTATATACAAAGGTGATTTCTCTGGGGGGTTTTGCGTTGGTGGCGCTGATGATTAGGGGTTAGGGTTCGGGTTAGTATTCCCCCAAATATCCATTTATATAAAGCGGTCATTTTTGACTCTGGAAACACCCGAACCTCTCCAACCGGCCTACAATTAGCATCTCCTTATACCCACTTAGCCATCAGGTTAAAGTACAATCAAATTAAGAAAATTGGCAATAAAAGTAAAGCTATAAATTATAAAGTACTTTTGAAAACAACATCAAAATCTGCAAATCACTTTTGTCATTTCCATGACGATGGTGGGAGGGGTGTGTGGCTAAGGTACATGTCAGGAACTACATTAAATGGTACCGCTATGGGGGAAGGGACAGTCATGTTATAAATTATGTCATTCTGCACACACAGATCCATCTACGTCATTCCTCGAGAATAGATATCTGCCCTAAATGGCCGCCATATCCAGAAATTAGTATACAGCGGTTTTGTAATGCGTTTCTACTCCTTTTCACATCTGTCATACACACAAAGACTGAATAAACCTTTTCAATTTTATTAAATGGAAGCAGAACAAATACCTATCAAAATTCTCGAAATATACTTAGTGTTTTCGACTAAAATCGTCGATTTAGGACTTAAAATGTCGGTCAACTACCTTAGTGTTTGTTTTCAAGCGGAGCTAACTGTAGACAGACAGTCTAAGTTTAGTAAGAAATTATGTAAATGACATTTTTAAGCGTATATTCATTTCGTCGTATCTTTTGTCGTTCAGTACATATTCATTTCGGCGTATCTTTTGTCGTTCAGTACATATTATTTATTTATATTTTACAGACATTTATCCCATGTTACCTGTTTGTGCAGCAACAACAACAACAACAACAACACAAAAACCAGCATTTGATATTTGTGGTAAGTACTGAGATTCATTCATTCATTTGACTGCAGGTTGTTATATTATATATGAATAAAGTATACAATAAATAAGCGTGGCCCGAGAACAGAACCTTGTGAAATACCACACAAAATATATTAAATCACACAAAGAGAGAGAGAGAAAGAGAGAGAGAGAGAGGGGGCGCGTTTAACATCCACTCGACGCAAACTAGGTCATTTCGGGACTAACACATGGTTCAATTCTATTTCAAAAATTCGCTTGCGCGTAGGGGTCTTTAGCATTGGGGGGAAACCGGAGGACCCGGAGAAAAGAATCACACAAAGAGCAGTGCTCTTACAGTACTTTTAAGTCTCATTGCGTCAGGAATATCAGTCCAAACTTTCATCGATCTATGCTGCTCTCTATGCAACAATCCTGTCGCCATTTTGTAGTTCGCGAACATAATTGATATACCTGCTTTTTTAATTATCTGGCGTTGGTAGTTTGATTTTGTTTGTCTAATTAAATGTTAAATAATCAATCTGAGTACATAAATGAAATGGGAGAGAGAGGGAGAAATGGGGCTTAACGTCCACTCGACACAAACCAAGTCATTTCGGGACTAACATAAAGGTCCAATTTTATTTCAATAATTCGCTTGCGCGTAGGGGTCTTTAGTAGTGGGAGGAAACCGGAGGACCCGAAGAAAACCCACGAGGCTGGACAGGCGACCCTACTCCTTGTCACGTACAACCGGGGATTCGAAACCACGCCAGTTGACTCAATGACAGGCCGTATGAAACAGCACGCACGTGCTAACCATTCGGCCATCCAACCCCCCAAATGAAATGGGATTTAACGTCCTACTGTTCTGCTCCTATTGAGTTAATGAAGACCGGCATAAGCCATACAGTGTGCTATAAGAGAAATGTTGCCCGGACAGCGGCGCAACGGCCTACTATTATATCGAAGTCAAACTGCCAGGGGATTTTTTTTATGAGATCTTTGCCCGAGTTCACAAAGCATTCTCAGACTTAAGTTCAGAATTTACTCAACTTTCAATCACTGTTGATGGAAAAAATCTTTGATCCAGAAACACAAAACTTTGCAAATAGTTTCTTTTTGATGTATTTGATACATTAAAACAACAAAAGTTTTATAAAGAGCTATATTTTAGTTAAAATAAGGCCAACAATTTTTAGTAAATTCTTAACTTAAGCCCGAGAATGCTTTGTGAACTCGAGGCCTTGCTTTTTTCGTCTCATCCAAAGGACTATACGCCTATGTATACACGGGTCCTCGGTTTTTCGTCCCATCCGAACGACTAGATAGCTGTCTTTGTCAGGCCCTCCGTCCTGCACCATTGACAATTTGCAGTACATAAAGGCGTGGATTAAACCATGATAAGTTTTAGCGAAACATGTAAATGACACAATGGGCCTTAAATTAGCTAATTAGCTATTTAGTAATTGATCGAGGAAGATTTTTATAATAAATAACTGAATTAGCTATCGAGTAATTTAATTGATCGATGATGGTTTTTTTATGGGCCTTTAGTAAATAACTGAATTAGCTATCGAGTAATTAATCAAGGATGATTTTTTATGGACCTTTAATAAATAATTTAATTAGCTATTTTTTTTTTTTATAAACATATTTTATTCACTATAAATGAATGGGAAATTGGGGAACATGCAAAATGCCTATGTCAGGCCCCTATCCCTAAATTAGCTATTGAGTAATTAATTGATCGAGGATGATTTTTTTATGGACCATTAATAAATAATTTAATTAGATATTGAGTAATTAATTGATCGTGGATGATTTTTTATGGGCTTGAATAAATAACTGAATTAGCTATCGAGTAATTAATCAAGGAGAATTTTGTTATGGACCTTTAATAAATAATTTAATTAGCTATTGAGTAATTAATTGATCGTGGATGATCTTTTATGGGCTTGAATAAATAACTGAATTAGCTATCGAGTAATTAATAAAGGAGGATTTTTTTATGGACCTTTAATAAATAATTTAATTAGCTATTGAGTAATTAATTGATCGTGGATGATTTTTTATGGGCTTGAATAAATAACTGAATTAGCTATCGAGTAATTAATCAAGGAGAATTTTGTTATGGACCTTTAATAAATAATTTAATTAGCTATTGAGTAATTAATTGATCGTGGATGATTTTTTATGGGCTTGAATAAATAACTGAATTAGCTATCGAGTAATTAATCAAGGAGGATTTTTTTATGGACCTTTAATAAATAATTTAATTAGCTATTGAGTAATTAATTGATCGTGGATGATTTTTTATGGGCTTGAATAAATAACTGAATTAGCTATCGAGTAACTAATCAAGGAGGATTTTGTTATGGACCTTTAATTAATAATTTAATTAGCTATCGATGATGATTTTTAATGGAACACAGTATCTTAGCAACACAGACAAATAATTATTTGTTTGTAGTAAATTATACAGCCCGAGAAAGTGTCCCCGATATATCGTCGGAATTTACGGCATGAGAGCGTGAGCGGGAAATGGTGTTTTACGTCCACTCGACACAAACGTGGTAAATTTGGACCTAATATATGGTTTAATTTTATTTTAATAATTCGCTTGCGCGTAGGGATCTTTAGCTGTGGGGTGAAACCGGTGGGACCGGAGAAAACCCCACACGGACGGACAGGCGAACCTACTCCTTGTCATCTACAAGCGGGGCATCGAAACAGCGCCACTTGACTCATTGACAGACGTTATGATACAACGCGTACGGAGAAAATCATTCGCCCACCCATCCCCCACCCCCCTTCGCCAACCCGTTCGTTACCCAATGAGGTACGTAAGGGTAATTTAGTTCTAATATAATGTCTTTGTTTTCATTTTGTATTTTTACAGCTTTTCAACCTAGCCATTCGAGCTGCCAGCAAGTTGAAGTTATAGAACCCGCATATTGTAAAGTGTTTCGTAAGTTATGTATTGTTATGGTATAACAACCTCATTATGTGGCTAAGTGAAGTGAAGTGAAATGGGGTTTAACGTCCTGCTATTCTGCTCTGACTGGGCTAATGAAAACGGGCATACGCCATACAGTGTACTATGAGGGAAATTTTGCCCGGGCAGCGGCACTACGTCCTGCTCGTGTATCGAATTCCAAATGTCAGGGGATCTTTTACGTGCATGCCAATGTATACACTGGTCCTCGGTTTTTCGTCCCATCCGAATGAATAGAAATGGGGGTTTAACGTCCTACTGTTCTGCCCCGACTGGGCTAATGAAGACGGGCATACCCTTTACAGTGGGCTATGAGGGAAATTTTGCCCGGGCAGCGGCACTATGGCCTGCTCTTATATCGAATTCCAACTGCCAAGGGATCTTTTACGTACATTCCAATGCATACACGGGACTTTGGTTTTTCGTCTCAAAGCAGAACAGTAATTTACGCCGTGCGCTCAGGTTTTCTCTTGGTCTCTCGGTTCGAACACGCGACCTTCGGGCTAGCGAGCCAGCGTCTTACCCACTCAACCATCGTGGCTCCCGTTTCGATACGATCAACACGGTTGCTTCGACTAAGCTAAATATATGATAAGACCTGATAGGATCATCACGATTACTCCAACCAAAATTAAAACCACGATCTCAAACACAGCACGAATTGTGATAGTGGGAACCTAGCATTAAGAACAATAATAAAATAACCCTTATACTGTTTATTTTTTAGCTTTGTGTAGGTATTGTGAGTCGAACTGTGCTAGTGTACCGGGCTTTAATACACCTGAACCAACCACGCCAGAGCCTACCACACCTGAACCAACCACGCCAGAGGCTACCACACCTGAACCAACCACGCCAGAGCCAACAACACTAGAACCAACCACACCGGAACCAACTACTCCAGAACCAACCACACCGGAACCAACTACTCCAGAACCAACCACCCCGGAACCAACTACTCCAGAACCAACCACCCCGGAGACAACTACACCAGAACCAACCACGCCGGAACCAACTACTCCGGAGCCAACAACACCGGAACCAACAACACTGGAACCAACAACACTAGAAGCTACAACGCCGGAACCAACTACTCCAGAACCAACCACCCCGGAACCAACTACTCCAGAACCAACCACCCCGGAACCAACAACTCCAGAACCAACCACGCCGGAACCAACAACACTAGAAGCTACAACGCCGGAACCAACCACGCCGGAACCAACTACTTCGGAGCCAACCACACCAGAACCAACCACTCCAGAGCCAACTACGCCAGAACCTACCACGCCGGAACCAACCACAGCGGAGCCAACCACACCGGAACCAACTTCTCCAGAGCCAACTACCCAAGCAATCGAGCAGTTTGATGATCCAGAACAACAGCGGTGCGCGGTCTTGGGTAAGTGATATATTTATATCGTTATAAATTATATATAAGTTCATCTTCTACACACATAAAAGGAGCTAAATCGCTAATATTTGGAGCCAAGAAATTGACACAAATGGATTGAAACGCATATAATAATGTAACATGAATGTATATAAACTGATTTACATTCAATCGTTTCCGTTTTTACTCTAATTTCAAATCACGTTATGTTACCAATGGTAAATGTCTTAAATATTGGATATCAGAAGACGGGCATAGATCATACAGTGTGCTGTGAGGGAAATTATGCCCTGATAGCGCACTACGGTCTACTCTCATATCGCATTCGAACTGCCAAGTGATCTTTTACGTGCACGCCAAATTGTACACGGGACCTCGGTTTTTCGTCCCATCCGAACGACTAGACAACTGTCCTTGTCAGGCCCTCCGTCCTGCATCACTGACATGGGTAAACCACGCCGGAAAATCCCGATGAACCTTCTCGGCCAACACCGGAAGCGAACCCGCGACCGCCAGGCTACCGAGTCAGCGTCTTATCCACTTGGTCACCGTGGCTCCCAAAGTGGTTTCGATTTTGTCCAAAACCATATAGTATGTAATACTAACATAGTTTTTCTTTTTCTTTCTTTAGCTTCCGCTCCGGATATGTGTATGATTCCATCAGTAATGGATGGGTGTTGTGCGTGTCCAGATCTTTATCCAACTTTACCTAACTGCCCAACAACAACACCGCCGCCCACTACAACACCCATGCCAACTACAACTACAGCGCCGCCTACCACAACACCATCGTTTTGTCCTGTTTTTGGTGAGGTTCTATTTTCTTCTTTTATATATTTAGTCTCGGACACCCAGAAGACTAGGTCACACCATTGTTTTGTCCTGTTTTTGGCGAGGTTGTGTTTTCTTCTTCTATATATTTAGTCTCGGACACCCAGAAGACTAGGTTAAGGCATTGTTTTGTCCTGTTTTTGGCGAGACTTGATTTTCTTCTTTTATATATGTTTAGTCTCGGACTCCCAGAAGACTAGGTTACGAATGTAAAGATTTATCTAAAGTCAAGGAAGAGTTGCGCTCCATCTCGAAATAAATCCCATATGATAAATAAACATGAATCGTGACGACTAATTAATATTAATAAATGCGGAGATAAATTCTACAAAAGTGTTAGATATTGAACAGGCAATGCAAATGGTTTTTTCGGAAATGACAATTTTTTAATTCTTAAATTAATTTCATGGGCGCCGACATCTTGTTTGAAGGCTATTTACCCCCCCCCACCCTTATTACACTCTCTGGCTGATAAAAGTAGATTGTGTGTACACGATAACTTAGCCAATGACCCATTTTTTCTCAAATATGAAAGACATTCCAGATTATTCGTAGAATATCTGTCTGAATGACAGAGATTATTATATATTCAGGTTTAGCTGTGAGCAATTTTGACGACTTTGTGCATGTACACGTTGCTTTAAAGGAGCTAAATCTCTATTATTTGATACCTAGAAATGGACACGAATGGGTCGCAACGCATATAGTAATGTAGTATGAATGTATATAAACTGATTTACATTCAATCGTTTCTGTGTTTACTATAATTTCTAATCAGTTATGTTCGGCGAAATGACAGTCTTTGGCGTCTGGGTATTCGTCTACACCGGTAGTATTCTCCTGTGGGATATGTTTAGTCTTTTTTATCGAGACGCTTCATTACAAATGACGCTCGAAAGCATTCTTGCGCGCGATTCGTGTTCCAATTGTCTTAAATATTGGATTTCACGAGCCCATGTTTGTTTGGCGTTATTTCGATGAACGTAGGAAAAGAAATTAAGCTCTGTGCGAGCTGGAGAGAGTCTGGACACGTGCTTGGTCGTATATTTCATTTTACTTATATACCAGAATTTAATGACCCTGTCTGTCACGCGTCAACGATAGGTCTGCCTTAATCACTTGGATGCATGAATTCTCCTTGAAATTAACGATTTAGCAATCGTGCCAGACATGATTAGCTATCTCTGCATTCGTCTTTACCTGCAGACATTCATCGTGAGATAGGTCTAGACAATAGTGAACAGTTGCTTAGTAAATTATTTTAAGAAAATTGTATATTTTAGTGGAAAGTAAATAATGTAGTTCATTTGATCTATTAACAGAGCAATACAAGGATGCGATGTGCGTTGGTACACTACTTGATGCTTGTTGTGAATGTCCGAATCTGGTTGATGGCTTAAACTGTCAACCTGAAACAACAGCATCTGCGACTACTCCACTAGCAACAACAGCAGCAGCTACAACTCTAGCAGAAACTACTCCAGAAGCTACAACACTGGCAGCAACAACTGTAGCTGATACAACACCCGCTGACACAACACCAGCAGCAACAACAGCAGCCACAACTACTCCAGCAGCATCAACACCGGCAGAAACTACTCCAGCAGCTACAACACTAGCAGCAACAACTGCAGCTGATACAACACCCGCTGCTACAACTTCAGCAGCAACAACGCCAGCTGAAACCACTGCAGCTGATACAACACCAGCTGAAACCACTGCAGCTGATACAACACCAGCGGAAACCACTGCAGCTGATACAACACTAGCAGCAACAACTGCAGCTGAAACAACACCCGCTGCTACAACACCAGCAGCAACAACGCCAACAGAAACAACGCCAGCAGAAACAACTCTAACTGATACAACACTAGCAGCGACAACTGCAGCTGATACAACATCCGCTGCTACAACACCGGTAGGAACAACGCAAGCAGCAACCACCCCCGCAGCTACAACACTAGCAGAAACTACTCCAGCAGCCACAACACTGGTACCAACGACACCAGCCGCAACTACTCCAGCAGCAACAACGACAGTTGCGACTACTCTACCAGCTACTTCTCCTGCAGCTACAACACCAGCAGAAGCAGAACCACCGACTACTGTAGTAACTACGGTACCCACAGTTCCAACTACTCCAGCTGATACAACACCGGCAGAAACTACTCCAGCAGCTACAACACTAGCAGCAACAACTGCAGCTGATACAACACCCGCTGCTACAACACCAGCAGCAACAACGCCAGTAGAAACCACTGCAGCTGATACAACACCGACAGAAACTACCCCAGCAGCTACAACACTAGCAGCAACAACTGCAGCTGATACAACACCCGCTGCTACAACACCAGCAGCAACGACGCCAGCAGAAACAACTGTAACTGATACAACACTAGCAGCGACAACTGCAGCTGATACAACATCCGCTGCTACAACACCGGTAGGAATAACGCCAGCAGCAACCACCCCCGCAGCTACAACACTAGCAGAAACTACTCCAGCAGCCACAACACTGGTACCAACGACACCAGCCGCAACTACTCTACCAGCTACTTCTCCTGCAGCTACAACGCCAGCAGAAGCAGAACCACCGACTACTGTAGTAACTACGGTACCAACAGTTCCAACTACTCCAGCTGCATCAACACCGGCAGAAACTACTCCAGTAGCTACAACTGCAGCTGATACAACACCCGATGCTATAACACCAGCAACAACAACGCCAGCAGAAACCACTGCAGGTGATACAACACCCGATGCTACAACACCAGCAACAACAACACCAGCAGAAACTACCCCATCAGCCACAACTTTAGCAGAAACTACTCCACCAGCTACAACATTAGCAGCAACAACACCAGCAGAAACCACTGCAGCTGATACAACACCTGCAGCAACAACTACTCCAGCACCTACGACACCCGCCGCAACTACTACAGCAGCTACAATACCACCAACTCTCCCTGTAGTAAATACTTTATGCGAAGGACTGGGTAAGCAATATGGAAAAAAGTAAATCAGAATCAATCGATTGATTCGCCCTGCACGAATTTATGGGAATCGATTGCCCTTTAGGGACGCTGATACTGCAGTGTAACATGACTCGTTAAATTCAACCAGAACACGTTCTAGTTGCAAATGTGGCTTCTTTTTAATGGCCGAAAACATAAACTACAGACCTGGTCTCCGCCGCTACTGATGTCATCCCCGTCTTTCATTTACATTTATATTTTGAGGTAAAGGCGTCTAGTCTGTCGTATGGGACGACACCCCCCCCCCCCCCCACGTGTACTCGTTGATTTACACATAAAAGTTACTGTGGCATTAGAAACCCGATTAAGTGTAGACGAAAACGCCGGTATCCCTGCAAAATTTCCGTCATTCGCCCACTTGGTGCAGAACAGAAGGAAATTTCAACCCATTTCAAATCATTCAATTATTTCTAAATATTCAATTTTTAAGGGAAGGAGGGGGGGGGGTCTACTTAAAAGTATATGACGACGTTATTTTCTATTAATGCAATACAAAATAATATATTTTCATGAATACCCAGATATGGCAGCGGTAACGGAAATCACTATGTAATTTATTATCTGTGATACATTTTGGTGTGCTGTTGCCGTTGATGCATATAGCACTGTTAATTTTGAATATTCCATTAGGCAAACAAGAACTGCGACAAAAATAACATCCTTGTTGAAAGATGGGCAGTCCGCCAGTATTCATATCATTTATGTACAATTTATATTTTTCATATGTGGGTTCAGCTGTATACCCAGAAATTTTATGTGCTAATGAAGACATTAAAGTGGAATGCTGTAAATGTCCTGATCTGATGGACTTGCCCGAAGTCGGCTGTACAGCCACAACACCCACAGGGACAGCAACAACGCCAGCTGCGGCTACAACAGAATTAGAAACAACACCGGCAGAAACTACTCCAGCTGATACAACACCAGCAGCAACAACACCAGCAGAAACTACTCCATCAGCCACAACTCTCGCAGAAACTACTGCAGCAGCTACAACACCAGCAGCAACAACACCAGCAGAAACCACTGCAGCTGATACAACACCTGCATCTGATACAACACCTGCAGAAACTACTCCAGCAGCTACAACACTAGCAGCAACAACTGCAGCTGAAACAACACCCGCTGCTACAACACCAGCAGCAACAACGCCAGCAGAAACCACTGCAGCTGATACAACACCAGCAGAAACTACTCCAGCAGAAACTACTCCGGCAGCTACAACACTAGCAGCAACAACAGCAGCTGAAACAACACCCGCTGCTACAACACCAGCAGCAACAACGCCAGCTGAAACCACTGCAGCTGATACAACACCAGCTGAAACCACTGCAGCTGATACAACACCAGCGGAAACCACTGCAGCTGATACAACACTAGCAGCAACAACTGCAGCTGAAACAACACCCGCTGCTACAACACCAGCAGCAACAACTCCAGCTGAAACCACCGCAGCTGATACAACACCAGCGGAAACTACTCTAGCAGAAACTACTCCAGCAGCCACAACTCTAGCAGCAACAACAGCAGCTGATACAACAGCAGCAGGAACAACGCCAGCAGAAACAACTGCAGCTGAAACAACACCCGCTGCTACAACAGCAGCAGCAACAACGCCAGCTGAAACCACTGCAACTGATACAACACCAGCGGAAACCACTGCAGCTGATACAACACCAGCGGAAACCACTGCAGCTGATACAACACTAGCAGCAACAACTGCAGCTGAAACAACACCCGCTGCTACAACACCAGCAGCAACAACTCCAGCTGAAACCACCGCAGCTGATACAACACCAGCGGAAACTACTCTAGCAGAAACTACTCCAGCAGCCACAACTCTAGCAGCAACAACAGCAGCTGATACAACACCAGCAGCAACAACGCCAGCAGAAACAACTGCAGCTGAAACAACACCCGCTGCTACAACAGCAGCAGCAACAACGCCAGCTGAAACCACTGCAGCTGATACAACACCAGCGGAAACCACTGCAGCTGATACAACACTAGCAGCAACAACTGCAGCTGAAACAACACCCGCTGCTACAACACCAGCAGCAACAACTCCAGCCGAAACCACCGCAGCTGATACAACACCAGCGGAAACTACTCTAGCAGAAACTACTCCAGCAGCCACAACTCTAGCAGCAACAACAGCAGCTGATACAACACCAGCAGCAACAACGCCAGCAGAAACCACTGCAGCTGATACAACCCCAGCAGCAACAACCCCAGCAGAAACCACTGCAGCTGATACAACACCAGCAGAAACTACCCCATCAGCCACAACTTTAGCAGAAACTACTCCTGCCGCTACAACACCAGCAGAAACTACTCCGGCCGCCACAACTGCAGCCGATACAACACCAGCTGCTACAACGCCTGTTCCTAATAGTAAGTGGGTGTGGTATTTTTCATAATATTTCGTCATTATAAGAGTTGAGACATGAGACTGACCAATACCACCTGATAACATTTTTCAGTCAAAGATTTAAAAATGTTAAAGATACGTTATGTAAGAGCTAGTATTCCTATTGCATGTCTTTATTTTGGCTCCCGGTGTTCTATAAATTATTTTAGACATTTATGAACATGACAAGTCCGTTATTTACTCTTTAGACCATAAGATGACCGAGATTAATAGATTAGAACGACCGCTAGATTTAAAAATTTAACGATATAATTGATAATCGAGACTTAGTCTCGTTTGTCCATGCCGTCGTTACGATAATAAATAATCTACACTACATCTTCAATTACCCATAACTTCGCTCAGAATGAAGTAATTTGAATGAAATTTTCAATATATTCATTTTCTATTATCTATTATAATCAAGAAAGGCCAGTTCGTTATCTAAATAGTATATAATGCTTCACATTTATATTTAAAGTTTACAGAAGGGAAAATTCAATTTATGCCTTTGGGGTGCTTATTTCATTTCTTCTATGGTAAGCTATTCGATATTTTGTTTATCACGTGATGAATAAATTAACAGTCACGTGTTAAGTGTAATAGCTATCAGTTCCAAGTCAACATGAGCACTCTGAATTCAGTTGCTCTCAGTTGCTGATATGATCGACATAAGAACACTTGCAACTGATTGAAACTATTTCCTTTTGCGTTGCAAAGTCGACATATGCCCCGCTTTGAAGCAGAGAAAATTCAGTTCATTGTCATCCTCGGTTTCCTCAGTGGTCTCATTCCGTTCGACTCCACGGAATGAGACCACTGGGGAAACCGAGGATGGTTCTTTGTAGGCAGTTATATTCGATATCTCTTTATATATTTTCCAAACATCATTTTTCTATTTTCAGAATGTAAATACTCCGAATACGTAACTACCATTACCAAGAGAATAATTTCTGGTCAATCAACATTTGATAATACATATCCTGGTGTCGTCAGCTTTCAATCGGATTCATACACGGCTATTGGAACTCCTATCAAATTAACCATTTGCTCTGGAATAATTCTTGATGAAACGCACATTTTAACCACACTATCTTGTTTCCAGTTCGTGGATGCGTAAGTTAATCAATATACCATTTTACCTATATTACTTGATGGTCGTAATGGCCGAATGGTCTAACGCGTGAGCTTTAGATCATAAGGTCTGTCATTGATGGTTTCGATTTCCAGCTTGTACGTGACAAGAAATCGGGTCGCCTGTCCAACCTCGTAATGTTCAGGTATCATCCCCTACAACACGCAGTCGATTTATTGAAATAAAATTGATTGAGAGAGAGAGAGAGAGAGAGAGAGACAGACAGACAGACAGAGAGAGAGGGAGAGATGGGGTTTAACGTTCCCTCGACACAGACTAGGTCATTTCGGAACAAACACATGACTTAATTTTATCACAATAATTTGCTTGGGGGTCTTTAGCAGCGGGAGGAGAAAACCCAAGAGGTTGGATAGGCGACCCTACTCTTTGTCACGGTCACGTACAAGCTCGGAATCGAAACCACGCTACATGACACAATGACAGACCTAATGGTACAACGCAAACGCGTTAACCATTCGGCCACTCAAACCCCCTTGTTAGTTCGAAATGACATAGTTTGTGTCGAGTGACCGTTACTCAACACCCCACCCCCTCTTTCTCTCTGATAATCATTTAGACATTTAAAGATACATTATGTAGGATTTAGATAAAGAACTAGCCATTCTTGCTATAATAGTTCGAAAGTAGATGATGTAAAATGAATAATTTGAAAATTTCATTCAAATTACTCTATTGCAGGCGAAGATATTAGCCTTTGAAGGTTTGACAGACGTGTGCAATAATTTCAACCACCGTACTGGTTGATCGAAGCTAAGTCTCGGTCCTCCATATTTGATTAAATCAAAGTATCGCTGAACCATTCTAATCTATTTAATATCGGAGAAATCTGATGCTATCGAGAGTTGATTAAGGCCTGGATCAGTTAATTAATGTCTAATTAATACTTTAGAAAACATTTCAAGCCTAAAGAAAGACCTGCAATAGGCAGATTTAGCTCTTGCATAATGCATGTTTAATTGTCTCAAAATGACCGAGGTGTTGTGTTGACGAGATATATGGTACCTGTGTGATTTCGAGGATGGAGAGATTTGCTCGGGCATTGGCGTTTCCGGCTTCCCCTTCTTCGATTTATTGTACTTCGGTTTACTGTAACTACCGAACGACTAGCTCTGACAGGTGAAAACCTGGCTTGGAAAATCCCAAAGGTTCTTCTCGGATTCGTAGTCGTTCGGATAGAACGGAAATTCGAGGTCCCCATGTACACATTGGCGTGCACGTTAAAGCTCCCTTGCCAGTTAGAATTCGATATAAGAGTAAGCCATAGCACTGCTGTCCAGGCTGTGCGCCCTGCATGATAAGGTCTGTCATTCAGTCAACTGGCGTGGTTTCGATTCCTCGGTTGTACGTGATAAGGAGTAGGGTCGCCTGCCCAACCGCGTGGGTTTTCCCTCCAACTGCTAAAGACCTCTACGTGCAAGCGAATTATTGAAAATAAAATTGAACCATATGTTAGTCCTAAAATGACCTAGTTGGTGTCGAGTGGACGTTAAACTAAAACAATGGTATGCTGCGATCGCCGACGGACAATGATTTGGGAATATTTTAACCTCTTTCTATACAACATAGTTTATATATTTCAGGATGGCCGATTTTTCATCTGCAGAAGCTGTCATATCAGAAACTGATACTAGCAGTACAAGTGGAGCTGAACAGACGATTCCATTAACCTACCCAATCCCAAATGAAACCACTGGGGGTGAGTAGATGAGTAGAAATGAAAATAAAATGAAATGAAGTTTAAAGTGCTACTGTTCTGCTCCGAACTGGGCTAATAAAGACGAGCATACGCCATACAGTGTGCTATGAGGGAAATTTTGCCCGGACAGTGGCGCCACGGTCTACTCTTATTTCGAATTCCAACTGCCTGAAATTAGACGATAGCACGGCATTAACAAATTTTGAATCTAATGTACCGTCATGCGAGGGGAGGGGGTGGCCGAATGGTTAGTACGTGCGCGCTGTATCATAAGGCCTGTCATTAAGTCAACTGGCATGGTTTCGTATCCCCGGTTGTACGTGACCAGGAGTAGGGTCGCCTGTCCAACCTCGTGGGTTTTCTCAGGGTCCTCCGGTTTCCCCCCACTGCTAAAAGCCTCTACGCGCAAGCGAATTAATGAAATGAAATTGAACAATGTGTTAGTCACGAAATGACCTAGTTTGTGTCGAGTGGACGTTAAACCCCATTTCTCTCTCTCTCTCTCTTTCTCTCTCTCTATACCGCCATGCGTGGCGGCATTGTCCGATCTGTTGTGTTGTACTATAAATATATGTTTCAGATATGGTGGTCATGACGCTGGATACGCCAATTGACATCAACAGCGTGTCGTCAGCTCCTGCATGTGTTATAAACGACAACATGGCGATTGATGAAACTTCGTGTCAAGTGCTTGGTTTTGGTAATATGTATACTTCATGTAAGTAACGGTTATTTTTTCAAAATAAAATCCCAAGATAGGATACAACAACCGCTCCATTAAAAATATTTGAAACTAACTGGCGTATATTTTAACCTATTTTTTTACGCTCACATTTTTATGGGGACGTATATTGTCGTCGCCCATGTGCATCCGTCCGTACGTCCGTCCACAATTTGGTTGTGGATACTCTACAAGTCACAATTTTTATCCGATTTTGACGAAACTTGAAATATAGATCTATTTCCCAACGATCCTGATTCCTCTCTATATTGGCATGTATCGGACCATAAATTCATGAAATATGACCCCTGATGGCACGAAAAATCACGATTTTAGCTTGTGGAGGTGACAATTTCTATCTAAGTTTAATGAAACTTGAAGCGTATGTTTATAACCCAAAGATCTTGTTTCCTTTCGATATTCGCGCATATCGGATCGTAACTTCCTGAATTATGTCCCCAGATTGTACGAAAAATCGTGTTTTTTTTTTTTAGCTTGTGGATTTTCTAGAGGTCACAAATTTTTATCCGATTTTAAAAACCATTCCACCATAATGAAGATTGAATTCGAATTTCGGGGAAATCGAAAGAAAATCGAGTTTGATGAAACTTAAAATATATCTTTATATCCCAAAGATTTCAGTTCTTGTCGATATTTGCGCATTTCAGTTCATAACATTCTGGATTATAGCCCCTGATTGTACAAAAAATCCCCTTTGTTTTTAGCTTGTTCTCTATCTATCTCTTGCCAAATGTGGGCGTATCGTGCCTGACAACCGCTGGTGTCACATTCCTTTGAACGGTGATATGTTAATTCTAGTGCTAGCCTCTCCATTCCACGTCAGAAATATCTACAAAACTATTGAGATTTATTAGCAATAAGGGCCGGATTTGCCAACAGACATAGTAGGTCATTGGCCTAGGGCCCCTGGACATCTGGGGGACCACTGAAACTTATGAGTTTGGCCTAGGGACCACGGACATCTGGGGGACCACTAAAACTAATGGGTTTGATTTAGGGCCTACAAGTAGGGAAACCCGTCCCTGTTACCAATATAAATTATTCGGATAAGTATTAATACATCGAGGAACTGTTTAATAATCGGACATTGTATATGAAATAAACAAACTATGCATATAAGCTGAGTTTTAAAGGTCCGTCATATTAACTTTGTTTGGAATTTTATTTTAATCCCTTCAAGTGCCTGTGGGCAGGTCCGGCATTTTAAGTCGACCATTAACTGTTCCCATTGTTCTATTTCAGTTCCCTCAACCAGTTTAAGAGCTGGAGATGTTACTTTAGATGCAAGTTGTTCTACGGACGCAGTTTGCGCAACAAGCACCGGAAGTGTGGGATGCACGGTATGTAGAATGTCGGTTCAAATGGGGTTTAACGTCCTCAGTTACTACTCCGACTAGGCTAATGAAGACGGGTATGAAACTTTGTCCGGACAGCGGTACAACCGTCTACTCTTATTTCTAGTCTATGTCGAGTGGACATTCCCCCCCCCCTCTCTCTCTCTCCCTCTCTCTCTCCATCTCTCTCTCTCTCCCTCTCTCTCTCTCCATCTCTCTCTCTCCCTCTCTCTCTCTCTCTCCCTCTATCTCCAGTATGCTATAGGGGACATTTTGCCCGGATAGCGGCACTACCCGTGGCCTACACCTATATTTTATTCCAACTTCTAAGGGTCTTTTACGTGCTCACCATCGAGTACATGGGACCTCGGCTTTTCGTCCCATCCGAAAAGACCCTCCTCCGTCCTGCAACACTGTCAAGGGGACATCACGCTGTATCCAAAGTCGTGGGTAGCCCCTCTCTCTCTCTTTCCCTCTCTCTCTCTCTCTGAAGCGTAGTGCCTCAAGGTCATAAATATTAAACCCCATTTGATTTGATCTCTAAAACACGTGAAAAAGGGTTTTATAGGTGTTTTGCCGAATAGAGTATCGCAGACGAGACAAAATGAAATGAAATGAAATGAAATAGGGTTTAGCATGAGCCATACAATGTGCTATGGGGGAGATTTTGCCCGGGCAGTGGCACTATGGCCTATTCTTATATCAAATTCCAACTACCAAGGGATCTTTTACGTGCACGCCAATGTATTCATTGGACCTCAAACTGTCCTTGTCAGGTCCCCCGTCCTGCAAGGGGAAACCGCGCCGGAAAATCCCAATGAACTTACTCGGCCAATGCAGGGATCGAACATCCGATCTCCATCGTCTTACCCATTTAGCCACCGTGGCGTCCGCAGACGAGAAAGCGGGTCGTTAGTGACAGATAATCCTTGGTGTAAACATGCCCTAAAGATACAGTATGGAAAATTAGATAAAGAGCTGACAGTTCTCACTATAATAGTTAAAAACTAGATCATGTAAAGGGAATATGCTGAAAATTTCAGTCAAATTGATCCACTCTGAACTGAGTATTTGGCGATTGAATTTTGGACCTAGCCTCGATCATCATTACTAAAGTATGTACGATAAAAAACATAGTCTCGATTATCCATTTTTTGATTTAATCAGAAGCAGTAGACTGGGTTGTAATCCACTAAATATCGCAGGCTAGCGATGCCATCGAGAGTTGATTATGGTCTGGATAAGCTAATTAATGTCTAATTAATAATTAAGATAACATTTCAGGCCTAAAGAAAGACCTGCAATAGGCAGATTTAGCTCTTGCATAATGTATGCTTAAGGCCATGACTTTTGTCTTGGAATGTTATCCATTTGAGTTTCTTTTGCTGCTAAAGTTTCGAAATTCATTTGTGTGTTGTGTTATTTTTAGGGCGATGATGGTGGACCAATAATGTGTCGTGAGAAAGAAACTGGGGAATATGTAACTGTGGGGTTGATGACGTCAACTGATTGTGACGAAACTCTTCCACAGACAATTTACAGTTTAATGCCCGGTCTGCAATACAATGATATCGCTAAGAGTTACCCTTATTATGACATCACAGCATAAAGTTAATATAACTGAGGACAGTATTTATCACAACTCGTGATGTTAAAATATAAAACTATAATATGATATAAATATATATTCTTGCAGACAGACTTTTAGTTCGTTGTTTTCTTTTTTTTTTGGGGGGGGGGGGGGTCGGATCGGGGGTGTTTGGGCTTCCCATGAACAGTAGTTGCCTTAACGTGACTGGAGTAATCTTCACAGCTTGACCGAAAAATAATCTCATATGAATCATTACGTTTACACGAAAATTACTATATCTGGATTAATGTTAAAGATACATTATGTAAGATTTATATAAAGAGCTAGCCATTCTTGGTATAATAGTTCGAAAATAGATAATGTAAAACGAATAATTTGAAAATTTCATTCAAATTACTCTATTGCGAGCGAAGATATTAGCCTTTGAAGGTTTGACAAGACATGTGCAATAATTTCAACCACCGTACTGGTTGTTCGAAGCTAAGTCTCACTCCTCCATTTTTAGATTAAATCAAAATATGTCTGAACCGTTCTAACCTATTTAATATCGGAGAAATCCGATGCCATCGAGAGTTGATTATGGCCTGGATCAGTTAATTAATGTCTCATTAATAATTTAGAAAACATTTCAGGCCTAAAGAAAGACCTGCGATAGGCAAATTTAGCTCTTGCATAATGTATGTTTAATGCCAAATGGCTATATCTCGAATGTCAAATAGACGAGGTGTCATGTAATTATATCGACTATTGAACTCTTAGGGGCGTAGACAGGCTCCAGCATTAGGGCGAACGTGCATATAAAAAAGCGCCATGACAGGTACTAAATAATTTTCAAATCATTATAAATTTATATTTTGTTTTGAAAATCAAAACACAAGGTTGGTAGAATAATGTAATACTTCCAGAAAGTTCTTCAAAGCAGGGCCTGATTCACCATGAGCATAGTAGGCCATTGGCCTAGTTACCACGGATATCTGTTGTTGGGGGTGGGGGGGGACTGAAACTAACCTTGTTTCAAGTATACACCGGGTATTTCATTATAAGTATGGGGGCAGGGATTTTTTTTAGGAATTTTTGAGCGCTTGGCAGGAACTCGCTGTATAGTTATTGTCCCGTTAGGTTCTATGATAACTAAACCTGTATAGTGGACTATGGTTTTTTTACGGCATAACTTTTACAACATAAGATTGAGTAGCGCTAGTGTGCGCCTATTAGTATGGTGGCTGTTAGCGGCCATCCAAGTGAATCTAAGTCGTCGCCTTGTGAAGAAGTCGACAAGTCGACAAAATCAACCCGTCAACACGACAAAATAACCCGACGATCGTCGCCTTCATTTCGTCGACTTGTCGGGTCAATTCTGTCGACTTGTCGACTTGTCGCCTTCGACTTATTCACAACCCGACAAGTCGACAAAATACAATCATTTCGACATGTCGTGCGGCGACTTGTCGCCTCGGAAGTCAAACTCGAGCTTGCGCATTTGCTGATTGGATAACTTGCATGCGCACAGATTAACTGTATTTTGTCGACTTGTCGGGTTGTGAAAAATCGACAGAAATGACCCGACAAGTCTTTAGCAGTGGGAGGAAAACGAAGGACCAGGAGAAAACCCACTAGGTTTGACAGGCGACCCTACTGCTTGCCACGTACAAACAACCGGGGACTCGAAACTATACGCCAATTGACTCAATGACAGACCTTATGATACAGCGCGCACATGCTAACCATTCGGCCACCCCCCCCCCCCCCCCCTTAATGGCCTCACTTTACCTTACTTTTGTCGCATATCACCCCCTTTGATCTTGTTGTCCTGTATGGTCTTATGAATTGTTGTTATAGTTTTTCTGTATATATTGACCTCATAATTTTTGTATTATAAAATCGCTGTGGTGAGAAGAGATGGCGGGTCGTCTTCTCTCTTTGTCATAATAAAAAAACCAAATCAAAATGTGTATTCAGGTGACTTTTTGATTTACAAGGACCTTTTTATTTTTGTGTTTTTACCGATTTTCAACCCTTTAAGTGTAAATAATTTAATTAAATCAACCTGTCCATAGTATCATATTTATTGTATTGGACGTTAAATCTGTAATAAACAACTACATCATTTGTATTACTGTATTACCTTGATAACGTTGAGAGAATACTTTTCGAAATTTCGCCCAAATAAATTAATAGCTGTTTTTTCCATAAGTCGGGGGGGGGGGATGGTTAGCGTGTGCGCGTTATATCATAAGGTCTGTCATTGAGTTAACTGGCGTGGTTTTCAATCCCGGGTTGTACGTGACAAGGAGTAGGGTCGCCTGTCAACTTCGTGGGTTTCCTCTGGGTCCTCCGGTTTTCCTGCCACTGCTAAAGACCCCTTCACGCAAGCGAATTATGGAAAGAAAATTGAACCATATATTAGTCCCGAAATGACCTAGTTTGTATAGAGTGGACGTTAAACTCCATTTCTCTGTCTCTCTCTCTCTCTCTCTCTCTCTCTCTTACATAATGTACCTTTAACAACGTTTGTGAGTCTTGCTGAACGTGGATAAATATAACCCTTGTAGTCAACGTCCAGTCTAATAATACAGAATAAGGAGTGGTGGACATGATTTGTTTAAATTAGTATCCAAACATATTCACCTGACAACAAAGTAACAATCATTATTTTAAATTCAGTCATTATTATAGAAATATGCACGTCCACAAACAATGCATATTATTGTTAGGCTGTTTTCCTTTACGCACTGTTCCCATTAATCGAAGTTTTGGGTGTTTTCTTTGTTATTCGTTTTCCTTTTCAATATTGTTCCCAAGAAACACGGGTGGCCATATTGTTTTTATTTTTAATTTTTAAGTTTGTGTTTTCATCAAAAAATACATCCCAGATGCCAGGTGTTTATTACGTGTAGGTAATTTGTGTCTATTCAGCTGGGGTATTTTGAAGGTGATAAGTATATAAATTCAACTAAATCTATCGAATAATGTAGAATAGTCCATCGTATTCAACCAAAATGAATTCTGCAATTACTTGTTTGGTTGTACTCGCGTCTCTGTTCTGTGTGGGATCTGCAATTTCATATTGCGGTAAGCTTTTTTATTTATTTCATTTTTTTTTTTTTTTTCATTTCTTTTTTTATTTAATTCATTTTTTTTCTTCCATTATAATATTTAAATTTTTTATCTGCACGAGCTGATATATGTTTAATACAAAACAGCAAATATCTGACCGGCTTTCAACGTCCGATTCGACAGATGGGTGAAAATATTTCAACCACAAAATATCTCAAATTTATACCATTTTATACTTCGAAATACCGCCAAGACGCACAATGAATTTGGGGATTTTGGAGGCTAAAGCGTAAAATTATAAATCGCAGCAAATTCTGCGATTCATGTCTATAGTTTCAATGACATTTTATAATTGAACTGGAATATCCAGGGACCCGTTTCACCAAATTTTAAGTAAAATAAAATCAAAATTATAGTAATTGGATTGGATAATATTACATTGATTTTAGTGCGAAGCCAATCAAAATTGAAGTATCTACTAAAATTTGGATTTTATCTTTAGTTAAAATTTCGTGAAACTGACCCCTGGGTCGAAATTCTATGGAATACAATTACTGATTTAATACTGAGTTACATTTAGACAAAGATTCTCTAGTCTTTGCAAATTGTATTATATCATCGTGTTTCCGCAGCCATTTTGAAAAGAGGGCAGGTACCAAGTGAAAAATCCATTTTAGAAATTATTTTTTTGGCCAATTATTCTTTCATCATTTTTTGCTTCAGAAAAAAAATATGCGTTAGCCTAAACCTAACCCTAGTTTTAAAAAAAAAAATTCTTCATTATCCCATGGTATAAAGCGCTTCCTTTCCGATATATTTGACATTTTGAGTCATTTTACGGAACCATCAGCCATCTGGAATTGATTATCAATTTTCTCCCAGACCCGCATATCCGATTTTGGAAGACTTGTGGCGGTATGTTGATTAGCAGCTAACCTACAAGGCACGTTTCGTTTTTTTATAGTTCAAAATTTCGTTTTACTTGTCTTTACTACACTAAGATCTAGAAGAGTTGTTAATTAAGACTTGTTCTGCTTTTTAAATATAACCCGCGTTCTGGTTGATGATGGATTAGCCAATGGAACGGTTCGTTACAACGAGTTCTTGGCGTGTGATGCACGAAACTGTGTGTATTCTACTAGAAACATCAACGAAGATTGGTTAATCAAATGTCTGACGTCATAGGGACAAGAGCCACTCGTATGACCCCTGACGCGACCTCCCACAACTCAGATTTTCGTCCCATCCGAACGACTAGACAACCTTCCTTGTCAGGCCCTCCGTCATGCACCAGTGACAAGAAAACCACGATTAACTTTCCCGGCCAACACCGGAATCGAACCCGCGAACTCCAGGTTAGCGAGCCAGGGTCTTACCCACTTAGGAGATGCTAATTGAAGGGACAGTCATGTTATAAATTATGTCATTCTGCACACACAGATCCATCTACGTCATTCCTCGAGAATAGATATCTGCTCTAAATGGCCGCCATATCCAGAAATTAGTATACAGCGGTTTTGTAATGCGTTTCTACTCCTTTTCACATCTGTCATACACACAAAGACTGAATAAACCTTTTCAATTTTATTAAATGGAAGCAGAACAAATACCTATCAAAATTCTCGAAATATACTTAGTGTTTTCGACTAAAATCGTCGATTTAGGACTTAAAATGTCGGTCAACTACCTTAGTGTTTGTTTTCAAGCGGAGCTAACTGTAGACAGACAGTCTAAGTTTAGTAAGAAATTATGTAAATGACATTTTTAAGCGTATATTCATTTCGTCGTATCTTTTGTCGTTCAGTACATATTCATTTCGGCGTATCTTTTGTCGTTCAGTACATATTATTTATTTATATTTTACAGACATTTATCCCATGTTACCTGTTTGTGCAGCAACAACAACAACAACAACAACACAAAAACCAGCATTTGATATTTGTGGTAAGTACTGAGATTCATTCATTCATTTGACTGCAGGTTGTTATATTATATATGAATAAAGTATACAATAAATAAGCGTGGCCCGAGAACAGAACCTTGTGAAATACCACACAAAATATATTAAATCACACAAAGAGAGAGAGAGAGAGAAAGAGAGAGAGAGAGAGGCCGCGTTTAACATCCACTCGACGCAAACTAGGTCATTTCGGGACTAACACATGGTTCAATTTTATTTCAAAAATTCGCTTGCGCGTAGGGGTCTTTAGCATTGGGGGGAAACCGGAGGACCCGGAGAAAAGAATCACACAAAAAGCAGTGCTCTTACAGTACTTTTAAGTCTCATTGCGTCAGGAATATCAGTCCAAACTTTCATCGATCTATGCTGCTCTCTATGCAACAATCCTGTCGCCATTTTGTAGTTCGCGAACATAATTGATATACCTGCTTTTTTAATTATCTGGCGTTGGTAGTTTGATTTTGTTTGTCTAATTAAATGTTAAATAATCAATCTGAGTACATAAATGAAATAGGAGAGAGAGGGAGAAATGGGGCTTAACGTCCACTCGACACAAACCAGGTCATTTCGGGACTAACATAAAGATCCAATTTTATTTCAATAATTCGCTTGCGCGTAGGGGTCTTTAGTAGTGGGAGGAAACCGGAGGACCCGAAGAAAACCCACGAGGTTGGACAGTCGACCCTACGCTTTGTCACGTACAACCGGGGATTCGAAACCACGCCAGTTGACTCAATGACAGGCCGTATGAAACAGCACGCACGTGCTAACCATTCGGCCATCCAACCCCCCAAATGAAATGGGATTTAACGTCCTACTGTTCTGCTCCTATTGAGTTAATGAAGACCGGCATAAGCCATACAGTGTGCTATAAGAGAAATGTTGCCCGGACAGCGGCGCAACGGCCTACTATTATATCGAAGTCCAACTGCCAGGGGATTTTTTTTATGAGATTTTTGCCCGAGTTCACAAAGCATTCTCAGACTTAAGTTCAGAATTTACTCAACTTTCAATCACTGTTGATGGAAAAAATCTTTGATCCAGAAACACAAAACTTTGCAAATAGTTTCTTTTTGATGTATTTGATACATTAAAACAACAAAAGTTTTATAAAGAGCTATATTTTAGTTAAAATAAGGCCAACAATTTTTAGTAAATTCTTAACTTAAGTCCGAGAATGCTTTGTGAACTCGAGGCCTTGCTTTTTTCGTCTCATCCAAAGGACTATACGCCTATGTATACACGGGTCCTCGGTTTTTCGTCCCATCCGAACGACTAGATAGCTGTCTTTGTCAGGCCCTCCGTCCTGCACCATTGACAATTTGCAGTACATAAAGGCGTGGATTAAACCATGATAAGTTTTAGCGAAACATGTAAATGACACAATGGGCCTTAAATTAGCTAATTAGCTATTTAGTAATTGATCGAGGAAGATTTTTATAATAAATAACTGAATTAGCTATCGAGTAATTTAATTGATCGATGATGGGTTTTTATGGGCCTTTAGTAAATAACTGAATTAGCTATCGAGTAATTAATCAAGGATGATTTTTTATGGACCTTTAATAAATAATTTAATTAGCTATTGAGTAATTAATTGATCGTGGATGATTTTTTTATGGACCATTAATAAATAATTTAATTAGCTATTGAGTAATTAATTGATCGAGGATGATTTTTTATGGGCTTGAATAAATAACTGAATTAGCTATCGATGATGATTTTTAATGGAACACAGTATCTTAGCAACACAGACAAATAATTATTTGTTTGTAGTAAATTATACAGCCCGAGAAAGTGTCCCCGATATATCGTCGGAATTTACGGCATGAGAGCGTGAGCGGGAAATGGTGTTTTACGTCCACTCGACACAAACGTGGTAAATTTGGACCTAATATATGGTTTAATTTTATTTTAATAATTCGCTTGCGCGTAGGGATCTTTAGCTGTGGGGTGAAACCGGTGGGACCGGAGAAAAACCCACACGGATGGACAGGCGAACCTACTCCTTGTCATCTACAAGCGGGGCATCGAAACACCGCCACTTGACTCATTGACAGACGTTATGATACAACGCGTACGGAGAAAATCATTCGCCCACCCATCCCCCCACCCCCCTTCGCCAACCCGTTCGTTACGTAAGGGTAATTTAGTTCTAATATAATGTCTTTGTTTGTATTTTTACAGCTTTTCAACCTAGCCATTCGAGCTGCCAGCAAGTTGAAGTTATAGAACCCGCATATTGTAAAGTGTTTCGTAAGTTATGTATTGTTATGGTATAACAACCTCATTATGTGGCTAAGTGAAGTGAAGTGAAATGGGGTTTAACGTCCTGCTATTCTGCTCTGACTGGGCTAATGAAAACGGGCATACGCCATACAGTGTACTATGAGGGAAATTTTGCCCGGGCAGCGGCACTACGTCCTACTCTTGTATCGAATTCCAAATGTCAGGGGATCTTTTACGTGCATGCCAATGTATACACTGGTCCTCGGTTTTTCGTCCCATCCGAATGAATAGAAATGGGGGTTTAACGTCCTACTGTTCTGCCCCGACTGGGCTAATGAAGACGGGCATACCCTTTACAGTGGGCTATGAGGGAAATTTTGCCCGGGCAGCGGCACTATGGCCTGCTCTTATATCGAATTCCAACTGCCAAGGGATCTTTTACGTACATTCCAATGCATACACGGGACTTTGGTTTTTCGTCTCAAAGCAGAACAGTAATTTACGCCGTGCGCTCAGGTTTTCTCTTGGTCTCTCGGTTCGAACACGCGACCTTCGGGCTAGCGAGCCAGCGTCTTACCCACTCAACCATCGTGGCTCCCGTTTCGATACGATCAACACGGTTGCTTCGACTAAGCTAAATATATGATAAGACCTGATAGGATCATCACGATTACTCCAACCAAAATTAAAACCACGATCTCAAACACAGCACGAATTGTGATAGTGGGAACCTAGCATTAAGAACAATAATAAAATAACCCTTATACTATTTATTTTTTAGCTTTGTGTAGGTATTGTGAGTCGAACTGTGCTAGTGTACCGGGCTTTAATACACCTGAACCAACCACGCCAGAGCCTACCACACCTGAACCAACCACGCCAGAGCCAACAACACTAGAACCAACCACACCGGAACCAACTACTCCAGAACCAACCACACCGGAACCAACTACTCCAGAACCAACCACACCGGAACCAACTACTCCAGAACCAACCACCCCGGAACCAACTACTCCAGAACCAACCACACCGGAACCAACTACTCCAGAACCAACCACACCGGAACCAACTACTCCGGAGCCAACAACACCGGAACCAACAACACTAGAAGCTACAACGCCGGAACCAACTACTCCAGAACCAACCACCCCGGAACCAACTACTCCAGCACCAACCACCCCGGAACCAACTACTCCAGAACCAACCACCCCGGAACCAACTACTCCAGAACCAACAACCCCGGAACCAACTACTCCGGAACCAACCACCCCGGAACCAACTACTCCAGAACCAACCACCCCGGAACCAACAACACTAGAAGCTACAACGCCGGAACCAACTACCCCAGAGCCAACTACATCAGAACCAACCACGCCGGAACCAACAACACTAGAAGCTACAACGCCGGAACCAAGCACGCAGGAGCCAACTACTTCGGAGCCAACCACACCGGAACCAACTACTCCAGAACCAACCACACCGGAACCAACTACTCCAGAAGCAACCACACCGGAACCAACTACTCCGGAACCAACAACACCGGAACCAACAACACTAGAAGCTACAACGCCGGAACCAACTACTCCAGAACCAACCACCCCGGAACCAACAACACTAGAAGCTACAACACCGGAACCAACTACCCCAGAGCCAACTACATCAGAACCAACCACGCCGGAACCAACAACACTAGAAGCTACAACGCCGGAACCAACCACGCCGGAACCAACTACTTCGGAGCCAACCACACCAGAACCAACCACTCCAGAGCCAACTACGCCAGAACCTACCACGCCGGAACCAACCACACCGGAGCCAACCACACCGGAACCAACTACTCCAGAGCCAACTACCCAAGCAATTGAGCAGTTTGATGATCCAGAACAACAGCGGTGCGCGGTCCTGGGTAAGTGATATATTTATATCGTTATAAATAATCTCGAAAAGTTCATCTTCTACACACATTAAAGGAGCTAAATCGCTAATATTTGGAGCCTAGAAATTGACACAAATGGGTTGAAACGCATATAATAATGTAATATGAATGTATATAAACTGATTTACATTCAATCGTTTCCGTTTTTACTCTAATTTCAAATCACGTTATCTCCGGCGAAATACGCCAGAAGTCTCAATCGAATGGCAATCTCTAGCGTTTGGTTATTTCAGTTCTACTAATAGTATTTATTGCGCATGCTCTCCAGATAAGAATATGACTTGTGGAATATGTCTAGCCCCGTTCTTCGAGTCCCTTGTTACAAATGGTGCTGAAACGCATTCGTGAAATGAAAAAAAAAATTAAATGAAATGGGGTTTGAAGACCTACCTTTCTGCTCCGGACTGGGCTACACGATTCGTGTACCAATGGTAAAATGTTTATTTTGTCTTAAATATTGGATATCATAAGACGGGCATACATCATACAGTGTGCTATGAGGGAAATTATGCCCTGACAGCGCGCTACGACCTACTCTTATATCGCATTCGAACTGCCAAGTGATCCTTTACGTGCACGCCAAATTGTACACGGGATCTCGATTTTTCGTCCCATCCGAACGACTAGACAACTGTCCTTGTCAGGCCCTCCGTCCCGCACCACTGACAAGGGGAAACCACGCCGAAAAATCCCGATGAACCTTCTCGGCCAACACCGGAAGCGAACCCGCGACCGCCAGGCTACCGAGTCAGCGTCTTACCCACTTGGTCACCGTGGTTTCCAAAGTGGTTTCGATTTTTTCCAAAACCATATAGTATGTAATAATAACATAGTTTTTCTTTTTCTTTCTTTTTTTTTCTTTAGCTTCCGCTCCGGATATGTGTATGATTCCATCAGTAATGGATGGGTGTTGTGCGTGTCCAGATCTTTATCCAACTTTACCTAACTGCCCAACAACAACACCGCCGCCCACTACAACACCGATGCCAACTACAACTACAGCGCCGCCTACCACAACACCATCGTTTTGTCCTGTTTTTGGTGAGGTTCTATTTTCTTCTTTTATATATTTAGTCTCGGACACCCAGAAGACTAGGTTACACCATCGTTTTGTCCTGTTTTTGGTGAGGTTCTATTTTCTTCTTTTATATATTTAGTCTCGGACACCCAGAAGACTAGGTTACACCATCGTTTTGTCCTCTTTTTGGCGAGGTTGTGTTTTCTTCTTCTATATATTTAATCTCGGACAACCAGAAGACTAGGTTAAGGCATCGTTTTGTCCTGTTTTTGGCGAGACTTGATTTTCTTCTTTTATATATGTTTAGTCTCGGACTCCCAGAAGACTAGGTTACGAATGTAAAGATTTATCTAAAGCCAAGGAAGAGTTGCGCCCCCTGTCGAAATAAATCCCACATAATAAATAAACATGAATCGTAACGACTAATTAAGATTAATCAATGAGGAGAGAAATTTTACAATAAAATTTTTAGGAGTGTTGGACATTGAACAGGCAATGCAAACAGATTTTTCGGAAATGGCAATTCTTAAATTAATTTCATGGGCGCCGACATCTTGTTTTAAGGCTATTTACCCCCCCCCCCCTTATTATACTCTCTGGCTGATAAAAGTAGAGTGTGTGTACACGATAACTTAGCCAATGACCCATTTTTTCTGAAATATGAAAGACCTTCCACATTATTCGTAGATATCTGTCTGAATCACGGAGATTATTATATATTCAGTTTTAGCTGTGAGCAATTTTGATACCTAAATCTCTATTTTTTGATACCTAGAAATGGACACGAATGGGTCTCAACGCATATAGTAATGTAGTATGAATGTATATAAACTGATTTACATTCAATCGTTTCTGTTTTTACTATAATTTCTAATCAGTTATGTACGGCGAAATGACAGTCTTTGGCGTCTGGGTATTCCAGTCTACACCGGTAGTATTCTCCTGTGGGATATGGTTAGTCTCTTTCATCGAGACGCTTTATTACAAGCATTCTTGCGGGCGATTCGTGTTCCAATTGTCTTAAATATTGGATTTCACGAGCCCACGTTTGTTTGGCGTTATTTCGATGAACGTAGGAAAAGAAATTAAGCTCTGTGCGAGCTGGAGAGAGTCTGGACACGTGCTTGATCGTATATTTCATTTTACTTATATACGCGAATTTAATGACCCTGTCTGTCACGCGTCAACGATAGGTCTGCCTTAATAACTTGGATGCATAAATTCTCCTTGAAATTAACGATTTAGCAATCGAAACAAATATGAAGTGTGCCAGACATGATTAGCTATCTTTGCATTCGTCTTTACCTGCAGACATTCATCGTGAGATGGGTCTAGACAATAGTGAACAGTTGCTTAGTAAATTATTTTAAGAAAATTGTATATTTTAGTGGAAAGTAAATAATGTAGTTCATTTGATTTATTAACAGAGCAATACAAGGATGCGATGTGCGTTGGTACACTACTTGATGCTTGCTGTGAATGTCCGAATCTGGTTGATGGCTTAAACTGTCAACCTGAAACAACAGCAGCTGCCACTACTCCACTAGCAACAACAGCAGCAGCTACAACTCTAACAGAAACTACTCCAGAAGCTACAACACTAGCAGCAACAACTGTAACTGATACAACACCCGTAGACACAACTACTCCAGCAGCAACAACGCCAGTCGCAACTACTCTACCAGCTACTTCTCCTGCAGCTACAACGCCAGCAGAAGCAGACCCGACTACTGTAGTAACTACGACGGTACCCACAGTTCCAACTACTCCAGCTGCATCAACACCGGCAGAAACTACTCCAGCAGCTACAACACTAGCAGCAACAACCGCAGCTGATACAACACCCGATGCTACAACACCAGCAGCACCCACGCCAGCAGAAACCACTGCAGCTGATACAACACCGACAGAAACTACTCCAGCAGCTACAACACTAGCAGCAACAACTGTAGCTGATACAACACCCGCTGCTACAACACCAGCAGCAACAACGCCAGCAGAAACAACTGTAGCTGATACAACACTAGCAGCGACAACTGCAGCTGATACAACATCCGCTGCTACAACACCGGTAGGAACAACGCCAGCCACAACCACCCCCGCAGCTACAACACTAGCAGAAACTACTCCAGCAGCCACAACGCTGGTACCAACTACTCCAGCTGCATCAACACCGGCAGAAACTACTCCAGCAGCTACAACACTAGCAGCAACAACTCTCGCTGCTACAACACCAGCAGCAACAACGCCAGCAGAAACCACTGCAGCTGATACAACACCGACAGAAACTACTCCAGCAGCTACAACAGTAGCAGCAACAACTGCAGCTGATACAACACCAGCTGATACAACACCAGCAGCAACAACGCCGGCAGAAACAACTGTAGCTGATACAACTGTAGCTGATACAACACTAGCAGCGACAACTGCAGCTGATACAACATCCGCTGCTACAACACCGGCAGGAACAACGCCAGCAGCAACCACCCCCTTAGCTACAACACTAGCAGAAACTACTCCAGCAGCCACAACACTGGTACCAACGACACCGACCGCAACTACTCCAGCTGCATCAACACCGGCAGAAACTACTCCAGCAGCTACAACACTAGCAGCAACAACCGATGCTACAACACCAGCAGCACCCACGCCAGCAGAAACCACTGCAGCTGATACAACACCGGCAGAAACTACTCCAGCAGCTACAACACTAGCAGCAACAACAACCGCAGCTGATACAACACACGATGCTACAACACCAGCAGCACCCACGCCAGCAGAAACCACCGCAGCTGATACAACACCGGCAGAAACTACTCCAGCAGCTACAACACTAGCAGCAACAACTGCAGCTGATACAACACCCGCTGCTACAACACCAGCAGCAACAACGCCAGCAGAAACCACTGCAGCTGATACAACCCCAGCAGAAACTACCCCACCAGCCACAACTTTAGCAGAAACTACTCCAGCAGCTACAACACTAGCAGCAACAACATCAGCAGAAACCACTGAAGCTGATACAACACCTGCAGCAACAACGCTAGAAGAAACTACTCCAGCAGCTACGACACCCGCCGCAACTACTGCAGCAGCTACAATACCACCAACTCTCCCTGTAGTAAATACTTTATGCGAAGGACTAGGTAAGCAATATGGGAAAAACTAAATCAGAATCAATCAATTGATTCGCCCTGCACGAATTTATGAGAATCGAGTGCCCTTTAGGGACGGTGATAATGCAGTGTAACATAACTCGTTAAATTCAACCAGAACACATTCTAGTTGCAAATGTGGCTTCTTTTTAATGGCCGAAAACATAAACTACAGACCTGGTCTCCGTCGCTACTGATGTCATCCCCGCCCCCCGTGTACTCGTTGGCTTACACATAAAAGTTACCGTGGCAGTAGAAACCCGATTAAGTGTAGACGAAAACGCCGGTATCCGTGCAAAATTTCCGTCATTAGCCCACTTGGTGCAGAACAGAAGTCAGTTTAATCACATTTCAAATCATCTAATATTTCTAAATATTCAATTTTGAAAGGAAAGGGGGGGGGGGTCTACTTAAAAGTATATGACGACGTTATTTTCTATTAATGCAATACAAAATAATGTATTTTCATGAATAACCCAGATATGGGAGCGGTAACGGAAATCACTATGTAATTTAATATCTCTGATACATTTTGTGGGGCTGTTGCCGTTGATGCATATAGCACTGTGTATTTTGAATATTCCATTAGGTTACTACATATGCAAACAAGAACTGCGACAAAAATAACATCCTTGTTGAAAGCTCGGCAGTCCGCCAGTAGTCATATGATTTATGTACAATTTATATTTTTCATGTGTGGGTTCAGCTGTATACCCAGAAGTTTTATGTGCTAATGAAGACATTAAAGTGGAATGCTGTAAATGTCCTGATCTGATGGACTTGCCCGAAGTTGGCTGTACAGCCACAACACCCACAGGGACAGCAACAACGCCAGCTGCAACAACGCTAGCAGAAACTACCCCAGCAGCGGCTACAACAGCAGCAGAAACAACACCGGCAGAAACTACTCCAGCTGATACAACACCAGCAGCAACAACACCAGAAGAAACTACTCCATCAGCCACAACTCTAGCAGAAACTACTCCAGTAGCTACAACACTAGCAGGAACAACGCCAGCAGAAACCCCTGCAGCTGATACAACACCTGTAGAAACTACTCCAGCAGAAACTACTCCAGCAGCTACAACACTAGCAGCTACAACACTAGCAGCAACAACTGCAGCTGAAACAACACCCGCTGCTACAACACCAGCAGCAACAACGCCAGCAGAAACCACTGCAGCTGATCCAACACCAGCAGAAACAACGCTAGCAAAAACTACTCCAGCAGTGGCTACAACAGAAGCAGAAACAACACCGGCAGAAACTACTCCAGTTGATACAACACCAGCAGCAACAACACCAGCAGAAACTACTCCATCAGCCACAACTCTAGCAGAAACTACTCCAGCAGCTACAACACCAGCAGCAAATACACCAACAGAAACCACTGCAGCTGATACAACACTAGCAGCAACAACTGCAGCTGGAACAACACCCGTTGCTACAACGCCAGCTACAACAACGCCAGCTGAAACAACACCCGTTGCTACAACGCCAGCAGCAACAACACCAGCAGAAACCACTGCAGCTGATACAACACCAGCAGAAACTACTCCAGCAGAAACTACTCCGGCAGCTACAACACTAGCAGCAACAACTGCAGCTGAAACAACACCCGCTGCTACAACAGCAGCAGAAACCACTGCAGCTGATACAACACCAGCAGAAACTACTCCGGCAGCTACAACACTAGCAGCAACAACTGCAGCTGAAACAACGCCTGCTGCTACAACACCAGCAGCAACAACGCCAGATGAAACAACACCCGTTGCTACAACGCCAGCAGCAACAACACCAGCAGAAACCACTGCAGCTGATACAACACCAGCAGAAACTACTCCAGCAGAAACTACTCCGGCAGCTACAACACTAGCAGCAACAACTGCAGCTGAAACAACACCCGCTGCTACAACAGCAGCAGCAACAACGCCAGCTGAAACCACTGCAGCTGATACAACACCAGTGGAAACTACTCCAGCAGCCACAACACTAGCAGCAACAACTGCAGCTGAAACAACACCCGCTGCTACAACACCAGCAGCAACAACTCCAGCTGAAACCACTGCAGCTGATACAACACCAGCGGAAACTACTCTAGCAGAAACTACTCCAGCAGCCACAACTCTAGCAGCAACAACAGCAGCTGATACAACACCGGTAGAAACTACTCCAGCAGAAACTACTCCTGCAGCTACAACACCAGCAGAAACTACTCCGGCCGCCACAACTGCAGCCGATACAACACCAGCTACTACAACGCCTGTTCCTAATAGTAAGTGGGTGTGGTATTTTTCATAATATTTCGTCATTATAAGAGTTGAGACATGAGACTGACCAATACCACCTGATAACACTTTTCAGTCAAAGATTTAAAAATGTTAAAGATACGTTATGTAAGAGCTAGTATTCCTATTGCATGTCTTTATTTTGGCTCCCGGTGTTCTATAAATTATTTTAGACATTTATGAACATGACAAGTCCGTTATTTACTCTTTAGACCATAAGATGACCGAGATTAATAGATTAGAACGACCGCTAGATTTAAAAATTTAACGATATAATTGATAATCGAGACTTAGTCTCGTTTGTCCATGCCGTCGTTACGATAATAAATAATCTACACTACATCTTCAATTACCCATAACTTCGCTCAGAATAAAGTAATTTGAATGAAATTTTCAATATATTCATTTCCCATTATCTATTATAAGCAAGAAAGGCCAGTTCGTTATCTAAATAGTATATAATGCTTCACATTTATATTTAAAGTTTACAGAAGGGAAAATTCAATTTATGCCTTTGGGGTGCTTATTTCATTTCTTCTATGGTAGGCTATTCGATATTTTGTTTATCACGTGATGAATAAATTAACAGTCACGTGTTAAGTGTAATAGCTATCAGTTCCAAGTCAACATGAGCACTCTGAATTCAGTTGCTCTCAGTTGCTGATATGATCGACATAAGAACACTTGCAACTGATTGAAACTATTTCCTTTTGCGTTGCAAAGTCGACATATGCCCCGCTTTGAAGCAGAGAAAATTCAGTTCATTGTCATCCTCGGTTTCCTCAGTGGTCTCATTCCGTTCGACTCCACGGAATGAGACCACTGGGGAAACCGAGGATGGTTCTTTGTAGGCAGTTATATTCGATATCTCTTTATATATTTTCCAAACATCATTTTTCTATTTTCAGAATGTAAATACTCCGAATACGTAACTACCATTACCAAGAGAATAATTTCTGGTCAATCAACATTTGATAATACATATCCTGGTGTCGTCAGCTTTCAATCGGATTCATACACGGCTATTGGAACTCCTATCAAATTAACCATTTGCTCTGGAATAATTCTTGATGAAACGCACATTTTAACCACACTATCTTGTTTCCAGTTCGTGGATGCGTAAGTTAATCAATATACCATTTTACCTATATTACTTGATGGTCGTAATGGCCGAATGGTCTAACGCGTGAGCTTTAGATCATAAGGTCTGTCATTGATGGTTTCGATTTCCAGCTTGTACGTGACAAGAAATCGGGTCGCCTGTCCAACCTCGTAATGTTCAGGTATCATCCCCTACAACACGCAGTCGATTTATTGAAATAAAATTGATTGAGAGAGAGAGAGACAGACAGACAGACAGAGAGAGAGAGAGGGAGAGATGGGGTTTAACGTTCCCTCGACACAGACTAGGTCATTTCGGAACAAACACATGACTCAATTTTATCATAATAATTTGCTTGGGGGTCTTTAGCAGCGGGAGGAGAAAACCCAAGAGGTTGGATAGGCGACCCTACTCTTTGTCACGGTCACGTACAAGCTCGGAATCGAAACCACGCTACATGACACAATGACAGACCTAATGGTACAACGCAAACGCGTTAACCATTCGGCCACTCAAACCCCCTTGTTAGTTCGAAATGACATAGTTTGTGTCGAGTGACCGTTACTCAACACCCCACCCCCTCTTTCTCTCTGATAATCATTTAGACATTTAAAGATACATTATGTAGGATTTAGATAAAGAACTAGCCATTCTTGCTATAATAGTTCGAAAGTAGATGATGTAAAATGAATAATTTGAAAATTTCATTCAAATTACTCTATTGCAGGCGAAGATATTAGCCTTTGAAGGTTTGACAGACGTGTGCAATAATTTCAACCACCGTACTGGTTGATCGAAGCTAAGTCTCGGTCCTCCATATTTGATTAAATCAAAGTATCGCTGAACCATTCTAATCTATTTAATATCGGAGAAATCTGATGCTATCGAGAGTTGATTAAGGCCTGGATCAGTTAATTAATGTCTAATTAATACTTTAGAAAACATTTCAAGCCTAAAGAAAGACCTGCAATAGGCAGATTTAGCTCTTGCATAATGCATGTTTAATTGTCTCAAAATGACCGAGGTGTTGTGTTGACGAGATATATGGTACCTGTGTGATTTCGAGGATGGAGAGATTTGCTCGGGCATTGGCGTTTCCGGCTTCCCCTTCTTCGGTTTATTGTACTTCGGTTTACTGTAACTACCGAACGACTAGCTCTGACAGGTGAAAACCTGGCTTGGAAAATCCCAAAGGTTCTTCTCGGATTCGTAGTCGTTCGGATAGAACGGAAATTCGAGGTCCCCATGTACACATTGGCGTGCACGTTAAAGCTCCCTTGCCAGTTAGAATTCGATATAAGAGTAAGCCATAGCACTGCTGTCCAGGCTGTGCGCCCTGCATGATAAGGTCTGTCATTCAGTCAACTGGCGTGGTTTCGATTCCTCGGTTGTACGTGATAAGGAGTAGGGTCGCCTGTCCAACCGCGTGGGTTTTCTCCGCGTCCTCCGATTCCCTCCAACTGCTAAAGACCTCTACGTGCAAGCGAATTATTGAAAATAAAATTGAACCATATGTTAGTCCTAAAATGACCTAGTTGGTGTCGAGTGGACGTTAAACTAAAACAATGGTATGCTGCGATCGCCGACGGACAATGATTTGGGAATATTTTAACCTCTTTCTATACAACATAGTTTATATATTTCAGGATGGCCGATTTTTCATCTGCAGAAGCTGTCATATCAGAAACTGATACTAGCAGTACAAGTGGAGCTGAACAGACGATTCCATTAACCTACCCAATCCCAAATGAAACCACTGGGGGTTAGTAGATGAGTAGAAATGAAAATAGAATGAAATGAAGTTTAAAGTGCTACTGTTCTGCTCCGAACTGGGATAATAAAGACGAGCATACGCCATACAGTGTGCTATGAGGGAAATTTTGCCCGGACAGTGGCGCCACGGTCTACTCTTATTTCGAATTCCAACTGCCTGAAATTAGACGATAGCACGGCATTAACAAATTTTGAATCTAATGTACCGTCATGCGAGGGGAGGGGGTGGCCGAATGGTTAGTACTTGCGCGCTGTATCATAAGGCCTGTCATTAAGTCAACTGGCATGGTTTCGTATCCCCGGTTGTACGTGACCAGGAGTAGGGTCGCCTGTCCAACCTCGTGGGTTTTCTCAGGGTCCTCCGGTTTCCCCCCACTGCTAAAAGCCTCTACGCGCAAGCGAATTAATGAAATGAAATTGAACAATGTGTTAGTCACGAAATGACCTAGTTTGTGTCGAGTGGACGTTAAACCCTATTTCTCTCTCTCTCTCTCTCTCTTTCTCTCTCTCTATACCGCCATGCGTGGCGGCATTGTCCGATCTGTTGTGTTGTACTATAAATATATGTTTCAGATATGGTGGTCATGACGCTGGATACGCCAATTGACATCAACAGCGTGTCGTCAGCTCCTGCATGTGTTATAAACGACAACATGGCGATTGATGAAACTTCGTGTCAAGTGCTTGGTTTTGGTAATATGTATACTTCATGTAAGTAACGGTTATTTTTTCAAAATAAAATCCCAAGATAGGATACAACAACCGCTCCATTAAAAATATTTGAAACTAACTGGCGTATATTTTAACCTATTTTTTTACGCTCACATTTTTATGGGGACGTATATTGTCGTCGCCCATGTGCATCCGTCCGTACGTCCGTCCACAATTTGGTTGTGGATACTCTACAAGTCACAATTTTTATCCGATTTTGACGAAACTTGAAATATAGATCTATTTCCCAACGATCCTGATTCCTCTCTATATTGGCATGTATCGGACCATAAATTCATGAAATATGACCCCTGATGGCACGAAAAATCACGATTTTAGCTTGTGGAGGTGACAATTTCTATCTAAGTTTAATGAAACTTGAAGCGTATGTTTATAACCCAAAGATCTTGTTTCCTTTCGATATTCGCGCATATCGAATCGTAACTTCCTGAATCATGTCCCCAGATTGTACGAAAAATCGTGGTTTTTTTTTTTTAGCTTGTGTATTTTCTAGAGGTCACAAATTTTTATCCGATTTTAAAAACCATTCCACCATAATGAAGATTGAATTCGAATTTCGGGGAAATCGAAAGAAAATCGAGTTTGATGAAACTTAAAATATATCTTTATATCCCAAAGATTTCAGTTCTTGTCGATATTTGCGCATTTCAGTTCATAACATTCTGGATTATAGCCCCTGATTGTACAAAAAATCCCCTTTGTTTTTAGCTTGTTCTCTATCTATCTCTTGCAAAATGTGGGCGTATCGTGCCTGACAACCGCTGGTGTCACATTCCTTTGAACGGTGATATGTTAATTCTAGTGCTAGCCTCTCCATTCCACGTCAGAAATATCTACAAAACTATTGAGATATATTAGCAATAAGGGCCGGATTTGCCAACAGACATAGTAGGTCATTGGCCTAGGACCCCTGGTCATCTGGGGGACCACTGAAACTTATGAGTTTGGCCTAGGGCCCACGGACATCTGGGGGACCACTAAAACTAATGAGTTTGATTTAGGGCCTACAAGTATGAAAAACCGTCCCTGTTACCAATATAAATTATTCGGATAAGTATTAATACATCGAGGAACTGTTTAATAATCGGACATTGTATATGAAATAAACAAACTATGCATATAAGCTGAGTTGTAAAGGTCCGTCATATTAACTTTGTTAGGAATTTTATTTTAATCCCTTCAAGTGCCTGTGGGCAGGTCCGGCATTTTAAGTCGACCATTAACTGTTCCCATTGTTCTATTTCAGTTCCCTCAACCAGTTTAAGAGCTGGAGATGTTACTTTAGTTGCAAGTTGTTCTACGGACGCAGTTTGCGCAACAAGCACCGGAAGTGTGGGATGCACGGTATGTAGAATGTCGGTTCAAATGGGGTTTAACGTCCTCAGTTACTGCTCCGACTAGGCTAATGAAGACGGGTATGAAACTTTGTCCGGACAGAGGTACAGCCGTCTACTCTTATTTCTAGTCTGTGTCGAGTGGACATTACCCCCTCCCCCCTTCTCTCTCTCTCTCTCTCTCTCCATCTCTCTCTCTCCCCCTCTCTCTCTCTCTCCCCCTCTCTCTCTCTCTCTCTCTCTCTCTCCATCTCTCTCTCTAGTGTGCTATAGTGGCACTACCCGTGGCCTACACCTATATTTTATTCCAACTTCTAAGGGTCTTTTACGTGCTCACCATCGAGTACATGGAACCTCGGCTTTTCGTCCCATCCGAAAAGACCCTCCTCCGTCCTGCAACACTGTCAAGGGGACATCACGCTGTATCCAACGTCGTGGGTAGCCCCTCTCTCTCTCCCTTCCCTCTCTCTCTCTCTGAAGCGTACTGCCTCAAGGTCATAAATATTAAACCCCATTTGATTTGATCTCTAAAACACGTGAAAAAGGGTTTTATAGGTGTTTTGCCGAATAGAGTATCGCAGACGAGACAAAATGAAATGAAATGAAATGAAATAGAGTTTAGCGTCCTACTGTTCTGCTCCGACTGGTCTAATGAAGAAGAGCATGAGCCATACAATGTGCTATGGGGGAGATTTTGCCCGGGCAGTGGCACTATGGCCTATTCTTATATCAAATTCCAACTACCAAGGGATCTTTTACGTGCACGCCAATGTATTCATGGGACCTCAAACTGTCCTTGTCAGGCCCCCCGTCCTGCAAGGGGAAACCGCGCCGATGAACTTACTCGGCCAATGCAGGGATCGAACACCCGATCTCCATCGTCTTACCCATTTAGCCACCGTGGCGTCCGCAGACGAGAAAGCGGGTCATTAGTGACAGATAATCCTTGGTGTAAACATGCCTTAAAGATACAGTATGGAAGATTAGATAAAGAGCTGACAGTTCTCACTATAATAGTTAAAAACTAGATCATGTAAAGGGATTATGCTGAAAATTTCAGTCAAATTGATCCACTCTGAACTGAGTTTTTGGCGATTGAATTTTGGACCTAGCCTCGATCATCATTACTAAAGTATGTACGATAAAAAACATAGTCTCGATTATCCATTTTTTGATCTAATCAGAAGCAGTAGACTGGGTTGTAATCCACTAAATATCGCAGGCTAGCGATGCCATCGAGAGTTGATTATGGTCTGGATAATCTAATTAATGTCTAATTAATAATTAAGATAACATTTCAGGCCTAAAGAAAGACCTGCAATAGGCAGATTTAGCTCTTGCATAATGTATGCTTAAGGCCATGACTTTTGTCTTGGAATGTTATCCATTTGAGTTTCTTTTGCTGCTAAAGTTTCGAAATTCATTTCTGTGTTGTGTTATTTTTAGGGCGATGATGGTGGACCAATAATGTGTCGTGAGAAAGAAACTGGGGAATATGTAACTGTGGGGTTGATGACGTCAACTGATTGTGACGAAACTCTTCCACAGACAATTTACAGTTTAATGCCCGGTCTGCAATACAATGATATCGCTAAGAGTTACCCTTATTATGACATCACAGCATAAAGTTAATATAACTGAGGACAGTATTTATCACAACTCGTGATGTTAAAATATAAAACTATAATATGATATAAATATATATTCTTGCAGACAGACTTTTAGTTCGTTGTTTTCTTTTTTGGGGGGGGGGGGGGGCGGATCGGGGGTGTTTGGGCTTCCCATGAACAGTAGTTGCCTTAACGTGACTGGAGTAATCTTCACAGCTTGACCGAAAAATAATCTCATATGAATCATTACGTTTACACGAAAATTACTATATCTGGATTAATGTTAAAGATACATTATGTAAGATTTATATAAAGAGCTAGCCATTCTTGGTATAATAGTTCGAAAATAGATAATGTAAAACGAATAATTTGAAAATTTCATTCAAATTACTCTATTGCGAGCGAAGATATTAGCCTTTGAAGGTTTGACAAGACATGTGCAATAATTTCAACCACCGTACTGGTTGTTCGAAGCTAAGTCTCACTCCTCCATTTTTAGATTAAATCAAAATATGTCTGAACCGTTCTAACCTATTTAATATCGGAGAAATCCGATGCCATCGAGAGTTGATTATGGCCTGGATCAGTTAATTAATGTCTCATTAATAATTTAGAAAACATTTCAGGCCTAAAGAAAGACCTGCGATAGGCAAATTTAGCTCTTGCATAATGTATGTTTAATGCCAAATGGCTATATCTCGAATGTCAAATAGACGAGGTGTCATGTAATTATATCGACTATTGAACTCTTAGGGGCGTAGACAGGCTCCAGCATTAGGGCGAACGTGCATATAAAAAAGCGCCATGACAGGTACTAAATAATTTTCAAATCATTATAAATTTATATTTTGTTTTGAAAATCAAAACACAAGGTTGGTAGAATAATGTAATACTTCCAGAAAGTTCTTCAAAGCAGGGCCTGATTCACCATGAGCATAGTAGGCCATTGGCCTAGTTACCACGGATATCTGTTGTTGGGGGTGGGGGGGACTGAAACTAACCTTGTTTCAAGTATACACCGGGTATTTCATTATAAGTATGGGGGCAGGGATTTTTTTTAGGAATTTTTGAGCGCTTGGCAGGAACTCGCTGTATAGTTATTGTCCCGTTAGGTTCTATGATAACTAAACCTGTATAGTGGACTATGGTTTTTTTACGGCATAACTTTTACAACATAAGATTGAGTAGCACTAGTGTGCGCCTATTAGTATGGTGGCTGTTAGCGGCCATCCAAGTGAATCTAAGTCGTCGCCTTGTGAAGAAGTCGACAAGTCGACAAAATCAACCCGTCAACACGACAAAATAACCCGACGATCGTCGCCTTCATTTCGTCGACTTGTCGGGTCAATTCTGTCGACTTGTCGACTTGTCGCCTTCGACTTATTCACAACCCGACAAGTCGACAAAATACAATCATTTCGACATGTCGTGCGGCGACTTGTCGCCTCGGAAGTCAAACTCGAGCTTGCGCATTTGCTGATTGGATAACTTGCATGCGCACAGATTAACTGTATTTTGTCGACTTGTCGGGTTGTGAAAAATCGACAGAAATGACCCGACAAGTCTTTAGCAGTGGGAGGAAAACGAAGGACCAGGAGAAAACCCACTAGGTTTGACAGGCGACCCTACTGCTTGCCACGTACAAACAACCGGGGACTCGAAACTATACGCCAATTGACTCAATGACAGACCTTATGATACAGCGCGCACATGCTAACCATTCGGCCACCCCCCCCCCCCTTAATGGCCTCACTTAACCTTACTTTTGTCGCATATCACCCCCTTTGATCTTGTTGTCCTGTATGGTCTTATGAATTGTTGTTATAGTTTTTCTGTATATATTGACCTCATAATTTTTGTATTATAAAATCGCTGTGGTGAGAAGAGATGGCGGGTCGTCTTCTCTCTTTGTCATAATAAAAAAACCAAATCAAAATGTGTATTCAGGTGACTTTTTGATTTACAAGGACCTTTTTATTTTTGTGTTTTTACCGATTTTCAACCCTTTAAGTGTAAATAATTTAATTAAATCAACCTGTCCATAGTATCATATTTATTGTATTGGACGTTAAATCTGTAATAAACAACTACATCATTTGTATTACTGTATTACCTTGATAACGTTGAGAGAATACTTTTCGAAATTTCGCCCAAATAAATTAATAGCTGTTTTTTCCATAAGTCGGGGGGGGGGGGGGGGATGGTTAGCGTGTGCGCGTTATATCATAAGGTCTGTCATTGAGTTAACTGGCGTGGTTTTCAATCCCGGGTTGTACGTGACAAGGAGTAGGGTCGCCTGTCAACTTCGTGGGTTTCCTCTGGGTCCTCCGGTTTTCCTGCCACTGCTAAAGACCCCTTCACGCAAGCGAATTATGGAAAGAAAATTGAACCATATATTAGTCCCGAAATGACCTAGTTTGTATAGAGTGGACGTTAAACTCCATTTCTCTGTCTCTCTGTCTCTCTCTCTCTCTCTCTTACATAATGTACCTTTAACAACGTTTATGAGTCTTGCTGAACGTGGATAAATATAACCCTTGTAGTCAACGTCCAGTCTAATAATACAGAATAAGGAGTGGTGGACATGATTTGTTTAAATTAGTATCCAAACATATTCACCTGACAACAAAGTAACAATCATTATTTTAAATTCAGTAATTACTATAGGAATATGCACGTCCACAAACAATGCATATTATTGTTAGGCTGTTTTCCTTTACGCACTGTTCCCATTAATCGAAGTTTTGGGTGTTTTCTTTGTTATTCGTTTTCCTTTTCAATATTGTTCCCAAGAAACACGGGTGGCCATATTGTTTTTATTTTTTAATTTTTAAGTTTGTGTTTTCAACAAAAAATACATCCCAGATGCCAGGTGTTTATTACGTGTAGGTAATTTGTGTCTATTCAGCTGGGGTATTTTGAAGGTGATAAGTATATAAATTCAACTAAATCTATCGAATAATGTAGAATAGTCCATCGTATTCAACCAAAATGAATTCTGCAATTACTTGTTTGGTTGTACTCGCGTCTCTGTTCTGTGTGGGATCTGCAATTTCATATTGCGGTAAGCTTTTTTATTTATTTCATTTTTTTTTTTTTTTCATTTCTTTTTTTATTTAATTCATTTTTTTTCTTTCATTATAATATTTAAATTTTTTATCTGCACGAGCTGATATATGTTTAATACAAAACAGCAAATATCTGACCGGCTTTCAACGTCCGATTCGACAGATGGGTGAAAATATTTCAACCACAAAATATCTCAAATTTATACCATTTTATACTTCGAAATACCGCCAAGACGCACAATAAATTTGGGGATTTTGGAGGCTAAAGCGTAAAATTATAAATCGCAGCAAATTCTGCGATTCATGTCTATAGTTTCAATGACATTTAGTAATTGAACTGGAATATCCAGGGACCCGTTTCACCAAATTTTAAGTAAAATAAAATCAAAATTTTAGTAATTGGATTGGATAATATTACATTGATTTTAGTGCGAAGCCAATCAAAATTGAAGTATCTACTAAAATTTGGATTTTATCTTTAGTTAAAATTTCGTGAAACTGACCCCTGGGTCGAAATTCTATGGAATACAATTACTGATTATTACTGAGTTACATTTAGACAAGGATTCTCTAGTCTTTGCAAATTGTATTATATCATCATGTTTCCGCAGCCATTTTGAAAAGAGGGCAGGTACCAAGTGAAAAATCCATTTTAGAAATTATTTTTTTGGCCAATTATTCTTTCATCATTTTTTGCTTCAGAAAAAAAATATGCGTTAGCCTAAACCTAACCCTAGTTTTAAAAAAAAAATTTTTTCTTCATTGTCCCATGGTATAAAGCGCTTCCTTTCCGATATATTTGACATTTTGAGTCATTTTACGGAACCATCAGCCATCTGGAAATGATTATTAATTTTCTCCCAGAACCGCATATCCGATTTTGGAAGACTTGTGGCGGTATGTTGATTAGCAGCTAACCTACAAGGCACGTTTCGTTTTTTTATAGTTCAAAATTTCGTTTTACTTGTCTTTACTACACTAAGATCTAGAAGAGTTGTTAATTAAGAAAATTGGCAATAAAAGTAAAGCTATAAATTATAAAGTACTTTTGAAAACAACATCAAAATCTGCACGTCACTTTTGTCATTTCCATGACGATGGTGGGAGGGGTGTGTGGCTAAGGTACATGTCAGGAACTACATTAAATGGTACCGCTATGGGGGAAGGGACAGTCATGTTATAAATTATGTCATTCTGCACACACAGATCCATCTACGTCATTCCTCGAGAATAGATATCTGCCCTAAATGGCCGCCATATCCAGAAATTAGTATACAGCGGTTTTGTAATGCGTTTCTACTCCTTTTCACATCTGTCATACACACAAAGACTGAATAAACCTTTTCAATTTTATTAAATGGAAGCAGAACAAATACCTATCAAAATTCTCGAAATATACTTAGTGTTTTCGACTAAAATCGTCGATTTAGGACTTAAAATGTCGGTCAACTACCTTAGTGTTTGTTTTCAAGCGGAGCTAACTGTAGACAGACAGTCTAAGTTTAGTAAGAAATTATGTAAATGACATTTTTAAGCGTATATTCATTTCGTCGTATCTTTTGTCGTTCAGTACATATTCATTTCGGCGTATCTTTTGTCGTTCAGTACATATTATTTATTTATATTTTACAGACATTTATCCCATGTTACCTGTTTGTGCAGCAAAAACAACAACAACAACAACAACAACACAAAAACCAGCATTTGATATTTGTGGTAAGTACTGAGATTCATTCATTCATTTGACTGCAGGTTGTTATATTATATATGAATAAAGTATACAATAAATAAGCGTGGCCCGAGAACAGAACCTTGTGAAATACCACGCAAAATATATTAAATCACACAAAGAGAGAGAGAGAGAGAGAGAGAGAGAGAGAGAGAGAGAGGGCGCGTTTAACATCCACTCGACGCAAACTAGGTCATTTCGGGACTAACACATGGTTCAATTTTATTTCAAAAATTCGCTTGCGCGTAGGGGTCTTTAGCATTGGGGGGAAACCGGAGGACCCGGAGAAAAGAATCACACAAAGAGCAGTGCTCTTACAGTACTTTTAAGTCTCATTGCGTCATATTGTGAAAGATGGATCTCTAATAGGAATATCAGTCCAAACTTTCATCGATCTATGCTGCTCTCTATGCAACAATCCCGTCGCCATTTTGTAGTTCGCGAACATAATTGATATACCTGCTTTTTTAATTATCTGGCGTTGGTAGTTTGATTTTGTTTGTCTAATTTTATGTTAAATAATCAATCTGAGTACATAAATGAAATGGGAGAGAGAGAGGCAGAAATGGGGCTTAACGTCCACTCGACACAAACCAGGTCATTTCGGGACTAACATAAAGATCCAATTTTATTTCAATAATTCGCTTGCGCGTAGGGGTCTTTAGTAGTGGGAGGAAACCGGAGGACCCGAAGAAAACCCACGAGGTTGGACAGTCGACCCTACGCTTTGTCACGTACAACCGGGGATTCGAAACCACGCCAGTTGACTCAATGACAGGCCGTATGAAACAGCACGCACGTGCTAACCATTCGGCCATCCAACCCCCCAAATGAAATGGGATTTAACGTCCTACTGTTCTGCTCCTATTGAGTTAATGAAGACCGGCATAAGCCATACAGTGTGCTATAAGAGAAATGTTGCCCGGACAGCGGCGCAACGGCCTACTATTATATCGAAGTCCAACTGCCAGGGGATTTTTTTTATGAGATCTTTGCCCGAGTTCACAAAGCATTCTCAGACTTAAGTTCAGAATTTACTCAACTTTCAATCACTGTTGATGGAAAAAAATCTTTGATCCAGAAACACAAAACTTTGCAAATAGTTTCTTTTTGATGTATTTGATACATTAAAACAACAAAAGTTTTATAAAGAGCTATATTTTAGTTAAGATAAGGCCAACAATTTTTAGTAAATTCTTAACTTAAGCCCGAGAATGCTTTGTGAACTCGAGGCCTTGCTTTTTTCGTCTCATCCAAAGGACTATACGCCTATGTATACACGGGTCCTCGGTTTTTCGTCCCATCCGAACGACTAGATAGCTGTCTTTGTCAGGCCCTCCGTCCTGCACCATTGACAATTTGCAGTACATAAAGGCGTGGATTAAACCATGATAAGTTTTAGCGAAACATGTAAATGACACAATGGGCCTTAAATTAGCTAATTAGCTATTTAGTAATTGATCGAGGAAGATTTTTATAATAAATAACTGAATTAGCTATCGAGTAATTTAATTGATCGATGATGGGTTTTTATGGGCCTTTAGTAAATAACTGAATTAGCTATCGAGTAATTAATCAAGGATGATTTTTTATGGACCTTTAATAAATAATTTAATTAGCTATTGAGTAATTAATTGATCGTGGATGATTTTTTTATGGACCATTAATAAATAATTTAATTAGCTATTGAGTAATTAATTGATCGAGGATGATTTTTTATGGGCTTGAATAAATAACTGAATTAGCTATCGATGATGATTTTTAATGGAACACAGTATCTTAGCAACACAGACAAATAATTATTTGTTTGTAGTAAATTATACAGCCCGAGAAAGTGTCCCCGATATATCGTCGGAATTTACGGCACGAGAGCGTGAGCGGGAAATGGTGTTTTACGTCCACTCGACACAAACGTGGTAAATTTGGACCTAATATATGGTTTAATTTTATTTTAATAATTCGCTTGCGCGTAGGGATCTTTAGCTGTGGGGTGAAACCGGTGGGACCGGAGAAAAACGCACACGAATGGACAGGCGAACCTACTGCTCCTTGTCATCTACAAGCGGGGCATCGAAACAGCGCCACTTGACTCATTGACAGACGTTATGATACGGAGAAAATCATTCGCCCACCCATCCCCCCACCCCCCTTCGCCAACCCGTTCGTTACCCAATGAGGTACGTAAGGGTAATTTAGTTCTAATATAATGTCTTTGTTTGTATTTTTACAGCTTTTCAACCTAGCCATTCGAGCTGCCAGCAAGTTGAAGTTATAGAACCCGCATATTGTAAAGTGTTTCGTAAGTTATGTATTGTTATGGTATAACAACCTCATTATGTGGCTAAGTGAAGTGAAGTGAAATGGGGTTTAACGTCCTGCTATTCTGCTCTGACTGGGCTAATGAAAACGGGCATACGCCGTACAGTGTACTATGAGGGAAATTTTGCCCGGGCAGCGGCACTACGTCCTACTCGTGTATCGAATTCCAAATGTCAGGGGATCTTTTACGTGCATGCCAATGTATACACTGGTCCTCGGTTTTTCGTCCCATCCGAATGAATAGAAATGGGGGTTTAACGTCCTACTGTTCTGCCCCGACTGGGCTAATGAAGACGGGCATACCCTTTACAGTGGGCTATGAGCGAAATTTTGCCCGGGCAGCGGCACTATGGCCTGCTCTTATATCGAATTCCAACTGCCAAGGGATCTTTTACGTACATTCCAATGCATACACGGGACTTCGGTTTTTCGTCTCAAAGCAGAACAGTAATTTACGCCGTGCGCTCAGGTTTTCTCTTGGTCTCTCGGTTCGGGCTAGCGAGCCAGCGTCTTACCCACTCAACCATCGTGGCTCCCGTTTCGATACGATCAACACGGTTGCTTCGACTAAGCTAAATATATGATAAGACCTGATAGGATCATCACGATTACTCCAACCAAAATTAAAACCACGATCTCAAACACAGCACGAATTGTGATAGTGGGAACCTAGCATTAAGAACAATAATAAAATAACCCTTATACTGTTTATTTTTTAGCTTTGTGTAGGTATTGTGAGTCGAACTGTGCTAGTGTACCGGGCTTTAATACACCTGAACCAACCACGCCAGAGCCTACCACACCTGAACCAACCACGCCAGAGGCTACCACACCTGAACCAACCACGCCAGAGCCAACAACACTAGAACCAACCACACCGGAACCAACTACTCCAGAACCAACCACACCGGAACCAACTACTCCAGAACCAACCACCCGGGAACCAACTACTCCAGAACCAACCACCCCGGAGACAACTACACCAGAACCAACCACGCCGGAACCAACTACTCCGGAGCCAACAACACCGGAACCAACAACACTGGAACCAACAACACTAGAAGCTACAACGCCGGAACCAACTACTCCAGAACCAACCACACCGGAACCAACTACTCCAGAACCAACCACACCGGAACCAACTACTCCAGAACCAACCACACCGGAACCAACTACTCCGGAGCCAACAACACTGGAACCAACAACACCGGAACCAACAACACTAGAAGCTACAACGCCGGAACCAACTACTCCAGAACCAACCACACCGGAACCAACTACTCCAGAACCAACCACACCGGAACCAACTACTCCAGAACCAACCACACCGGAACCAACTACTCCAGAACCAACCACACCGGAACCAACTACTCCAGAACCAACCACACCGGAACCAACTACTCCGGAGCCAACAACACCGGAACCAACAACACCGGAACCAACAACACTAGAAGCTACAACGCCGGAACCAACAACACTAGAAGCTACAACGCCGGAACCAACTACTCCAGAACCAACCACCCCGGAACCAACTACTCCAGAACCAACCACCCCGGAACCAACTACTCCAGAACCAACCACCCCGGAACCAACTACTCCAGAACCAACCACCCCGGAACCAACTACTCCAGAACCAACCACCCCGGAACCAACAACACTAGAAGCTACAACGCCGGAACCAACTACCCCAGAGCCAACTACATCAGAACCAACCACGCCGGAACCAACAACACTAGAAGCTACAACGCCGGAACCAACCACGCAGGAACCAACTACTTCGGAGCCAACCACACCGGAACCAACTACTCCAGAACCAACCACACCGGAACCAACTACTCCAGAACCAACCACACCGGAACCAACTACTCCGGAGCCAACAACACCGGAACCAACAACACTAGAAGCTACAACGCCGGAACCAACTACTCCAGAACCAACCACCCCGGAACCAACTACTCCAGAACCAACCACCCCGGAACCAACAACACTAGAAGCTACAACGCCGGAACTAACTACCCCAGAGCCAACTACATCAGAACCAACCACGCCGGAACCAACAACACTAGAAGCTACAACGCCGGAACCAACCACGCCGGAACCAACTACTTGGGAGCCAACCACACCAGAACCAACCACTCCAGAGCCAACTACGCCAGAACCTACCACGCCGGAACCAACCACACCGGAGCCAACCACACCGGAACCAACTACTCCAGAGCCAACTACCCAAGCAATTGAGCAGTTTGATGATCCAGAACAACAGCGGTGCGCGGTCTTGGGTAAGTGATATATTTATATCGTTATAAATAATCTCGAAAAGTTCATCTTCTACACACATGAAAGGAGCTAAATCGCTAATATTTGGAGCCTAGAAATTGACACAAATGGGTTGAAACGCATATAATAATGTAATATGAATGTATATAAACTGATTTACATTCAATCGTTTCCGTTTTTACTCTAATTTCAAATCACGTTATGTTTGGCGAAATACGCCAGAAGTCTCAATCGAATGGCAATCTCTACTAATAGTATTTATTGCGCATGCTCTCCAGATAAGAATATGACTTGTGGAATATGTCTAGCCTCGTTCTTCGAGTCCCGTGTTACAAATGGTGCTGAAACGCATTCGTGAAATGAAAAAAAAATGAAATGAAATGGGGTTTAAAGACCTACCGGACTGGGCTACACGATTCGTGTACCAATGGTAAAATGTTTATTTTGTCTTAAATATTCGATATCATAAGACGGGCATACATCATACAGTGTGCTATGAGGGAAATTATGCCCTGACAGCGCGCTACGACCTTCTCTTATATCGCATTCGAACTGCCAAGTGATCTTTTACGTGCACGCCAAATTGTACACGGGATCTCGGTTTTTCGTCCCATCCGAACGACTAGACAACTGTCCTTGTCGGGCCCTCCGTCCCGCACCACTGACAAGGGGAAACCACGCCGGAAAATCCCGATGAACCTTCTCGGCCAACACCGGAAGCGAACCCGCGACCGCCAGGCTACCGAGTCAGCGTCTTACCCACTTGGTCACCGTGGTTCCCAAAGTGGTTTCGATTTTTTCCAAAACCATATAGTATGTAATACTAACATAGTTTTTCTTTTTCTTTCTTTTTTTTTTCTTTAGCTTCCGTTCCGGATATGTGTATGATTCCATCAGTAATGGATGGGTGTTGTGCGTGTCCAGATCTTTATCCAACTTTACCTAACTGCCCAACAACAACACCGCCGCCCACTACAACACCCATGCCTACTACAACTACAGCGCCGCCTACCACAACACCATCGTTTTGTCCTGTTTTTGGTGAGGTTCTATTTTCTTCTTCTATATATTTAGTCTCGGACACCCAGAAGACTAGGTTACAACATCGTTTTGTCCTCTTTTTGGCGAGGTTGTGTTTTCTGCTTCTATATATTTAATCTCGGACAACCAGAAGACTAGGTTAAGGCATCGTTTTGTCCTGTTTTTGGCGAGACTTGATTTTCTTCTTTTATATATGTTTAGTCTCGGACTCCCAGAAGACTAGGTTACGAATGTAAAGATTTATCTAAAGTCAAGGAAGAGTTGCGCCCCCTGTCGAAATAAATCCCACATAATAAATAAACATGAATCGTAACGACTAATTAAGATTAATCAATGAGGAGAGAAATTTTACAATAAAATTTTTAGGAGTGTTGGACATTGAACAGGCAATGCAAACAGATTTTTCGGAAATGGCAATTCTTAAATTAATTTCATGGGCGCCGACATCTTGTTTTAAGGCTATTTACCCCCCCCCCCTTATTATACTCTCTGGCTGATAAAAGTAGAGTGTGTGTACATGATAACTTAGCCAATGACCCATTTTTTCTGAAATATGAAAGACATTCCACATTATTCGTAGATATCTGTCTGAATGACGGAGATTATTATATATTCAGTTTTAGCTGTGAGCAATTTTGATACCTAAATCTCTATTTTTTGATACCTAGAAATGGACACGAATGTGTCTCAACGCATATAGTAATGTAGTATGAATGTATATAAACTGATTTACATTCAATCGTTTCTGTTTTTATTATAATTTCTAATCAGTTGTGTTCGGCGAAATGACAGTCTTTGGCGTCTGGGTATTCCAGTCTACACCGGTAGTATTCTCCTGTGAGATATGTTTAGTCTCTTTCATCGAGACGCTTTATTACAAATGACGCTCGAAAGCATTCTTGCGCGCGATTCGTGTTCCAATTTTAAAATTTTCATTTTGTCTTAAATATTGGATTTCACGAGCCCATGTTTGTTTGTTTGGCGTTATTTCGATGAACGTAGGAAAAGAAATTAAGCTCTGTGCGAACTGGAGAGAGTCTGGACACGTGCTTGGTCGTATATTTCATTTTACTTATATACCAGAATTTAATGACCCTGTCTGTCACGCGTCAACGATAGGTCTGCCTTAATCAATTGGATGCATGAATTCTCCTTGAAATTAACGATTTAGCAATCGTGCCAGACATGATTAGCTATCTCTGCATTCGTCTTTACCTGCAGACATTCATCGTGAGATGGGTCTAGACAATAGTGAACAGTTGCTTAGTAAATTATTTTAAGAAAATTGTATATTTTAGTGGAAAGTAAATAATGTAGTTCATTTGATCTATTAACAGAGCAATACAAGGATGCGATGTGCGTTGGTACACTACTTGATGCTTGTTGTGAATGTCCGAATCTGGTTGATGGCTTAAACTGTCAACCTGAAACAACAGCATCTGCGACTACTCCACTAGCAACAACAGCAGCAGCTACAACTCTAGCAGAAACTACTTCAGAAGCTACAACACTGGCAGCAACAACTGTAGCTGATACAACACCCGCTGACACAACACCAGCAGCAACAACAGCAGCCACAACTACTCCAGCAGCAACAACGCCAGTCGCAACTACTCTACCAGCTACTTCTCCTGCAGCTACAACGCCAGCAGAAGCAGAACCACCAACTACTGTAGTAACTACAGTACCCACAGTTCCAACTACTCCAGCTGCATCAACACCGGCAGAAACTACTCCAGCAGCTACACCCGATGCTATAACACCAGCAACAACAACGCCAGCAGAAACCACTGCAGGTGATACAACACCCGATGCTACAACACCAGTAACAACAACACCAGCAGAAACTACCCCATCAGCCACAACTTTAGCAGAAACTACTCCAGCAGCTACAACTGTAGCTGATACAACACCCGCTGACACAACACCAGCAGCAACAACAGCAGCCACAACTACTCCAGCAGCAACAACGCCAGTCGCAACTACTCTACCAGCTACTTCTCCTGCAGCTACAACGCCAGCAGAAGCAGAACCACCGACTACTGTAGTAACTACAGTACCCACAGTTCCAACTACTCCAGCTGCATCAACACCGGCAGAAACTACTCCAGCAGCTACAACACTAGCAGCAACAACTGCAGCTGATACAACACCCGCTGCTACAACTTCAGCAGCAACAACGCCAGCTGAAACCACTGCAGCTGATACAACACCAGCTGAAACCACTGCAGCTGATACAACACCAGCGGAAACCACTGCAGCTGATACAACACTAGCAGCAACAACTGCAGCTGAAACAACACCCGCTGCTACAACACCAGCAGCAACAACGCCAACAGAAACAACGCCAGCAGAAACAACTCTAACTGATACAACACTAGCAGCGACAACTGCAGCTGATACAACATCCGCTGCTACAACACCGGTAGGAACAACGCAAGCAGCAACCACCCCCGCAGCTACAACACTAGCAGAAACTACTCCAGCAGCCACAACACTGGTACCAACGACACCAGCCGCAACTACTCCAGTAGCAACAACGACAGTTGCGACTACTCTACCAGCTACTTCTCCTGCAGCTACAACACCAGCAGAAGCAGAACCACCGACTACTGTAGTAACTACGGTACCCACAGTTCCAACTACTCCAGCTGATACAACACCGACAGAAACTACTCCAGCAGCTACAACACTAGCAGCAACAACTGCAGCTGATACAACACCCGCTGCTACAACGCCAGCAGCAACAACGCCAGCAGAAACCACTGTAGCTGATACAACACCGGCAGAAACTACCCCAGCAGCTACAACACTAGCAGCAACAACTGCAGCTGATACAACACCCGCTGCTACAACGCCAGCAGAAACAACTGTAGCTGATACAACACTAGCACCGACAACTGCAGCTGATACAACATCCGCTGCTACAACACCGGTAGGAATAACGCCAGCAGCAACCACCCCCGCAGCTACAACACTAGCAGAAACTACTCCAGCAGGCACAACACTGGTACCAACAACACCAGCCGCAACTACTCTACCAGCTACTTCTCCTGCAGCTACAACGCCAGCAGAAGCAGAACCACCGACTACTGTAGTAACTACGGTACCAACAGTTCCAACTACTCCAGCTGCATCAACACCGGCAGAAACTACTCCAGTAGCTACACCCGATGCTATAACACCAGCAACAACAACGCCAGCAGAAACCACTGCAGGTGATACAACACCCGATGCTACAACACCAGCAACAACAACACCAGCAGAAACTACCCCATCAGCCACAACTTTAGCAGAAACTACTCCAGCAGCTACAACATTAGCAGAAACAACACCAGCAGAAACCACTGCAGCTGATACAACACCTGCAGCAACAACTACTCCAGCAGCTACGACACCCGCCGCAACTACTACAGCAGCTACAATACCACCAACTCTCCCTGTAGTAAATACTTTATGCGAAGGACTGGGTAAGCAATATGGAAAAAAGTAAATCAGAATCAATCGATTGATTCGCCCTGCACGAATTTATGGGAATCGATTGCCCTTTAGGGACGCTGATACTGCAGTGTAACATGACTCGTTAAATTCAACCAGAACACGTTCTAGTTGCAAATGTGGCTTCTTTTTAATGGCCGAAAACATAAACTACAGACCTGGTCTCCGCCGCTACTGATGTCATCCCCGTCTTTCATTTACATTTATATTTTGAGGTAAAGGCGTCTAATCTGTCGTATGGGACGACACCCCCCCCCCCCCGTGTACTCGTTGACTTACACATAAAAGTTACTGTGGCATTAGAAACCCGATTAAGTGTAGAAGAAAACGCCGGTATCCCTGCAAAATTTCCGTCATTCGCCCACTTGGTGCAGAACAGAAGGAAGTTTCAACCCATTTCAAATCATCTAGTATTTCTAAATATTCAATTTTTAAGGGAAGGGGAGGGGGGTCTACTTAAAAGTATATGACGACGTTATTTTCTATTAATGCAATACAAAATAATATATTTTCATGAATACCCAGATATGGCAGCGGTAACGGAAATCACTATGTAATTTATTATCTGTGATACATTTTGGTGTGCTGTTGCCGTTGATGCATATAGCACTGTTGATTTTGAATATTCCATTAGGCAAACAAGAACTGCGACAAAAATAACATCCTTGTTGAAAGATGGGCAGTCCGCCAGTATTCATATCATTTATGTACAATTTATATTTTTCATATGTGGGTTCAGCTGTATACCCAGAAGTTTTATGTGCTAATGAAGACATTAAAGTGGAATGCTGTAAATGTCCTGATCTGATGGACTTGCCCGAAGTCGGCTGTACAGCCACAACACCCACAGGGACAGCAACAACGCCAGCTGCGGCTACAACAGAATTAGAAACAACACCGGCAGAAACTACTCCAGCTGATACAACACCAGCAGCAACAACACCAGCAGAAACTACTCCATCAGCCACAACTCTAGCAGAAACTACTGCAGCAGCTACAACACCAGCAGCAACAACACCAGCAGAAACCTCTGCAGCTGATACAACACCTGCATCTGATACAACACCTGCAGAAACTACTCCAGCAGCTACAACACTAGCAGCAACAACTGCAGCTGAAACAACACCCGCTGCTACAACACCAGCAGCAACAACGCCAGCAGAAACCACTGTAGCTGATACAACACCAGCAGAAACTACTCCGGCAGCTACAACACTAGCAGCAACAACAGCAGCTGAAACAACACCCGCTGCTACAACACCAGCAGCAACAACGCCAGCTGAAACCACTGCAGCTGATACAACACCAGCTGAAACCACTGCAGCTGATACAACACCAGCGGAAACCACCGCAGCTGATACAACACTAGCAGCAACAACTGCAGCTGAAACCACTGCAGCTGATACAACACCAGCGGAAACCACTGCAGCTGATACAACACCAGCGGAAACCACTGCAGCTGATACAACACTAGCAGCAACAACTGCAGCTGAAACAACACCCGCTGCTACAACACCAGCAGCAACAACTCCAGCTGAAACCACCGCAGCTGATACAACACCAGCGGAAACTACTCTAGCAGAAACTACTCCAGCAGCCACAACTCTAGCAGCAACAACAGCAGCTGATACAACACCAGCAGCAACAACGCCAGCAGAAACAACTGCAGCTGAAACAACACCCGCTGCTACAACAGCAGCAGCAACAACGTCAGCTGAAACCACTGCAGCTGATACAACACCAGCGGAAACCACTGCAGCTGATACAACACTAGCAGCAACAACTGCAGCTGAAACAACACCCGCTGCTACAACACCAGCAGCAACAACTCCAGCTGAAACCACCGCAGCTGATACAACACCAGCGGAAACTACTCTAGCAGAAACTACTCCAGCAGCCACAACTCTAGCAGCAACAACAGCAGCTGATACAACACCAGCAGCAACAACGCCAGCAGAAACAACTGCAGCTGAAACAACACCCGCTGCTACAACAGCAGCAGCAACAACGTCAGCTGAAACCACTGCAGCTGATACAACACCAGCGGAAACCACTGCAGCTGATACAACACTAGCAGCAACAACTGCAGCTGAAACAACACCTGCTGCTACAACACCAGCAGCAACAACTCCAGCCGAAACCACCGCAGCTGATACAACACCAGCGGAAACTACTCCAGCAGAAACTACTCCAGCAGCCACAACTCTAGCAGCAACAACAGCAGCTGATACAACACCAGCAGCAACAACGCCAGCAGAAACCACTGCAGCTGATACAACACCAGCAGCAACAACCCCAGCAGAAACCACTGCAGCTGATACAACACCAGCAGAAACTACCCCATCAGCCACAACTTTAGCAGAAACTACTCCTGCCGCTACAACACCAGCAGAAACTACTCCGGCCGCCACAACTGCAGCCGATACAACACCAGCTGCTACAACGCCTGTTCCTAATAGTAAGTGGGCGTGGTATTTTTCATAATATTTCGTCATTATAAGAGTTGAGACATGAGACTAACAAATGGCACCTGATAACACTTTTCAGTCAAAGATTTAAAAATGTTAAAGATACGTTATGTAAGAGCTAATATTCCTATTGCATGTCTTTATTTTGGCTCCCGGTGTTCTATAAATTATTTTAGACATTTATGAACATGACAAGTCCGTAATTTACTCTTTAGACCATAAGATGACCGAGATTAATAGATTAGAACGACCGCTAGATTTAAAACTTTAACGATATAATTGATAATCGAGACTTAGTCTCGTTTGTCCATGCCGTCGTTACGATAATAAATAATCTACACTACATCTTCAATTACCCATAACTTCGCTCAGAATAAAGTAATTTGAATGAAATTTTCAATATATTCATTTTCCATTATCTATTATAATCAAGAAAGGCCAGTTCTTTATCTAAATAGTATATAATGCTTCACATTTATATTTAAAGTTTACAGAAGGGAAAATCCAATTTATGCCATTGTGGTGCTTATTTCATTTCGCCATTTTGTTGATCACGTGATGAATAAATTAACAGTCACGTGTTAAGTGTAATAGCTATCAGTTCCAAGTCAACATGAGCACTCAGTTGTCCTCAGTTGCTGATATGATCGACATAAGAACACTTGCAACTGACTGGAGCTATTTCCTTTGCGTTGCAAAGTCGACATAAGCCCCGCTTTAAAGAAGGGAAAATTCAGTTCATTGTCATCCTCGGTTTCCCCAGTGGTCTCATTCCGTTCTACTCCACTGGGGAAATTCAGGAGGGTTCATTGTAGGTATTTATATTCGATATCTCTCTATATATTTTCCAAACATCATTTTTCTATTTTCAGAATGTAAATACTCCGAATACGTAACTACCATTACCAAGAGAATAATTTCTGGTCAATCAACATTTCATAATACATATCCTGGTATCGTTAGCTTTCAATCGGATGTATACACGGCATCTTTTGCTCCTATCAAAAGAACCATGTGCTCTGGAATCATTCTTGATGAAACGCACATTTTAACCACCAAATTTTGTTACGAGTTCGTAGATGCGTAAGTTAACCAATATACCTATATTACTTGATGGTCGTAATGGCCGAATGGTCTAACGCGTGAGCTTTAGATCATAAGGTCTGTCATTGATGGTTTCGATTTCCAGCTTGTACGTGACAAGAAATCGTGTCGCCTGTCCAACCTCGTAATGTTCAGGTTTCATCCCCTATACGCAGTCCATTTATTGAAATAAAATTGATCCATTTATTAGAAAGAGAGAGAGAGAGAGAGAGAGAGAGAGAGAGAGAGATAATAATAATAATTTATTTTCAATGCATGTTAGGCCACAGACCCATAGTACACTCGATATATGTTAGCTCATGATATAATTCATATTGATAATCGACAATCTTAAAATATATAAATAAATATAATTCATTTTCAATATACATGTACAGTCCATTTCATACAATTCATTTGTACAATTTCATTTATTCACCTTTTCAAGATCCACTTATGTTAGTCCATATGTTAAACCTATCTCTCTCCCCCGCTTTAGATCATAAGGTCTGTGATTGAGTCAAGCGACGTGACAAGGAGTAAGATCGTGTGTTTAACCTCGTGGGTTTTCTCCTGCCCACCAGTTTCCTCTTACTACCAAACACTGCCAAAGACACCCAAATAAATTTGAACTGCATGTTAGTCCCGATATGACCTAGTCTCTCTCTCGCTCTCACACACACTCACACACACTCTCTCTCTCTCTCATTGGAATGTCCGCCGACGGACACTGATTTGGGAACTTTTTAAACTTTTTCTATACACATAGTTTATATATTTCAGGATGGCCGGTTTTTACCCTACAGAAGCAGTAATATCAGAAACTGATACTAGCAGTACAAGTGGAGATGAACAGAAGATTCTATTAACTTCCCCAATTCCAAACGACACCACTGGGGGTGAGTAGATGAGTAGAGATGAAAATGAATTGAAATGGGGTTTAACGTCCTACTGTTCTGCTTCGAACTGGGCTAGTGAAGATGAGTATACGCTATACAGTGTGCTTTGAGGGAAATTTTGCCCGGACAGCGGCGCCACGGTCTACTCATATTTCGTTAAACCCCATTTCTCTCTCTCTCTCCCTATCTCTCATCTCTCTTTACCGCCATGTGTGGCGGCATTGTCCGATCTGTTGTGTTGTACTATAAATATCTGTTTCAGATTTGGTGGTCATGACGCTGGATACGCCAATTGACATCAACAGCGTGTCGTCAGCTCCGGCGTGTGTTATAAACGACAACATGGTGATTGATCAAGATTCGTGTCAAGTGCTTGGTTTTGGTAATATACATAATTCATGTAAGTAACGGTTATTCTTTCTTTTAAATAAAATCCCACCCGCTTTATTGAAAATATTCGAAACTAACTGGCGTATATTTTAATCTATTGTGTCTTTATTTAGCAGTGGGAGAAAACCAGAGGACTCGGAGAAAACACAGGCGACTCAACTCCTTGTCACGTATAACCCGGGCACCGAAACCACGCCAGTTGACTCAATGACAGAGCGCGTCACAGTTCTTTGATCTTCTTGTTATCATGTATTAGTTTCGTTTATGTTGTTATAAATTGTCCAATTACTTGCCTCATACCTTGGGTTGGGATGGCCTAGTGGTCCTGCTGGCCGGTCACCTGGTGTAAATTTATGTGGCTTGGGGATAGATTCGTCTTCTCAACCTCGTGGGTTTACTCCGGGTACTCCGGTTTCCTTGTTTGCGACTTCAACCTTGGTAAACACTAATACAAGAAGGCTGTGCACCTGTGAAACTGATGAGTTTGGTCTAGGGCCTTGGACATCTAAGGGACCATGAAAACTGATGAATTTGGCCTAGGGCCCACGTACATCTAGGGGACCACTAAAACTAATGACTTTGGTCTAGGGCCCACGGACATCCGAGGGACCACTGAACATCGAAATATTCGAACATTTTATATAAAATAAACCAACAATGCATTTAAGCCGAGTTTCCAAGGTCCGCCTGTTGATTATGAACTGTTTCCAAGGTACGCCATTTTAACTTTGTTCATTTATTGTTCCCAAGGTCCGCCTTGTTAACTTTGTTGATTATTAACTGTTAAAATGTGTTGGTTGTAAACTGTTTCTTTATCTTTGTTGATTATCACCTGTTTCCTAGAGTAGGTCCGGAAGTTTAAGTCGATCATTAACTATTCCCTAGATCTGACATTATAACTTTGCCCATTGTTCTCTTTCAGTTCCCTCAGTCGGTTTAAGAGCTGGAGATGTTGATTTAGATGTATATGGATCTTGTTCCATGGACACAGTTTGCGAAACAAGCGGCGGAAGTGTAGGATGCGAGGTATGTAGAATGTCGGGTGACAAAATGAAATGGGGTTTAACGTTCTCCGTTACTACTCCGACTAGGCTAATGAAGACGGGTATGAAACTTTGTCCGGGCAGCGGTACAACCGTCTACTCTTATTTCTAGTCTGTGTCGAGTGGACATTACCCCCCCCCCCCCCTCTCTCTCTCTCTCTCTCCCTCTCTGAAGCGTAGTGCCTCAAGATCATAAATGAATAGTCCAGGGAAAGAACGATCGAATCACATTTTTGTCTTTTCGCATAAAAGGCAAACAGACTTTTGGACGAGGATGCTTGACGCGAACAGAACAACGAGTGGGTTTAATTACAACTTCAAAATGATGTTTAATACCAATCATAATTACCAGTACAACAACTGACTTCCACTTTTCAACCAAATTAAGGTCAAATAAAGGGTACGATGGACGTATTTGTCCAGGATGTGACTCCGATCGTTTTTACCTGAAATTGATTGATCCACAGAAAGCTTATACACTGGGGTTCATTGAAAAAGTTACTAAGATCGTTCTTCCCCGGGGCTCTTCAAATATTAAACCCCATTTGATTGGACCTATAAAACACGTCAACAAGGGTTTTATAGGTGTTTTCCCGAATAGTGTTTCGCAGACGAAAAAATAATAAAACGAAATAGAATGAAATGGGGTTTAACGTCCTATTGTTCTGCTCCGACTGGGCTAATGAAGACGAGCATACGCCATACAGTGTGCTATGGGGGAGATTTTGCCTGGACAGCGGCACTATGGCCTATTCTTATATTAGTCTGGAGGCTCAGCCCTTGGGTTGGGGGGCCTTTGTCCATCAAATGGGCACAAAACCAGACCCAACTTTTCTAGAGTGGTATCAGTCCGCCGTTGGGGCGTTTTCGAGATATTCGGGGTCAAAGGTCAAATGAGTTCATTTGCACCGAAAGTGAATGTGCAGTCATTCTTGTATTATGAAAAGAAGTTGAAAATGATCGAAATAAAAATGTAAACTTGCTAAATACACCCTTTGTCTTAGTGACCCTGGAGGTCAAAAGGTGAAATTTACCGTTTTTGCATTAGGAAGATTTAAAGCAATCAAATGGCAACGTAAAATATAAAAATTAAAGCGAAACCTGTTCTAATTAATAATGGGAACATTTAAAATTAATCTTTAGGTGGTCTTAGCACCAAACTTTTACTTTGGAACGTCGTAAATGATCTTGCATTACAGAACCAAAACGCTTCGGAGCCTGTTTTAAAAATACATGTACGTAAAAACTGGGAACATTTAAAATTTATCTTTAGGTGGTCTTAGCACCGAACTTTTACTTTGGAACGTCGAAAATGATCTTGCATAACAGAACCAACACACTTTGAAACCTGTTTCAAAAATACGTAAAAACTGTCAAATCGAAATCTCTCCGATTTATTTTCACAACGATTGTTATACATAATGATACTAGTTATCTGAAAAACAATTGAATAGTTTCAGTGTTGGGCTCCAGTCTGCAGGCCGCGTGGATTTCCGAGAATCCCAGTCTAGGAAAACCGACGTTAATCTGTGACGGGAAAACACGCATCTGGCGACAAGATTAAAAGTTTGCAAACTTTTTATGAGTTTTTATGAATTTCGCCGGAACATGGACGCAGATAAAACCGACGAATGCATTGTACATAGTAGTTCACAGGATATATATACTATTCAAAAAAAGTAGGGGATATTTGATTTTGGGGGCATAATACTAAAATATGCAAATGACTACGAAAAAAGTCACTATAGAACCTAACAGAAGAAACATTTCCAGTTACATGTGACGCCCAAACGCACCAATAGCTACCGCATGGAATGCAGGTGAGGCTTGGGATCATCATGGGGGTCCAACCCAAGATTTGCACGACTCTAACTTTGAATGTTACAGTCATTGTGGCATTGAATTCCAGGGTGGAAACATCAGTTTAATTGTTTTAGTGACCAGAAAACAAATTTTGATATGCGTCGGCTTACCCAAAATGAAAGGTTACGTGCCCTTGGCATGCTACAGATCGGCACAACACAGGCGGTTGTGGCGCGGACGATGAATGTTTCTCAGTCTGTCATAAGCAGGCTATGGTCCAGATACCGTGATACACAATCTGTACAGGACAGGCCACGCTCAGGTCGACCAAGGGCGACAACTCAAGCCCAGGATCGATTTATCCGTACCTTGGCCTTGAGAAATCGTGTCATCACAGCAAATCAGATCAGCGCTCGTCTTCAAACAGACACTGGTGTGAGAGTGAGTGGCCAGACGATTCGGAATCGACTGCATAGGGGTCACCTTCGCGCCCGACGTCCTGGCGTGATCCCTTGTTTGAGAGATCATCACATTCAGGCAAGACGTCGTTGGTGTAGGGATCGTCAACACTGGGATAATCGACGCTGGAGCAATGTGATGTTTTCAGATGAGTCAAGGTTCACTGTTGATTTTTTGGACAGACGTAGGAGGGTGTGGCGTCGTCGAAACGAGCGCTTCCAAGACGTTAACGTCATCAGACATGATCGATTTGGGGGTGGTTCTGTTATGGTGTGGGGAGGCATCACTGTTGCTGGAAGAACGGCTTTACATGTTGTTGCAGGGCGTGTTACAGGCCAGTACTACCGGGACAACATCTTGGCAGTCCATGTTGTGCCGTTCACACGACGTCATGGCCGCCGTTTCATCTTCCAGGATGACAACGCAAGATGTCACAGGGCCAGGATCGTTACAGGTTACCTCCAACAACAGAACATCACCACATTACCTTGGCCAGCACTGAGTCCCGACCTCTCCCCCATCGAGCATGTCTGGGACATGCTTGGACAGAGGTTACGTCAACGTCAACAACGTACTGCCAATGTCCAAGAACTTGCTGCTGCGTTGCAACAGGAATGGGACAATCTGGACCAAAATGACCTTAGACGTCTCATTAGGAGTATGCCACGTCGGATCAATGCTTGTTTGGCAAACAGAGGAGGATTTACCCGTTACTGACTTGGTTGTGATGCTGTGGTAACTTTGCTGTTTGACCCCGGGTATCATTTTACCCTTATAATGGTCAGTCTGTGCCTTACTTAGTCTAACGATCATTTGGAATAAATCGATGAATGTGAACTTCATTTCATTTTGTCATTTGTTTCTTCGTCAGTTTCATTAGGTGACTTTAATAACACTTAAAAATCAAATATCCCCTACTTTTTATACGTCCACATTCATAATGTGAACGTATTATGCCGTCGCCCCTGTCTGTGTGTGTGTGTGTGTGTGTGTATGTATGTATGTGTGTGTGTGTGTGTGTGTGTCTGTGGTTCGCCTACAGGGCGCAATTCTTCATGGATTTTCTTCAAACTTGGTATACTTATTCCTTATACCCCAAGGAAGATCCCTATTGTTTTTGGTGCATGCCCGACCCCCCGGGGCAGAGCCACGCCCATTTCTAGTATTTGTTTGTTTGTCGTCTACAGGCCACATTTCTTAACTAATAATCTTGAAACTTTGCATACACATTCTTTGTACCCTAAGGAACATCCCTATCGTTTGGGGTGCATGCCCAACCCCCAGGGGCAGAGCCACGCCCATTTTCTTTTCGTGTGTCTTTGTGTCGCCTACAGGGCGCAATTCTTACTGGATTTTCTTCAAACTTGGTATACTTATTCCTTATACCCCAAGGAAGATCCCTATTGTTTTTGGTGCATGCCCGACCCCCAGGGGCAGAGCCACGCCCATTTCTAGTTATTCTTTAAGTGGCATTTAGCGATCAGGGAACAAATTAACAGAACACAGTTTTTATGGGATACAATCACTAGTTTATTCTAAAAGCACGACGTTTCCACAAGTATTCTCTTATCGTTATCAATCAAGCAGTCTGTGTGTGTGTGTGTGTGTATGTATGGGTGTGTGTGTGTGTGTGTGTGTGTGTGTGTGTGTCTGTGGTTCGCCTACAGGGCGCAATTCTTCATGGATTTTCTTCAAACTTGGTATACTTATTCCTTATACCCCAAGGAAGATCCCTATTGTTTTTGGTGCATGCCCGACCCCCCGGGGCAGAGCCACGCCCATTTCTAGTATTTGTTTGTTTGTCGTCTACAGGCCACATTTCTTAACTAATAATCTTGAAACTTTGCATACACATTCTTTGTACCCTAAGGAACATCCCTATCGTTTGGGGTGCATGCCCAACCCCCAGGGGCAGAGCCACGCCCATTTTCTTTTCGTGTGTCTTTGTGTCGCCTACAGGGCGCAATTCTTACTGGATTTTCTTCAAACTTGGTATACTTATTCCTTATACCCCAAGGAAGATCCCTATTGTTTTTGGTGCATGCCCGACCCCCAGGGGCAGAGCCACGCCCATTTCTAGTTATTCTTTAAGTGGCATTTAGCGATCAGGGAACAAATTAACAGAACACAGTTTTTATGGGATACAATCACTAGTTTATTCTAAAAGCACGACGTTTCCACAAGTATTCTCTTATCGTTATCAATCAAGCAAAAAAAAACAAAAAAAAAACGTCATGCTTTTAGAATAAAGACATCGATTGTTTTAAAATAAAAATTGTGTTCTGTTAATGTGAACGAAATGTTATACTGATAGCAGTCCTACAACCCAGTTTTATTTCACAGACCCTCAATGCAAACTGGACCATATCAAACAAAACAGGAATGTGGACGTATATTGCTGCGTTAGCGATGCTCTTGTTTTGAATAGTATATGTCGTATTGGTAATTGTTAGCGGGGAAAATTTTGGCAGGCTTTGTGACGCGGCCTGCAGGCTGGAGTCCAGCCATGGAACTATTTAATTGTTTTTTTCAGACAACTAGTATCATTATGTATAGCATTCGTTGTAAAACTAATTCGGAGAGATTTTGATTTAACAGTTTTTACGTATTTTTAAAACAGGCTCCGAAGCCTTTTGGTTCTGTTATGCAAGATCATTTACGACGTTCCAAAGTAAAAGTTTGGTGCTAAGACCACCTAAAGATAAATTTTAAAGTTTCGCTTTAGATTTTATATTTTACGCCGACATTTATTACTTTAAATCTTGCTAGTGCTAAAACGGAAAATGTGACCTTTTGACCTCCAGGGTCACTAAGACAAAAGGTGAATTTAGCAAGTTTACATTTTTATTGAAAGTGTTATTACTTTCGATCATTTTCACCTTCTTTTCATAATACAAGAATGACTGCGCATTCACTTTCGGTGCAAATGAACTCATTTGAATATCTCGAAAATGCCCCAACGGCGGACTAATTACCACTCGGCATCTTATTCTACGCAAAATTTTACTCTAGAAAAGTTTGGTCTGGTTTTGTGCCCATTTAATGGACCCCCCCTCCCCCTGCGCTCAGCCTCCGGTCTATATCAAATTCCAACTCTCAAGGGATCTCTTACTAGCTAACCAATGTATTCATGGGACCTCGAACTGTCCTTGTCAGCCCCCCGCCCCGTCCTGCATCACTGACAAGGGGAAACCACGCCAAAAAAACCGAATGAACTTACTCGGCCAATGCAGCGATTGAACACCCGACCTCCAGACTAGCAAGCCAGTGTCCTACCCACTGAGCCACCGTGGCTTGCGATGCCATCGAGATTTGATTATGGTCTGGATAAATTAATTAATGTCTAATTAATAATTAAGATAACATTTCAGGCCTAAAGAAAGACCTGCAATAGGCAGATTTAGCTCTTGCATAATGTATGTTTAAGGCCATGACTTTTGTACTGGAATGTTACCCATTTGAGTTGGGGGGTTGGATGGCCGAATGGTTAGCACGTGCGCGCTGTATCATAAGGCCTGTCATTGAGTTAACTGGCGTGGTATCGAATCCCCGGTTGTAGGTGACAAGGAGTAGGGTTGCCTGTCCAACCTCGTGTGTTTTCTCCGGGTCCTCCGGTTTCCTCCCACTGCTAAAGGCCCCTAAGCGCAAGCGAATTATTGAAATAAAATTAAACCATATGTTAGTCCCGAAATGGCCTAGTCCGTGTCGAGTGGACGTTAAACCTCATTTCTCTCTCTCTCTCTCTCTCTCTCTCTCTCTCTCTCTCCCATTTTGTGTTTTCTTTGCTGCTAAAGTTTCGAAATTCATTTTTGTGTTTTGTTATTTTTAGGGTGATGAGGGTGGATCAATCGTGTGCCTTGAGGCAAAAACTGGAGAATATGTAACTGTGGGGTTGATGTCTACAGAAGTTTGTGAAGAAACTCTTCCACAGCCAATTTTCAGTTTAATGCCCGGTCTGCAATACAATGATATCGCTAAGAGTTACCCTTATTATGACATCACAGCATAAAATTAACATAAATGAATACATATGTAACAGTATTTATCGCAACTTGTGATGTTAAAATATAAAACTATAATATGATATAAATATATATTCTTGCAGACAGACTTTTAGTTCGTTTTTTTCTTTTCTTTTTTTTCTTTTTTTTTGGGGGGGGGGGGGGGGTCGGGGGTCGGGGCGGGGTTGTTTGGGCTTCCCATGAACAGTAGTTGCCTTAACGTTACTGGAGTAATCTTCAAATCTTGACCGAAAAATATTCTCATATGAATCATTACGTTTACACGAAAATTACTATATCTGGATTAATGTTAAAGATACATTATGTAAGATTTAGATAAAGAGTTGGCCATTCTTGGTATAATAGTTCGAAAATAGATAATGTAAAACGAATAATTTGAAAATTTCATTCAAATTACTCTATTGCGAGCGAAGATATTAGCCTTTGAAGGTTTGACAAGACATGTGCAATAATTTCAACCACCGTACTGGTTGTTCGAAGCTAAGTCTCACTCCTCCATTTTTAGATTAAATCAAAATATGTCTGAACCGTTCTAACCTATTTAATATCGGAGAAATCCGATGCCATCGAGAGTTGATTATGGCCTGGATCAGTTAATTAATGTCTCATTAATAATTTAGAAAACATTTCAGGCCTAAAGAAAGACCTGCGATAGGCAAATTTAGCTCTTGCATAATGTATGTTTAATGCCAAATGGCTATATCTCGAATGTCAAATAGACGAGGTGTCATGTAATTATATCGACTATTGAACTCTTAGGGGCGTAGACAGGCTCCAGCATTAGGGCGAACGTGCATATAAAAAAGCGCCATGACAGGTACTAAATAATTTTCAAATCATTATAAATTTATATTTTGTTTTGAAAATCAAAACACAACGTTGGTAGAATAATGTAATACTTCCAGAAAGTTCTTCAAAGCAGGGCCTGATTCACCATGAGCATAGTAGGCCATTGGCCTAGTTACCACGGATATCTGTTGGTGGGGGTGGGGGGGACTGAAACTAACCTTGTTTCAAGTATACACCGGGTATTTCATTATAAGTATGGGGGCAGGGATTTTTTTTAGGAATTTTTGAGCGCTTGGCAGGAACTCGCTGTATAGTTATTGTCCCGTTAGGTTCTATCATAGCTAAACCTGTATAGTGGACTATGGTTTTTTTACGGCATAACTTTTACAACATAAGATTGAGTAGCGCTAGTGTGCGCCTATTAGTATGGTGGCTGTTAGCGGCCATTCAAGTGAATCTAAGTCGTCGCCTTGTGAAGAAGTCGACAAGTCGACAAAATCAACCCGCCAACACGACAAAATAACCCGACGATCGTCGCCTTCATTTCGTCGACTTGTCGGGTCAATTCTGTCGACTTGTCGACTTGTCGCCTTCGACTTATTCACAACCCGACAAGTCGACAAAATACAATCATTTCGACATGTCGTGCGGCGACTTGTCGCCTCGGAAGTCAAACTCGAGCTTGCGCATTTGCTGATTGGATAACTTGCATGAGCACAGATTAACTGTTTTTTGTCGACTTGTCGGTTTGTGAAAAGTCGACAGAAATGACCCGACAAGTCGACGAAATGAAGGCGAAGATCGTCGGGTTATTTTGTCGTGTTGGCGGGTTGATTTTGTCGACTTGTCGCCTTCTTCATAAGGCGACGATTTAGATGACATTTTAATGGCCGCTAACAGCCACCATATATTAGGAACCCACAAAATTAAAACCTTGACACTGGATTGTTTTATAATTATGGATTGCAGGGGCGTGTCCAGAATAATGGTCGGGAGACTAAAAGCTAAGAACCATTGCAGATTTCGTCATAAGTTACGGTATGTAAATAGGGTTAGAGTACGTGATTGTTGACGAGATCGTGCCATAACCCTAATAACATCTCAATACTTATAACGAAATCTGCAGTGGGCTTTACCTTTTAGAACTAATAATCAAGATTGGTATGGTGATTTCTTCCCCCCCCCCCCCCATTTAAAAAAAATAATCCTTGCAACTGAGGCCATTTTTGAAGGGAATTTGCTCTTTTAAAGACTCTTTCCTGGGTCCCTCCTGTATAGTGTATAGGCTCCGCATGAGCGGTGGTGGTGGGGGGAGGGTCAGACCCCAGGACCCCACACGCCCACCCTAGGATACTCGCCTGGATTGGCTTTCCAACAAAGAGTAAACGAAATATAAAATGTTTACACTGGTGACAACTAGTAGGTCCTGGAAATAGATCGATCTATGCGCTCAAGTGGGCGGGGGGGGGGGGGAATGGTATCATAAGGCCTGTCATTGAGTCAACTGGCATGGTTTCGGTTGTACAGGACAAGGAGTAGGGTTGCCTGTCCAACATCGTGGGTTTTCTCTGGGTCCTCCGGTTTCGTCCCACTGCTTAAGATCCCTACGCGCAAGCGAATTATTGAAATAAAATTGAACCATGTGTTAGTCACGAAATGACTTTTGCTCCTGCACGTACAAAAGTTTACCCTGGTTTCTTGCGGTTGGTCTGCGAGCTACCAAACCTTACGACCCGTGCGTTTCAAAACACGTACGGCTGTTTCTGAGCTAGGCTTAAGATACGATAGTATTGACAAGGCCCATCTACGCTTGGTATAAAATCTAACTAATTGAACACTATGTTTTAGCTTCAGAAGAAGCTTAGATTTTTTATGTAACACTAAAAATCATAGTCACGGTCACCCAGAACCCCCTAGTCTTCAACGTACGGGGGGGGGGGGGGGGGTCTGGGACCGTGGTCAATATTTGATGAAAAGTTCCATTGCCCATGCGTAACCGGGAGGTTTTTTTTAATGTGGTTCATTATCCAGTATTTTTCGCCAAGTCAAGTAAGAGTTGAGCCCCTTCACGTCATAAATCCCACATTTCTTGCATTATTATAAACAAACATGAATCGTGATGACGAATTATGGTTAATTAAAAAAAACAGATATAATGGTCCATGAAGAATGAAATTTTAAAATAAAAAAAAAAATAAGTGTGTTGGATATTGAACTGACAATGCAATCAAATGGATTTTCTGGAATGGCATTCTTAAATTAATTTCATGGGCGTCGACATCTTAGTTTTGGACTAGTTACCTCCCTTAGATTGTGTTTATAATAATGTGAAAGACCTGATAATCTAGCTAATGACCTATTATTCTCAATTGTTGACAAAGCATCTAGACTAATATTCGTAGAATATTTGTCTGGGTGATAGAGACTATCAAAATGTGGGTTTTTACAATTTGAAAAATGGCGACTGCAACGCCTGTTTTACTGTTAGTCTTTTCTTTGGTATTTTTTCGAGGCAACACCTTATAAGATTAATCATGCTTTCAAATTCAATTTTATCTACATCAGAAAAATCTAAAGTTTGTCTATAAATTGACAAATCTATGACTGCCAATTCGCCATTACCATATGGGTATTTCTGTGCCAAAAATAGATATATGATTATTCCCACACTCCACATGTCACAGGCCATTGGATCACAGAAGTCACACTGGATATACTCGGGTGGTAAAATCGACGGCGTAGTGATACCCAGGGTTCGGATCTTACCGCATTCCGGAACTCGAACAGCACTTCCAAAATCACAAATTTTAACCAGGCCTTTCTTGTTTAACAATATATTTTCTACTTTCAAATCCATGTGCGCGATGCGTTTTACGCCATGTAAATAGTCCAGGCCCTCTAGTATCTGACATATTATACTTCTAGCATTTACATCTACTGAGTCCGATTGACTTATTACGTCATATACGTCGCCACCATCAACATATTCCAGCATCATAACCCCATGACCACCCACGTGAAAGAACTCCAGACACTGAATAACGTTCACGTGATTAATAGCACTTAAAATATCGACTTCGGACATCCACGAGATTCGTTCTTGGGAACACTGATTGGAAATAGATCTCTTGGAAACCTTAGCGACGACGACATCAGAACGACTATCTTTGTCGTCACTTCCGGTAGAAGATGGCGGATCGGGGTCACATTTGGACACTTTATAGACAAAGGCACAGCCCCCTTCTCCTATCTGCTGAGGAGAATGATAACCATGGCGATTGAGACTACCGGATAATGAAAAGTCGCTTCGTAACTTTAGTAACTTAGGTTTTTTCCGGACTTTGCGAATCACACCTAACGTAGCAATCTGTGTTCTAATGTACTCCAACGCATCACGTGGTTTATTCTTTTCATCTTTAGAATGGCCGTTTTCCTTTTTACTGCTGTGCAACATCATGAAAACAATCTAAGGTCTGTTCGTCTTCATCTTTTACTTCTCGCATTTTAACATGTTCTGTAAATCTAAAAAGTAAAACCAAGTACTACAAATTAATTCCTAATAATCTTTGATAGTAAATAGTAAATGGATAGAGCAATAAACATATAATACATAGGCCTACATATGATATGATAGTCGTTTTAAGTTAATTACCGTTGTCTAAACATACTATGGGATATCATGCAAGTTGTAGTCTAGTTGCTATTGCATTCTGTCGGTAGTCTTGTATCCATCATTATTGCTTAAACATACATTGTATGCAAGAGCTAAATCTGTCTATTAGGCCTGAAATGTTATCTAAATTATTAATTAGACATTAATTAACCTATCCAGACCATAATCAACTCTAGATGGCATCGCTAGCCTGCGATCTTTAGTGGATCATGAGCCGATTTACTGTATAACTTTCCTTCACGATATAACGATTAAATGGATAATAGAGACTATGCTGTTTATCGTACTGACTTTAGTAATGATAATGGAGGCTAGGCGGAAATTTCAATCGCTTAGTTCTCGGTTCACAGTGGATCAATTTGAATGGAATTTCCAGCAAATTGCCTTTACATTATCTAGTTTTAAACTATTATAGTGAGAACTGCCAAGTCGTTATCGAATCTCCCATAATGTATCAGCTTATGGAGTGTTTGTGTCTCAACTAATTCGTTACGCGAGAGCTTGTTCATTTTATTCTGATCTTTTAAGTAGATCGAGGCATTTGTCATCTAAGCTTCAACTACAGGGATACTTGCGAACTAAACTTATTAAAACCTTTAAAATGTTTTATGGGCGTCATATTGACTTGATTGGTAAATATAACATGTCTCTCTCGGCTATTATTCTAGATATATTTAATTGACGCGTATACAATCTCCCTGATAATGTTTGTCTACTACATCGTGAACACTGTTCATCAGGTGCATTTTGCATACCGATAGTCCATTGTCCAATCACACTATTTTACCGAGATTTCGCCAAATAGTTTGGATGCAGCTATGGCGGGTGTGGCGCCAGGCAGGGTAAGCTTACTCTTCCGGACACCTGTTACCACTGTTTGTCGTGTATTTTGTACACGGTGAACAGTCCATATGCTGATTACACTATTTTGCCTTATTACACTATTTTGCCTATACCTTTTTTTGGGACTTCGAATTTTGTCTAATGGTTTGGATTGTTCGTACTTGGTTTTATTTTATCTTTAACTTTACGATCTTGTTGTTGTCCTGTACGGCCTCATGAATTGTTGTTATATATTGACCTCGTAATTTTTGTATTATAAAATCGCTGTCGTGAGAAGAGAGGGCTGGTCATCTACTCTCTGTCATAATAAAAACAAATTAACTAGTCAGCTGGACCTCCTGTTTTAATTTGTATTTTTTATTATGACAAAGAAATAAGATGACCCGCCCTCTCTTCTCGCGACAGCGATTTTATAAATGTGTATTAATGTAACTTTTTGATTTACAAGGACTTTTAACAATTTTTCAACTCTTTAGGTAAGTATAAATAATTTAATTAAATCAACCTGTCTATAATATCATATTTACTGTATTAGACGTTAAATCTGTAATAAACAACAACACCATGTATTAGCTTGATAGCGTTGAGAGAATACTTTTCGAAACGTTGCCCAAATAAATTAATAGCTGTTATCTTTATGTGAAATAAATAGGGGTTTAATCAGGGCCAAATTACTTGTGATTATTTGCAGTCGTAATATGTAGGCTATAATTTATAAAACACGAGTTGAGATTAATTTGCTACGTTTGCCTGAGGGTAAATCATCAATAACCTATATAATATACTAAAGAGAGAGAGAGAGGGACAGAGAAATCATTTCTTGTACATTTCGGGACTAACATATGAGTCTTTAGCATTGGAAGAAACCGAAGGACCCTGAGAAACCCACGAAGTTGGACAGGTGACCCTATACTCCTTGTCTCGTGATAGCTATAGGAATCGGAATCACGACACTTGACTCAGTGACAGACCCTATCATCTAAAGCTCGCGTGTTAAACCATGCTGCCACCCAATCCTCCTATTTGCTCTAAAGACCACCCTTCAAAAGCATACCGAGTCATGCACGACACTCGTCTATATAAATATATGAGCGGTTGCGGCTTGCCACAATAGAAGGGTTGGCTCGGTTTCTCTCTGCTTCTCTGTTTTGTTAAATCTGATTAAAACACAATTCCTATTTCGTTTCGTTTTTTATAGTTCAAAATTTCGTTTTACTTGTCGTTGCTACACTAGGATCTGGAAAAGTTGTTATATTACTGGCGTTCTGGTTGAAGTGAGGGATTAGCCAATGAAACGGTCTGTTACGGCGAATTATTGAAATAAAATTAAACCATATGTTAGTCCCGAAATGACCTAGTTTGTGTCGAGTGGACGTTAAACCCCATTTCTCTCTCTCTCTCTGTCTTTCTCGTGTATAAATATGTGAGCGGTTGCTCTCTGTGTCTCTGGTTTGTTAAAACCCATTGTGTAGCTATACATGTTAACCCTGCACTTGCACTCGCGCATTTCTGTATCCAGTTTTTGGTAGCTAGCAATATTGTACAGCAATTAAATTTCTCCCTTGTCTATAGGTAATAGTAAGTTTTTGTCATCGTTCATGGCGGTGGCGGATTGGGTAGCTCTAGAACCTTGTACCAACTGGTTTCCTTGGGATCCCATCGCGGTTAAGAATAAGTCACATCTGGGGCGGATCCAGGAATTTGTGCACGAGGAGGCTCCTGTTAAGAAAATCTGACAGTTGACAATGCATGATGCCATCATCGTCTCTAAATTACCTAGTCATAAATACTCATTGAACTTTTTAAAGATAGAAATCGAACACCCGTTTGACGTCAATTTGTATAACGAATTAATAGGATCACATTGTGATTCAATTTGGTGCAAAGCATTAATTGTGATATCACACATGTCTATATGATTATTTCGCGTTTTGAATGACAATCCCATCCCACCATCTGATGATACCGGATAAAGCACACGACCGTTACACTTTTCTCATAAATGGTTGTTTTACCAATTTTTTTTTAGCTGAGCAGGGTGGGGTTTGCCCCCCCCCCCCATCGGATACGCCCCTGGACATATGAGATAACAAAAACTAGTTTGATTCACCTTTCCCATACCACACGCACAGATCGCTTTTCTCCTCGGATGCGTCGATAAATTTTAGTACCCCTCAATGGGCCCTCGTGCCACGTCCGACGGTCCGAAGACCAGCCCCACCCCAACCCCACTGTATATGTGAAGTTAAAGCGAAACATAATAAAAACAAGTCATATTATAATATACTGTAACGCTGTGTACAGTCTATACAGTAACACCCACCCTCGAATTATTGAAATAAAAATGTTACGTACTAACCTCTCAAAGCTTTGAAAAATTATGATCTCAACATACTCAAGTCAACAAATTCTACACAGCCAGATGAAACAATATACAATAAATATACTTCTATCACAGTGGGTGTTTAGTCGATGAAATAATGAAAATTACCTCTAATTGCCATAGTGACCTTTATGTTTTAGTTTATTGCCTTAAAGCATGTTAAAGAGACGCGTGTGGTTTGAATTTCTAAAATCAATTTTGTATTTTTAATGAATGAAATGTGGTTTAATGTGCTGTTTTTCTGCTCTAGTCGGGATAATGAAGGCGTGGAATCAAATTTAGTACTTGAGAGAGATAGAGGCCGGGTGAGAGAGAGAGAGAGAGAGAGATAGAGGCCGGGTGAGAGAGAGAGAGAGAGAGAGAGGGAGATTTGGGTAAAGATGGTTGCCAAAATGAAATGAAATGGGGTTTAACGTCCTACTGTTCTGCTCCTATACTGGGCTAATGAAGACGGGCATACGCCATACAGTGTGCTATGAGGGCAGCGGCACTATCGCCTACTCTTATATCGAATTCCAACTGCCAAGGGATCTTTTACGTGCATTCCAATGTATACACGGGACCTCGGTCTTTCGTCTCATCCGAAGGACTAGACAGCTGTCCTTGTCAGGCCCTCCGTTCTGCACCACTGACAAGGGAAAACCACGTCGGAACATCCCGATGAACTTTCTCGGCCAATGCAGGGATCGAACACGTGACCTCCAGGCTAGCAAAATGGTTGCCAAACGTATTTTTCATATTACTATTTGAGTTAAAGCCGATTTTGAGAGGGAGGGCGAAGAGGAGAGAGCGAAGATGAGAGGGTAGAGAGAGAAAGAGAGGGGAGGGGAGCTGGAGCGAAAGGGGGGGGGGGTAAAGATGGCTGCTAAATGTATTTTTCAAATTAGTATTTGACTTTTAGCCGCCGCTGATCCTCTCATTTGAGTGAGAGAGAGAGAGAGAGAGAGCGGGGGGGTGGTGATATCCCCTTGTCAGTGGTGCAGGACGGAGGGTCTGTTCAGATGGGACAAAAACCCGAGGTCCCATGTACTCGATGGCGTGCACGTAAAAGACCCTTAGAAGTTGGAATTCGATATAGGTGTAGGCCGCGGGTAGTGCCGCTATCCGGGCAAAATGCCCCCCCCCCCCGCATAGCATACTGTATGGCGCACGCACGTCTTCATTTACCGAGTCAATTCATGGGTTAATTTTCTTTATTACAAAATAAATGCATTGTATATCTCGTTAGATCTTACTTGTCTATGATTTAAAAATAATGATAAATTTGTTTATTCACATTAACATTGATAACTGTATTAATTAGACTAAAATGATTTAAACTGCCTCGGGGGATAACGTTAAGGATTTCTCACAACAGTAATGAAACAACGCTTGTTTAGGTAATTCGTCAAATATGGCAGCTCCGCTTTAAAGTAAATAGACCTACTCATTATTGCCTATTAAACCTAAGGCCATATTATTTATCCCGTATCTAGACAAAATAACGATGTTAACAAATTTGAAATAATTTAAGCTAAATATAGTAATCACCTAATGATTTTATTATTTGTTGCTGGGTACAGGAAATAAAATGGGATTTAACGCCCTGCTGTTCAGTTCCGGTCGTGCTAATTAATGAAGACGGGCATACGCCATGACGTGTGCTATGAGCAAATTTTGCCCGGGGAGCGGCGCTATGACCTACTCTTATATCGAATTCCAACTGTCAAGGGTTCTTTTACGTTCATCCCGATTTTCCGGCGTGGTTCTCCCTTGTCAGTGATGCAGGACGGAGGGGCTGACAAGGACAGCTGTCTAGTCGTTCGGATGTGACGAAAAACCGAGGTCCCGTGTACTCATTGGCGTGCACGTAAAAGATCCCTTGACAGTTGGAATTCGATATAAGAGTAGGCCGTAGTGCCGCTGTCCGGGCAAAATTTCCCTCATAGCACACTGTATGGCGTATGCCCGTCTTCATTAGCCCAGTTCGGAGCAAAACAGTAGGACGTTAAACCCCATTTCATTTCATTTCTTTTACGTGCATGTCAATGTGGACACAGGACCTCGGTTGTTTCTTTTTATCCGAACGACTATACGTTGCCCTTATTGGTCCTGCACCACTGACAAGGGGAACCACGCCGGAAAATCCCTAAATCCCGATGAGCTTTCTCAGCCAACAGAGGGATTGAACACGTGGCTTCAATTAGCCACCGTGGCTCCTATGTTGTTAATAGAGAGAGAAATGGGGTTTAACGTCCACTCGACACAAACTAGGTCATTTCAGGACTAACATATATGGTTTAACGCACTCGTGCAATATCAATGTACTTAATGTCTCGCACTCGACCATTAAACTACATAAATATCGAATAACAACTACTTAGGTTGTAATACGGGTGTTGGGGTTAGGGTTAGGGTTAGTATCTCGAACATCCCTATACCAGGCCCACAATTGGCATCTCCTAATAGTCTGGTCGGGGTAGAAAATTTGTGGGAAGAAATTCCTACCCAAATGATTTCTTCATTTTCTGAAACAACTATGTCCCTAGTGTTCCAGAAAAATTTTCCCCGCCGATCGGAGTTGAGCAAAATTTTTTACACCATATTGAAATTTTGACCCCCTGGGTCAACATAATGAAACTGAAAACCATTTATTACTTCAAAAATATCAATTTTACAGCCTAGAAATGTATTATCAACATATAGGAAAGTGATACCAAGGAATCCAGAAATGGCGTCAAAAATAACGTACGACGTCACCGTGACGCCAGAATACAAAATGGCGGAACTATGACGTCACTTTGATGTCCAAAATTCAAAATGGCGGAGACGTGTTGTGAATAAAGCAACAACAGCAAACAAATAGACAAGAGGAACATTCTGGACACCATAAAATATTCATTCGGATCATCATCAATAAAATCATCAAAATATTCTTCAGTTCTGATTTGTTCTACCCCGTGCCAAATTCATCTTCTAAATCAATGCTGATTTGTTCGCTATTCAGACAACCCTCCCCGTGGCATCCTCCACACGCTTCAACACATTTCAAACCATTCTGTATACAAGAACATGACGAGCATTGGTTTTTCAACGATTTACATTTACACCGGATGAAATTCAGAACGTTGTCTGGTGCTGATGGAAGAATCGTCGCGATGGGAACGTATCTATTCTCTATCACTTGCCAACCCCAATTCACAGGATCGACGCCATCGTCTAGTTCATCCCAAATTCTAACCTGAACATGAACGCGGTGAGCATGCTGCTCGGCCGCGGCAGCTGTTGGAGGAAGTCTATTGATTTGAATGGAAATTTTTTCAGCGATCATAGCTTTGTAACTTAGGTACCGGACTTTAGTCAGAGATATCTCATTTTTGTGACCATACATTACACAGAATAACCTTTCTCCAGCTTCAGATACTTCGGACTGGGAACTTCCAGGTGAAGCTATTGTCTTGCTAGCTTCTCGAAAGATGTCACTGTTCGTATGTTTAAGAAGTCCCAATTTACCGAATCCGAAACAACCAGAAGTGGTATCACACCCAGACCAGGCGTGAATGAACAATAAATTGTCTAATACAGTTTTATCCATTGCGCTGCAGACTGATTTTATGTCATAGGTGTTCCGCTTTTTGTCCAAGTGGCGAAGATGAATTGTCGCCATTTCTGCTTTCGCGTGGTGCAGTAATAAGACCAAAATATCTGTGTCATTGGCAACTACCGTAACAGGTTGACAATTTCTAGCGTAGTCAATACACGTCTTAGTAATAGTGACATCTGCATCACCATTGCACCATTTTGTCGGGACTCCATGGGATTCAAGATCGTTGACTACCTGATTGATTAGACGGATTTTGTTTTCAGTGTTGGCCAGAAACTGGGCTTGACTATAGATAACTGTGGTGTCCGATTTCAGAGAAATGTCACTGCTCCTATATTTAGACGTAGCAGCTCGGCGCTCGTGCTCATGATCCTTAATATTTGGTTCATAGCCGTCGAACACGACGATTGGCGAGGGAAATCTTTTTACAAATGACCGATAGTTTTCTAAGATGTTGGAGATATTCGTACCCTTATTCCACCTTACAAAATTAATTAGCAGACCTCCATCAATGACAGTTATTTCACTGGTGAGCGAAGTGTTCGAAACGGGTGAAACGTTCTTGAGCAAATGCTGAGCGAGATCGGACTTGGTTACATGTCGCATGAAAGCTCCTGCAAACAGTGAGGACGGGAAGGCACTCAACTCATATTTGAAGAACTGTTGAATATCTGTATCTGTCCGCTGTGCCACCGTAATACATCTTTGAAAAAGAACTTCTGGTTGCACTCGCACTGTCTTGCCTTGAACTTTAACACCTGGCTTCAGGTCATCCAGAGTCTTCACGACACTAGATCGTCTGATCTTTGCTTTCGAAAAAATAACGTTGTTAAGAGATTCTTGGATCTTGTATCCGATAGTTACGGCGTCATCACAATTTATCCCGTCCCCGGATTGGGACGTCAACCCAGTCGAGAGTGACCGCAAGTCGGAGACTTCGCAATCGAACGGATTGTTTGTATCAAACCAATCGATCAATTTAATTAGATGATCGGTGTCTGTTCCTCGACGCGAAATACCACATTCAACATGCTGTTCAGATGTGTGTAGGTCTTTACCGGTCAAATTTGACATGGCCATGTGCATCGCGATTATAAAAGGTTTACAATAGACGAATTGTTGTCTCACACTTTCAGTGAACCCGCGACCATGAGTCAGTCCACTGCGAATTTTCATCGATCGCATGGCGGTTTGTTCAATACAGAGATCGTTTGGTAAGCCATTGAACGGATGACCCGACCGTTGTATTACATGCATACCTTTTGGCGCGTAGAGTTCATGTAAATTTGGATGAGTGTGGGGAAGTTCACGCATTTGCTGCAGATATAGTCGAGCAGACTTGGCATAATGCCCATGTCCCGCTGCAGCGAACAATGGAAGAAGTTCATTCGTGATGTTGAGACGCCCATCCCAAAATTTAAGTCTGTCACAAGCTATGAAATATTCAACAGTTTTGATTTGCTCTAAAAAGTTTATCCATAGTTTACAAGTTCTAGACTTACTTTTCAAGTTGTCTTTCAGCAAAGATAGTTTGACGTCCAAACCACATCGGTGGATGGCATCTACAATGTCTTCAAGTTTTCATTCCTCGAGCATAAGACATTTTTTTGTGAATTCTAGGAGCTCTTCTTCGGAAAAGATTGGTTCCATCATTGATATCAATTTGTAGGATAATGCGGCGTCCAACAAATGGAGAGCCCGGATCGCTCTAGCTATTGCTTTCCCACTTATAATCTGTGGTATGCTGTTTTCTGCATATACTACCTTCAAGGCATCTTCCACACCCGAACCTTTCATAAAATGGAACAAACTTCCAATTGCACTCATTAGCATATGGAATTGGCCCATTCTAACACAAACATTATTGATGCATTTGGATAAAGTGATTTCGACCGCCTTGATATATAACGGTTGGTCAAATGTAACAGAAGTAGAATCGACGGCCGACTTGCTCACCTCTTTGGATATGTAACTGAGGCAGGAGAATAGTGTTGTTTCATCGCTGGGGTTCAAGTCTATCAACGGTAAGATTGCAATGCTATCAAGGTCAGTTTCATCAGTACCTTTGAATATGTAAGTCATAAAACCAGACCAATTTAACCACGATTCATTTGATTCCCGACAACGAATGAACAAAGTTGAAGACCAAATGATGTTGGAATAATAAATCCACGGCATCTCGACATAAGGGACTTGCAGCTGAACTAATGGTTTCAATTTGACCCCACTTAGTGCAGGTGGTCCTAGTTGTACGTAATTCAAAATGGGTATACCTCTATTTTCTGTGATCTCGGAAACTTTTACCCTGGCACGTCGTCGAACTGACTTGTTATCATATCGTTTTAGCCTCTGTTTTGTGGCGCATATAATAGCAAGGCCGTGAAATGTCCCTTTACCATCTATGGATTTAATATTGGCGTCAGCGTTGTCAGCAACAAAACTAACAGGTGTTGACTTTTCTATTGAAAAGTTATTGATATCAGCATCTTGCACCAGCGAGTTTTTGAAAAGTTGAATCTCATCATACGATGTGCAAAACCCCAATGACCATAGTTCTTCTATCATCCACTTTGAACCGATCATATGATCTGTTTCAAGACCAAGACCAAACAGCAATGGAGCAATCACCGACCGAGGCCTAGTGGCTTGAGTTAGGGCTTGGCCGATTGCCGCAGATTTCAGGGTCTCTCCAATCAGCTCTTTCAAAAATACACGCATACTGTTCACTAGAAACGATTGACAAGTGTCAACATCTTTAACATCGTTTTGGTTAGGATAGGTTTCTTTTTCATAATGTCGTTCCTTTATCTCTGCTTTGATGAGTCGCGCAGCCGTTTTCAAGATTCTACGTGATTCAGACTCTACATCATTTTCTCGATTTTCACACCATGACTGGTTAACTATGTAACCCGCCATATTTTTAAAACACACAACGTCTTTTCTCGTCCCACATGCTTGAGCGAAGAATATATGATCCCCGTACCGTTGTTTTAGCCTTTCTCTCATCCACTTTTCAGAACATACGTTGTCAGGATCACCACTCAAATCAATCATTTTTTCATAGAGTTCTGTAAGTGAGTAAGGTTCAACTTCTTTTTCCAACCAATCACATAATAGCTCAAAATTAACAGCATGGGTTTTATTAACTGGACGTCCGGGTACGTCTGAAACGGGGATTTCTGACAATTTAAATTCATGGTAGCATCGCTTATGATAGCGGCTGTTTGGAGAAACTAAATCATTGCATGACAATAATCGCGGTTTAACATCCTCGGTCCATCGATGGGCTTTTGCATCACAGTCTCTAAGAAGTGATTGCTTCAATTCCAGGGTTCGCACAATCACGATGGGGTCGCGATTTGGGTTTTTTGTGTCTTGTATGGCTGGGGCTGAGCAGAATAGGCAGTGTATATTCCAATCAAACGTGGACAAACTCGATCGTAATTTCTTCGCGGTATCATCATCACCCGAACATCCGGCATCATTCGCCCGCTTGCGATAATTCTCATTGATATTTCTACGACAATATTCATGAATATAGCATAAATCTACTTGTTGGAGTTTCCATTTCAAGTTTTCATGCACATGAGCCTCGCATGATTTCATCAACGTTTCTCGTCCAGTTTTGCCGACTTTGGTCAAATGTCCATTTTTCACACCTTCCCCGCATTCGATACAAACTCTGTCAACGGTCGGAAGCAATGTCTGAGCCATTAATGACCTCGACGATGAACCAGCAATTTGTTGAGAAGTCGTAAACGTGCCTCGTGCGTAAAACTACTTTCAGTTTGATCCACGGCCAGCTTCAGGGCTGGATACAAGTCAGACCAGCTTCAGGGTTGGATACAAGTCAGAATAAGCAGAGTGGCTAGTTAGAATAAGAAATTACAGCTTGCGTATATTTGACAAAGGAGAAAAGAATTCTGACGTCACAGTGACGTAATAGTTCCGCCATTTTGTATTGTGGCGTCACGGTGACGTCGCGCGTTACTTTTGGCGTCATTTCTGGATTCCTTGGTATCACTTTCCTATATGTTGATAATACATTTTTAGGCTGTAAAATTGATATTTTTGAAGTTATAAATGGTTTTCATTTTCATTATGTTGGCCTAGGGGGTCAAAAGTTCAAAGTGCTGTAAAAAATTTTGCTCAACTCCGATCGGCGGGGAAAATTTTTCTGGAACACTAGGGACATAGTTGTTTCAGAAAATGAAGAAATCATTTGGGTAGGAATTTCTTCCCACTAAGCTGGATTTGTCACCTTCTCCAACCAGCCTATAATGAGAATAGTGGAGGTTCCGCCTTCAATGATGGATTCAGCATGAAATCTGGATAACGAAGGCTACAATGCTGATCATGTGACCACATAACCTTGAACTTGAGTTTATCCCTCGCCTTATTTAAACACGGCAAGACAGTTTTATAAATACCACTGAACTTGTCGTTTAATGATGTCAAACTTGATAATAATAGAAATGGTGTTACTTGGAATAATATATTTAAAGATTACTTATGCCAAAGGTAAGTCGGGTTGCTTGGGTAAATTATTTATGTCACATGATCTCACATCATGCTATCATAATCATCAGGCCTATTTCAGTATTTGGCAAGGGCCGGGGCGAGGGGGGGGGGGGCGCTCTGTCTGTCTGTGGCCCGCCTAGAAACGCGGCCGTTAGCTGCATTTCTAGACAATCAATTGCTACTTTTATAGTAAAATTGTCAAAAATGTTATATTGCACCCCTTTTCGTGAGAAAATAAGTTACAGAGCCTGAGGGTGGGTTTTATTAAAAATAAAAGGCGAACAAACAAATTACATCAATGTAGGCCTACTAAAACTATAGGCTATAAATAATGTAGGCTGAGATTATTCATTAATCATTTTATTTAAATTATTTTGCTACTTTTAGGGGAGAGAAGTGGGGGTACATGTACGGGGTGGAGACAACGTCAGGTTTAGGTCTAGCTAGGGAATTAGCCTAACCCCGAATTTGATCAAATTCTGAGACAATATTTCTGCTCACTTAGGTGCATATTTTACAATTGCATGTTTAGAATTATTTTGGAGTTATTCGACGTTATTTCCATGAAAGTAGGAGAAACAAAATATGCATTTCTCGAACAGGGGAGATCCCCCCCACACACACACACACACACAGGCGCGTGCATTATTCATTGCTTACTCCTCTGCCTTTCTTTGTGCGCCAATGACGTATATGAGTGTCTATGCTAATTCTGGACAACTATTCAGTATCGTAGGCCTACAGTTTAATATGAATTGGCTTCTGTCTTAATTAGTGAGGAGAGTGGTGGGAGGTGGATGGCCGAATGGTTAGCGCGTATGCTATGCGCTGTATCACAAGGTCTGTTCATGGCGTGGTTCCGATTTCCCGGTTGTACGTGACAAGGAGTAGGGTCGCTTGTCCATCCACATGGGTTTTCTCCGGGTCCTCCGGTTTCCTCCCACTGCTAAAGACCTCTACGCGAAAGCGAATTATTGAAATAAAATTGAACCATATGTTAGTCCCGAAATGACCTAGTTTTTGTCGAGTGGACGTTAAACCCCATTTCTCTCCCTCTCTCTCTCTCTTTAATTAGTGGAGTGTGAACCATGGCAGTATGGTCCTCAATGTGAACACCTCTGTGGTCAATGTAGGAATTATCAGTGTGATGATTTAAGTGGATTGTGTCAGGAAGGATGCATGAGTGGTTTTACAGGCGACAGGTGTGATACACGTGAGTAAAATACATTTAACACTAACCTATTTTTAAACATACATTATGCAATGAGCTAAATCTGCCAATTAGATAAATGTTATCTAAATTATTAATTAAGACATTAACTAACTTATCCAGACCATAATCAACTTTCGATGACATCGCTAGCCTGCGATGTTTATTGGATTAGGTTCCGATTTGCTGTTCGACTTCCATTCATAATTTAATCATGAAATGGATGATCGAGGCTATGTTTTTATCGTATAGACTTTAGTAATGATGATCGAGGCTAGGCCGAAAATACAATCGCTTAATTCTCGGATCAGAGTGGATTAATATGACTGAAATTTTCAGCAAATTGCCTTTACATTATCTAGTTTTTAACCATTATAGTGAGAACTGCCAGATCTTTATCCTTTCTTCCATAATGTATCTTTAACTGTGCGTAATTTGCATTCTTCGGAAAATATCAAATTTATCACGGCTTTATCACCCCTGCTATAATATGTACCGGTACGGGGATTAATTATTCGAAATTTAATGAAAACATATTTTTTTAAAAAGAATATCAACGCTAGATAATCTCCCACTTTTGATTCAATCGGATTAGGAACTGGCTTATCGGGAAAAAGATTTCGCAAAACGTAGAGATGGTGGTGGAGCCGCCTAGATCGGTGGAATCTCGGAGAACGCTAGATCGGAGACGGTCCTGCATATTTTAGCACATATGACGCCATATGTGGATTGTGGGTTAGGGTTAGGGTAAGGACCTGCAGATTTCAAGATGTAAACAGGGCTAGCGCTAACCCTAACCCTGGACCAAGCCTAACTCTTACTCTAACCCATTCGGCAAACCTCGGCAGATTCCGTTACTCTACATCTAGCTAGATATAGTAGATGTAGGGTACTGGAATCTGCTGAGGTTTCCCGAGTGACTCTAACCCTAACGCACAGTCCACATGGGCAGGACCGTCGCCGATCAAGCGTTCTCTGGAAATGAGCCATTGGGATGATATTTCCGTTAAACACTGGCCAACTCATTTTCGAATTCCAACTGTCCAGAGTTCTTTATGTGTACGTCAATGTGTAGGCCCTATACCAGATCTGGGTTTTTTAGTCCCTTCTGAACGACTATAGATTATACGTTGTCCCTTGCCAGGCCCTGACACCGTGACCCCCAGGTCGTAAGGAATTCAGAGTTATCTCCTCACTGAACCACCGCGGCATAGAAATATATAAATAGACTATTTATATATTTCTATGCACCGCGGCCCCCTGGTCGTAAGGAATTCAGAGTTATCTCCTCATTGTGAAAGTTTGTGAACAGGCCAATGCATCTATAAATTCTCAAAAATTGTGTATCGTAAATTTCCATAGATTTTTGTCCTTGTAATATTGCATTTTTAAAAGCTTTCACATATTTGATAGCGCCCCTTCTGGAAATACTGATACTTCATTTCGTATTTTGATATTGATATTGGGAATTATTTGTATAATGTCTGTTTTGCTTTCTTTTAACAGCATGTCCAAATACTCGCTTTGGACCAGCATGTTCACGTGAATGTGGCAACTGTAAAGCTGGCGTATGTGTGAAAACCAATGGTGTTTGTCATTTGTCGGGCTGTAAAAAATTGGAGGGTAATTCATTGTATTATATGGGAAGAAAATGTGAACACCATCTCTCAGCAGATGCGAAACAATATATACCTTGATGAATTTCCTAATACAAATTTACAATTACTTCAAATATATTCTTTCTTCTTTATCATCGGTTCTTACTCTGGGTTCCATTTTCTTTTTTTCCTTTTTTTCATCCCACCAACTTTTTCTTTTAATTTTATAAATAAACGAAGTGTAATGGGGTCCTACTGTTTTGATTTAAGCTGAAAATGTAGGAGCGAGACTTCGCTTCGAATAACCAGTACGGTGGTTGTAATTATTGTACACGTCTTGTCAAACCTTCAAGGGCTAATATCTTCGCTCGCAATAGAGTAATTTGAATGAAATTTTTAAATTATTCATTTTACATTATCTATTTTCGAACTATTATAGCCAAAATGGCTAGCTCTTTATCTCAATCTTACATAATGTATCTAAAAAGTTTAAAACAATGTCCGCCCATAAACAAAGGCTATGAATAATTTACTAGATAATTTGACAAAATCAATATCTAGGTCGGAAAAATATTTTATACATATGGAAAGGTATCACTACCAATATTAAATGCCCTGTTACAATGTAAAAAGTACAATGTACAAATTCCTAATACCGATAATGATAAAGTCAAAATACCTCTAATGCAATGTAAAACGTCAAATGTTAAGTGTCAAATGACAAATGTTTTGTGGAAAATGCTTTTTTGACGTGTCTGCATTTTACATTTCTCTCATTACATTTTACATTTGCGCTCTGCCACATCTCATTTGTCCTTCACGCTTTCTACATAGCATCTTTCGCACAGCATCATCTTTCATATGCAAATGTGGGATATCACGTGACTTATTAAAATTTTCGGAAACCTGGCCCACTATAAGCCAGAACAAGGATATTCACGACCACGACACTATAACAAGAAATGAGCTTAGCACATAATAAGAAATTTGCTTTGACACTTTGAATGGTATACCATTATTACGGGCCGTGTGTGACGGGGGGGGGGGGGGGGTATGCTGTACAGTGTCCAAATACGAAATTCCAGGTATCATGTTACATATTAGCGAAAAGCATGTTCATTTCTATTTGTAAATAAGTAAATAGTTTTCTAGTACAATCGTAATTTCATAATTCAAATCCAATAAATATCACAGACTAACGATGCCATCAAGAGTTGATTATGGTCTAGTGGATTAGTTAATTTGCCTAATTACTAATTGAAATAATATTTATAACCTAAAGAAAGACCTACAATAGACAGATTTAGCCCTTGCATAATGCATCTTTAAGTAATTGCATGTGCGTATGTGTGCGGGGGTGGGGGTGGGGGGTATTCATATTAAAATACGAGTCTTAATAGAAAAAAATCCAAAATGTTACCTATAATTGCTCTTTTCAAATATGTAAATAATTTTCTGGCACATACTCCCAGAAAAACGATCAAAGTTGGATGGAACAAAAATCTATTGTCATGATTGCGGAGGGGGGTGGGGTATTCAATGTTAAAATACGGTTCTTAATCCGAAATTCTCGATACCATGCTACCTATCACTAAAAGCACGTCTATTGCTGCTTAAAAATGATTTAAATAATCTACTGGCACATTTAGATTAGCATACCTTGAAAAACATCGGGTGGTAGGAAACACTATTAAAGGGGTCGTCAAGTAAAAATACTGGTCTAAAAACGAAATTCCAGATACCATGTTACGTATCACTGATTATTTATTTGTTGGGCACAATGCTTATATTTGCTTTTTTTTTAATGGATCAAAGTTAATTATATTCTGTTTATTGAAAGACCGTCAAAATAGGGGTATTAATACGAAATTCCAGTTATTGTGTTATAAATTACTGGAAAGTATGTTTCTTTGGCTCTTTGAATCCATCAATTATTTCCTGGCACATTCAGGATTACGCACGGTTTTCTAGATAGTTTCTTATAGTATGCTAGCTTGATTTACTGTTATCGTGCGGTGAATATCCTTGTAGTGTGCCTGGTTTATAGTGTGCCAGTTTTCCGTATATGTCACGTGATATCCTACATTTGCATTTGAAGATGCTATGTAGAAAGCGTTAAGGACAAATAAGATGTGGCAGAGCGCAAATGTAAAATGTAATGTGAGAAATGTAAAATGTAGACACGTCAATAAAAGCATTTTCTAACAAAACATTTGCCATTTAACACTTAACATTTGACGTTTTACGTTTAACATTATCGGTATTGGGACTTTGTACATTGTACTTTTTACATATTATCATTGGAAACGACATTGTCGCAGAGCATTTAATATTGGCAGCGAAACCCTTCCATGGTATATATACATAAATATTTGTAGCGTGAATATTGAAGGGAATTCCACGGGGCGGGGGCCGGGGGGGGGGGGGTACCTGTCCTCAGCACGCGATACATGTAAGTATGGAGCCATGCACAACCACAGACGTCAAGTCGTTTTTTGATATTAAATTTTTTACGGATATTTTTGAATCTGAATTCGACGGCAAAGTATTCAATTTAGCACGCAAGTTTGGTACCGGTAGGCTACCATGATACTTGCATGGCGAAATTCATGTGGATACGGATTATAAAATTGCACGAATCTTCAAGTCGCTGAGATAAAGCAGATTCGCGGACTTTCAAGAATTTTTAAGACATTCCCATAGGTTTCATATTACGATATTTATATGGAACAATGTACGTAAAGAGTGTTTGTGAACCTGCATGTATGGATAGTGCGTGATGTGACTGGTCTTTGATAAATGGGAGTGAAAGGTTAGTTACTGAAGCGACCGGTATGAAGAAAAGCTATACCTGTCGCTTTCTAGGCCAGATCAAGGACGGATTTTCCGGAATTTATATGAGCCCGTGACCTTCGACAGCTCTTCAGTAAGGAGATTTGAAAAATAAACATGAAAATCCGTTATTTTGTATTCAAGAGAAAAAGAATTTAAAACAAAATTTGTATTACTCCTTTTGAATTTATGGGCCAGTGAAATTGGGTCTTGGCTTGTAAAAAACTTGTAATCTACTGGGCCGAATGGTTTGTGATTTCACATCTTATTGACTGAATCAGGTTATGCCAAATCGAAAAATTCTACCAAGCCTCGATGCTATTAGCCTACGATCAAAGTAGCCCCCCCCCCACCCCGCAAAAAAAAAAAAAAAAAAAATACCCATCAGCGTAAGTTTCTGTAACTCTTATTTTCTTATTCAATGTACAGTCACTTCGTTTTGTTGCAAGACAACCTAAATTTAAGAAAGGATAGGCGCGAAATAAATAATATCCGGATTGAGATTGTTTCTGGCTGGGTATCTTTTTTTTTTGGGGGGGGGGGTAAGTCTATAACTTTTAACATTATTAAAACTTTTATTTTTACGAAACGGGAAACTACTAGGCTTATTCTATAAAAGTTTGGTATGAAAATCTTATTGTCGAAAATACAGATCGGATTGTATGTAGGCCTACCGTTGTTGTACGACTGAGGGCCATGCCATATAGGCCTAGACATTATTCTTTCTCACTAAAATCAAAATAGATAGATCTAATTCGCCACTATAATATTCAAATTTTAATATATTTTTACGTTACTTTTTATTTGTTTCGGTTTTTACTTTTAACGCTAATTTTAACGATATGTTAAAAATTGAATATTAGTGGTGAAGTATTGATTTTAGAGACAGAATAATTCGGTGCTGATGAAAATTAGACCGGTTTTGGGGAGAAAAAAAAAACTAGGAGTGTCTGTTTATAAGGATGACCAAAATGTCATTTTACATTGCCAGTCTTCATTTCATTCATTTTAAATGGACTGTTATTCGTTGTTATTTGGTTACAAAATTTTCCTTTTTACTAATTTACGAAATAGTGGCATTAGCAGGAATGGATTATTGATAAATACCTTTTAACAGAAAATCGACACTAAATGATCCCCAAAAGGTGTACAATACATGTGACATTGTCTCTGATTGGCTTAACTTTATCACACCAAGTAATTTGATTGGACCAATTTTCTATTCGTCGATCATTTTAAAAGACAAGTCTGTTTGAATGCCGATGAGGTTACATATTCTTCATTAAAAAAAAAAAGGCAATTTCTGTATCAGAATGGCATCCCAAAATCAGAATCCCACAGTGGAAACGCATTCACAGAAAGAAATGACAGATACACCTCCAGTACAACAAGACAGTCATTCAGTGAGTAAACGGTAGGTGTATAAAAAAAATTACATATTGACCATATTGGCATTGCGATTGGTTGTGATATTGTTCCACTCCACTCCAGTCCTGCGAAACGGGATTCGTGAACCATATTTACCTATTTTGTCATTGATTGACGATTAAATTGTTTTAATTTTACATTGATCACAATATCATTTCTTGGCATTCGTGTTTGAACTTTGATGTGACTCCTATTTTTGTGTCAAAATATTTCATTGTTCTTTTTGTTGTTGAAGATTTTGTCTTCTTACTGATTCACATCATTATATGGTTTTAGTTAGGCTAATCTTAAATTAAACCCCTAACCCTGAATTTAATAATTTATAGGTTTTAATCTTAAATACTAAATCTGACCCTAACCCTAACCCTAATCCTAAAATTAGTGATAGAAATCTTTGGTAAAAATCGTTTAAAAAAATCCCCCAAAATCATCTTCCTTGTCAGTGATCCAGCCGCAGGACGGAGGGCCTGACAAGGACAGCTGTCTAGTCGTTCGGATGGTACGAAAAACCGAGGTCCCGTGTACACATTGGCGTGCACGTAAAAGATCCCTTGGCAGTTGCAATTTGAGTAGGCCGTAGCGCCGCTGTCCGGGCAAAATTTCCCTCATAGCACACAGCGTATGCCCGTCTCTATTACTTAGCCCAGGTTAGGAGTGTCCAATTACAAGCATTTAATTTAATCTCACACATAAAGGCTATTTTCTTTTTTTTAATTTCAGGTTACAGCAAGAATTAATGAAATTAATGGTAAGTCAGTGTTATGGTATTCTTATTGTTCATGAGTGTTGACTTAAAAATAATACACTAGAGTAGGCCTACAGTGCCACAGAGTGAATCAAGCTTTTCTCCAATCTTATTCAAATCATTAGACGGTGTTGTTGGTTTGTATTGAGGACAAATTAATATCTTGTGAAATGAAAAAAACAAAGCATGCCACTTTTGCACAAATGCTTATAAACAACATAACCGGTAAATGTAGTGTTATTGTTTATGAAAAAAAAGTCTTTCAGCCCAGTAGGCTAGTGATCATTTGACATAATATTAAACATGCATTATGCTGAGCAAAATCTGCTTATTACAAGTCTTTCTTTAGGCCTGAAATGTTATCTAAATTATCAATTAGACATAAATTAACTTATCCAGACCATAATAAACTCTCAATGTCAAGACTAGCCTTTGATGTTGGCTGGATTAGATTCCTATATGCCGCTTAACGGCCATTGATAATTAAATCAAAACAGTGGATAATCGAGACTATGCTGTTTAAATTAATGATTTTAGTAATGATGACCGAGACTATGCGAACATTTCACCTGCTTTGTTCTCGGCTCATAGTGGATCAATTTGACTGAAATTTTCAGCAAATTACCTTTACACTATCTATTTTTAACTATTATAGCGTGAACTGCCATCTCTTTATCTTATCTCCCATAATGTACCTTTAATAAAAAATAAAAATATCCCTTGTTGTTCTGCAGCTTATTTTTGGAATAGATTGTCTGAGAACCAGAATATATTTTTGTATGGCCTAACATTAACAATAACAGAGGGTTGGATGGCCAAATGGTTAGCGTGTGCGCATTGTCTCGTAAGGTCTGTCATTGAATCAACTGGCGTGGTTTCGATCCCCTGGTTGTACGTGACAAGTAGGGTCGCCTGTCCAACCTCGTGGGTTTTCTCCAGTTTCTACCACTGTTAAAGATTAGACCCCTATGCGCAAGCCAATTAGTGAGATAAAATTCAACCATATGTTAGTCCCAAAATGGTCTAGTTTGTGTCTGTGGACGTTAACCCCCCCCCCCCCTCTCTCTCTCTCTCTCTCCTAACAATAACATATTTGTATTTTATAGACATCTGGTGATCCAGGTATCTCAGCATTTCCTGATGGTGATAATTTATTTAATTGGATCGCAACAATAGAAGGTGGTGCAGGAACTGTAAGTTTTTTTAATTTAAGTTTAAGACACAGTTGAAATGTCTATGACTAGTATGAGCCAGAATATTGTCTCAACAGATTATTTCAGATCACATGTTACTCATATCCAATATATAATAGTGGGCGAACAGCTGTCCTTCACGTTTTACCGAATGGTGTGGTAGCCATAAAAAAAAAATCCAGTATACGATAGTAGGGGAATAGGATTCCTTGCTCTGAACATTTTCAAAGATGTCGAAAAGCAATTTGGTGTATGTCCTGGATAACGAATACGATCAACAGAAAAAGTTGCATGATCTGAGCATTCATCAAAAAAGGGGAAAATAGGCTCATGGACGGAGCTTTCTAGCATTTATTTTTTAATTTTGATGTCTGTCAGAGAGTGGGTTTGTCACTGAGTCAAGTGGCATTGGGTCGCTTGTCCAACCTCAAGGGTTTTCTCCTAGTCTCAGTTTCAACCCACAGTTATACGCAAGGACATTATTGAAAAAAATATAACCATATGTTCGGCCCGAAATGAACTAGCATGGGTTGAGTAGACATTTCTCTCACTGTCAGAAAGTACTAGTATGGTGGTGTAGACGTGTCCACAAAGCTGCCACCATCCTAGTGGAAATAATTATATTTTTAAGAGGACATGCGTATTTTTACATTGCCAATATTTTTATTTTTAATGTTTTAATGTGTTTTATAGGTCTACGAAGGTTTGAAATATAAATTGACATTTGAATTTCCCAGTGGTTATCCATATCAAGCCCCAACTGTCAAGTTTGATTCACCATGCTATCACCCTAATGTTGACGGCAGTGGTAACATCTGTTTGGACATATTGAAGGATAAATGGTCTGCGTTATATGACATTCGGACCGTTCTTTTATCCATTCAGAGCTTACTGGCAGGTGAGTCAAGGGGAAGCATATGTATATTAGCTTAAAGATGCATAAGAATGAGATAAAGAACTAAAATAACAAAATGAATATACTGACCAAGTGGGCTTTGCCTAGCCGAAATCAAATTTTTTTAGAGAAAATAAATACTATGGTCATATAAGGAAAAAAACGTAATTCAAGATGATTTATGTAAGATTTAGATAAAATTCATCAGAAAACCGAGATCCTGTGCACGTAAAAGATACCTTGGCCGTTGGAATTTGATATAAGAATAGGTCATAGTGCCACTGCCTGGGCAAAATTTCCCTAATAGCACACTGTATACCTGTCTTCATTAGCCTAGTCGGAGTAGGACGTTAAACCCTGTTTCATTTCATTTTTTATACGCCCACATGGAAATGTGGTCGTATATTGCCGTCGCCCCCGTCTGTCGGTCCGTCCGTCGTCCACAATTTCTTGTGAACACTCTACAGATTACCTTTATCATCTGATTGTTTTGAAATTGATATATGTTGTTTGCATTAGTGAGATGAAGAAGCCTATTTAATTTCAATAACTTCCGTTAATTTCGTCTGGAGTTATGGCCCTTGTTTCACTTTGTTGCACCTTGTGAATGCTCTAACGACAAAAGTTATCAACCGATCTGTATGAAATTGATATGCATCATTGAGTCGACTGGCGTGGTTTTGAATCCCCAGTTGTACGTGACAAGGAGTAGGGTCGCCTGTCCAACCTCGTGGGTTTTCTCCGGGTAGCGAATTATTGAAATAAAATTAAACCACATGTTAGTCCCGAAATGACCTAGTTTGTGTCGAGTGGATGTTAAACCCCATTTCTCTCTCCCTCTTGTACGTTTAATTATTTTTCAAAAAATGTATTCCAATCCGCTGAATATCGCAGGGTAACGATGGCATCGAGAGTTGATTATGGTCTGGATAACTTAATTAATGTCTAATTAATGATTTAATAACATTTCAGACCTAAAGAAAGACCTGCATTAGGCAGATGTAGCTTTTGCATAATGTATGTTTAAGCTGTGTTCAGGACTAAAATTAACTATTTACTGTATTGTCTTTATTATTTCAGAACCTAACATCGACAGTCCACTTAATGTTCACGCTGCTCAATTGTGGGAAAATCCAGCTGCATACAAAATATATTTACTTGAAAAATATGACAAAGAAGTTAAATCAAAACAATCATGATGTTATTTTCTAATTTTTGTCTTGTATATTCATTCCATAGCTCTCAGCCTGTCCAACCTTTGTGGGGTTTATCTGGGTCCTCCGGTTTCCTCCCACTTCTTAAGACCCCTATGCGCATGTGAATTATTGAAATAAAATTGTACATATGTTAATCTCGAAATGACCTAGTTTTTGTCGAGTGGATGTTAACCCCCCACTTCTCTATCTCCCATGACTCTCACTTAGCAGCCATATTTGCCTTTCTTGACCAGCTAACCTGGTCAGTCAATTCACATGATATAAAATGAGAATTATAAAGAATTTGTCCTAAACAAACAATAGATAGAACTCAATGACCATTGAATACCGCTCGGGTTATTCAATGGTTTTACTCAAGTGTATCCCTGCAGAAGGATTCCACGAGAGAAAGTGAGTGGAATGTGGCATGGATAAACTCGAGTGAACCATTGAATAACCCGAGCTGTATTCAATGGTTATTGAATTCTGTTTTTGTTCTATAACTACATGTAAATCTCAAAATACACTGTACTATCCAGATTATCAAAAACAAAATCACCAATGACGTTAAAATTCATCATAGGTTCAGACCTTTTTTGTTTCTTTTTTACAAAAATTGTGGGTGCTAGTGGTGACGTCATTACAATTTGATGTAATTCTGAAAGTGACGCCATTCTGGCCAAAACTAGTACGTGTCCAAGCCATTGAATACAACCATAGGTTATTCAATGGCAGTATTCAATGTTATTTGCATGTAATTATAGAATAAATACAGTTAAATTCATAGATAATGCTAAAAGAGGTCATATTCTTTGTAAAAAAAACATCTTACTAATATGAGGTATACAAAATAGGTTAATTTTGACCAGTAAAATCCTTCTTCATTTATTTCTTGTAACATAAGCTGATTCATTGTATATTTGTCCGAAATAAGAACAGCCTACATTTTCAACGTTCATATTTCATTTCTTCCCTATTTTCTATCTGCAAGAATCATGACCATTCTTTGCCGAATACAGACTGTGTGAATGTTTCTATTGTTAGGATGCACATTCTTATTAAAACACAGATCCTATTTCGTTTTGTTCTTTATAGTTCAAAATTTCGTTTAATTTGTCTTTACTACACTAGGATCTGGAAGAGTTGTTATATAACCCGCGTTCTAGATGATATGTGAGGGATTAACCAATGAAACAGTCTGTTGCAGCATTGTTCTTGGCGTGCTGTGCACAGAACTGTGGGTATCCTACTAGAAACATCAATGCTGATTGGTTAATCAAATTTCTGATGTCATAGGGTCAAAAGCTGCTTGTATGACCCCTGACGCAACCTCCCACTACAACTAGTCAGCTCTTCATGTAGTAGATAATAGGCTGGATTGATTAGATAATTAAGTGATCAACGTATTTATCGTTTTATACGGTCTATACACATACCTTGATTAACTACTTAATCTGCCTTGATTGACTGACTTAATTCTTTGTCGGACAATTCATCAATTCAATCCTGAACAGAAGTCATTGCTCCTCCTTTGTCAGACTATATATCAATCCAATAAACTTTATCTATGTGATTAGATATGTGATGTATGAATTTGAATATTTTGTTGACACGTGATTCTTAATTGTGGTTTGAAAACACCTGCTTAAATAACGATAAGAGTTATGTCCCTTTATTTTCGGGAGGATAATGTCCGACAACTAAAATTTTGAAATCCCATCACTGGTAGAGGCCATCGAAAGTATAAAAAATGAAACAAAATATAGATTTGTATTTTAATCAGATTGTAGTAAGTAAGGCCAGGAGCCTTATTCATGAAATCATAAGCTAAAATATTTTAACAATTCAGCATTTTCATTGGCTAAGAATTAAATACCTAGTGAAAATTTTAGCTTTTAACCAATGAAAAGGCATTATTCATAAAATATTTTAGGTTAAAATTTGGTAAATAAGACCCCAGTACAAGTCTAGAATGTACAAACTATGATAATGATATGTTTCTTTAATTTCTTTAATTTAAATCATAATGTCTTCTTACTTCTTCTTGTATTTATATATATTTTGCTATTTAATTGTAATCAGGAATAAACAATCTACACAACATTTTAATTTCTTCATTTTTAAATGTGTCCTTTTCGTGGCCACACTTCAAAGAGAATGAAGTCATTTCTTATACGCTCACAGTGAAGTGGTCATATATATATTGACACCACTCATCCGCCCATCGTTCGTATTATTGGACCTTTAAAGACACCATACAAATGACGTGAAACGCATACACTCTTTACGAAAAACCTTACGTACATTCTATTGTTTCATAGTGAAATGCCGGGTAAGTGGGGAAAAGACCGATTACCTATCATTAAACTAAATATTTCAGCATTTGCCGTCCACATTTTTCGGCAATCAAAGACATCATCCACCACGACATTACAAATATTATTTTGAATGAAAACCGTCGAAATAAATTTGGGGAATTTACCTTCAAGATGTTTCACATTTGTATACTCTTAAACAGAGACACGACCCCCCTCGGCTCCTTAAAAGCTGCAAACCGTTTTATTGTTTTGAACGAAAATCGTCCAAACAAATTAGAAAAAATTACACATTAAACATTCAGCAGGTATCACTGCTGGGTTTTTTTTCCTGAAATGAAATGGGGTTTAACGTCCTAATGGGCTAATGAAAACGGGCATACGCCATACAGTGTGCTATAAAGCGAAATTTTGCACGGACAGTGGCGATACGGGTTATTCTTACTAGGCACCTGTCACACTGTTCAGCAGTGAAATTCGCTAGGCCCCTTCAATCACTGATAAGGATGACATCAATTAAATTCTAAAACATTTTTTTGATGTATTAGAAAAATAAATAAAGACGTTTGGCGTATTTGTAGGTAAAAATTATTTCCTATTTAGTGTAAATGGGTATTAAAATGACTAAAAAGGCAGCATTCTGCCAGAAGCAGTAACGTCTTCTGTAAACAATGCACGCGCCATTCAGCCAATGATTGACGCCGCGTGCTGTGACGGCACGTGTTTAATGCAGTCATCTTTTACAGAGATATTAGAAGACTCGTAATTCTCTGTGAAACAGTTTGGGCGCCCGTCATTTTAAATAAAAAGTTATTGAAATTGAAGAACACGGGGTTGTCAAAATTCATAACAATTCAAAATCGAGTCTTCCCACTCATGCAAACTCCCACACTCTTTCTCGTTGACTCCTCAACAAAGGCCTTTCCACTTAAAATATTTAGTCAGATTGTTTTATTCTGAGCGAAGTTTTGACAAGAAATACCTGTTTGTCGAGTAACATTACCATAATAATAAACAAAGTCTAGATTGTCAGTCCTTGAGTGAAGTTCATTGTTAACCGTTTATGTTGCACGGATGAGCTAACCCATTCAATATCTCAGTCACCCGATGGTCTAGTCAGAGGGCTTGTCATGTGAATAAATGTCTAAATCATAATATTTATAACATTTGAAGCCAGAAAAATTACCTGCAACCGGCAGATATAGCTCTTGCATAATGCATTTTCAAAGGGGCAATCCATGTCTTCTTGGGGTTCTGAAACCTATATACCCGCAAAAAAAAAAAACCCTCTCCCCTTCGGCCTGAATTTTCTTATAGATCCTCCTGTAGTATATCGGTTTCAAAGACCACTTAAAACATGACTAGAGTCACTAAATAAATGTAGAAAATGTAGACTGAGGAACCACGTGTCCCCATATACTGCAATACCCATATGAAAATTCAGCTCCAATTAAGTTCCATAACTATACGAACCCAATGAACAGAATAACAAAACTCGACCCGTGCATAGTGAGTGACCACAAGACAATTCATTACTATCCAAGATCATTGCTTACGTTTATTAACAAATTCAAAGATATGCGCGTAAACGCAAAACGTATAAATCACTAATTCCGCACGGATGACATTAGTATAGAAATACAGTTACGGCCAGAAAGGTTGACACATTTATTTTAAGTTTCCAAACCCGAACAAACATGACAGTTATTTCGTGGGTTTAATTTGTGTACCCTTGATAAAATTAATAGGGCAAAATTTAAGGAGACTGTTTATCAAAATATATGCCGGATTTCCTGGGAATTAATTTGTCATCATTGTCAATTTGTTATTTTTGATTTCCTTCCCCGATTCTTTTTCATTGCTTTTTCCAGAATTTGGTAGGATCTCGGTTTGTATTTCCTTTTCCAATGTCAGCGTTCGATCTCATTTAAAAAATTGTTCAGGTTCAGTGATTCATTTTAAAATTAAAGATTAAAACCATATTCTCAAATTTCCTCTGTGAGTATTGCAGGTGACATGGGCTAGTTTGTGTAATGGGCTGAATTGTATCCTTGTACGGACTACGCCTTTAAACAGTTATCCAAGTTCATTCTGAAAATAACTGCCGATTCATAAGATATGGCGGGAAAGAAATCTCCAAAATATATGACCTCAATACAGCCTTTCATGGCTCAAAACACTGACAAAACAAAACATTTTTTGAAGAACCCCCCCCCCCCCCCACACACACACACACACAGTCATTTCCGTATAGAGTATCAACGGACAATTTTTTTAAATGCGATGATCAAAGTTTTATTATTCTCACACCTACACACCTAAATTATTATAGTATCCCGTGTTGGCGGAGAAAGTTCCCAGGGATTTTGCACTGCGGTATCCCTGCAAGACGGGGGCCTGACAAGGAAAGCCTCTAGTCGTTCGGATAGTACAAAAAACTAAGGTGCAATGACCAGTAGGCCTACGTTGGCATGCGCGTAAAAAAAGACTCTTGACAGGTGGAACTCAATATAAGAGTAGGAGGATGAAAAGCACTGCAGTCCGGCAAAAAATTTCGTCCGTCTTCATTATTCCGTTAATTCATTATCCTTAATTGTCGGTTGTCGGTGCAAACAAGTAATACGTTAAACTAAACTCAGTACCAATATTTTCTTCTGGAAAGACTGGGGATTTGCACTCGGTTTTCCGAGTGTTTTAACAGTTAGGGCAGACAACTCCTGCAGTCCACGGCATTGTTGTTGGAAGAGCCAGGCTGATGCAAACACTACAGATTTAGAGATAACCGTTATAAATATTTTGTATGAGAATTTCCCCAAATGTTTCAGATTTTGTGATAAAATTGAATGAAGTTTTTTGTACTAACACGATAAAATGTCTGCAAGTTGTATTTTCATCTATTCTTCGGCAAAATTGCCTTTGAGAATAGCCCGACAGAGTCGGCTTTCTTGGTCATGCTGGACCTCTGAAAATCGACATTTTTGTTCTGAATCCCAACAAAGTGAAGGCAGCAAGAGCACAAAAATAAGTGGCGAAGATTTATCAAGAACTGAATTTGGAAATGAAGAAAAACAAGGTATTAAAATGGATGGTGACCTGCAGTGCATTGTGTTGCGTTGGAAGTTCATCTCATCAGTCATGCATAGCCTATTAAATATATATACCCATACTATAGTATAGGGCTAGCCTACATTACATTTCATTCAGTAATATTTAAAAACTGAATCAGACAATGAATAATAAATTATTCGATAGTTCTCCTTAGTTGTGTTAGCTCCCGTTATTTAAAATTCCATTCAATTCAAATTCAGCTGTTCTGCCTGGCTATGTTTAATTTATCAAATTCTATTTCTACTGATATTTTTACATATTAGGCCTAAATTATCCCAATCAATAAACAGGCTCCAGGTAAATGTTGGCTGGGTAGATCATGCAGGTCAGTTGTGCTGTTTGATGTCATTTCTGCATGGAAAATCCATCTTTCGTCTTCGATAATTCTACTTACCCCAAATTGATAATCCTGCGGTGGTGTCGTTGGGAATTTCGGACAACCTTTCCTACTAAAAAAAGACTCATGTAAATGTTACAGTGTATAGTTAGTATTAGGGAGGGTGTGTGTGGCCAAATGGTTAGCACGTCTGTCGTTGGGTCAACTGGCATGGTTTTGATTCCCCAGTTGTATGTGACAAGGATTATGGTGGCCTGTCCTCCGGTTTTCTTCCACTTCCAAAGTCCCGAATGACCTAGTTTTTGTCGAGTGGATGTTAAACCCCATTTCTCTCTCTCTCTCTCTATTAGAGTTGTCAATCTCATAAATCTAATGCCCATAATATTCTCAGTGTAGTACTGTAAACATACCAGTACAGTGGATATGGAAGATTAGATAACGAGCTGACAGGTCTCACTAGAGCTTCTCCGGTTGTAAGTGGCATGAGTAGGGTCGCCTGTCCAACCTCGTGGGTTTTCTCTGGGTCCTCCGGTTTCCTCCCACTGCTAAAGACCCCTACGCGCAAGCGAATTATGGAAATAAAATTGAACCATACGTTAAACCCCATTGCTCTCTTGCTGTCACTAGAGCTACGAGAACGTAGCTAAAAAAGTTGAGATATACTGATAGGGCAAAAAACACATTGGTGTGCACGTAAAAGAACCCTTGACAGTTAAAATTCATAATAAGAGTAGGCCGTAGCTTCCCTACACTGCATGGCATAATGCCTGTCTTCATTTTCCCAGTCGGTGCAGAAAAATAGGATGTTCAACCCCAAAGTTTCATTTATTTTATTATTAGTTTTATATATTTATAGAGGAAGATAATGGTTTTCCTTTAAAAAGAAGGATTTTGCTTGATCCCTCAGCTGTAAAACAGGTGTTCTACTTTGATACTCTAGGTTTAGTGAAAAACTTAGAAAAAAATGGTAAGTAGGGCTACACGTATCTGATTAAAACACAGATCCTATTTCGTTTCGTTTTTTATAGTTCAAAATTTCGTTTTACTTGTCTTTACTACACTAGGATCTGGAAGCTTGTAATTTTATCATTGACATGTACTGGATGGTGTGAGGGATTAGCCAATGAAACGGTCTGTTAGGGCGTGTTTTAGGCGTATTTTGCACGGGACTGTGGGTAATCCACTAGTAACATAAATGCTGATTGGTTAATCAAATGTCTGATGTCATAGAGTAAAAGCCGCTTGTATGACCCCTGACGTGACCTATCGCTACAACCGGTCAGATCTTCATGTAGTGTAGGCCATCGAAAGTATAAAAAAACGAAACGAAACGAAATATAGATCTGTATATTAATCAGATTGTACACCTATGTACTGTTTTTAAAGTAATGACTAACAATAATGCATCATTTGCATATTTCGCTAAAATATCAAATTTCTCTCGGCTTAATCCATGGTAATATGTATTCAGTTTGATTATTTAACATTTAATTAAGAAGTCAAAATCCAAAGTACCAAAGTTAGATAACTCCCTCAGTCCCTCCCAGAGTCCCGGCTTGGATTATTTAACATTTAATTAAGAAAACAAAATCCAAAGTACCAAAGTTAGATAACCTCGCGGAGTCCCGGCTTGGATTCAATCAGATTTAAAAAAAAGGCCTATCGTTTTTCTTCGCCCACAAAAAAAATGATGGCAAGCGGATTAGCATAGATCAGTGATTCTCAACCAGTGTTCGGCGAAATTTTGAACGGCACACTAAGAAAATGTGAAAAACCACGTGATCCAAATTGAGTATTGACTGGTGTCTACTGATAAGTTCATAGCTGTGTTTTTCTTTATTTAGTTTGAGTCATTCTATGTGTCTATGACTAGTCTCTGTCTACGGTTGTATTCCGTTTGACTTACCATGGTTGTTTTTTTTGCAAAATTCAAATATTTTTCATATATATTTAGCCAGGTGTGCAGCTATTTTTTCACGTGTTCCAAGGTGTGCCATTAGCATAAAAAGGTTGAGAACCACTGGCATAGATTGATGAAATATCAATTTAACATAACTTAGTTAAGTACTGAACGGACCGAATTTTCCTACGAGAGATTCCTTTTTTTGCAAGGGGTTCCTGTTGCATAAAATGACGCATCAAGACTTTAATTTTTAGATCATACATGTTTTTGGTCAGATCTTCATCGAAAGTATAAAAAAAGCGAAACAAAATATAGATCTGTATTTTAATCAGATTGAAATTCATTTGAATAAATATATTTAATTATGGTTAAATATCGCAGGCTAGCGGTGGCATCGAGAATTGATTATAGTCTGGATAAGTTAATTAATATCTAAATAATTCAGATAATAGGCAGATTTAGCTCTTACATAATGTATGTGTAATTATAATTCAACAGGTTTTTCAAGAGAGCAAGCTGAAGGTGTAACAGAAGGCTTTGTTGAGATTATACATTCTACCTTAGATTACCAGACAAAAAATATGGTTACAAAACCACAACAGGTGAAAATACTTTATTTTATCTATAACTTTAATATAGGGGGCTTGGCAATCTATTTCGTTTCGTTTTTTATACTTTCGATGGCCTACAATACATGTAGATCTAACAAGTCATAGTGGGAGTTCACGTTCTATGACGTCAGGTACCAAGCAAGCGAGCGACATTTGACCCGATTACGCTGGTCATTCGATTAACCAATTAGCGACCACCATGTATTTTTTATCTACTTTTGCTTTGTTTTGATTTCTATTGCCGCTAATGTCTACCCACTGTTCTGCGCAAAAAAGGTCAAACGCTCGAATCGACAGACCATTTGATTGGCTGACCCCTCATTTCAAGCAGAACACGAGTTAAATAACAACGCTTCCAGATCCAAGTGTAGTATAGACAAGTAAAATCGAAATTTTGAACTATAAAAACGAAACGAAATTGGATCTATGTTTTAATCAGATGGGGGGCTTGGCTGAGAAAGGTCCTTGGCATTTTCCGGCGTAGTTTCCCCGGCTTGGTTCCAGTGGTGCAGGAGGGTGGATCTGACCAGGAACAGCGTCTAGTCATTCGATGGTTAAAAAAAACCAAGGTTCCATGTACACAATGGCATGCATGTAAAAGATCCCTTGACAGTTGAAATTCAATATTAATAAGAGTAGACCGTAGTGCTGCTGCCCGGGCAAGATTTCCCTCATAGCACACTGTATGTCATGTGCCCATCTTCATAAGCCTTGTAGGAACAGAACAGTAGGACTTAAACCCCATTTCATTCATTCCTCTGTCTCTCTGCAAGTCATTTGGATGGGATAAAAAGAACCATGAGGTCCCGTGTTGGCGTGTATGTAACAGAACCCTTGACAGTTGAAATTAAAAATAAAAGTAGGCTGTGGCGCTTCGATTGGCTGCTGTCCTTGCAAAATTTCCCTCATAACACAATGTATGTAAGCCTGTCTGTCTACCGGTAAGTAGGATATTAAACACCATTTCATTTCTCTGTCTGTCTCTCTGTCTGTCTGTCTCTCTCTCTCTCTATCTCTCTCTCCATTAAAGATACATTATGTAAGATTTAGATAAAGAGCTAGCCATTCTTGCTATAATAGTTCGAAAAGAGATAATATAAGATGAATAATGTGAAAATTTCATTCAAAGTACTCTATTGCGAGTGAAGATATTAGTCTTTGAAGGTTTGGCAAGATGTGTGCAATAATTTCAACTACCGTACAGGTTGTTCCAAGCTAAGTCTCCAGGTTGTTCAAAGCTAAGTCTCGCTCCTCCATTTTTAAATTAAATCAAAATATGGCTGAACCGTTCCAATCTATTTAATATCGGAGAAATCTGGTGACATTGAGAGTTGATTACGGTCTGGATAAGATAATGTCTAATTAATAATTTAGATAACATTTCAGGTCTAAAGAAAGAGCAGCAATGGGCAGATTTAGCTCTTGCATAATGTATGTTTAATGTTTAAGTGCATATAAATTACAAACCAATACATTAATTTGTTTGGGTTTTTTTCTACACTCTAGGAAATAATGGTGCAACAATTATTAGCTGAGATTGGTGGGGTTAAAAAAGATATGGTTGTTCTTCAAAAGAGTGAATTTACAGCATTACAACATGATACAGAAGTATGTTAACATTTGGAGAGCAAATGAAATAGGGTTTAATGTCCAAGTTTTAATAACCAACTTGGACATACAATATATTATGTTGAAATTTTGACAAGTTTCTGTCTACTCTTCATGGAATTCCTTGCCTGTCAAACCTTGTGGGTTTTCTCCGGGTCCTCCGGTTTCCTCCCACTATTAAAGACCCCTATGCGCAAGCGAATTATTGAAATAAAGTTGAACCTTATGTTAGTCCCAAAATGATCTAGTTTGTATTGACTGGATTTTAAACCCCATTTCGCTCTCTCTGGTTAATGCATGCGCATTTGATCACAAGGTCTGTCATTGAGTCAAGTGGCGTGGTTTCGAATCCCAGCTTGTACTAGGAGTAGGGTCACCTAAAATTGAACCATGTTAGTCCCGAAATGACCTAGTCAGTAAGCTAGTACCATACTCACTAAGACAGTGTGGCCTCCTTTCTGACATGTTAATTTTCTTCTTTCATTTTTAATCCTTACTAAATTGTATGTGAATTGTTTCAGTGGCGGGGGATTGGATGGCTGAATGGTTAGCGTGCACGCGCTGTATCATAAAGTCTGTCATTGAGTCGACTGGCATGGTTTCGAATCCCTGGTTGTACGTGACAAGGAGTAGGGTCGCCTGTCCAACCTTGTGGGTTTTCTCCGGGTCCTCCGGTTTCCTCCCACTGCTAAAGACGCCTATGCGCAAGCGAATTATTGAAATAAAATTAAACCATATGTTAGTCCCAAAATGACCTAGTTTGTGTCGAGTGGACGTTAAACCCCATTTCTCTCTCTCTCGTTTCAATGGCATTAATTGAACTTTAAATACACAGGTCACAATTCTATGGAATACAATTAATGAGCAGCATTTCGACTAGGATTCTCTAGTCTTGACAGGGGGTTGGGTGGCCGAATGGTTAGCATGTGTGCACTGCATGATTAGGTCTGTCATTGAGTCAACTTGCATGATTTCGATTCCTGGATTGTAAGTGACAAGGAGTAGGGTCGCCTGTCCACCCTTGTGGGTTTTCTACAAGTCCTCTGGTCATTGGTTAAAAAGGACGACAGAAGCCTAGTAGAAACGTCGCACATAAATAAGCAGAATTTCATAGAATTTTAACCTGTGTAAATTATATATGTAATTTGTGATTAACAGCAAAGAAATGATTAAATTTTACAGAAACAAAGATTAGAATTAAAAATGTTAAAAGATTCTATTGATGATGAAATACAGAAAATAAAGGGTAAAGTTACCCTAGATATCAATTTAGAGAGAGGAAGAGCTATTGAAGCGGTAAGTATTTTTATCCACATTTTCGATGTGGGCTAAAAAAGTTCCTAAATATTTTCCAGCCTGTTTCCCCCTTGTCAATTTCCTGTATACCTTTCTTTATTAGCCAGGTCAAATTTACTCTTTTAAATTATAGAAAGTTTGATTTTATTATATTCCGTTCCCCGGTTGTACGTGGCAAGGAGTAGGGTCACCTGTCCAGCTTTGTGGGTTTTCTCTAGGTGATATTGTCTAGGCCTACACAAAATGTTCCCCTAATCATAGATTACCATTATGACATTGTGATGTCAAACCTCTGGGTCACTTAAGAGTTAAATAAGCTATGAAAAATCAAGATATGGTCAGAAAAATGCAAACATCGATAAGCTATCAGTGAAAAGTGGTTTTAACATTATTTTGTTTATTTTTAGCATGCAGATAGTGAAAAGGAGGTGAATAAATTACATAATAAAATTGACACTGGAATGGCAAATCTTAGAACTATGTTTGAACAGTACAGAAATGATGTTTTTAAATATGCTGGAGGTTAGTTTGTCTATTATGGTTTAAATTTGATTATTCAGTACTTGAAATGAAGGGGCAGGGCATTTTTTCACAAATGATATTAAACTTTTTAAAACAGAAATTCCGGGAACTCTAAACGTGAATGTTTTCATCGTTTCATTTATGGTACCCTCCTCAAAGCTTCAGGTAGGGTTTCGGCCTAGTTGTTACTCACAGCCTAGGATAGTATGAAAACACTAAGTCTAATTTTCAAAATTTTCTTCACATTTGTAGCGCCCGCTGATCACCACCACCACGGCCGACTGCGAACAGAAAGTTTGGGGGGGCATTTCATTTCTACCTCACTAATATTCATTGGGTCTGTATGCAGATCACTCAGCTGCTGTGGAGGTGTCGGTCACTTTCCGATCTATCTTTAACACAAGTTAAACCATAATTTCTTTTTATTACTTTCAGGTACAGTTTTAACATGTGCATCTATATCGTTGGGATTGATTAGATTATGGTCATGATACAAGATATACGCAAGAAATTTCAACATTTTCGGGTTTAGTGGATGTTCGGGAATATCGTCGTTGGATATAGAAAAAATACCATTTTATAAAGTAAACATGTAAGCGAGGGAGACCTGAATTCAAGTAAAACAGATGCTGTTTAATGGGATTATGGTCGCGATACAATATGTATACACAAGAAAATTGAACATTTTGGAGGATTTTAGGGAATATCATTGGATATAGAAAAAAATACTGTTTTATAAAGTAAACATTTAAGCGAGGGATCCCAGAACTCAAGAAAATTAGATCCTGTTTTGATTAGTAGTGTTTAATGGGATTATGGTCGTGATACAACATATGTATACACAAGAAAATTGAACATTTTGGGGTTTAGTGGATGTTAGGAAATTGGATATAGAAAAAATACCGTTTTATAAAGTAAACATGTAAGCAAGGGATCCCTGAACTCTAAATAAATAGATGCTGTGTTGATTGGTATTGTCTAATAAGGGGGGGGGGGGAACACTTCGGTCTCAGTTGATCGTCATCAGATATAGAATGATATGTAGAGTGAAAAACATAGGCTTTATATTGCACTTTATTTCTCCACTTAATGCCTATAACTTTTCAGTCTCGATATATGTATATGGTAATGATGTGTAGAATGAAAAACATAGGCTTTATATTGAACTTTATTCTCCAGTTAACAGCTCACATTATAAAGTTAACCACATTCAGTTATTAATTAAACATTCTAGGGACTTTTTTCTTCAGTGGATGTTCAGGAATATTGATATAAAAGGGACACTGTAAAGTATAAACCCCATTCACTTATTCATAAAATATTCTGGGGACTTTTTTTTTCTTTAGAGAAGAATGTGGTTATGTTTCTGTATATTAAGAATTTACATAGAATTTATAGGTATCGATTATGTGTGGTTTAATGGTTGAGAGCGGGACATTAAGTAATATATTGAAACAACACGAGGTACGTTAGTCCTGAGCTGTTGTTTCAATATATTACACAATGTCTTAAGCTCGAGACCATTAAACAACTTAAAATACAGACACTTACACGTGCTTTGTTGTGAAATACATCAAAGAAGTCCAATATTTCAACTAGTATAAATAATATACGCTTGACACATTGCCTGTACCATTATTTCAAATAATGGTACGCCAACGTCAAAGGATGACGTCACATCTGTATTTTAAATCCTGTGAATACATGTAGCTCTTTTCCCAGACCAATTTCATTGTTGTTTGTCAAGTTTAATCTTGAATTTTGGGTCCAGCAGTGCTGCCCTGTCAAAATGGGTATATTGGGGTGTGCACATACACATTTTTATTCACATTCTATACTTTTAAATATTTATAATAGACCAAATGTTATTTAATATTTTTATCTGTTTTATGAATGATCTGATCTTTGTTATGATTTTACTGTTGTACAAAATTTATGCCAAGTTCCCACTGTCATGCGATGCGTTACGGTAGGATTGTCCCTATTGAGTCCACGATCTGGTACGTGCAGATAAGTTTGGATAATTTTTGATACGATCAACACAATTGCTACGAGTCACCTCAATATATGATAAGAGCAGGGGCCTGTTTCACGAAATTTTAGCTAAGATAAAATTCAAATTTTAGTAATTTGATTGGATAATATTAGATTGATTTTAGTGGTTAGCCAATCAAAATTGAAGTATCTACTAAATTTGGATTCTATCTTTAGTTAAGATTTCGAGAAACAGGGCCCTGATAGGATCACTACGATTACTCCACGATTAAGACCACGACTTCTATCGCAGCGCGAATCGTGATAGTGGGAATCTAGTATTAGATATATTTTGTGTTTTAGTTGTTGTAGAATCTTATTGTTACTGTCTTGCCAGGAAATGTGTTTTCGTCCTATTGTTTTTGCGTTAATCCTTTAGCAATTAGATTGCCCCAATCCACCCTTACTTGGGCTCCTTTGACTGCCCCATAACATACACAGCTAGCAAATGGTCCTTTCAGTGTACAGAAAACTATTCACATATTTCAGGCAGTTTGAGGCAGTCTAAGATTCTAAGGAACAGCTGTTTCGACCCAAACCACCCTAACTTGGGCTCCTTTGACTGTTCCATTACATACACAGCTAGTAAAAGGTCCTTTTAATGTACAGAAAACTATTCACATATTACAGGCAGTTTGAGGCAGTCTAAGATTCTAAGGAACAGCTGTTTCGGTTTGTCCAGGGATATACGGGTATTAATATATTACTTTTCTCTAATTTTCTTCAAGAGGCGGGGGTAATCAATATTTATACCAAGTGCTAAAAGGTTAAGACATATTTAAAGGGGCATTATGGGAGATTAGATAAAGAGTTGACAGTTCTCGTTACAATAGTTAAACAATAGATATTGTAAATAGAATATGCTGAAAATTTCAGTCAACTTGCTGCAATCTAAAGGGGCATTATGGGAGATTAGATAAAGAGTTGACAGTTCTCGCAATAATAGTTTAAAAATAGATAAAGTAAATAGAATATGCTGAAAATTTCAGTCAACTTGCTCCAATTTGAACCGAGATATTAGCTTTTGAATTTTAGGCTAGATTGATCATCATTACTAAAGTCAGTATGTTAAAAAACAAAGTCTTGATTATCCATTCTAACATTTAATTATTTTTCAAAATATGTATTCCAATCCGCTAAATACCGCAGGTTAACGATGGCATCAAGAGTTGATTGTTGTCTGCATAAGTTAATGTCTAATTAATAGTTAATATAACATTTGAGACGTAAAGAAGGACCTGCAATAGGCAGATTTAGCTCTTGCATAATGTATGTTTAATAGTTTATATAACATTTCAGACCTAAAGAAAGATCTGCAATAGGCAGATTTAGCTCTTGCATAATGTGTGGTTAATTAATAATTTAGATAACATTTCAGGCCTAAAGACCTGCAATAGACAGAATTACCTCTTGCATAATGTATGGTTAATTATTAATTTAGATAACATTTCAGGCCTAAAGAAAGACCTGCAATAGGCAGATTTAGCTCTTGCATAATGTATGTTTAACCACTGTATATTTAAAGTAGTAGTAACACTAGTCAGTCTTAGTAAACATAATACTCAAAATTCTTTTAGAAGAAAATGTATTAACCCAAAGACCGCCACAAACTGCCTCAGCTAGGGTCCCTTAGACCACCCTGTCACATGCATAGCTATGGAACCCGCACCAGCTGGTAAATGGTCCTGTAATACAGAAAGGTATTCACATATCTCGGGCAGTTTGAGGCGGTCTCAGGAACATCAGTTCCAATCTATCCAGGGATGTACCAGTATTAATATATAATTTTCATCTAATTTGTTTTCCAAAGAAGTGGGGTATGTAGCACCATGGGCCTTCTGTCAGACGTAGAGAGCGGACGTTGTCAAACCGGTCGCCACATCCTACGTATGACCCATGCATCTTTTCTTACTACATATCTTAGTAGCCTTGTGATCGTCTAGAATTTGTCTCTAGCTGTTTTTGCTTCACCTTCACGTTGTGTATTTTCTTCTTACTGTTTTCTTAAGACGGTTGTCTCCTCAGTAGTTATAACAATGCAACAGTTCGTTTTTACATTTTATGTATCATATAGCTGCTTACATATGGTACAATGCATAATAGAATAAAGTCATTCTCTCAAACCTTATCCAGCCAGACTCGCTGGGCGAGTCTGCTGATAGAAACTGCTACATCTTTTCCCTTCCAGAATCTGTCTGTTGTCGAGGAACTCAGATGGAAATCTCTCCAGATTCTAATGAAATTTGCCATGATTTCTTTTATAGGACCTATGAATAACACGCACAAAACTGGCATATTCATGACCCTGAACCTGTGCAATTACTGATATAATTGGTCCCTTAAACCAAATGATGCAATAGATAAATTTCCAATCACATGTATTTTGTTGACACATAGAACCAGCTATGTTTTGGCTCTATAACTCTTTTGATGTGTCAACCTGTCACCTATAGTTTTAGAGCATATTTAGTACAATTGGCCAAAGACATTAATTAATGAAACATAATGCAACCATTAATTATAAGAGCAAAAATTCTAGCAATATTAATACAGGTAGTCAAGAGTAACATGTACCAAGGGATAAAGGGTTAATAAAATAATACAAATATTTTATTTATTTATAAAGAGTCATGATACCTTCGATTCAATTCTTATTTCAATTTTAAAATTTTATGAACTTTAGAAATTTTGAAATGTACATCATTTATTAGTTATTTATAGCTGAACTGGTGCACCCATGTTGTTCCCAGTTTAATTTAGGACCTTTTGCCTTCATATCAAATAAGGAAGAAACATGGCTCATGTACAGACAAACAAATAACTTTGTTTTAATTAGAAACTGTGTAATAATATGTAGGCTATCTATGAAGGTACCTCTAATTAAGTTTAGAATTATGCCCCCTTAGAGAGAGAGAGAGAGTAATGCATTTTTTATGGCAGTATCTGTACCAGAGAAAATGTATTTATCATTCACCTTTTAGTTCTAAAGTGCAGAGAGAGAGAGTCCACTCAAACTAGGTCATTTCGGGACTAACATATGGTTCAATTTTATTTCAATAATTCCCTTGCGCGTAGGGATCTTTAGTAGCGGGAGGAAACCGAAGGACCCAGAGAAAACCCATGAGGTTTGACAGGTGACCCTACTCCATGTCACGTACAACCACAATCAAAATACAAACCGTCTTTGTGTTTCAATATTATTTTTTTTTATACTTTAAATAGATTTGCACAAACATACTTTATAAGGTTGCATTTTATTACGAAATATAAAAGTAATAAGATACAGCATTCAGAGAATTGTACAGAATTCAAGTAGTCAATATTTACATGTTACGGAAAAAATTACATTTACTGTATCACTTGGTTGTTGTTGTTGTTTACATTATGTTATTATGAACAGGTTGATTTAATTACGTTATTTACATCACTTGGAATTCTATCCTTTATTTATAAGTGCAATCTGATTAAAACACAGATCCTATTTCATTTTGTTTTTTAGTTCAAAATTTCGTTTTACTTGTCTTTACTACACTAGGATCTGGAAGTGTTGTTATATTACCTGCGTTTTGGATGATGTAAAGGATTAGCCAATGAAACGGTCTGCTACGGCGAGTTCTTGGCGTGCTGTGCATGGAACTGTGAGTATTCCACTAGAAACATCAATGCCAATTGGTTAATCAAATGTCCGATGTCATAGGGTCAAAAGCCGCTCGTATGACCCCTGACACGACCTTCCTCTACAACCGGTCAGATCTTTATGTAGTGTAGTCCATCGAAAGTATAAAAAAACGAAACCAAATATAGATCTGTATTTTAATCTGCCTGTTGTAAGTAGGCCTACTATTGGTATTCAATTTATATTTTTTTGTTAACACATCAAATAAATCTATTGTTAATTTGAATAAATCTAACCATACATGAACAACTGTTTTATTCGTCTTTGTTTTAAAAAATTCTAAATCTATGTAACAAAGATAACATCCAAGGCATGTAGTTAGGTCTAAATATTAAGGCCAACTGCAGATTTGGTCACAGGTCACGAGATGAAAACAAGGCTAGCAATTCTAGACCTAGCCCTTACCCTAACCAACAATCTCGACAACAATCACGTGTCATAACTCTATTTACATCTCGCGACCTTTGGTTGAAATCTGCAGTCAGCTTTAATATTTAGACCTGACCTAACCAGTGCCATCATAGTTATTTCCTTGATATTCACGGAGGGGGGGGGGGGGGGTTGGATGGCTGAATGGTTAGCGTGCGCACGCTGTATCATAAAGTCTGTCATTGAGTCGACTGGCGTGGTTTCGAATCCCCGGTTGTACGTGACAAGGAGTAGGGTCGCCTGTCCAACCTCGTGGGTTTTCTCCGGGTCCTCCGACTGCTAAAGACCCCTATGCGCAAGCGAATTATTGAAATAAAATTAAACCATATGTTAGTCCCAAAATGACCTATTTGTGTCGAGTGGACGTTAAACCCCATTTCTCTCTCTCTCACTTTGATATTCACGATTCTGCCAGGTAAAATTTGTCTGTCAAGATACTTGAAGGGGACCTTTTTTGCCAATGTACAAATTTTAACATATGTAGTAAACTTAAACAAGATGATGAATGGATGAGAGATGAAACTACCACCAAGTAACATGTCGATCACACTGCTAACAGTAATTAACTTGTTTAATTTATCATGAGTTTATCATTGTAAAAGAAACACCATACATAAGGGGGAGAGAGAGAGAAATGGGGTTTAACATCCACTCGACACAAACTAGGTCATTTCTGGACTAACATATGGTTTAATTTTATTTCAATAATTCGCTTGCACGTAGGGGTCTTTAGCAGTGGGAGGAAACCGGAGGACCCGGAGAAAACCCACGAGATTGGACAGGCGACCCTACTTCTTTTCACGTACAACCGGGGATACGAAACCACGCCAGTTGACTCAATGACAGGCTTTATGATACAGCACGCACGTGTTAACCATTCGGCCATCCAACCTCACCCATACATAAAGAGGCTGAAATGAAATGGGGTTTAACATCCTACTGTTCTGAAATGAAATGAAATGGGGTTTAACGTCCTACTGTTCTGCTTCGGCTGGACTAATGAAGACGGGCATATGCCATACAGTGAGCTATGTGGGAAATTTCGCCGGGGAGCGGCACATGGCCTACTCTTTTATCGAATTCCAACTGCCAAGGGATCTTTAATGTACACGCCAATGTATACACGGGACCTCGGTTTTTCATCCCACCCGAATGACTATGATAGCTGTCCTTGTCAAGCCCTCCATCCTGCACCACTCTCTGCCAACGGATTGAACCTGGAACCTCGATCCTGCATGATTCCACATACACCACAGCTCACTGAGCACTAGTACTGCAGCATCATGTTCTAGCTGGATCCACATCAACCAGAAATAAGATAGGTAGGCCTGGCCTATACCCCATGCAGCTGTGCTATGAGGGAAATTGTTGGAGTGTCATTGATAAATAAGTGAATGAATATTGTCATTTCATTGTCTATTTTGGCCGAAGGTTTGCTGCATATGCCATGCGCACGATCAACATGACTGAGATGTCTTCATCATTCGAGTAGGCCTATTTGTCATTAATTATAGATACAACATAATTCTGACAAGTGGAGTAGGTTCAACTTTTATTAGCACACATAAGTCTATTCTACATCAAATTTTAACTACCCGGTACAGGTGTTTTTACTAGCTACGAGAACGTAGCTAAAAACGTTGAGATATACAGGCCCGGCGGAGTGGGCTGGGGGGGGGGGGGGGGGGCTTTACAATAATTTGGCCGCAAGTTCTCTTTTCTCCAGGTTATTGCGGCCCCTGGACCCACGCCTAAAGGACCTACGATGGAAGAACCCCCCTCCCCCTCCCCTTCAAACAAGAATTGCTTCCGCCGGCCCTGATATACTGATGTGGTTGAGAGCTAGATGCACACAATATGCCCACTGTAAGGAACTCAATTTTGTGTCGTCCTCATGTAATGCAGTCAATTATTAACGACAGGGAGAGCGAGCTTGAATGTAGCTGCCAATACACCACTCTCACTCAGTCACTGCATGAATTACCATTGAAGTTATTAACTCAACTGTATCGACCACCTGGGGATGGATGGAAGCCGAGATCTCTTGCTTTGAACGTAAGGAAACTACGGGATATTGGTAGAAGGAAACTTCCTGGACAGATTGTAACGTCGCTCAGTAAAATGTATCCACCGAAAGGCGTAAAAAAGTGGGTTAATGACTTTAACCCTAGCCCCAGCAGGGGTTTGAACCCTGGATCCCCGGTTTACGAGACCGATGCCTTACCACTTGGCCACTGAGGCTCGGGAATTCCGATTTGTTCAAGAGTAGACTTTTCTGTGCAATATTTTGAGGTGTGTCTCTTTCAATTAATCATCATCTATTAGTTGAATCTACAAATATAATATTGAAATTACGTTTTTTGTTCGGGAATCATCAATAAAGATGTATTTACTAAGAACAACCCAGTTCTCAAATTGAGAAATGGACGTGGATGTAATTGTTACTATATTTAGATATTCTTTCATTCGGAAAACATCGGTTCATTTCTATTGCTTGGTATGCCATTTGTTTGGTATGATTGGTGAATTTTCTGTACTAAAACATCCAGCCTTCACCACACTTAGCAGTAAATGCTAGTTAGCAGGGAAGTACGAGTAGAGCACATACAATTACAACACTAACAGTTAAACAGTATTTTAATTTGGGATAAAGTTATATAGGTATAAGGTTTTTAGTTACAGAACTTTCATTTATCAAAGTCTAACTTTTATATGTCTTAATTTTATTGCCAATTTCTAAATTTTAATTTCTGACAGATGTTTTTTTTCTTGAGTTACCTAGGCTATTTGGATAGGTATAGTTATCGTTATCTATTTTCTGACCAGTATTTTAAATGTTGTAAGAATGGACATGACCAAAACCAGTGAATTTGAATTGCCAGTACCCCATAAACATTGCCACATGGGGACCATATGGGGAAAAAATGGGCTGTGGGCCCAGGTGATACCACAAGGTCCCCATATAGGACCCATATTATCTTACCACATACAAATGTACGCAAATACACTTTATTATTTTCTTATATATATTAATATCACAGAGACAAGCCAAATGATATAATGGTTACTTCTTTTTTACATTGATAATCTGACCGTATAGTGTGTGTATCTGGGGCCAATATGGGATTTCCCACATTAACAACTCTGTTTTTGTACACTTGGGGCCAATATGGTGTCCATATGGGATTACCCGTGTGTGTATCTGGGGCCAACATGGTATCCATATGGGATTACTTATTAGTCTATGTATGAGTTCATTATTGAATCCATACTTTTAGTTGTGTATATATTAATATCACAGAGATAAGGCAAATGATATAATGGTTACTTCTTTTTTACATTGACAATCTGACCGTATAGTATGTGTATCTGGGGCCAATATGGGATTTCCCACATTAACAACTCTGTTTTTGTACACTTGGGGCCAATATGGTGTCCATATGGGATTACCCGTGTGTGTATCTGGGGATAATATGGTATCTGTATGGGATTACATACAACTTTTGCCTATCTGGGGCCAACATGGTATCTATATGGGATTACTTATTAGTCTATGTATGAGTTCATTATTGAATCCATACTTTTAGTTGTGTTTTAGTTGTGTATATATTACTATCACAGAGATAAGCCAAATGATATAATGGTTACTTCTTTTTTTACATTGATAATCTGACCATTTAGTGTGTGTATCTGGGGCCAATATGGGATCTATATGGGATTTCCCACATTAACAACTCTGTTTTTGTACACATGGGACCAATATGGTGTCCATATGGGATTACCCATGTGTGTATCTGGGGATAATATGGTATCTGTATGGGATTACATATAACTTTTGCCTATCTGGGGCCAACATGGTATCTATATGGGATTACTTATTAGTCTATGTATGAGTTCATTATTGAATCCATACTTTTAGTTGTGTTTTAGTTGTGTATATATTACTATCACAGAGATAAGCCAAATGATATAATGGTTACTTCTTTTTTTACATTGATAATCTGACCGTATAGTGTGTGTATCTGGGGCCAACATGGAATCTATATGGGATTTCCCACATTAACAACTCTGTTTTTGTACACATGGGACCAATATGGTGTCCATATGGGATTACCCGTGTGTGTATCTGGGGATAATATGGTATCTGTATGGGATTTCATATAAGGCTGACCTTAAAAATATCTTTGTTTCGCCTAACGCGACCGACTAACTAAAACCACCCCCGACTTAAATTATTTTATTGCACTTTTCCACGATCTTTTTATTTTATTTTGTGTGTCAACCTGAAATATATCATGAGAGTTATTTCCCTATACTATGGCTATGGTTTGATTCATTATTGAAACTGGTTGATCAAGACGAAAGCGTCATAGGTGTCGCTTCTCAACAAAATGGTTGCAGACGAATACACGTCCATTCCCACGAAATAATTCTGCCTCTATGTCTGTGGTGCGTAGTTTTAAACATGACGACGATATTTTCAATATCCGTTTTCGAGAAAAATGAAAGCACAACGCGCACTATCGTTAAAAACGTGTTGAAGGAGTTTCACACTTCAAGTTCGTGGCTAATCGTATGCGAGTCGGGCATCACGAAAAATCCTGATGTCATTGATTTGTTTGCCCACAGATAATACCGTACGGTATTATCTATGGTTTGCCAATAAAGAAGACGAATGTTTCCACCCGGAAAATTATTAAGCTGTCAAATTAGCTCTTAAGTTTAATAAAAACTTTCAGTTCGTTACTTTTTACGTCAGACCCCAAATTCATTTTAAAAACAAAATTAATGAATCTGTAGTATACAGCTAATAAGTTTTCTGTATTGATTTCTCTGACTTTAAAAAAAAATCTGAAAAAAAAACCGACCTACCGACCCTTCTCCTCGATTGTGGGTCGGGTTTGGTGAAACAAAGATATTTTTAAGGTCAGCCTAACTTATGTATATCTGGTGCCAACATGGTATCCCTATGGGATTACTTATTATTCTATGTATAAGTTCATTATTGAATCCATACTTTTAGTTATGTGTAAATTAATATCACAGAGATAAGCCAAATGGTATAATGCTTACTTCTTTCTTACATTGATAATCTGACCTTATAGTGTGTGTATCTTGGGCCAATATGGGGTCTATATTGGATTACCCTCATTAATAACTCTGTTTTGTATACATGGGGCCAATATGGTGTCCATATGGGATAATCCATGTGTGTATCTGGGGATAATATGGTATCTGTATGGGATTACATATAACTTTTTTGTATGTGGGGCCAATATGGTATCCATATGGGATTACTTATTTGTATGTATAAGTTCATTATTGAATCCATAGTTTTAGTTTTGTGAACCAATCTGCACAGAAAGGATTACGCATATGTGCACCAGAAGCTTGTGTGGTATAGATATGATATAACCAGATTCATGTATATTATGTATATGGGTTCAATATGGTATCAATATGGAAATGAAATGAAATAGAGTTTAACGTCCTACTGTTCTGCTCCTAACCTGGGTATCAATATGGGATTACCCACATGTGTATCTGGGGCCAATATCTTATCTATATGGCATCTACCACATATAAAATAATACATCTGGGTCCAATATTTTACCCATATGGGATTAGTCGCACTTGTATCGGCTTCAATGTGGAATCATACCCATTGCATTTAGTAGATATTAATAAGTATTCAGAAAATTAAAATCAGAATGTCATTAAAGTGTTTATTTGGGATATGTTAAACTTATTGCGCCCTCAACAGTTGTATTTACATGACAAGTAAACAGTCGCACATACAGGTGCGATTTACATTAAACCATGTTACAACTACACAGATTTGTGAAAGAGCATAAGAATTTTTACAGGTAAGGTCTTTTTGCAATTTCTTTATTGATCTACTTTACTTAAAAATATTTTCAATTTCCCATTTCTCCTTCATTAAAATTTAATGTTTTCGCTTAATTAAACATAAACATTATGCAAGAGCTAAATCTGACTATTGCAGGTCTTTCTTTAGGTCTGAAATGTTATATAAACTATTAATTAGACATTTATTAAAAAGACCATAATCAACGCCCTCGATGGCATCTTATGGGTCCGAATTTCATTAGATTTGAATCCGATTTTCTGTCCAACGCCCTTGATTAACCGCAAAAATGGATAATCAAGTCTTTTGTTTATTATCGTAACAGCGGTAAAAATGACAATCGAGGCTACTGTGTATATGAATCAGATTGAAGCAATTTAACTGAAATTTTCGACATTTCCCATTTACATTTTTATCTATTATATATTGTCAGCTCTTTATTTAATCTTCCATAATGTATCTTTAAGTCAAACAATTTCAGGGCAGGTAACCTAACAGGTTACAGCAAAGGTTGTCTGGAAATTATTTTTAGCAACCTAGATGTATTAATGATGAGACCGTCTTTGTATGTAACCTGTAGGAACTGAGAAGTAAGAGATTAGAATTTAATAAAATTGAGAAATGAAGTCTTTTTTCTTTGTTTTGTTTTAATTTATAATATTGAACATGAACATAACTTTGTAACACAATCTTGCTGAAAATTGGTACAAGGCATGTTCGATCGACACTCGATGTATACAGGCTGATCACGATGTCGGCCATTATCAATAAATTAAAAACAAAAAAATGCGTTAGATTGTTGAAATCGTAACTGGTTATATTCATGGTGATGCGACTATGCAAATTATAGGTGAACAAATTCATCACCAACATATAAAACTCAAAATAAACAGCATTTAAAAAAATAACACTTTCGTACTTCTAAAACCAATACAGTAATAACAAATCAGAAAAATATAACTTAAGATTAAATTAATTTTCAAAAAGTATATAATATTATGAAGCCATACTTGCAAAGCTGCTAAAGCCTTTACGTGCAATATAAATAGGTACTCCATAGGTAGATGATTTATTCTACTGCTGTACTGAAATTTGTTTTATATTTTAAATAAAATTAAAATCCAAACAATTTGGAGACCTTTTATTAATATTTTTAGATTACTATAGAATTAAGTGGTGCACTAATATATACTTTGCAGAGATTAAACAGATTACAGCAGAATTCTCCTTATCACAGACTATAATAAGTTTACCATGAATAAAAAATAGAGTTTGTTTATGAATGAAATTGTGACACATATTTTCATTTTAAGAAATATGTACTTCACTCTACCATTCAAAATACATGCCTGTCTCTGTAGAGCTTTAAAGCAAAAGAATCGTAATACATTATTCTTTAAAGAAAAAATTCAAAGAAATCAGGACCGGTTTCTACTAAAATTTATTATGAATACAGCCTGGCAGGTATAGGTTTCTTGCTAGTTAGATTTTAATGACTATAGCAGATTCTGTACTCAAATTATATAATATCTGACCATACAGCAGAGTTCATCAAGTCAACCGTGAATACCTGTCAGTGCGTCATCCTATAACAACCAATTTAGTCTGGTCATTGGTTTAATTTTAGATTCTGAACTGCAGAAGTTTATGTGTATAGCAGCTAGAAGTTAGTACTAACAAGAAACAGACCAAAGTGGTACACATCTCTACAATCAGTTCACAAAATTTAATCAAAGGTAAATTTGTCCCATCCTTCCTATACTACAATATGCTTGATACTTTTTGGAGTATCATTAAACTTTTCGACAAAATAAACTGAAATGAAAGTTTTTAAAGTTTCTGTATTTTGAAAATTTTTGCTTTGACCTATAAAGGCTATATCTGTTACTTAACTGACTTGATCATTTTGTGTGGAAATATACCTATATATATATATATGTATATTGCATCAAAGTACTTATATAAAAGTTTTATAATAATATGAGGATGGATTTGAATGGATGTTTCTTTTTTTCAGATATTTTGAAAATATTGGCAAACTCTGAAACAAGAAAGATGTCATTTCAAGAAAGTTTTGTAATAATATGAGGATGGATTTGAATGGATGTTTCTTTTTTTCAGATATTTTGAAAATATTGGCAAATTCTGAAACAAGAAAGATGTCATTTCAAGAAAGGTGACTTTTACTTTTTAACTTGTTTCTTGCTCTCGCTGGACAAAACGTCGAAAAATTTTATCAGCTATACAACGAAATACATACAAAGGACATTATAACCGAATTTGGTAAAACTCTAGTTTGGTGCCACCCCTATACACAAAATATTCAGCCTCGATGACAGCCTTGGTTTAACTACTAACCTTGAACAGAATGACAAACAAGCAACAGTCATATATATTAGTATGGACTCTATATTATCCCCCCCCCCCCCCCCCCCCCCCCCCGCTCCAAACAAAACAAAAAAGTTACGAGTCAAATTTGTTGATGTAGGTATGTTAGAACACTGACAGATAAATGCTTTTGTCTGGTGCCCTTTTTTCACAAAAACTGTTACCATTTATATTAATGATCATGATGATGAAGCTGCTTGGGTGTTCATGTTTTAAGACGTGACAACTCGCATTAAAATAAATGTGAATTCATGGAAGAATAGTTTCGTTCGATATGTGATATTTTGCAGGTAATATATAGTGCACTTACTTATTTTTTCGTTTTTTCGTTCTGTTTTAGATAAACCGACTTGGACGATTGGGTGGCAGAGATGTCCTGTCCATCGTTAACAACATCTAAAGAATCTCAGTGTCACTTATGTACAACGCTGTTACAATTGGACAGGATAAAAAGGCAAGCGTGAATTAGGGGCACATGCTACAGCTACCATTTTTTTTAGTAAGTAATATTGATGATATTGTTGGAAATAAATGCAAATCAATAATAGTTCTGGTACGATGGGGTTTATTTTAATGTTTTTACAATCGTATATCAAAAGTCTTTTTGAACCCTCTGCATATTTCAGATGCAATTTAGATTTGAATTGTATGTGTTTTGTGGTCTCAGGGAGATCATATGGAAAGAATTGTGTTGCTTTGTCAGGTTGCACATCAACAGACCTAATGTGCTTTCCTTTTGAATTACAGATCCAGTCAGAAGATATCCAATGTTTTGAAACACCACAATTAGGAAATCAAAGCTGCAGTTAGTCGTTTGAACAGGTTTCCTGACAAATTCAAGGGACGGGATGGTGGGAGATCTCAACGAATTTCAACCGTCCTAATTGAGAAAGCATAATAATAAAACATGAAACCAAATATAAATAGTTTTGTACTTATTTGGTACAAGATCCCATATGAGTCCCATATTATGCCCATATTACATTTATTTGCACCCCACATGAATCCCATATAGTAACCATATGGCATTGTTTGTGATATGTGCTTAGAAACACTTCATGTGTAATGAAGCGCTATATAAATCGAACAATAATAATAATAATAATTTCTTAACATGGCCATATGGGTCCCATGCAAGCCCCATATTACATTTATTTGCACCCCACATGAGTCCCATATAGTACCCATATTACATTTCTTAACATTGCTATATAGGTCCCATGTAAGCCCCATATAACACCCATATTATTTTAAATGACTTACCCATATAGATCCCACACAAACCCCATTTAATACCCATATGGTTGCCCATATGGATCCCATATGAATGTTGGGTGCAAAAATGTTGGGGTCCCATATGGGCTCCCCATAATGGCCCCATATTACATGACACATGGTACCCATATGGTACCCATCAGTGAATGTTATCAGGGTAGGGTCTTAAATTGACAAGTGACTAGTGATTCGGATAGTCAAAAAACTGAGATCTAGCTATAGCCTACAAATTGTGAGCATAACAGAACCCTTGACACTTTGAAATGAAATGAAATGGGGTTTCAACTTCCTGCTGTTCTGCACCTAGGGACCTAGAAATTGACACAAGTGGGTCACAACTCATATAATACTGTAATATGAATGTATAAACTGATATACATTCAATGGTTTCCGTTTTTACTCTAATTTCAAATCAGGTATGTTCCGCGAAATAAGCCCGCAGTCTCAATCGAATGCTAATTTCTAGCGCCTGGTTATTACAGTCAACATACGCCGTTTGGTTTGGTGCAATATGTCTAGCCTCGTTCCTCGAGTCACTTGCTAGAACTGGGGCTGAAACGCATTATGGTACACGATTCGTGTACCACTGGCAAAATGTTTATTTTGTCTTAAATATTGGATATCAGAAGCCCATCTTTTTCCGGCAAGATCACAGCATCAATGTTGATTTAAATTGACAAATAATTTGTGTTTTCAATGTTGAAGATTTTGGATGATATTGAGTTAGAGACTTAGCTACTTTAAGTGAGAGGGACGCAATGACACGCTTTAAATTTGCGTCATGGTTTTGAGTTTTTGCGCCCCTATGGCAAAAATCATGCAGTTTCAATGTGGTTTTCAGCATTATAACCAGTATAGAACATATGGGTCAAATATGCTACAAATCGACTCCAGCATGTTCCACACAGCCCATTATTACTCAGCGGTACTGGAAGGGACCCTCGATCCCCTTCCCCACCCACGCATATAAATATTGTTTTTTGGGGCCCTGTCACCACGCTCCTGGGCTGGGCTAATGAAGACAGCATACAGTGTGCTATGAGTGAAATTTTACCCGGACAATACGCTACGTCCTACTCTTATAGTGAATTACAACTGCCAAGGGATCTTTTACGTGCACACCAATGTGTCTAAATGCCCCTCAAAATGCGATTAACAAAGCTATAGTTTGGAAGTTATAACCAAATCCATCCATTATTTCGAATTTAACACATATCACAATAATTTACATCGGTATTTGATAATTTGAAATTGTAGCGATAATTTGTAACCAAATTTTAAGGTGCATTTGGACACAAAAACACTACGATTTTAAATAAAAGATAGGTTGCCAGGCAACGAAACATACGCCCACAGCAGCTAAATCGTCCGGGCAGTCAACAAGAGTTGTCGCATATTTTTACTTTTTTCGGTAATGAAACATTTATAATACACTAAAATCTGATTAAGAGCAACAACTCAGAAAACCATTAGAATGGTTCTGCCCCATGCTAACGTTTTGTATACAAAACTTTTAATACTGTATCATGAATTTAGCTGTTCCAAGTCATAAAAATTCATTGAAAATTAATATACTTGTTCGTCTCAAGATCTTAAACTCTGTGTATCAATCTGCAGTCAATCGGATATTAACTTTGGCCTCTAGAGGTCCACAAGATTTTTTTTGAAGTGATCAAGAGCCATAACTCTGGCAGTAATTATCAGAAATCGCTGAAAATCAATAGGCTTCTTAGTCGCATGACCTTAAACACTGTGTATAAATTTAAAGTCAATTGGATATTAACTTTGGCCTCTAGAGCGTCCACAAGATTTTTTGAAGTGATCAAGGGCCATAACTCTGGCAGTAATTATTGGAAATCGCTGAAAATCAATAGGCTTCTTCGTCTCATGACCTTAAACACTGTGTATAAATTTAAAGTCAATCGGATATTAACTTTGGCCTCTAGAGCGTCCACAAGATTTTTTGAAGTGATCAAAGGCCATAACTCTGGCAGAAATAATCAGAAATCGCTGAAAATCAATAGGCTTTTTCGTCTCATGACCTTAAACACTGTGTATAAATTTAAAGTCAGTCGGATATTAACTTTAGCCTTTAGAGCGTCCACAATTGCCGGACGGACGGGGGCGACGACAATATACGACCACATTTCAATGTGGGCGTATAAAAATGACAAATTGGCATAAAGAATGTTAATTTATCAAAAGTTGATATAAATAAATTATAAGAGTTGAATGGTGGATTTGGGTAAATCATGCTACCAGAAAATAATAATGTGTGTTTAGCCTTTTGATTTTGTATTACCTTTTAGCACTTAGACTGCCCCAAACCACCTAGTTTCATGATAGTGCTCAGATTCCATTGAAATTTCTAGAAATCAAACATTTTGTCAGGTTTATAGTAAGCAGTGGGGAAAAATCAAATGCCCCACTGCTGACAAAAAATTACCCCAAAAAGCAGTGGGGAATGCCAATTATGTCGTCAAGTGAAATTGCATGCATTTGGTAGGCTACTGTTTGAGAGACATCACATAAAGCAACCCCTTCGGGAATCCATTTGCCAATGTGCTTCAAGTTCCTTAAAAAATACCCTGTATATTGTCTGGAAAGGCCTAGCCTGTTACTATATATATATGTATAGTGCACAATTTATTTTTAAAAAAATTCGGAGAAATTCGATGCCATCAAGAGTTGATTATGGCCTGGATAAGTTAATTAATGTCTAATTAGTAATTTAGAAAACATTTCAGGCCTAAAGAAAGACCTGCAATAGACAGATTTAGCTCTTGCATAATGTATGTTTAATATATTTCTCTATTTTCAGAATCCATATGAAGCTTTTATATAAAGAATCTCTTATTGGTTGTGGATTTCTGCAGATATGCTTAGTACTGGTTCTTTTGAATGAAAGTGATTCAAATCAATTCGACCCTCATGTGTTGCCGAAATATGGACCCTTTTTTGAGGGTTGGTATCTCAGAATAACAGAATCTCATTCACCAGTCCGGTTTGGTTTATTATTTGGACATGTAATTCCAGAGGATGCCTCATCTGTAACACCAAGAGTTTTGGCGACCATCTTGTATAAGACGTGTCTAGATGGCGACTGTCCTTTGAAATCAATTGATGCTTTCTTTAATTTTTCGTCTGTTAATATCACGACAAAAGGTCATCGAGTGACGAAAGACCCTGATGATGAGTCACCAGTTAATTTTGAATGGGTAGCATCAAGTAATTCCAGCATGGCTACCTTTAAGGTGGTCAACGATTCCACGTATTTTGATTTTAAGCTAAACGGTGCAAGACTTTCTGGGAAAGTGGGAAGCCATATCCCTTGGGGCCCACATGGAGAAGGACCAGAGGGACCTTTCATAGAACATTTGCCATTGCCTCTTAGTTGGTTTGTCTACAGTCTGCGTTCTCAAGTAGTCCATTATGAATTTCAAGATCCTACCACGGGTACAGTTTGGACAAGTGATAATGCTGTCGTTCATTTAGAGAAAAATTGGGGAAAATCTTTTCCAAAGAGCTGGATTTGGGCGCAAGGAACGTCAGATGTTGCCTACGTTGCTCTATCAGGTGGACTTGTAACAATAGCAATGATAGATGTGCCGGCCTATTTGATTGGCTACAGAAATTTTGCAAAGAATCTCAGTGTTAATTTTCAACCTCTCAATAGCATTACAGTTATTAACCATGATGGTTGTCGTGGTTATGCTAATTTGTCCGTTACATCATTATCGCACAAACTTATTCTTAACATGACAACGAATATCAACCAACTTAGCGATTGTCTTTATGGACCAATGAAAAATGGGTTTACATGCGCGTGTGTTGAAAGCTACGATGCCAGTATCGAAGCTGTATTATTTAAGAGACACCTGATAGACGGTTTTGTTGAAATCGATCACCAGTTTATTTCAAAAACGGGCCTTGAATTTGGAGGAGAATATGTATGTAAAAATAGATGTAGGCCTACTGGGCCTTAAAGGTAATTGCTAATAACATGATCTTTCCAGGTCAATAAATATCGTTTTACCTGAGGATTTACCTGGTTTCTTTTGTTTCTTTTTTTTTTTCTAAACCTTATTCTTGAGATTTTTTATATTTTATATTTTTGCCCTAATGTAATAGCGCCATAGAACAATCAAAATATTAGATTATAGGCGCTCTATAAATAAATTATTATTATTATATTATTAGTAGGTGTAGCAGCCAATGTTATAATATTTTTTTAAAACATTAAAAAATTAGAGATATGAATTGCATTTAGCTCCTCTACCAGTTGGGGCAGTCAGAGGTGATGGGTGCATGAAGTAGAATGACTGCTTCTCTGAGCGAAGCGGTGCTCAAGATGTTTTGCTGATATTTTGAACATTCTCAGACCATACTTCAGAACAATGTGAGATTTGATGGGGGAGTGGGCCCCCTGCAAAGAAATGTTTAATTTTATATTTTGGCTTTTATTTATCAACAATCTCAAAATATTGGTCCTAAATGACCCCTCACGCATCCCCAGTTGCAGAGGGAGAGATTTTTTACGGCACCCCAGAGGGGTTTCAAAAACTACTGCAATAAACGCCAATTCAAATGACTGTATATCTGAAGTTCACAAGTAAACCAGTCGGTTTAAGCTCCTACACAGGTCGAGGGTTCAAGCCCCACAAAATTTTGAACACGTTTTGCGGTTACAGTTCCGTCCCTGGCTCTCAGTTTACGGGCCTGTCAAGGGTTCTTTTATGTCCCATCCAAATGACTAGACACTGTTATTTGCCAATTTATCCTGTTGATAAATTAACCCACAAAAAAATTTTGCAGGGTGGTTGGGGGCTGTCTTTATTCAATTTATAAGGAAAAATAAGACTTCAGAATTGAGGTGTCAAAAAACCATGGCGAATTTACTTCTAACAGCTTTGGTTTATATTGAGACACTTTACACTCCCAATCCCTCCACTGTAAAATCATCAGTATTACCCAAAACTGCTATGAAATTGGAAATTTGATCCCTTTTTTCCAATTCTAGACCAAAAAGTCAACCAAAAAATACAGGAAGAGGGGAGAACAAAATTAAGGGAAAAATTGTCTCTAAGTCGCACTACATTTGTCCATCATGAAATAAGGGGAAATAATTAAAGTCTTAGTCCAAATAAATATGTCATTAACCTTAACAATGCATATAAATTTTAAGCAGATTGGATGATAACTATTGTTGCGAGCGCCTTTAAAAGATTCAAGCATACATCATACAGTGTGCTATGAGGGAAATGTTCCCCGGACAATGACACATTCTTATTTCGAATTTCAACTGTCAAGGGTTCTTTTACGTGCATGCCAATCTGTACGAGTATTCACTGTCCTCATCAGACCCTCCATCCTGCATCACTGACAAGAGGAAAGCTAGCCAGGAAATCCTAATGAACCTTCTCGACAATCACTAGGATCAAACCTGGGATCTCCAGACTAGCGAGCTATTGTCCGACTCACTGATCCACCACAGCGGCTCCAAATATTATAAACACACAATAAATCAAAAATAATTTATTCCAACAGTATGGTACATTCACAGAAATATTAAACTACTTAATCATCAATGACCCGATGATATCACGATGTCATCACATGATGAAGTTATCACATGATGAGGTCATCACATCATGAGGTCATTTACATGATGATGTCATCACAGCAAACAAGGGGGGTTCAAGTTTTTATTTACACCCCACTTCTATATTTTGATTGTTGCCATGATTTTTAAAAAGGCATTCAAACTCTTGATTCCCATTTATATAGCAACACAGTGCTGAGAGATCAAATGGAGACACCGGTATCTGTCAACAGATTGTCCGTATGCTGCCATCGTAAATTTTATTATATATAACAAGATTATTTCATGATGACAGTTACCGGTAAATATAGCGAAAAACGAGTCAAGGTGCACCAACATTCATTGCAGAAACACGAAAAAAACAATTATTTATACTATTTTAGTTAAGCATATTAATTCCGTTTCATCTGAGCATTATTCTTGAAGCAATAATCAGAACATACTTGTTGAAGTAGGATTAAAATACAGATCTATATTTCGTTTCGTTTTTTTATACTTTCGATGGCCTCAACTACATGAAGATCTGACCGGTTGTAGTGGGAGGTCGTGTCAGGGGTCATACGAGCGGCTTTTGGCCCTATGACGTCATACTTTTGATTAACCAATCAGCGTTGATGTTTCTAGTGAAAAACCCACAGATTCGTGCATCACTGCAACAGAACGTTTCATTGGCTAATGCCTCACATCAGCCAGAATGCGGGTATATAACAATTCTTCCACATCCTAGCATAGGAAAAACAAGTAAAACAAAATTTTGAACTATAAAAAATGAAACGAAATAGGATCTGCATTTTAATCAGATTGGCAGAGTCATGTAGGGCATGATTTCAAATAGATACCAACTTTGTTCTAGCTCTAAATTTTTAGATGTGTACATTCTCATAAATAATGTTACTTAAAATAAAAAAAAATAAGCTATAAACTTTGATACCCTATTATTTAGACAAAATATTCTTAAACATAACAATATGGTTAATTTAGTATACCAGGTACTCTAATATATATATATATTTATTATCTATAATTAGCAAAATATATAATAGATGACAATATTACAAACAATAATACACCCACCAGCAGCTTTGTGAAAGGGCGAGCATGAGAAAGGGGTCTTTAGCAGTTTTGGCGAACCCATGCAATTAGAGAGGCGACCCTTCTTGTCCCATACAAGTGAATTTTGGCAAAAGGATGTTACAGTTTGCTGTGATGTCAAAGAAGCAATAATTACAACCCTGAACACTGGTAACAAATTTTCATTGACAGTTGCAACAAGCTGTGTCGTATTAACTACTAGGCTTCAAAAGTGATTCTATGAATTAATTTCAGTGACATTCAGGGAGGCTTTGCTATATATATCCATAATATTAACATTTAACTCTGTAAGGGGGAAAAAAAAGAAGAGGTTGCCCTGTCCCTGCTCTTGGTTTCAACCATCAGGATAATATGGAACTGGCAACAAGAACAGTGCCGACGACAATATACCCCTACATCAAAATGTAGATGTCTAAAACCAAGCTAATAAATGTAAGGCACATAAGCATATAATTAATCAATGTTCGGTCTTGATAAGTTATCACTTCAGAACACAATATAAACTCTTATTTTTCAGAAAATTTAAAATATCGCACATTCATAAAGTGGAAAATCCTGATGTTTAATTTTATTATACAGGATATTCTAAATATAGCATTAGGGTTAGGGTTAATGTTTCCGGATATTCTAAATATAGCATAGTTATAAAGTGGAAATTCCTGACAATGATTCTTGATATTCTAAATATAGCATAGTTATAAAGTGGAAAATCCTGACAATGCTTCTTATTTAAGCATATGAATTTCACAAGGGAGATAACTCTTGGATAAATAATATCTAACTTGGCTAGCCCTGTAACAGAAGGCTATTTGTCATGGTGAATTAAATGTAGTGTCCAAATAAGCAACACACAAATGCAAGGAGGGTCAGAGGTATTAAAAACTTTATGGCGGACATACCAGTACTAAGATTAGGGGCCTACGACAACTTCGACCCCACACTGCCCTTAATGCAATCATAGTATCAGACATGATGTTTCAATTTTGGATATGGCGGCCATTCAGGACAGAGATTTATTCTCGAAGTATGAAGTAGATGAATCTCTGTGTTCAGAATGAGTATCAGACATGATGTTTCAATTTTGACATTTTGAAAATGATCGGTATAGTTAACAGGCCTTGAAATAAGACAACTGCCACAGACAATGCCAAGCATATTTCCACTGGCGCCTGTGACTTTGTTCCGACACAGATTTTTTTTGTTTTTTTTATCAGTGTTTTAATGAATAATAGAACTTAATACGTAATATGCACAGCAAAAAGTTCAAAATGTCAGATACCAGTTCACAAGTGCCTGACATTTTGACAGGCAAAACTCAAAGGATTATGTCCAGGCCTAAAAGTGCAAAAATGAAAATATAGAACCTTTTAATGTAAGGTACATGTAAAATTATGGAAGCTCTAGATATTGAGAAGTTGAAGGCTTATTGAAATGATTATGAGTGGCATATGTCAAAACAGTGAGGCCATATCAATTTGATTTTCCGTCCTTAGAATACCTGTCAAATTTTCTTTCATATTTCTTCGTCAATAAGATTAAAATGCAGATCTCTATTTCGTTTCGTTTTTTTTTTTTACTTTCGATAGTCTACACTACATGAAGATCTGACAAGTTGTACTGGAAGGTCGTGACCCTATGACGTTAGACATTGATTAATCAATCAGCGTTGCCGTTTCTAGTGGTTTACCCACAGTTCCGTCCATGGCAAGCCAAGAAATCGCCATAACAGACGGTTTCATTGGCTTATCCCTCATTTCAACCAAAACGCCGGTAATATAAATGAAATAAATTGAAATGAAATGTGGTTTAATGGCACGTCAGTTCCAACTGTTCTATATTGTGCCAAGCCGGTTAATATAACAACTCTTCCAGATCCTAGTGTAGTAAAGACAAGTAAAACGAAATTTTTAACAATAAAAAACGAAACGAAATAGGATCTGTGTTTTGATCAGATTGATTTCTTCAAAGAAAAGACTCATCCAAATTCAAAAAGCAAAAGTATGTGGTTGAGCTGTTCAAAAGCTTTTAGTTTCAAATTTTTAAAAATTCTAAACAAATCATTTTTAACGTACAATAATGTGCTGTTCAAAAGATTTTAGAACCAAATTTTAAAAATTCGAAACAAATCATTTTTAACGTACATGGATATGCTGTTCAAAAGCTTTCAGAACCAAATTTTAAAAATTCGAAACAAATAATTTTTCACGTAATTCAAGCGTCTATTTATCCAGAAAATCAAATTGGCATGGCCTTACCATACAAGATGGTATACGAAAAGACACAAATATGACAATACGACAATATAGAAATTCAACAATACTTGATAAATAGATGACATGACATGACCTGAGAAACAAACAGCAGTCACATGAGATTTGAAATAATAACGAAACCGTACACTTCAATACTCAACACAACCATTATAATATAAAATCCTTATACGGCATTTAGTAACTGAACATATAATATAAAAAACACAAATTTATATGGAAAACAATCACTGGGTTTATTTCACACTATGTTTCAACAAGTTCCTCTTGTCGTTCTCTTGATTTCTTGCTATTATACTGTCATTACTTACTTGAGAACGACAAAGAGGAACATGTTGAAAATTTGTGTTCTATATAAATTTGTGTTTTATAACCATTAAAATAACTATTAGTCAGCACGGCACCATTTTCATTAAGTATATATTAACCCTGTAAATATTGAAAATAACACCCCCCTCTCCATTAGAACTTTGAAGAATTTCAACGCTTGTGCGGATATTATGGCATGGAATAAGAAGATATGTTTATCACAATATGCTTTAGTAGTGGGGTTTGACCAAAACAAAAACCCAGGTCAAGACGTTGCTTTAGAGGTGGCACCTTGAGCTACCATTTTGTCCATACATTTCTGAGCTTCTAAACGTAAATCCTTGCATTCGTTTTTAAGATGGTCTATGACCCATTCCATAGCTTGACGCCCCTGTAAAATAAATGAAATGAAATGAAATGGGGTTTAATGTCCTTCTCCGAACTGGCCCAATGAAGACGGGCATACGCCTACTCTTATATCAAATCCCAACTGTCAAGGGATCTTTTACATGCACACAAATGTGTACATGGGACCTTGGTTTTTCATGCAATCTGAACGACTAGACAGCTGTCCTTGTCAGGCCCTCCGTCCTGCATCCTGAAAATCTGGATAAACTTTCTTGGCAAATGTAGGGATTGAAAACCCGACCTCCCGACTAGCGAGCCAGTATCTTACCCACTTAACCACCGTGACCGCTCTTCCCCCCCCCCCCGTAAAATAAAGTTATAAATCACATGTTAGAATTCATTCAGTTTTCTGTACCAATAAGGTAAAGTTTTGAGTAATGGAGATATCACTTGCCAGGCAACAAAACCTGGTATTTGGATAGAACAATCTTGGTTATCCAGGCATGTCAAAAAGTCAGAGACTAACATAATATGGTTCAATTTTATTTCAATAATTCGCTTGTGCATAGGGGTCTTTAGCAGTGGGAGGAAACCATAGAAAACCCAGTCGACCCTACTCCTTGTCACTTTCAACCAGGGAATCGAAACCATGCCGGTTGACTCAATAACAGACCTTATGATACAACGCGCACGGGCTAACCATTCATCCATCCAACCCCCCACCTCCACCACAAGCAAAAAAAAATGAAATGAAATGGAGTTTAACGTCCTACTGTTCTGCTCCGAACTAGGCGAACGAAGACGGAGGAAGAGAGAGAAATGGGGTTTAACATCCACTCGACACAAACTAGGTCATTTCAGGACTAATATATGGTTTAATTTTCTTTCAATAATTCGCTTGCGCGTCGGGGTCTTTAGCAGTGGGAAGAAACCGGAGGACCCGGAGAAAACCCACGAGGATGGACAGGCGACCCTACTCCTAATGAAGACGGACAAGCAAAAAGAAAGGGGTACTTGTGTATAATTTTTCCTACCTTATAATACAACGCGCATGGGCTAACCATTCAACCCCCCTACCCCCCACAAACAAAAAGAAAAGGTTACTTGTGTACATCCTACCTTATTAGCATTTTTTGATATTGTGTCAGTAACTTTAGCTTCCATGTAACTTGACAAAGGTACGCCCTTCACTTTAACTATGGCTTCCTGTTTTAACTGAGTTCTGAAATAATTATTTCAAGATACATTATGGGAGATTCGGTAACGAGTGGGCAGTTCTCACTATAATAGTTAAAAACTAGATAATGTAAAGGCAATTTGCTGAAAATTTCATTCAAATTGATCCACTATGAATCGAAAAATAAGCGAATGAAATTTCTGCCTAGCCTCGGTCATCATTACTAAAGTCAGTACGATGAACAGCATAGTCTCGATTATCCATTTAATCGTTTAATCGATTAAACAGATATAACAAAAGAAATTAATTTTGAAGTTGATGACCTTTATTTGAGGGATTTTGGGTTTAATGTCCACTCGACACAAACTAGATGATTTCGGGACTAACATAATATGGTTGAATTTTATTTCAATAATTCGCTTGTGCGTAGGGGACTTCAGCAGTGGCAGGAAACCGGAGAACCTGTAGAAAAACCATGAGGTTGGACAGGCGACCCTACTCCTTGTCACGTACAACGGGGGAATTGAAACCATGCCAGGTGAGTGAATAACAGACCTTATGATGTAACGCACATGTGCTAACCATTCAGCCATCCTCCCCGCACACCCCCCCCCCCCCCCCAGTGTCATTCATTTGAAAAGAATTCAAACATAATTTACCTTGTTTTATCCTCTGGATGTGGTGAATATACTAAAAATTCATCAATTGTTAACAAATTACAAAACGTAAGCTATAATAAAAGAAAATATTGTTTTAAAAAGTATGGTTTATTAATGAAATTGAGAGAGAGAGAGAGAGAGAGAGAGAGAGAGAGAGAAATGGGGTTCAACATTAACTTGACACAAACTAGGTCATTTCGGGACTAACACATGGTTCAATTTTATTTCAATAATTCGCTTGCACGTAGGGAGGAAACTGGAGGACCAGTAGAAAACCCAAGAGATTGGACAGGCGACCCTACTCCTCGTCAAGCACAACCGGGAAAGTGAAACCATGCCAGTTGACTCAATGACAGACCTCATGATACAGCGCGCACGTGCTAGCCATTCGGCCATTCAACCCCCCCTCCTGTGAGAACAGAATCTAAAATAAGTTATATTTATAGCACGGCTTTCATGATTTCTACTAAAACTAGTGTAAACCAGAAATAGGGTGCATTAAGCTCCAGCCAATCTACTAGAGGGAAAACAATCTGCTTATTAAATGAAAAGAACAAAGGAAGATTTCCCATCCATGTTACAAGTGAATAAACAGAGTGGGCTTTGCCTAGCTGAAATCGAATTTTGTATAGAAAATAAATACTATGGTCATATAAGGAAAAAACCTAATTAAAGATGCATTACGCAAGATTTAGATAATAGTTCAAAAAGAGATAATGAAAAATGAATATACAGAAAATTTCATTCAGATTACTTTATTCTACGCAAAGTTAAAGAGTGTTTGAAGATGTAGCGTAGATTGCTTATTATCATAGCAACAGTGCTTGACATCAAGACTAAGGCTTGATTATCTATTATATCGTTAAATTTTTAAATCTCGCATCTGTTCTTATCCATTTAAATGTCGGACGTCCAATAATTTCGAGAGATGAGTATAGGCTTGTCATATGAATAAATGTCTAAATAATAGTTTAACATTTTAAAGTCAAAAAAAAGACCTGCATAATGCATCTGAAGTGACGAGCGGTAACAGACAAACAATCGAATTTCATTTCACTGATAATTCAGTTGAAGATGAAAAGGTATTATATGAGACGATGAGACGATATCTGACAATTCAAAAAAAAGAATTGGCTGTCAGTAGATAAAAGATAACGATCAAATAAGAAAAAGTCAGTGTATAACCATGTTTTTATGAAGAACAGAATGAATAAAAACGGGGGAATGCACAGGATTTTTCTATTTTTCTCGTATCCCTTATCTAGTGACAGCCAATTCTATTTTTGAATTGAGAGATAGCCTCTCACTGCCCTATTATATAGAAGGACAACTCGTGTTTGTCATGTTTGAAGTCACTTCCCGTTTCTTCATGTGCTTGTTACTCAGCTATGGTAGCAATGATCTCTGTGTTAAAATTATATTTGGGATGTATTTAACGAGCTCTATCACATATTTTATAATGATTGACACCAATATTGTCCTTTAACACCCTAATATTATGCTCCGACTGGGCCAATGAAGACGGGCATGATACACCATACAACAAACATACAACAGAAAGCATACATACATTTTTTGTTTTCAGAGTCAATGTTTTTTTCTTAGGATCCACTTCTGATTTTTCATAGGCATAGCAATCCTTGTCCATTCCAACCAACTAAAATATATGGTGAAACTTCACTTTTAGTTTAGTTCATAAACATTATACTCTAATATCGGTTGCCAGACAACAAAACATACATAGTATAGCACCCAAATCTATTAAGCAATTAGACATAAACTTATAAATACAGTCATATCTCAAAATATTGTAATATTATGAAAACTGTGTACTACATATTTTTCAATCTTAAAATGTACAGTATTGACCAAAAGAGAGAGAGATGGGGTTTAACGTCTACTCAGCACAAACTAGTCATTTCGGGACTAACATATGGTTTAATTTTATTTCAATAACTCGCATGCGCATAGGGGTCTGTAGTAGTGGGAGGAAACCAGGGTTGGACGGGTGACCCTACTCCTTGTCACGTACAACACCAGGGAATCAAAACCAATGACAGACCTTATGATACAATGTGCACATGCTTACCATTCACATTTCGTCATCCAACCCCCACACACACACTGGATAAGAGCCCAGAAGTAATGACATACAGTGAAAACGTGACCTGTATTTCTTAGATCATCAATTGACTAGTACATAAATAAATTAATCCTTCTATTTCTGGCCTAGCTTACCGATGTAACCCATGCTGGTAATCCCCAGGATGTACTCAAAACACGCTTAGTTTGAAGAATACCATTTTGATCGACATGTCTGTCAACAACATCTATACCAGTAACAGATGGGTTTAAAGGATTAGGGTATTTCTGCCATGCTGCTTTTGCGACTGTTTCCCATGGATGCCTGTAAAGAGAAAAATTTAAATAACATTTTTAATGATTATAGCTAGTTTTGTACTTCGATGATCATTTAGACAGTAACATTTAAACTTAAATTTCTCTGACAATCAATGCAATACAATACCATTAAAATCAAATGAAATATGGTTTTATGGTCCTATAGGTCTACTACAGGTATGTGTGTGTTAGACTACTAAATATAAATCTTTGTGCCAGGTGTCGAATTTTCTGATTAGCTATCTGTTCGTTCATTTGTGGGGCTGAACATGGGTTCAGCCTAGTTTTTGTTACCCAAAATCATGTTCATTTTATTGCCTTTATTGTTGGTAGGTGGGACAAGGCTCTTGACTGGTTTTATCCAGGACTGGGGTAATGGAATGTACTGTAATCCTTATATGTTTTGAAGTAATGGTCATATAATGAGTAATGGAAAATAATTAATTACATTCTAAAAATAATGTAATACTAATGGTTAATTATAGTCAAGCCTGGAAATAAGGCACCTGTCACAGACAATGTCAGTCACAGATTCAGGATTCTTTGTCAGGCACTAAACCTCTGTTGCCTGTCATTTTGTCCGGCAATGATTTGTCTTTTTAATTGATATAGTTAATTACATGTCCGGCACTAAGTTGAAAATGTCAGGTACTATTTCATAAGTGCCTGACATTTTGTCAGGTACATCTAAAACCATTATTTCCAGGCCTGATTATAGTGTTCTGCAAATGTCAATATTTCCAGCTATGAGTCTCCAATCCATCAAAGATGTAAATCATTTTGTCACCACTGCTCCTTTCTATAAAATTAATAATCATGTTTGCCTTGATTTTGATGCAATACCGTATTTCATAGAAATGAAAATTGATACAGAATAATCTAATAGTGTGTACAATCTGATTAAAATACAGATCTATATTTCGTTTCGTTTTTTTATACTTTCGATGGCCTACACTACATGAAGATCTGACCGGTTATAGTAGAAGGCCATGTCTGGGGTTGTACGAGCAGATTTTGACCCGATAATGTCTGACATTGATTAATCTATCAGCATTGACGTTTCTTTGATATAAGAGTAGGCCGTAGCGCCGCTGCCAGGGCAAAATTTCCCTCATAGCACACTGTATGGCGTATGCCCGTCTTCATTAGCCCTGTTTAGGAGCAGAACAGTAGGACGTTAAACCCCATTTAATTTCATTTATAGTGGTTTACCCACAGTTCTGTGCATGGAACGCCAAGAAGTCGCCGTAACAGACTGTTTTAATGGCTTATCCCTCACTTCAACCAAAATGCTGGTAATATAACAACTCTTCCAGATCCTAGTGTAGTAAAGACAAGTAAAACGAAATTTTGAACTATAAAAAACGAAATAGGATCTGTGTTATAATCAGATTGATTGTGTGGATTGATTAGTATGATGGTAACAAATTGTATTTCTAAAAACGAAAGTAAATGTAACGATTACATTTTAAAATGTAATCGTGATAAAATGTAATCATGATGATTACATGTTCTAAAGTACCGTAATTGTAATTATTACATCTAAAAGCTAATTGTGTAATGATTACGATTACATATATGTACATGTAAAGGTAATTATAATGATTACATTTACAGGTAATTGTAATGATTATATTTACAGGTAATTGTAATGATTACATTTAAAAAGTAATTGTAATAATTACTTATAACTTCATTTCATTTAAAAAGTAATTACTGGTAATGTTGCAATAATATTTTGGCCCAGGCCAGTGACTCAGTCCAGTGGCAGTTCTGCTCCTGTCACCTGCGTAACTTACGTTACGCCCTCCCTGACCCTGGAATCACCTTTTATTATATATTTTGTGAAGTCATAAATGGATTGATAATACAATTAAGACTCGATCTAAGAAAAACTCACTGAAATGTATGCTCAGAAGTCCAAATCTTCATTTTGTTTCTATCGAAATTCGTCCTTCGTAACTTCTATGACAGTCTATTTCACCGGAAGATTATGAAACCACGTGTGCCGATTTACAGCATACCTCCACCGTGCAACATAATTCGATTTTTTCTAAAGAAAAGGCTCACAGATATACTCGATTAAACTATTAAAGAAAGGCAGTAAATTTTATTAATAATAAGGAGAAATGTGATTTTTATGCATGTAGTTCGAATGTACAAAGACGTGTTACTTAATGTTAAAGTATCTCGTCTTGTGATATCAATACACCATAATGTAGAAACACGGGTTTCTATTGGTGGTTATGTGATCTTCTTAGCCAATCAGGTTATTTCTTATGTGCGCCTTTGGGTTTACTGTATCCTTGGCGACGTTTCCAAGATGGCGAGAAAAAATACAAGAATCGTAAATGAGTAAACAAACAGTTTAAAATAGGATTGGAACAGGTACGTAAACAGGATATTGCATCTCAAATCTATGTAGATCTATAATATAATAATTGTTTTCTTTTATTAAATGGTTGGAAAGTTATCTAAAACAGAGCACGAAAATATTTCGCCTAAAATCGGCCTAAACTAAGCAAAGGCAAAAGCACTAAAATAATAGACTTCTTATTTATAAGATAAGTTATAAGCCTAGAGTAAGTAAATTGTAAATTAGTAAACCAAAACAGTCTCCATGTATCAAGTCATTTTTTTGTTTTAAGATATGCATTGCACAATTAATCGTGTGTTATTACTGATTGTAAATGCCCCAAAGGGCAAAGTTGAATGAAATATAATTGAATTGTGGCTATGAACTAGCACTAGTACTAAGTAGTAGTACTAGTAGTAGTTGATCAGTTGTCCCCTAGTACTAAGGTATTTGTTGGTAAAAATAGGCTAAGGCTTTGTTTGTTAGCCTAGTTTGTTACAAAAATACCAATCCATGCCATACTAACTCTAAAATATTATTATTTTCTCTACACAATGTCAACACAGTGCATCTATATTACTATTAGTCTTGTTTTAACTATCACTGAGCCTGAGTCTAAGTGTCATTTGTATATTTCTCACAATATCTATTTTCACTGCATAATAAATATGTCTTCTAAATCAAGTTAATCCAATCAAAAATGTGGTCAGTTCAATCAACAAATTGATTGTTTAGTAATTAATTAAGAAAACTTAATCAAACTATCAATGGTGGATTATCTTGTTTAAACTTTTAAGTTTTATCATCTAGTTTATGAAAATACGACAAAATAGTTGAGGATAATTTGCTACTGTCCAAGTCATAATTCATATGCCTTACAAAGACTGAACGGAATAAATTTCTATCACAAAATAACAATAATTCACTGTTCATTACAGAAAATTACAATATTATTGAATAACTACAAGTAATAAAAGTAGTGATATAAAAATTGCTATTGAACTGAAGGTGGACTTTGTCAGATGCAAATTATCACACAAATCATAATAAAAGCAGTGGAAGATCACAACAACTCTCGTAAAGTAGGTATGATGTAGCTGGAGACTAGTGGTAGGAGGACATCCAAACTGGGATCTCGGCGATATTATGATAAAAATGTTACACAGGTGCCTTATGTCCAGGCTTGTGTTGACGTTTTGATTTTGCACTGGGATTTGAATTTGCAATCAGCATTTTTTGCAGAGACATATTTTGTCTGATTATCAAGACTGCAGAATTAGATAAGAACTATTGAAATGAATACTATTTGTAGAAAATTAATGAATGAACTTCTTTTTTTTTTAGCAGATATAAAAATGCCTCTGGGACCATTTGGAGAGGTTGTGGGTACCACAGGTACCTTGAACTGTTTAGGTCCTGATGGGCAACATTACAAGTCAAAGGTCATTGCTCCAAGAAATCCCAAATTAGTAAAAGGAGATGGACCAATATTTAAGGTAAATGCAAAGGTTTAAGGGGGGATTGGATGGCCGTATGGTTAGCGCCTGTGCGCTGCATCATAAGGTCTGTCATTGAGTCAACTGGCGTTGTATGGATTTCTTGGTTGTATGTGACAAGGAGTAGGGTCGTCTGTCCATCCTCATGGGTTTTCTCCGGGTCCTCCAGTTTCCTCCCACTGTTAAATAAAATTAATGACATACTCCTGTCAACAATATTATAATAACCATTGTACATGGTCCGGCATACTTGATTGATATTTTCAGATTTTACCAGCCACCAAGAAATCTTGGTGCCTAAATGGAAATTGAAATCATTTGGATTCAAGTCCTTGGAAGTCACAGCTGCAATTAAACGAAATTTACTACCGGTATCTCTCAAATCTGCCCTGTCACTAACCACATTTATATCACGTTTAAAGACCTATCTGTTTGACAGTTCTTACAAATAAACTTATTTTTGTTAGCGCTTTAAGCGGACACTTTGTTCTGGAGTTTAGCGTAATATAAGAATCATTATTATTATTTCTACAAATTTGCTTTTTTAATTTTAGTTGACACCAAGTAAATATATGTTTGATATGTCAATGAACACAGAACAGAAACTTGCCAACACTCATATAATGAAAATACCACGGAAGACAGAATTACTCGACATGGGAGAAACTTCACTTCAAAAGGTACACATTATAGCATATTTGCGTGACATTTCAAGCAGGGGTTGCAAACATGATTTTTCATAAGGAATGGTGGAAACCAAAGTTTGGATGGCCGAATGGTTAGCGCATGCACTTTGTATCATAAGGTCTGTCATTGAGTCAACTGGTATGGTTTCGATAGTTTCAATTCCCCAGTTCAACGTGATAAGGGGTAGGGTCGCCTGTCCAACCTCATGGGTTTTCTCGGGGTCTTCCGGTTTCCTCCCACTGCTAAAGACCCCATCGCTTAAGTGAATTATTGAAATAAAATTGAACCATATGTTAGTCCTGAAATGACCTAGTTTGTGTCCAGTAGAAGTTAAACCTCATTTTATAAACGAATGATTGTTTTCCCTATAAATTGTGTTGTGTTTTTTATAATTTTAATTGTTGATAGTTTTGAAACTATTAAACATACATTATGCAAGAGCTAAATCTGCCTATTGCAGGTCTTTCTTTAGGCCTGAAATGTTTTCTGAATTAGACATTAATTAACTTATTCAGGCCGTAATCAACTCTCAATGATATCAGATTTCTCCAATATTAAATGAAGGAGCTAAAAATGAAGGAGCGAGTCTTAGCTTCGAACTACCAGTACAGTGGTTAAAATTATTGCACACATCTTGTCAAACCTTCAAAGGCTAATATCTTCGCTTGAAATAGAGTAATTTGAATGAAATTTTCAAATTATTCATTTTACATTATCTATTATCTTTATCTAAATCTTATATAATGTATCTTTAATTTTATTTTGTATTCCAATTTCAGTTTTCTCAGATCAATATTGATGAGCCAATGTTTCAGCCATATCCATCAGAAATTTTCTTTCAAAATTATGAACCACATCAGATATACGAAGTACCTTTAACCCTGAGAAATAACGATAAAGTAAGTTCTGTCAATCTTTCATTGATACATATAAAACAGTATAGTCATTCGGATGGGATAAAAAACCAAGGTCCTGTGTGTACAACATAGGCAAGCAAATGAAATGAAATGAAATGGGGTTTAACGTCCTACTGTTTTGCTCCGAACTGGGCTAATGAAGACGGGCATACGCCATACAGTGTGCTATGAGGGACTACGGCCTACTCTTATATCGAATTCCAACTGTCAAGGGATCTTTTACGTGCACGCGAATGTGTACACGGGACCTCGGTTTTTCGTACCATCCAAATGACTAGACAGCTTTCTTTGTCAGCAAATGAAAGAACCCTTAACTGCTGGAATTCGAAATCGTTGGCTATAGTGCCACTGTCCGGGCAAAATGACCATCTTCTTTAGCCCAGTCAGTGCAGAAAAGTAGGACGTTAAATCCCACTTTATTTATTTGAAACTATTTCTGGATTATGAATTGATCTAACATGGTATTAGTTCTCTTATTCACTCAAATTTTATCTACTTTTGGGAGGTCGCACGGCCAAATGGTTAGCATGTGCGCGTGGTATCATAAGGTCTGTCGTTGAGTCAGCTGGCATGGTAGTACGTGCCAAGGAGTAGGGTCGCCTGTCCAACATTGTGGGTTTTCTCTGGGTTCTCCAGTTTCCTCTACTGTTAAAGATCCCTACGCACAAGCGAATTATTGAAATAAATTGAACCATGGGTTAGTCCTGAAATGACCTATAGTTAAACCCCATTTCTCTCTCTTTAATTTGTATTATCATAAACATTGGATTTATTTGAAACTTTTTCTGGATTATGAATTGACCTAACATGATGTAAGTTGCTGTAATTATAATGAATATTTGTCGTTTTAAGGTACCGAGACTGGTGAAAGTGAGTTCTGTAGATTCTCCATATTTTAATATTATTAGTCCTAATGATGTCGGAAATAAAGTAGGACCAGGATTACCCACAATCTTCCGTATACAATTTACACCTCACGAAAAAAAGGTTTGATTTAAGATTGTTTTATTGTTACTATGTATATAAAAATGGTTCTATTTGTTGAAGTATTCAGGGTGATATATTAGACATGATATTAGTTCTTGTTTACCGGCCATTAAACCAGACAGGATCGAAAAGATAAATTCTTGAATTATATCATTGTATATTCTTAACTCAGTATGATGGATGGCTGAATGGTTAGCCTGTGCGTGTTATATCATAAGGTCTGTCAATGAGTCAACTGACGTGGTTTAGATTCCCCGGTTTTGGGTTTTCTCTGGGTCCTCCAGTTTCCTCCCTCTGCTAAAGACCCCTTCGCACAAGCAAATTATTGAAATAAAATTAAACCATATGTTAGTTCCGAAATGACCTAGCTTGTGTCAAGTGGACGTCAACTCAATTTGGCCAGCATTTGTGCTGTCAGCATTTGTCTTTGCCGGTAGTTGTCTACTGGCAGTTGTATTGCCAGCACTCCGTTCCCAATATATTCCACAGATTATATTTTGTTTTGTTTTTTATAGTTCAAAATTTCATTTTACTTGTCTTTATTGTCTTTATTACACTAGTATCTCCTCCATTTTGTATGATTAAAACACAGATCCTATTTCGTTTTGTTTTTTATAGTTCAAAATTACTTGTCTTTACTGCACTAGAATCTGGAAAAGTTGTTATATAACCCGCATTCTGGATGATGTAAGGGATTAGCCAATGAAACGGTCTGTTATAGCGAGTTTTTGGTGTGAGGTGCACGGAACTGTGGGTAACCCACTAGAGACATCAACGCTGATTGGTTAATCAAATGTCTGACATCATAGGGTCAAAAGCCGCTTGTATGACCTCTGACACAACCTTCCAGTACAACTGGTCAGATCTTCATCTAGTAGAGGCCTTCGAAAGTATAAAAAAAACGAAACGAAATAAAGATCTGTATTTTAATCAAATTAAATATATTCTTCATTTTCAAATTGTCAAATAAATATTGATATCATTGATAATAATCACTCTTATTCATGAATTTATTTGATATCTATTTCTCCACCCATTTTCAGGATCAAACCTTGTGGGTTTTCTCTGGGTCCTCCAGTTTCCTCCCACTGCTAAACATCCCTTCGCGCATGAGAGTCATTGAAATAAAATTGAACCATATGTTAGTCCCAAAATGACCTAGTTTGTGTTGAGTAGACATTAAAACCCATTTCTCTCCATTTTCAGGATTACACTCATGAACTGATTTGTACAACTGAACGGGAAAAATTTGTAGTTCCTGTTAGAGCTGTTGGTGCCAGAGCAATTTTGGATTTTCCAGATGAAATTCACTTTCCCATTAGTCCAGTAAAATATTCCAACTCGAAGACGTTGTTGGTCAGAAATATTGGAAACCTGGATGCCAGATTCTCGTTAAAAACGGATGGGTAAATAATTTTGTCTAAAAATATTCATGGTTGATAATAGGAACCTGCTTATCCGACTGGCCCCCCGGATCCATTCTCTTAATTTTATATTTGTGTTTTTTTTTTGTATAGAAAATATTCATGATTGATAATAGGAACCTGCTTATCTTATAAATATATACTGTACAGTACAGTGGACGCTTATGATGACTGTCCCCCAGTTATTTATTGCTTGCAATGTCTGTAGGTTGTGTCTTGTCCACATGTTTGTCTTGTCTGTTTTTGGTTTGTGTGTAGTGCAGTCCTCCTGCACTTACTATTAAAGTGATAACAAATCTAAGGACATTTTTAAACCCATTTTCAAATTTGTCTATTCAGTACAAGGCTTCAGTAGTTTGAAAATCTTGATTCTTATTCATTGAATCCTGTTAACAGAACATCTATGATTATTTTGGGGAGCCACTGTGGCTAAGTGGGTAAGACGCTGACTCGCTAGCCTGGTGGTCAGGTGTTCGATCCCTGCATTGGCCGAGAAAGTTCATCCAGATTTTCCAGTGTGGTTCCCCCTTGTCAGTGGTGCAGGGCGGAGGGCCTGACAAGGACAGCTGTCTAGTCGTTCGGATGGGACAAAAAAACGAGGTCCCATGTACATATTGGCGTGCACGAAAAAGATCCCGCTGTCCGGGCAAAATTTCCCTCATAGCACACTGTTCGGAGCAGAACAGTAGGACGTTAAACCAAATTTCATTTCATTTCAGATTATTTTGTCAGGCTATCATGTGAGCTTAGGGGGATCAGGTGGCCGAATGGTCGTAATGCGTCCTTTAGATCATAAGGTCTACCATTGAGTGAAGTGGTGTAGTTTCGATTCACCGCTTGTACTTGACAAGAAGTAGGGTCACCCACCTGTCCAACCGTGTGCTTATCATGTGAGCTTAACATAAAATTGAATCAGATTTTAGTCCCGAAATGACCTCTTTTTTGTTGAGTGAATTTTAAACCCCAGTTAAAATCTGTGAAATATGTTATTAACTGTATTAAAATTATATTCTGTTTCCAGATCTTTCACAGTCACCGTGTGGCTATCATATGAGCTTAAAATAAAATTCATCACAAGTTTGTGATCTGTGAAATATGTAATTAACTGTATTATTAGAATTATATTTTGTTTCCAGATCTTTCACGGTCACACCAGATATTGGTATATTGAGTGTTAATGATAGTATGCAGGTAACTGTGGAATTTAAACCAAATAAAACAGGAGATCATAAAACAGATTTAATACTTCATCTTGATACAGGTACATATAAAATATCATATAAAAGTACACCAGCTCTAACATTAGTAAGCAGGGTTGGATGGCCAAATGGTAACGTGCGCGTTGTATCATAAGGTCTGTCATTGAGTCAACTGGCATGGTTTCGATCCCCCAGTTGAATGTGACAAGGAGAAGGGTCGCCTGTCCAATCTCGTGGGTTTTCTCTGGGTCCTCTGGTTTTCTCCCACTGCTAAAGATCCCTACACGCAAGCGAATTATTGAAATGACCTAGTTTGTGTAAAGTGGATGTTAAACCTCTCTCTCTCTCTCTCTCTCTCTCTCTCTCTCTCTCTCTCTGTATGTCTGTCTCTCTCTCTCCCATATTCAAAAGCGTTTGTCAAATATTTCTGCGCTGTATCATAAGGTTTGTCATTGAGTCAACTGGCATGGTTTGGATGGTCCGGTTGTATGTGACAAGTAATAGGGTCGCCTGTCCAACCTTGTGGGTTTTCTCCGAGTCCTTCGGTTTCCTCCCACTGCTAAAGACCCCTACGTGCAAGTGAATTATTGAAACAAAATTGAACCATGTGTTAGTCCCAAAATGACCTAGTTTGTGTCAAGTGGACGTTAAACCCCATTTCTCTCTCTCTCTCTCTCTTGCTCTCTCACTCTCTCTCTCACCAATCAGGGGGAGTGGTCACCGCTAATTTGGCAGGAGGAACAAGATCCTATGGGTTTTTGTAGATTTCATGATCAATTTTGATATTGTTGTTTTTAGGTGAAGATTTATTTATACAGTTATATGGTGCAGCACAAGATAGTAATGTCAGATTAGATAAAAACTCAATAAGAATAGAAAGTACTTATATTACTATGGCTAATCAAAGAACGGTCACTATTCACAATCGATCAGATGTTATAACTCATTTTAGATGGACACAGTTTGCTACACATGAAGAAGAGGAACAGGAAAAACTTATGTAAGAAATTGAATGAGTCATAATAGCCAATAATGTTTGAAACTAAACTCCTGCTAAAACAGCACAACTACACGATACCTGTGGTGTAAATAGCTAATCAAATCTCATAAAAAATATTTTTTAATAAAATTCAAAGCACTCCATCCTGCACCACTGACAAGGAGAAAATCACACTGGAGGCGAACCCGAGACTTCCTTGCTAGCAAGCCAACGTCCTACCCACTGAGCCACCGTGGCCCCTCTAAAGGGTTAAGTATATGTTGTCACCATTTGATCTTTTCCCAGTAAGATCACAACATCAATGTTGATTTAAATGGACAAATAATTTGTGTTTTCAATATCATAGACTTTGGATGCTATTGAGTTATAGACTTAGCTACTTGAAAACCATATAATTAATACTAAAAATATCTTTGGAAAAAATATATTGTTAATTAGGAGTCGAAGGCCTGTCTTGAACTATTGAGTTTAGAGAATTGGCTCCTTTAAATCATATTTACTGAATTATGTTTTTGTTTATTTATAGGCAACAGATTGATTTGGAACGGGCTGAAAGAAATGACACTGATAGATTTATAGATGATTGTATAACAGATCCAACATTACGAGATAAACTCTCAATATTAGAAAGATCATTTCTTAATAGAAAAAGGGTATGTTAATAATATACTGTTTTTAAAGGACAATATTGGTGTCAGTCATTATCACATATGTGATAGAACTGGTTAAAAATGTTCCATATATAATTTTAACACAGATCATTGCTACGATGATACGTAATGAAGATTTCAAGAAATGAAAGCGATAGGAAAACACAAGTTATCCTTCTATACAACAGATTGTAGTGACTTGTGATAACAGATACACAGGCGAATTTCTGCTCACTAATAATTGATATCTGACATTTCAAAAAAGTAATTGAATGTCACTACACTCCCTTGTTTTTATTCATTCTGTACCAGTACTTAAAGTACTTAATAAAAATGAGGCTATGTCACTACACTCCCTTGTTATTATTCATTCTGTACCAGTACTTAAAGTACTTAATAAAAATGAGGCTATGTCACTACACTCCCTTGTTTTTATTCATTCTGTACCAGTACTTAAAGTACTTAATAAAAATGAGGCTATGTCACTACACTCCCTTGTTTTTATTCATTGTCCCCCGCCTTTCGAAGAAAGCAGGGGACTATTAAAATGGGTTCGTCCGTCTGTCTGTCTGTCTGTCCGTCTGTCTGTCCGTCTGTCTGTCCGTCCGTCTGTCTGTCCGTCACACTTTTTGGGACACAATAACTCTCTTCCTAATTGAGCTAGAATGTTCAAACTTGGTGTATGTGTTTATTAGGTCAATGCCTTGATGGAGTTCGAAGATGAGCATTTTCCGCTTAGGGTAAGCGGAGATAAGCAATTTGATTGGTTGATGCTTTGGGACACGATAACTCTCTTCCTAATTGGGCTAGAATGTTCAAACTTGGTGTATGTGTTGATTAGGTCAATGCCTTGATGGAGTTCGAAGATGAGCATTTTCCGCTTAGGGTAAGCAGAGATAAGCAATTTGATTGGTTGATGCTTTGGGACACGATAACTTTTAATTGAGCTAGAATGTTCAAACTTGGTGTATGTGTTTATTAGGTCAATGCCTTGATGGAGTTCGAAGATGAGCATTTTCCGCTTAGGGTAAGCAGAGATAAGCAATTTGATTGGTTGATACTTTGGGGCACGATAACTCTCTTCCTAATTGAGCTAGAATGTTCAAACTTGGTGTATGTGTTGATTAGGTCAATGCCTTGATGGAGTTCGAAGATGAGCATTTTCCGCTTTGGGTAAGCAGAGATAAGCAATTTGATTGGTTGATGCTTTGGGACACGATAACTTTAGTTCTAATTAAGTGAGATTGATGAAACTTGGTGTATAGATTTATTATATGAATACCTTAACTAAGTTCGATAATGAACATTTTTTGCTGAGGGTAAGCAGAGTGATAAGCAATTTGATTGGTAGAAACTTTGGAACACAATAACTCTCCTTCTAATTGAGGTAGAATGTTCAAACTTGGCATAGGTGTCTATTAGGTGAATGTTTAAACTTGATGTATATGTAGATGTTCATTAGGTGAATGTCTTGACTGAGTTCAATAATTAACATTTCGAGCTGAAGCTAAGCAGAGCTAATCGATTTCATTTGTCGATGGTTTGGGACAAGATAATCTTGATTCTATCTGATAGAGAGTGATGAAACTTAGTGAAAAAAATAAATGTGCGATTAATTAATATGTGTCATCTATTTATTTTGCAATTTCGGCGGGGGACATCAGCCTCACTGTTGGCTTGTTCTGTACCAGTACTTAAAGTACTTAATAAAAATGAGGCTATGCACAGAATTTTTCTATATTATTCGCTCTCTCTTACCTAGTAAGGGTGGTTGGATGGCCGAATGGTTAGTCTGAGCGTGCTGTATCATAAGGTCTGCCAGTGAGTCGGCTGGCGTGGTTTCGAATCCCCGGTTGTATGTGACAAGGAGTAGGGTCGCCTGTCCAACCGAGTGGGTTTTCTCCTGGGTCCTCTGGTTTCCTCCCACTACTAAAGACCTGTACGCGCAAGCGAATTATTGAAATAAAATTGAACCATGTGTTAGTCCCGAAATGCCGAAATGACCTAGTTTGTGTTGAGTGGACCTTACCCCCCCCCCCTCTCTCTCTCTCTCTCTAGTGACAGTAAGGTGTAAGTAAGAATTATTTACTGATATTAATACATCTCTATTATCTAATTTTCTTTAAGTATCTGGGTAAGTCAATATTTATATGTACTAAAGCAGTGATTCTCAACCAGTGTGCCACGAGATCTTCCTTAGTGTGCCGCGAAGTTTTGAACAGCACAGTAAGAAAATGTGAAAAAAACATGTGATCCCAATTGAATATTCACTGGTGTCTACTGATAAGTTCATAGCTGTGGTTTTCTTTATTTAGTTTGAGTCATTCTATGTGTCTATGACTAGTCTCTGTCTACGGTTATATGCCATCTGACTTACCATGTTTTTATTTTGCAAAATTCAAATATTTTTCATATATATTTAGCCAGGTGTGCCGCTATTTTTTCATGTGTTCCAAGGTGTGCCATTGGCAAAAAAAAGTTGAGAACCACTGTACTAAAGGTTTAAAAAGATTTCTTTTGATGTTTTTCAGCTAGTTCAGTCTGATAATATGATGTTTAATGACGATGTTGTGAAGATTGAACCAGTGGAGGGAGATATATGGCCGAACTCCTCCTTTAACGTTAATGTAGTGTTTAAACCAAACGAAGCTAAAAGTTATACTCGAACAGCATATTGTGACATAACAGGTCGTGAGAGTCGCCTCCCATTGAGAATCAAAGGTGAAGGAGCCGGTCCACGTCTACAGTTTTCTGTTGAAACGCTCGATATGGGGAACATTTTCATCGGTTCCGTTCATTCCTATGAAATAGTTTTAGCCAACAAAGGAGACATTGATGCTATTTATAGTGTTTTGCAAAGCCCGTTTAAATTTGGCCAGTGTTTTCAGTTTGATCCCGCTGAAGGTATCGTTATGCCTGGTGGTCATCAGGCTATCAGAGTTACGTTTTGTTGTCATCATTTGGGAGATTTTTCAGAAGAGTTTGCCTTCCAGATTGATGGTTCACCAGACCAATTAAAAGTTCTGTTTAAGTGAGTAATTTATTCTACCCTTGTAGGGGGCGTTGGGTGGCTTAGTGGTTCAACGTGTGCGCGAAATCACAAGGTCTGTCATTTAGTTGCGTGGTTTCGATACCCCGCTTGAACATGGAAAGGAATAGGGTTGCCTGTCCAGCCTTGTTGGTTTTCTCTGGGTCCTCCTGTTTTCTCCCACTGCTAAAGAACCCTACACCCAAATGAATTGTTGATATAAAATTGAATCGTTTATTATTCCCGAAATGACCTAGTTTGTGACGAGTGGAGGTTAGACCCCATTTCTCTCTCTCTCTCTCTTTCTGTGAAAAGGATGACATGCATAAGACCAGAGCAGGATTAAGGAGCCAGCTGACTGGGCTTCAGCTCAAGGTTCTTAAAAACCCTGACACGCAAGTGAATTATTGAAATAAAATTAAACCATATGTAAGTCCCGAAATGACCTAGTTTATGTCGAGTGATGTTAAATTCTATTTTTTTTTGTTCTTTTTTCAGGGGATCAGTAATAGGACCAACTTTTCAGTTCAATGTACCCAGATTAAAGTTTGGAACGGTGTCTTATGGTAAGATATTATTTTCTGACTTTTCTTTCTCCTTGTCCAAGATCCATTAAAAGTTTTATCAGAACGTCGAAACCAACAAAAATTTGCATTCTATAACAAATAATTGTCATTCTCATACTAAACTTAGGCTGTCTGTCTACAGTTAGCTCCACTTGAGAACAGACACTAAGCCAGTTGACCGACATTTTAAGTCCTAAATCCACGATTTTAGTCGAAAACCCTAAGGCTGACCTTAAAAATATCTTTGTTTCGCCTAACGCGACCGACTAACTAAAACCACCCCCGACTTAAATTATTTTATTGCACTTTTCCGCGATCTTTTTATTTTATTTTGTGTGTCAACCTGAAATATATCACGAGAGTTATTTCCCTTTACTATGGCTATGGTTTGATTCATTATTAAAACTGGTTGATCAAGACGAAAGCGTCATAGATGTCGCTTCTCAACAAAATGGTTGCAGACGAAAGCACGTCCATTCCCACGAAATGATTCTGCCTCTATGTCTGTGGGGCGTCGTTTTAAACATGACGACGATATTTTCAATATCCGTTTTCGAGAAAAATGAAGGCACAACCCGCACGATCGTTAAAAACGTGTTGAGGGAGTTTCAAACGTGAGTTTGTGGCAATTTGTGTGCGAGTCGTGCATCAAGAAAAATCCCGATGTCATTGATTTGTTTGCCAATAAAAGAAGACGAATGTTTGCACCCGGAAAATTATCAAGCTGTCAAATTAGCTCTTAAAAAAAAAATCTGAAAAAAAACCCCGACCTACCGACCCTTCTCCTCGATTGTGGGTCGGGTTTGGTGAAACAAAGATATTTTTAAGGTCAGCCTAAGTATACTCGAGAATTTTGAGACATATTTATTCTGCTTCCATTTAATGGAATTAAATACATTTATTTAGTCTTTGTGTGTATGCCAGATGTGAAACGGAGTAGAACCGCATTACAAAACAATATACTAATTTTTGGATATGGCGGCTATTCAGGGCAGAGATCTATTCTCGAAGTATGAAGTAGATGGATCGCTGTGTGCAGAATGTGTCATTCTGTGTTGTTATAACTTAGCTTTCATGTGTTTTGAGAATCCCTTGCAAATAACAAAATTGTGAAATTTTGTGATAAGACTGGAATACTTGAGTGACATAATAACAACCAGAGAAACCTAGTCGAAACGTCGCTCAAATAAAAAGCACTAATTGTATTCCATAGAAGTGGGAGGGAGGGGGGGGTGGATGGCTAAATGATTAGCTTGTGTGCTCGTATCATAAGGTCTGTCATTGAGTCAACTGACGTGGTTTCGATTCGGCGGTTATACGTGACGAGGAGTAGGGTCGCCTGTTCAACCTCATGGGTTTTCTCCAGGTCCTCCGATTTCCTCTCACTGCTAAAGACCCGTACGCGTAAGTGAATTATTGAAATAAAATTGAACCATATGTTGGTCACATGGTGACATAGTTAGTGTCAAGTGGACATTAAACCCCATTTGTCTCTCTCCATTTTGAGATTTACATGTAGTTATAGAATAAAAACAGAATTCAATTAACATTGAATACCGCTTGGGTTATTCAGTGGTTCACTCGAGTGTATCCCTGCCACATTCCACTCTATATCGCTCGTGGAATCCTTGCACAGGGATAAACTCGAGTGAACCATTGAATAACCCGAGCGGTATTCAATGTTAATTGAATTCTGTTTTTATTCTATAACTACATGTAAATCTCAAAATACACTGTACTATCCAGATTATCAAAATGAAAATCATCACCAATAACGTTAAAATTCATCATTGGTTCCGACCTTTTTCTTCCTTTTTTACAAAAATTGTGGTTGCCTAGTGGTGACGTCATTACAGTTTGACAGATTTCTGAAAGTGTCATCATTCTGGACAAAAGTAGTACGTTTTCAAGGCATTGAATACAACCATAGGTTATTCAATGGCTGTATTCAATGATATTTGCATGTTGTTATACAATAAATATAGATTATAACGTCACTCTTGTTTCAGGTTTCTTACACAAGGAATCATGTACTATGCTAAACACAGCCTTGGTACCGATGACATACCATCTGAGAGTTCCTGGAGACGGTACTAGTGAAAGTATATGTAGCACCAGCGAAGATGATACTGGTGATAGTAATCGTAGTGATACGCTATCAGTGAGCACCGATCCACCAAAAGAATTTGAAATAATACCAGCTGACGGAACGATTCCACCTCAGAGCGAGATAAAGATCACAGTTAACCTTATATCTAATACTATCAAGAAGTATGATTTGTTTATGGTCGTCGATGTCGAAGGAGTTGGAGATCAGATCCTTTCTCTGCCCATTTCAGCCAAGTAAGTTTGAAAATGAAACACAATGGGGTTTAATGTCTGAAACACCCGCCATTACTGTAGACGTGGACATCACAGTGTGTCTTCACTGTAAGTGCAAAGAAAGAACTGGATAACCTCGACTAAACTGGAAGTCTTAAATAAATGAAATGAAATGAAATGAAACGCAATGGGGTTTAATGTCCTACTGTTCTGCTCCTATACTGGGCTAAAGAAGATGGTCATAAGCCATATAGTGCGAGGGAAATTGTGCCTGGACAGTGGTGCTATTGCTTAAACTTATATCGAATTCCAACTGCCAAGGGATCTTTACGTGCACCAATGACAAGGGTGAACTTTGATGAAATGAAATGGGGTTTAACGTCCTACTGTTCTGTTCCAACTGGGCTAATAAAGACAGGCATATGCAATACTGTGTGCTATGAGGGAAGTTTTGCCCAAACATCAGCCCTATTTCACATTCCAATTGTCAAGGATGATTTTACATGCATGCCGATGTGTACAAGAGACTTTGGATTTTCGTCCCATCAGGGCAAAATTTCCCTCATAGCACATCATGGTGTATGATCGTCTCCATTAGCCCAGTAGGAGCAGAACAGTAGGACGTCAAACCCCCATTTCATTTCACTTTGTGAATTGTGCATGATTGAGGAAACTATTTATAAAAACCAATGTTAATTGCAGAATTCCATGTATGCTGAATATAAAAATTCATTTTGTTATTTTTTCACTAGGTGTATTGTTCCACAGATAACAGTTTTAAGTCCAATCTTAGATTATGGCCGATGTTTCCTACGTTATCCATATGAACATATGGCAAAACTACATAATGATACAGATCTACCAGCTAAATATGAAGTTATTCCTCAAAATGTTGAAGAAGATGATTTAACAGCAATCTGCTATTCTAGTCCAATACCACGGGTATGAAAATATATTCTTTAAGATCATAAGGTTTGTCATTGAGTCAAACTATACTAAAATCATCTCCTGTACAGCTACATGTGGCATTTATATTTCATGACAGTAATTTCCAAACAGATGTTTTCCAGGCCCCTTGGGGAGATTAGGTTAAAGAAGGAGATTAGGTTAAAGGGAGAGATTAGAAGTTTATTTTTGGCAAGCTTCTTCGTCTTTTCGCCAGAAATAAACTTTTGTTTCTTATGATTTGAGATACTTTTACAGGGTAAACTAATAAAAATAATATGATATTTATTAATGTATAATTGTTTTTGCAGGGAATTATAGCACCAAGAAGTATGTGTGGTGTTCCTATTATTATAGCACCTCAAGCTTTAGAAGAACAGATTGTTACTGCTTTTATCAATATATTTGGAAGTTCTGATATGCCCATGGTATGAATATTACATTATATACTGCTAATGTATATGTGACTTGTCATAGGAAAAGACATAAGTTTTTTAGTGACACGTGATAGCAAAATGAGTCGGAAGCAGCAAGTCTTTTAGTGACACGTGATAGCAAAATGAGTCGGAAGCAGCAAGTCTTTTAGTGACATGTGATAGCAAAATGAGTCGGAAGCAGCAAGTCTTTTAGTGACACGTGATAGCAAAATGAGTCGGAAGCTGCAAGTCTTTTAGTGACTTGTGATATTAAAATGGGTCAGAAGCCGCTTTTCTTTTTTGTAAACTTGACGGGACAAGGATTAGTGTAACCTGTCTTACCTTGTGGGTTTCCTCCGGGTCCTCGGGTTTCCTCCCAATGTTAAAGATGCAGTCGAATTATGGAAATGAAATTGAACCATATGTTTGTGTTGAGTGGACGTTAAACCCCATTTATTATTTTTGTTATTTTAGTTGAAGATTTTCAATTTTTATGTGAAAACAGAAATAGATATTATTGTATTATAAATAATTTATTTTTTTCAGCCAGTACAGTTAACATGTGTTGGAGAAGGACCAGTTGTACATGTTAAACCAGATATTGTTGACTGGGGTATAATACCCGTTTTAAAACCTTGTGAACGAACTATCATGTTATCTAACGAATCGTTAATTCCTGCTAACTTTACAGCTTATATGGTAAATTATACTTTCTTATCCTTCTTCATTAGCCTAGTCGGAGCAGAACAGTAGGACGTTAAACCACATTTCATTTCAATAGCCCAGTCGGAGCAGAACAGTAGGACGTTAAGCCCAATTTCATTTCATTTCATTTCTATATTCTACATATACATGGCTCAGGGAGTAAGGCGCTGGCTCACTGGGTTCCATCCAAGTTTTGGTCTGGAAAGTTCCCCCAAATTTTACAGCATGGTTTCAACTTAGCAGTGCGGTGGGGCTAGCAAAGAACAGTGTCTATTCATTCAGATGGAACAAAAAATCAACATCCTGTGTATTCATAAAAGAACCCTTGACAGTTGGAATTAATAATAAGAGTAGGCCGCTGTTTTGCTGTCATGTTAAAATTTTGCTGACCGCTCACTGTACAGTTTAAGCCTGTCTTTATTAGCTCACTCGGTGTAGGAAAGACACCTAATCGCAAGCAAATTATTGAAATAAAACTAAACTATATGTTAGTCCCGAAATAACCTAGTTTCTCTTCTCTTTATTATAATTTTTATGGAGTGTATTATAATGTCTTTAATTATGTATTTTAAATTTTGAAAAAATTAAATAAAATGTTTAATTGTGCTTTTGTCTTTTTCCAGTCACGTTCAAGATCTGTATTTTATGTTGATCCAGTCGATGGTATTATCCCCCCTGAATCCCAGTTTGAGGTTAAAATTACAGCTTACCTTGATGACAGTGTGCGATTTCAGGACAGATTACATATTAACTTCATTGAGAGCGGAACACAACAGATAACATTGCTGGCATACGGTCAGGGTACAACGATTGAATCAGATCCACCATTATCTGACATACTCGATCTGGGACCAAATTTCAGGTTAGTTTTATGGTATTTTAAACCCTTTAGCACTAGTAGGACGTTAAACCCCATTTCATTTCATTTCGTTTAGCGAGAGAGAGAGAGAAATGGGACTGAACGTTCACTTGACACAAACTAGGTCATTTTGGGACTAACATATGGTTCATTTTTTTATTTCGATAATTCGCTAGCATGTAGGGGCTTTAGCAGTGGAAGGAAACCGAAGGACCCAGAGAAAACCCATGAGGTCTGACAGGTGGCCTTACTACTTGTTACGTACAACCGGGGAATCAAAACCATGCCAGTAGACTCAATGACAGACCTTATGGTCCTGTATACACATTGGAGTGCACTTAAAATATCCCTCGGCAATTGATATTGGATATAAGAGTGGGCTGCCAATGAATTAACAGAAAAAGAAATATGATGATGAAGCAATAAATATAATTCACATATCAATGTCTACTTTAAAAGATACGAATCACAGAATTTATGCATATTTATTGACCAGAATCCAATCTGACTAAAATACAGATCTATATTTCGTTTCGTTGTTCTATACTTTCGATGGCCTCTACTACATGAAGATCTGACCATTTGTCAGACCTTTGATTAACCAATCAGCGTTGATGTTTCTAGTGGAATACCCACAGCTCCGAACATTGTGCGCCAAGAACTCACTGTAACAGACCATTTCATTGGCTAATCCCTCACATCAACCAGAAGCGGATTATATAACAACTCTTCAAGATCCTAGTGTAGTATAAAGACAAGTAAAACAAAATTTTGAACTATAAAAACCGAAACGCAATAGGATCTGTGTTTTAATCAGATTGACCAGAATCCAACTGTTTATTTTGATTTTTTTCGCCTGTCCAACCTCTTGGGTTTTCTCCGGGTCCTCCGGTTTCCTCCCACTGCTAAAGACCCCTACGCGCAAGCGAATTATGTAAATAAAATTAAACCATACGTTAGTCCCGAAATGACCTAGTTTGTGTCGAATGGACGTTAAACCCCATTTCTCTCTCTCTTATTTTGATTTGCATGTAATAATTATTAATAAAACTAAAAAGTCAACTTTTATGTTCACATTACAGTAACAGAACTCTTAAACAGACATTTAAACTTACTAATCAGGGAAGACGACATCAGCAGTTAGTATGGAGTACTCAAGGTTTTGGAACAATGGGCAAAGCTAAAAGAGAATTGGCTGCTTATAATCCACTGGATATGAAATTCAGGGTAAGTTGTCCCATAGAAGATATTTTAGAATCTTAGTAACTGGATAGAGCAATAAACTATAACATACTTTGAAACATCGCCCTATTCAATTTGTAGCTATTTTTCCAGATGTCTAGTCATTCGGATGGGATAAAAAACCAAGGTCCCGTATACACAGTGGAGTACACATAAAATATCCCTCGGCAGTTGGAATTCGATATAAGAATAGGCCATAGCGCCATCGCCGCGCAAAATTTTTCTCATAGCACACTGTATGATGTATGCCCGTCTTCAATAGCCCACTCGGTGCAGAACAATAGGACATTAAACACCATTTCATTTCTTCATTTTTTGTTTTTCCATAATGATGCGTTAGTGTGTTACAGTTTAGAGATGTTATAGTTCCAAGCTATTCCCACATTTTTTTTTTTTTTCATATACATTTTATTTCGATAATAAATTACAATAAACAGTTTATGTTTAGGATCGGCCGCCACCAATGGAACCACCAAGACCTATTTTTAAACTTATACCAACCAGAATGGATTTATCACCTGGTGAAAGTGCAGAAATGACCCTCGAAGGTTTTGTGGCATTGTAAGTTACAATAAATTGTTATTTTCACCTAACAATACTAAGAAGTCTTTTTGATTTTTGGGGAGTGGGGGTGAGGGCAATGGTTTAACATGTACACTTGAGGTCATAAGGTCTGTCATTGAATCAAGTGGCATGGTTTTGATTCCCCGCTTATACAAGGAGTAGGCTCGCCTGTCTAACCTGGGGTTAGCATGTGCACGCTGTATCATAAGGTCTGTCATTTAGTCAACTGGCATGGTTTCGATTCCCCGGTTGCACGTGACAAGGAGTAGGGTCACCTGTTCAACCTCGTTGGTTTTCTCCAGGTCCTCCGGTTTCCTCCCATTGCTAAAGACCCCTACGCACAAGCGAATTATTGAAATAAAATTAAACCATATGTTAGTCCCGAAATGACCTAGTTGTGTCATGTGGACGTTAAACCCCATTTCTCTCTCTCTCTCCAACCTTGTAGGTTTTGTCTAGGTCTGCCGATTACCTCCCCGTGCTAGACCCGTACGCTGTGCAAGTAAATTATTGAAATAAAATATGAAAGTCAGTGAGCAAATGGTGATAATATATTTAGTTTTATTCAATTTTTTAATTATTTATTTCAGACCACAGTGTGTAAAAGAAAGATTATTATGTCATGGTATATTAGGAAGACAAGGTGGTAAAGAATTAATCATGAAAGTTGATGTTATATCAGATTTTATCAGTCCGTTGTTAGAATTTTCTACTAAAAGTGTCTTCTTTAGAGTAGATAAGGTAATGCTCGTCATTTATTGTTTTGGTCATTCGTAAATTTAGTATTAAGAACGTGCAGGTGAACCACACTACACGCAAAACAAAACCATCAAGACAAACCCGTGGACAAGATAAACTTCAGGAGAACCTCACTACACGTAAAACAAAACCTACAAGACCAACCCACGGACAAGACAAACTACACAGACACCTCAAGAAACAATTAAAGGAGCATTATTGGAGACGTAAGGTCGCTTGTCCAACCTCATGGATTTTCTCAGGGACCTTCTGGTTTCCTGGGGGGTTGGATGGCTGAGTGGTTAGCGTGAGCGAACTGTATCATAAAGTCTGTCATTGAGTCGACTGGCGTGGTTTCGAATCCCCGGATGTACGTGACAAGGAGTAGGGTCGCCTGTCCAACCTCGTGGGTTTTCTCTGGGTCCTCCGGTTTCCTCCCACTGCTAAAGACCCCTACGCGGAAGCGAATTATAGAAATAAAATCAAACCATATGTTAGTCCCGAAATGACCTAGTTTGTGTCGAATGGACGTTAAACCCCATTTCTCTCTCTCTCTCTTTCTGGTTTCCTCCCACTGCTATAGATCTCTTAAGCTCAAGCGAATTATTGAAATAAAATTGAAGCATATGTTAGTCTCGAAGTGACCTACTTTGTGTCGTGTGGACGTTAAACCCCATTACCCTCTCTTCTCGCACTTGTTGTAGAAAAACCCCCATTGAATTTGAAGATAAAAGACAATAAATAGAGCTTGTATCACTGTTTTATTGCTTTCATTATTATACATTTTCATTAGTTTTAAACAGTATTATACATTTTCATTAGTTTAAACATTATTTTCATTAGTTTTAAACATTATTATACATTTTCATTAGTTTTAAACATTATTATACATTTTCATTAGTTTTAAACATTATACATTTTCATTAGTTTTTATCATTATTATACATTTTCATTAGTATTTAACATTTTTATTAGTTTTAAACATTATTCTCCTTAGTTTTAAACATTATTTTCACTAAACATTATTTTCACTAGTATTAAACATTATTTTCAGCTACCAAAAGATGAGTTATGTATTCAGTGTGAGGAATTGGTAGTTAGTAATGTATCAACACTACCATTGTCAACAGAATTAACACTTCAATATCCATTCCAAATATTACTAGATGACGGTACCTCGGTCTTAAAAACAGTAAGTTGTTGACTTTAACATAATGAGCGGTGGGGGCGAATTGTCAGGGAAGGAATTATACAGGGACGAATAGTTCCAGAGGACTAATTGTCCGGGAATGAGTTGTCAGGGGACAAGTTGTCCGGGAACGAATTGTCCCTTACCCTTTCACGACATTGATCTTAGTCTAAATTAAGTAAACAAATATATAACTGATGTTCATGTAAATTTCAGGAGGTACATTTGCAAGTTGGTGAAATATATAATCTAAAGATACAGTTTGATCCATCGTATAAAACAGATCAACATATTCGAACTATTGATGAAGTGTTACATATAACTTACAAAGAACATCCACATAAGGTATGTGACCTGTGATAACAAAATCAGTCGGAAGACGCAAGTCTTTTACGATATGAACAAAACAAAAATGTCATTGAGTCAAGTGATGTTGTTTTGGGTTCCCATATGGAGTAGGGTTGACAGTCCAACCTTGTGGGTTTTCTCCATGTTCACCGGTTTCCTCCTATGAGTTAATTGAACCATATGTTAGTCCCGAAGTGACCTTGTTTATGCCGAGTGGACGTTAAACCCCCATTTCTTTCTGTTGTCATTCTCTCCTTACATAGCCATTTGAACTGAGGTGTTGGCATAAATCATTCTATATTATTACTAAATCACCATTACTATCATATCACGAGTGTTCGTTGTATCATAAAGTCTGTCATTGAGTCAACTGGCATGGCTTTCGATTCCCCGGTTTTAAATGACAAGGAGTAGGGTCGCTGTCCAACCTCGTGGGTTTTCTCTAGATCCTCCGGTTTCCTCCAACAGCTAAAGACCCCTAAGCGCAAGTGAATTATTTAAATAAAATTGAACCATATGTTAGTCCCAAATTTACCTATTTTGTATCGAGTGGATGTGAAACCCCATTTCTCTATCTCTTTATCAAAATCTTACATAATGTATCCTTAACACTTTGTAATCTTTTTTTTATTCAGGATTATATTGCCCTAAGAGGAGAAGTCTACTTCCCTAACATCGAGTTCGAGAAATCTGTTGTGGATTTTGGATGTATCTTGAATGATACGGAAGTAACAAGATATGTTAATATTAGTAACAATAGTCCCATGGAAGTCAAATATAAGTGGTCATTCTTGATTGAAAATGAACCAATGGTATTATATCATCCTAAACCAGCTAGTTCACCAGTAGTAGTATTAGAGGAGACAGAAGTTTCACAAGATGCTGGTCAAGTTGTAGAAGTTATTATACAAGGTGAATCTGATGGTGAAGATTTAGCTGAAGAGGAGGTAAGAAATGAAATGAAATGATGGCGCTGACTCATGCGAATAATACAAATAATCTGAGCTTTTCATTTATGTAGCGTTATAGACCGCCCCAGATATGGAATTAAATGGTATTTAACTGTTCTACTCTGACTGGGCTAATGAAGACAGGCATATGCAGCGGCACTATGACCTACTCTTATATCGAATTCCAACTGTCAAGGGATCTTTTATGTGCACTCTAATGTGTATGAAGTTATGAAATAAAATGAAATGGGATTTAAAGTCGTACTGTTCTGCTCCTATACTGGGGTAATGAAGGCAGACATACGCCACACAGTGTGCTGGAAACTGCTAGGCTATTAGTTGCTGTAATTCAATCGTACATTTCAACAGAATGGTAGGAAAGATTAAATATTTGTCATAGATTCCCAAAGTCATAGTCACGTGGCATGGTTTTGATGTCCCGCTTGTATATGACGAGGAGTAAGCTTGCGTGTCCAACCTCTTTGGGTTTTCTCTGGGTCCTCCAGTTTCCTCCAACTGCTAAAGACCCCTAAGCACTAGATAATTATTGAAATAAACTGAACCATGTGTTAGTCCCATAATGACCAACTGCATGTTGGGTAGACATTAAACACCAGTTCTCTCTCTAAATCATTGAGTCAAGTGGTGTGGTTTCGATACCATGCTTGTATGTAATACCATGCTTGTAGGGTGACTTGTCCATCCTCGTTGGTTTTCTCTGGGTCCTCCAGCTTCCTCCCACCGCTAAAGACCCCTACGCGCAAGCGAATTATTGAAACAAAATTGAACTATATGTTAGTCCGAAATGACCTAATTTGTGTCGAGTGGACTTAAACCCAATTTCTCTCTCTTTCTCTCTGTATTTTGAGAGAAATTAAGGATGCCATGCATGAGACCGGAGCTGGATTAAGAGGGAGGCTGAACCATATGTTAGTCCCGAAATGCCCTGGTTTGTGTCAAGTGGCCTCTCTCTCTCTCTCTCTCTCTCTCTCTCTTAAAATTATAATGTTAATTTAGTTATGTTTATATATTTAGATGGATGTGATATTGGCGGAAGAGAAAGAAGATGTTAAAGATGGAGATGATAATCGAGATATAGATGGAGCTAGTGTAGCATCGGATGAAATTAATCATACTGAAAAGGTACAGGATGTAGATTTTACGCAAGTTCATCAGGATTTTCTGGCGTGGTTCTCCAGGACAGAGGCCCTGCCATTGCAAGGGAAAATGTATAGTCATTGGGATGGGATGATAAACCAAGGTCCTGTATACACGTTGGCATGCACGTAAAGGATCCCTTGGCAGTAGGAATTCGATATAAGAGTAGGCCATAGTGCCACTGTCCGGGCAATATTTCCCTCATAGCACACTGTCAGTGGTGTAGGGCAGAGGTCCTGACAAGGAGAGCTGTTTATTCGTCTGGATGAGATTAAAAACTGAGGCCCTGTGTGGCGGATGCTCGTCTTCATTAGCCCAGTCGATGCAGAACAGTAGGACGTTAAACCACATTTCATTTCATTTCACTGTATTTATGCTTTTAGGCCAAGTTAGAAGAAGAAGGAGAAAAAGAAAAGAAAGAATATGAGAGATTAAATCTGGGTAGCCGTCTGTCATTACGAGATGATGAAGAAGCTGCGTTAAAATCAAACCGAGCGTTGTCAGCGTTATTAGAACACGTTCCAGAAACACAAACTCCACTCAGCGTAGAAGAGGTTGGTTAATATCGTATTTTACAGGGTATAATATGTCGACGTGGAGTATTTTACAATTTTTCCGACCTCCATTCATATATGGGGGGTTAGATGGCTGAATGGTTAGTGTGTACATGCGGTATCATAAATGACCTAGTTTGTGTCGAGTGGACGTTAAACCCCATTTCTCTCTCTCTCTCTCTCCATCCGTATATAAGTCGAACTGATATACGTATGATTTTCAACCCCACGGGTACTATCATATTTTACAGGGTATAAGTCGACGTGGAGTATAAGCCAAATCGTCATATTTTACAGCTTTTCCGACCTCCATCTGTATATAAGTCGAACAGTATACGTATTTTGTCTAGGTGGAAGTGGATGTAAAACTTTAGGAACGAATAAACGGACAAATGATTTTCAACCCAAGGGTTACTACCCGTATTTTACAGGGTATAAGTCGACTTGGGGTATAAGTTGAATCGTCATATTTTACAGTTTTTCCAACCTCCATTCCTATATAAGTCGAAGTGGTGTATTAGACAAATGTTTTTCAACTCCCCGGTAGCAATTTGTTATTGAGTTTCGGGACTGTTATCTTAGCTACGCCAAGAAAAATTGGCCCATAATGTTGATTAATATAAAATAATCAGTTTACAACTGGTCAGATCTTCATGTAGTGTAGGCCATCGAAAGTATAAAAAATAACGGAACAAAATATAGATCTGTATTATAATCAGGTTGGAAATTAACGTAAATGCTAATATATTTTTTGGTTTTGCAGATTTTTGACATTCTACCTTTATATGGAACACTTCAACCTGGAGATACAGAGCAGATAACCTTGACATTTTATGGACATGCTGACATTTGGGGTCAAGTGAAAGCTCTATGTGAAGTGGAAGGGGGACCTACATATGAACTAATTCTAACGGGAGAAGCTTCTTTAGTAGAATACGAGTTTGATACGAAAGATATTGACTACGGGAAACAGGTAATATGAGTATTTATTGAACTTTGTTAATAGAAATGTTCTCGTGCAATGGGTTTGTTTTATGTTGTGCCCGTAACACCGAAACCTGAAGTGCTATAGGCCAACGCCTCCTAGCCTATGCTACTCCCCAGTCAGCAGAATTACCACTATTCACCAAATTTCAACCTCAGGACGTTCCCTACTGCAGCCGCCAACCGTGAATAGACAGACAAACAAAAGTCACAAAATTGAGTCAACTGGCGTGGTTTTGATCTCCCGGTTGTACATGACAAGCGAATTATTGAAATAAAATTAAACCATATGTTAGTCCTGAAATGACCTAGTTTGTGTCAAGTGGACGTTACACCCCATTTCCCTCCATCCACCTCAATATATAATATGGGTTGCTCCAAGGCCAGTTTCCCTAACAGAATTGAAGTGAATTGAAGTGAAGGCCTTCAGTTTAATATAATGGCTTGGAGATAGAGGCGTCTTCTCAATCTGGTGGGTTTACTGCGGATACTCAGGTCCCTTTCGATATTTGCGCATTTCAGACCATAACTTGAAATACAGGTCTATCTCCCAAAGATCTTGGTTCCTTTCGATATTGGCATGTACTGGACCGTAACATCTTGGATTGTGGCCCGATTATTTTTAGCTTGTGGACACTCTAGAGGTCATTATTTTTATTTGAATTTGATGAAACTTGAAATGTATGTTTATAACCCAAAAATCTTGGTTCCTTTCGATACTATGGCCCCTGATTGTTTCTCTTGTGTACAATTGAAATAAAATATTGTTTAAACAAAAAAACATATTCTAATAATCTGCTTCCTGAATTTTTTTTTATGTCAAGATATTTTATCTCAATGAAGTTTGTTTGTATTTCAGATGTATGATCAGTTAGCATCGTCGGAAATAACTTTATTAAATACTGGTAAAGTTGGTTTCACCTTCACAGGTCTGAACATGGATCCTGCTCTGGCCAAAAATCCAATACCAGGACAACCAATCATGATTCCACACTCAGTAAGTTTAATTAAAGATAGTAAACAAACTGATTAAAACACTTTCGATTCCCGGTTGTACGTGACAAGGAGTAGGGTCGCTTGTCCAACCTCGTGGGTTTTCTCCGGGTCCTCCAGTTTCCTCCCACTGCTAAAGACCCCTACGCGCAAGCAAATTATTGAAATAAAATTGAACCATGTGTTAGTTCCGAAATGACCTAGTTTGTGTCGAGTGGATGTTAAACCCCATCTCTCTCTCTCTCTGATTAAAACACAGATCCTAATTCATTTCGTCTTTTTATGGTTCAAAATTTTGTTTTACTTGTCTTTACTACACTAGGATCTGGAAGAGTTGTTATGTAACCCGCGTTCTGGATGATGTGAGGGATTAGCCAATGAAACTGTTCGTTATGGTGATGCACAGAACTGTGGCTAGAAACATCAACGCTGATTGGTTAATCAAATGTCTGATATCATAGGGTCAAAAGCCGCTCGTATGACACTTGATGTGACCTCCCACTACAACTGGTCAGATCTTCATGTAGTGTAGGTCATCGAAACTATAAAAAAACGTAACGAAATATAGATCTGTATTTTAATCAGATTTGAGTGTAGCGTAATATTTGTGGAATTTCAGTTCACTTTTGAAATATATATGTTTTAAGGGAGATTGACATTTTTTTCGTCCATGCCTTAAAAGGATGTGCCCCGTCAATGATTTTAAATGTTAGTGACAAAAATGTTGTTTTTGGAATGTGCTGTATCAATGATTTACAAGTAGGACGTTGAACCCCATTTCTCTGTTTCCTCCCACTGCTAAAGACCCCTATGTGCAAGCGAATTATTGAAATAAAATTAAACCATATGTTAGTCCCGAAATGACCTAGTTTGTGTCGAGTGGATGTTAAACCCCATCTCTCTCTCTCTCTCCTTCTCTCTCTGAATGCCATTTCATTTTTTATCCACAGGGTTATATTGAACCACATTCAGAACAAAAAGTCACTGTGAAATTTCTGCCCGATGTACCGGAAAAATTCCACAAGAGTTTCAGCATTCAGGTGGCTCACTTCGAACCAGACACCATTAATCTGTATGGTGAAGGAGTTTTCCCCAGAATTTCCTTGGATTTACCTAGAAATACGACAGATGGCGGTTACTATGAATCGGTGATGAAGGAAGCCAAAGTCAACTTAACGAAAGATGTTGCGAAACTATCATCTGATCAGCAGTTGACCAATCAGCCGTCGGTTAGAAATTCACTGCGAATGGTCGGACAGCATATTCAGGTGAGTACTATCCTTTTACAATGATTGAAATTAAGGGTGTTAAAGAAGCTCAACTCAAAGTCTCTAACTCAATGTCATCCAAAGTCTTCGACATTGAAAACACGAATTATTTGTCAATTTAAATCAACATTGATGTTGTGATCTTACCGAGAAAAGATGGGCTTCTGATGTCCAATATTTAAGACAAAATCGTGTACCATAATGCATTTCGGCGCCATTTGTAACAAATGATTCGAAGAACGAGGCTAGACATATTCCACAAGTCATGTCAAACGGTGACACCGTATTCTTATGTGGAGAGCATGCGCAATAAATTCTATTGGTGTAGATTGGAATAACCAAACGCTAGATATTGCCATTCGATTGGGGCATCCAGCGTATTTTGCCGAACATAACTGATTTGAATTTAGAGTAAAAACAGAAATGATTGAATGTAAAACAGTTTATATACATTCATATTACATTATTATAAGCGTTCTATCCATTTGTGTCCGTTTCTAGGTCTCAAATATTAGCAATTTAGCTCCTTTAAACCCCTTTTAAGTTCATACCTGGGGACAGTCTATACCGTTCAGATTATTTGTATTATTCTTAATATTGGTCCTTTTTTTCATTATCAGCATGAGTCGGCCCCATCAGAGCTTGAATTACAGATGGAGATTGAACGCCTGGCTGTAAGAGATCATGCACTAGAAACAGGCTACCAACCAATCAGAGCTTTTGATTCACCACCAAATAGTGCTGGAAGTAAAGATACCCGATCACTGACAGCAAGTAGACAACGGAAGAAGTCTAAGGCCAGGTATATATATAATTGCCACACAGTTTTTTTTAATATTGTATGCTCAAAGCCATGACAAATGTTCCAGCAACATTGAAAACGATAATGTTTTATGCTAAGTTCCCATTGTCGTGTGATGTGTTGCGGTAGGATTGTCCCTATTGAGTCCACGGTTTGATAATTATTTCAACAATTCACTTGCGCGTAGGGGTCTTTGTGGGAGGAAACCGAAGGACCTGGAGAAAACCCACGAGGTTGGCCTGCGACCCGACTCCTTGTGACGTACAAGCCGGGAATCAAATCCACACCAATGACAGACCTTGTGATCTAGCAGTTTAACGGGTGCGCGTGAAATCCTGGAAGCTGTGGTAATGTTTTATAATTTTATAATTTTTTGTTTCAGCAGTTTAACGCAAGCGCCTGAAATCCTGGAAGCTGTGGTAATGTTTTATAATTTTGATTTTTCAGAGCCAAACTACCAGAATATTTATTAGATCTTGGTTACGTTGTGCTGGGTACTGTTAAAACTCATGTTGTACGGGCTACAAATACAGGCTGGTTTCCAGCGTCATTTCAAGTAGAGAGAGAAAATCTGCATAATCTGGGTTTCCATGTGGAATTAGATCGTGTACGAAATCTACCAGGAGCACCAGATCATGAAACCGTGGACTTTATGGTGAAGTTTGATCCTCGAGGTGCTAATTTACAGCTAGGACCCGTAGAAACAACAGTTCCCATTAATGTAAGAAACCAATTCCTCTTATGGTTCACCAGAAAAGCTTCATTAATTTTTTAAATAATGCAAGGAATTATGTCAACATATCCTATCCATATGTATAACATGATGATCCTGAATGACAATGTTACCTGCCACAGGTAAATTTCAACAGGTAGATTTCCTACGTTCTCCGTGAGTAGTGGTAAATTTCCACCAATAAACAATCTGTGACGTCATTTTTGTCCTATAATAAAGAGCAGAAGGACTAAAATGATGTCATGGATTGTGTATTGGTTGAAAGTTACAACCACGGAGATTGGAGGAAATCGCTAACATTGAAATTTACCTGTGGCAGGTAACATTGACATTCAGGATCGTGTTATACTTACGGAAAGGATATGTTGACATCATTACTTGCATTATTTAAAAAGATTATGAAGCTTTTCCGGTGACCTTTATAATAATTTTGATAGTATTTTATACGTTCACTGTGTTAAAGAAGCATTATGTAAGTGCTAAATCTGTCTATAGTATGCCTTTATTTGGGCTTCAAAAGTTATATAAACTATATTTAGACATTTATTCACATGACAGGCCTATAATCAACTCTCCAGATTATTGTATGGTCGAAATTTAAATATCATTTTTTTACATATGATACAAAACAGGAAAAGATAATAAAATACAAAAAAAAACACAAAAAGCTTGATCAAATCTTAATATTTTACATAAAAATGGCCAGCAGGGGGCATTAGCGTTGATGTAACTAAAAATAAAAAGTAAAAGGACAATTGCCTAAATGATTTTACAATCCAGTTGCATATGAGAAAAAATGAGAAAATCTAACTTGCTAGATTTCATTTTGAAAATCAAAAGCAATGTGTAATTCCAGCGTGATATTGGTGAGAATATTTATTTGACGTTTTTTCTTTTGTTTTTAGATAATCAATGGACCACAAGTTATTGTTCGACTTAAGGCTAATGTAACCATGCCAGATATGGAAATATCAGACGATATCCTAGAGTTTGAAAACGTTAATTGTGGAGAAAGTAAAGTGATAACAGTCCAACTACATAATTATCAACATGTCCGCTGTGAATGGAGCACATTACAAACTGAAAAAGAAAGAAAACAGGTTAGTTATAAATAACTTTTATAATCAATAAAAGGAGAGGGGTTTAATATAGGCTATGCCTGTTCCCCAATCCCTATTCAGATACAAATCTGAATAAAATATTGCTTATAAAAAAAAAAAAAATTAGTACTTCAATACCATTACCAATCGTGGGACTGGATGTCCGAATGTTTAGCACGTGCGTGCTGTATCATAAGGCCTGTCATTGAGTCAACTGGCGTGGTTTTGATTGCCTGTTTGTAGTAGGGTCGCCTGTCCAACCTCGTGGGTTTTCTCCGGGTCTTCTGGTTTCCTCCCACTGCTAAAGATCTCTACGCGCAAGGGAATTATTGAAATAAAGTTGAACCATGTGTTAGTCCCAAAATGACCTAGGTTGTGTAGAGTGGACGTTAAACCCCATTTCTCTCTCTCTCTCTCTCTCTCTCTCTCTCTCTCTCTCTCTCTCTCTCTCTCTCTCTCTCTCTCAGATGATCAAGCTTTCTAACCCAATAGCTATAGATTATACAAATCATCGGTTTGTTCCAGACTTGTGCATAACTGTGCTTGCAAGCTAGATCTCGGGGTAACCCCCTCCAACCCCTCTTTCTACCCTAACACCCTCTCTTCACATTAATTATTATGACCTAGTTTGTGTTGAGTGGACGTTAAACCCTGCATTCACATTACAAATATAAATTTGTGCTTTCAGGCTGACAAACGAATTCCAATGCATTTAAGGCGCAAGATGCGACACGAGAAGAAAAAGTGCCAACATTTTGAAATGATGCCACCAGAAGGTTATCTAATGCCAGGCCAGAGAATGAATGTTCAAGTTAAATTTATGCCAACCGAAGAGGTAACAAGATTTAATATTTCAACAGATTGACATGTGCGTAAAAATATTGAAGGTGGGGTCGTGGAAATGCAAAAACGAAATGGGATTTAGTGTCCAGCTGTTCAGTTCAGACTTTGCTAATGAAGATGATCGTGGAAATGCCCCTGTGTTTAGACCCTAATCAGCAACGCGAGCTCCCGCGTACACATTGGACTGAACGTAAAAGATCCATTGGCAGTTGGAATTCGATATAAGAGTAGGTCGTAGCGCCGCTGTCTGGGCAAAATTTCTCTCATAGCACACTGTATGGTGTATGCCCTTCTTCATTAGCCCAGTTCGGAGCAGAACAGTAGGACGTTAAACCCCATTTCATTTCATCTTTCATAGTTAATCAAATTGTGAATAAATAATGTTGTTCTCGTAAATTTCAGAAATACTATGAGCATCGTATACCAATCCGAATTGGACAAAGCAGTCAGAGAATTTTATTACTCTGTCGTGGTCAAGGTTTGGAACCACGGCTTGAATTTGATCGTAACTTAGTTCAGTTTGGACCTATTTTACCTCACAGTAGTGGAGATGAGCAAGAGATTATAGTTCGTAATCCATGTAGCTTCCCGATAGAAGTTTATAATCTAGAGTTTGATAATACATATTTAGAAGAAGAAAAGGTGAGTTTAACACAATTACAGCAATGAATTATTTACAGCCGGGCCCGGAAGGGGGTGGTGTGTGGATGGCTGAATGGTTAGCACTCGCACGCTGTATCATACAGTCTGTCATTGAGGCAGCTGGCGGGGTTTCGATTCCCCGGTTGTATTTGACAAGGAGTAGGGTCGCCTGTCCAACCTCGTGGGTTTTCTCCGGGTCCTCCGGTTTCCTCCCACTGCTAAAGACCCCTACGCGCAAGCGAATTATGTAAATAAAATTAAACCATATGTTAGTCCCGAAATGACCTAGTTTGTGTCGAGTGGACGTTAAACCCCATTTCTCTCTCTCTCTCCTTATTTTTCTTTCTAACTTTGGTTTTTTCTCGATTTTTTTTTCTAACTTTGATTTTTTTTTCTAATGTTGATTTTTTTTTCTAAATATTTGTAGGTATTGAGGTTAATGAAAGGTTATGATGAATATAATACAATATTATTACCACCACGTCCGACTGGTGATAAATTACCACCAGAATTATTACAATATTACGATGGTAAGTAGTAACACTTTGATTACGAGATTGGCCATCCTTTGACCTAGAATATCCCCAATTACAGTGACATGAAATGAAATGAGGTTTAACGTCCTACTGTTCTGCTCCGAACTGGACTAATAAAGACGGGCATACCCGATACAGTGAGGAAAATTTGTGGGATCTGTTTTTTATCATATTTATTTATTTTTCAGACCAGATGAAACGTCTCGAGGAAGAAGAAAAACAAAGACAAGAGGTAGAGGATGCAGCCGAGGCAGCTCGTCAAGAACAAGCTGAAAAAGATAAAGAAGGTGAGATCAATGTTGTCGAATTGTGTAAATGTTATTTTATTATACCCCCATGTTTCAGTGAGATTTGGGAAGGGGGAGCGGGGTTATTGGATGGCTGAATGATTAGCATGTGCATGTTGTATCAAAGGGTCTGTTATTGAGTCACCTGACTTGATTTCAATTCCCCGGTTGTACGTGACAAGGAGTAGGGTCGCTTGTCCAACCTCATGGGTTTTCTCCGGGTCCTCCGGTTTCCTCCCACTGCTAAAGACCCCATCGCGCAAGTGAATTATTGAAATAAAATTGAACCATGTGTTAGTCTTGAAATGACCTAGTTTGTGTGAGTGGATGTTAAAATATCTCTCTCTCTCTCTCTCTCTCTCTCTCTCTCTCTCTCTCTCTCTGAGCCATTTTTTGGAACTGATATTCCTTTAAGTTTGTAAGAAGCTCAAAATCTTTCCAACCAAGCTCAAGTGAATTATATTTAACTGTGTAAATATTGTTTATTTATTGAGGAGGTGAAGAAACGGTTGAGAGTGAAGTAACAGTAGAAATATCACCAGTAACAACTACTACAGTACCATCCCGTGATGATATACCTAAACATCCAGTAGTACCACAACCACCACCACAACAACAACAACAAGACGATCTATCAGGTAATTATTATTATATCTTATATCCGTGGTTTTCAACCATTTTTGCCAACGGCACACCTTGGAACAACTGTCCAACCTCGTGGGTTTTCTCCGGGTCCTCCGGTTTCCTCCCACTGCTAAAGACCCCTACGTGCAAGCGAATTATTGAAATAAAGTTAAAAACCATATGTTAGTCCCGAAATGACCTAGTTTGTGTCGAGTGGACATTAAACCCCATTTCTCTCTCTCGCTCACCTTGGAACAAATGAAAATGATAGCAGCACACCTGGCTAAATATAGGAAAATTATTTGAATTTTGCAAAAAAAAAAACCCCCAAAAAAACCTATTGCAAATCATAGACGTCATAGATCTGTAGACAGTACACAGACTAGTCATAGATACATAGAATGACTCAAACTAAATAAAGAAAAACACAGCTATTATGTCAGTGAATATTCAATTAGGTCAATTGGGATCACATGTTTTTTTTAATTTTCTTAGAGTGCCGTTGAGAATTTCGCGGCACACTGGTTGAGAATCACTGTCTTATACAGTTATCACAACACGAGAGGATCTGTTAGGTACATTGTTGCAAAAATCTACGGAAATCTACGAAAGTTATGTTTATAGAGATTTTGTGGGGGGTTGGATGGTCGAATGGTTAGCATGTGTGCGTTGTATCATAAGGTCTGCCATTGAATCAACTGACATGGTTTCGATTTCCCGGGTTGTACATGACAAGGAGTAGGGTCGCCTGGCCATATGGTTGTTGTTAAAAGTTTTGACATTCTACTAACTCATGAGGTCATCATGTAGATTATCATCATTCCGGAGACGACCGCCCGGTTGGATGGCTGAATGGTCTTAAACGCAAAATAACCTAATTTGTGTCAAATGGAAATTAAACCCTGTTTCTCTCTCTTATTTGGGGGGGTTGGATGGCCCAATGGTTAGCACGTGCGCGCCTTATCATAAAGCCTGTCATTGAGTCAACTGGCGTGGTTTCGAATCCCGGGTTTTACGCAACAAGGAGTAGGGTTGCCTGTCCAACCTCGTGGGTTTTCTCTGTGTCCTCCGGTTTTGACAGACTGCTAAAGACCCCTACGCGCAAGCGAATTATTGAAATAAAATTAAACCATATGTTAGTCCCGAAATGACCTAGTTTGTTTTGAGTGGACGTTAAACCCCATTTCTCTCTCTCTCCCTCTCTCTTATTTTTTTAAATGTAAAATGTTTTATTTTGTATATTTTGTATATTTAGTACAAGCTGGAGCTAGTAGTACTAGTGTTGGTGAATTGGAGATAACACCCGTGTCTGCTGCTATTGCCCGCCATCTTGGTATAGATTTAACACCAGAAGGTAAAGCTGCACGTAATCGACGAGGAATAGCTATTATTGTACATGGTGCACCTATGGCTGGTAAGGCTTTTAATTTTAATTATTTATTTTTAGGGGATCTGCGGTGTTTCAGTGGGTAAGCCGCTGGCTCGCTAGTCTGGTGGCCTTGGGTTTGCTCCTGGTGTTGGCCGAGAAAGTTCTACAGGATTTTTCTGGCATGGAGGGCCTGACATGAATGGACAGCTGTTTAGTTGTTCGGATGAGACGGGATGGAAAACCGAGGTCTCATGTACACATTGGACTGCATGGTGTTGATTCCCATCTTGTGGGTGACAGTAGGGTCATCTGTCTGTCCAACCTCATGGGTTTTATCCGGGTTCTCATGTTTCTTCCCACTGCTAAAGACCCGTACGCAATTAGATATGAAATTGAACCATATGTTAGTCCCGAAATGACCTTGTGTCAAGTGGATAGTAAACCCCAGGTTTCTCTCTCTTGAAATGAATTAAAACTACCGTTCCCTAAAACCTGGCCAGTAGGACGTTAAACCCCATTTCATTTCATTTCATCTGGGTCTAGATATATAAATAACCTCTTGAATAACGCAAAAAAGCTTTTGAACAATGCAGCCAAGTACTTTAGGTTTGTAAATGAAATTATTCTTTTTCCTCAAAGAAAAAAAGAAGCGAAATTTCCCAAAGAACAGAAAATCAAAATGATTTGACCTCAATCCAATTCTTTTATTTATCAGGTAAAACCAGCACAGCTGTTACTTTAGCTAAACATTATGAAGCCTCCATCCTAACTGTCGATGGTGTGGTGCTAGATGCTATCTCCAATGGCAACACGTCTGCTGGTAGACAAGCTAGAGAATTATGTGCAGAAGCAGCTAGAAAAAAAGCTGAAGAACAGAGAGGAAGTGAACAGGAAGAAGCTGAGAAGAGAAGTGGTGCTGGTGGACTTAGTGTTGAAGCAGTAGCTGCTCATACTCAAGGTACTGGTAAGTATTTTAACTTTAACTTATTGCAATGTAATAAACTCAAAAACATAATATGGAACACAATTACTATTTTAATTAAAGCGACGTTTCGGTGGGTTCTCTCAACGTTTTCAAGCCATGTGTCAACAATAAATAAATGAATGTAGGAACTGTTCTGTCTGACCTCTGATTGTGCTTGGTTTCAATTGCAGATGGCCGAATCATAACGTCTGTCATTGAGTCAACTGGCGCGGTTTCAATTCCCCGGTTGTACGTGACAAGGAGTAGGGTCGTCTGTCCAACCTTGTGTTTTTTTCCCGGGTACTCTGGTTTCCTCCCACTGCTAAAGACCCCTACGCACAAGCAAATTATTGAAATAAGTTCAACCATATATTTGTCCCGAAATGCCCTAATTTGTGTCGAATGAATGTTAAACTCCACTCCTCTTTCTTTCTCTCTCTCGCTTTGTGAACTCAATGCCTGGTTGTGTTATTCAAGTGGCAGGGTTCTGGCCACTAGATTACAATGTCCCAGTGGGAGTATAGAAAAATCTTGTAACTTGTTGGGTGTGGCACCTGTGAGACTAGCGAGTAAAGCATGCCTTATTTTGTAATTTAATATTAATGTATTTATGTTATAGCTGTGGTAACTGGTGGTGGTGGTCAAGTTGGTATTGCACCATCAATGATATCTAATAGAAAGACAAGTACTATATCTGAAGTTAAAGGTAAACATCATCCTACTAGTATGGCTGGTACTAAAACAGGAGTTAATACATCATCAGTTGACGGTGCTACAGGTAGTCAGGTCAGTTCAATTTATCTAAATATTAGACGCTGGCTCGCTAACCAGGAGATTCGCTCCCAGTGTTGGCAAAGAAAGTTCCTCAGGATTTCTTTTTGGTTTCTCCCAAACTACATATTTCTTATGACAAATAAAATCTGGTCTATATTTCCAAAGGTCTGTCATTGAGTCAAGTGGTGTGGTTCTTATTCCCAGGTTGTTCGTGACAAGGAGTAGGGTCGCCTGTTCAACCTCGTGGGTTTTCTCTGGGCCCTCCGGTTTCCTCCCACTGCTAAAAACTCCTATGCACAAGCAAATTATTGAAATAAAATTAAATTGTGTCAAGTGGACATTAAACCCAATTTCTCTCTCTCACCTTCGACTACTGAAATATAATTAAAGGGGCTGAATATGCTGAAAATGTCGGTCAAATTGCTCCACTCTGAACCGAGATATTAGCGATTGAATTTTAGGCCTAGCCTCGATCATCATTACTAAAGTCGGTACGATAAAAACATAGTCTTGATTATCCATTTTTTGATTTAATTATGAATGGAAGTCGAACAGCAAATCGGAACCTAATCCAATAAACATCACAGGCTAGCGATGCCATGAAGAGTTGATTATATGGTCTGGATAAGTTAATCAATGTCTAATTAATAGTTTAGATAACATTTCAGGCCTAAAGAAAGACCTGCAATAGATTTAGCTCATACATATAATGTATGTTTAACTACCTGATTGTAAATAAAAATTGTAATGTATGTTTACCTGATTGTAAATGAACATTGTAATTGTAGGTATAACTACCTGATTGTAAATGAACATTGTAATTATAGGTACCTAGTAGCCCACCACCTCTAGCAGCACCTATATCTAGAAGATTAAGTGTTAGCGCTAGTATCGCAGGTGAAGAAGGGTTAATGAGCTGTGTTCTACCTGAAGAATTACTTACAGAAATAATAGCTGAAAGACTACAAGTATGTTAAAAAATTATAGCAGTCATTTATTTTATTTCGGGGAGCCACGGTGACTCAGTGAGTAAGGAACTGACTTGCCAACCAGGAGGGGTTGGATGGCCAAATGGTTAGTGTTGTATCATAAAGTGTGTCATTGAGTCAATTGTCATGGTTTTGATTCACCGGTTGTACGTGACAAGGAGTAGGGTCGCCTGTCCAACCACATGGGTTTTCTCCGGGTCCTCTGGTTTCCTCCCACTGCTGAAACCATGTGTTAGTCCCGTAATGACCTAGATTGTGTCAAGTGGACTGTTAAACACATCTCTCTCTCTCTCTCTCTCTCTCTCTCTCTCTCTCTCTCTTTGTCAATCAGATTGTAGTTTTATCTTTTAATCAGATTGTATTTTTATCTTCTATTTGTAGTTAAATGATTGTCATAGAGGTGTTGTATTTGATGGATTAGAATCACTCTTCTCCCAGAACTTTTTATCTACAGCTAATGCTATATTAAAAGCTTTAAACAATCGACGATTTATATTCTTCCTCACACTCAAGTTGGATTATACTGTCCTTAAAGAACAGGAACGAAAGGAAGATGAGGAAAAAGGTAGGCATTTCATATTATAGGCGTAACTTCACATACAATTGTTTTCCATTAAAGGCTAGCGCTATAGGAATATGAGTCCAAAAATGGTTCAATTTCGGTCTGTCATTGATTAAAGTGGCGTGGTTTAGATTTTCCACTTGGACGTGACCAGGAGTAGGGTATTTTCTTGGGGTCTTCTGGTTTCCTTCCAATGCTAAAGAACCCTCTCTACATGCAAGCTCATTATTAGATAAAAATGGTCCTGAAATGACCTATTATGTGCCGAGCAAGTGGACCTTAAACCCCATTTCTCTCTCTCGCGCGTTTGTCACAAAATGACCAGAAGATTGTGTTAATATTAATAGCCATTCTAATTTGAATTCCATAGCATAAATGTTAATGAAATATAGAGTCCAAATTTGATATTGTGATTTATTTCGTTGTTTTTTTTTCATGTTTTCAGCTCGTCTAGCGAAATTACACGAAGAACAAGAAAGACAGAGATTAGAAGAAATGTCCGAAGAAGAATATGATGCTCTGCCAGAAGAAGAAAAAGCTGTCGTAGATCAAAAGAGACTTGAAGTTAAAAAAGAAAGAATTAAAAAGTAAATACCCATGTATTCATATTTAACTCGATGAACTAAGTGTGGTTTAATGGTCGAGAGCAAGACATTAAGTAATATATTGAAACAACACGGAGGACCATTCACTGTATTGAAATGAAATGGGGTTTAACGTCTTACTGTTCTGCTCTGAACTGGATTAATGAAGACGGGCATATACCATACAGTATGCTATGAGGGAAATTTTGCCCAGACTGTGGCACTAAGGTCTACTCTTATATCGACTTCCAACTGCCAAGGGATCTTTTACGTGCACGCCAATGTGTACACAGGACCTCAGTTTTTCATCCCATCTGAATGACTAGACAGCTGTACTTGTCAGGCCCTCTGTCCTGCATCACTGACAAGGGGGAACCACGCCGGAAAATCTGGATGTATTTTCTCGGCCAATGCAGGGATCGAACACCCAAACTCCAGGCTAGCGAGCCAGCGTCTTACCCACTTAGCCACCATAGCCCCCCATTATTAAACAACTTAAATTACAGACATTCGCATGTGCTTTGCAATGAAATATGTCACACGAGTCCAAAATTTCAACTAGTATAATATTTTTCTTTATTAGAAAATTAGTTTTAGTATGAAAATTAGTTTTAATATTTAATTTGAAAATTAATTTTAGTATTTAATACACAAATTAACTTGCCTGATGTCATCTCTATCAGTGATATTTGCAGCCAAACGAATATTTACTGCTGATCTGTTTGATACAAAAATGCCAGACTGAGCCTTCTTGTTTATTTTTGAAGTTCATTAATTTTATTTTTGAATTTTACAGAGAACAAGAAGAGAAGGAAAGAGAAAGAAAGTTGAAAGAAGCTGAAGATGAAGAAAGAAAACGTCTCGAGGAAGAAGCGTAAGTTGATTTTCTCAATAAAATATTGTTTATAATTTTTTTTTTTTATAAAGAAGGGTCTGCTCAAAAGTTTTAAGGCTGATCTCTGTTGTCTTAATTCACAAATCTGATTAAAACACAGGTCCTATTTCGTTTCGTTTTTTATAGTTCAAAATTTTGTTTTACTTGTCTTTACTACACTAGGATCTGTGAGAGTTGTTTTATAACCCCCATTCTTGTTGATGTGAGGGATTAGCCAATGAAACGATCTGTTACGGCGAAACATCATTGCTGATTGCTTAATCAAATGTCTGACGTCATAGGGTCAAAAGCCGCTTGTATGACCTGATGCTAGCTTCTACTACAACCTGTCAGATCTTCATGTAGTGTAGGCCATCGAAAGTATAAAAAAAGATTTCAGTTATTGTGTCATATCATTCAAAAGTCTGTTGTAGCGAGTTCTTGGCGTAAGCCATTGCATTCCACTAGAAACATCAAAGCTGATTAGTTAATCAAATATCTAACGTCATAGCATCAAAAGCCGCTTGTATGACCCCTGATGCGACCACCTACTACAACCAGTCAGATCTTCATGTAGTAGAGGCCATTAAAAGTATAATCAGATTGACTTAAGCTAAAATATTTTAAGAATGTAGCCTTTTCATTGGATTTTAACTCTCAACCAATAAATATTCTGAATCCTGAATCTTTGGAAAAGGAAGAACTAAAAGTTAAGCATGATATAGGGTGGATTGTGGAGATGGATCTTATATAATATGAGTATGTTATTTGAATCTACGGTCCTGGCAAGGGACAACATATAGTCGCGTTTCTGGCGAACCAATGAATCTGATATTTAAGTACCGGTATTGAGAATTAAGCATTTGAAATTATGTATGAAATAATAATCACAAATGAATGTTATTATTTGATGTCCACAGATATAACAACAGAACCAAATTTCAAACACATAATTCTCAATACTTAGATATATCAGATTCGTCGGTTCGCCAGAAACGCAACAATATAGTCATTTGGATAGATCGAAAAAAAACAAGGTCCCATGATCACATTGGCGTGCGCGTAAAAGAACCATCGACAGATGGAGTTCAAAATAAGAGTAGGCTGTAGTGTCACTGGCCTGGGTAAAATTTCCCTCAAAACAAACTGTATGGCATAAGCTCTTCTTCATTCACCCAGTCTGCTTAAATAATGATAAGAGTTATACCCCTTTATTTTTGGTAAAATGTCCGACAAGACAATTTTTTAAATCCCATTACTGCATTAAACCCCATTTAATTTTTTTTTCTCAGTAATAAAAACAAGAAAGGTAAAAAGGGCAAACAAGCAGACAATAAAGACAAAGATAAGAAGGGTCAAGCTGGCGGTCGTACAGGTGCTACAACCAGTACGGATAGAGTTGGTCAGAAATCACAAATGGGACCAAAACAACACGACAGTGAACATACCGCCAGTAAGACTGGTTCTAATATGGAACGACCAGAATCTCATCAAACAGAAAAAAGTGATTCTAATCTCGATGAAAACAAGTAAGTACCGTTTTTGTTCACAGGGGTGTTGAGTGACTGAATGGTTTATTTGATCACAAAGTCTGTCATTGTGTTAGGTGTAGCTGAGAAGTAGTAGGGTCGCCTGTCCATCCTCATGGGTTTTCTCCGGGTCCTCTGGTTTCCTCCCACTGCTAAAGACCCCTACGCGCAAGCAAATTATTGAAATAAAATTGAACCATATGTTAGTTCCGAAATGACCTAGTTTGTGTCCAGTGGACTCAAACCCCATTTCTCTCTCTCTCTCTCTCTCTCTCTCTCCCTCTTTCTTCTCTTCTCCCCTCTCTCTGATCTCTCTCTGATCTCTCTCTCTCTCTCTCTCTCTCTCTGATCTCTCTCTGATCTCTCTTATCTCTCTCATTCTCTGAAAATCATCTAATGAAACTGTTAACATCTGTGTTTAGAAAGAAGAAGTTGGGTAAAGATGGTAAGAAAGTTGATGGTAAAGAAAAGACTGATCGAGAGAAAAGTAAAGATGGCGATATGAGTTGTAGTTCAGAAGATCATGTAAAAGAACAGGCTAAAGAAGGAGAACTGATCTTAATGCAGAGGTACGATTAGTATTACATATTTTATTGTAGGAAAGATACTCATCATGCTTATTTTGGACTAGCTAGATACCTGGCTTTGCCAGAGGCCCAAGATCTGCTTGCTCGCCATCTTCTTTCTTGCACGCTTTCCCACTAGCTTACATCATTTGTTACTGTTAGGAAAGATACTCATGATGTTTATTTAGACTAGCTCGATACCCGACTTTGCCAGAGGCCCAAGATCTGCTTACTCACCATCTTCTTTGTTAAACGCTTTCCCGCCAGCTTACATCATATGTTACTGTTATTAAACTTAATTTGCATATAATCCTTTAGTGGCATTTAACGATTGGAATCATGACACAGTTATATAGGACAACAATCACTGGTTTATTATACACAAGCACAACGTTTCGATAAGTATCCTCTTATCGTTATCAAGCAATACTATATATCGAAATGTTGTGCTTGTGTATAAAAAACCAGTGATTGTTTTCCCATAAAACTGTGTTAGTTCTGTTAATTTGCACCCACACATTTGTTATTTATATAGATAGATCGATAGATACACTTATTAAAGCCATGAAAATCGAGGTCCTGTGTATACATTGGCGTGCATGTAAAAGATCCCTTGGCAGTTAGAATTCGATATAAGAGTAGACCGTAGTGCAGCTGTGCGGACAAAATTTCTCTTATAGCACACTGTATGGTGTATGCCTGTCTTCATTATCCCAGTAGGATGTCATTTCATTGTGAAAAATAGATTAGGTCACTTTATATTATTAGTCTGCATGTAATATAGTATTGTTATTCAACACATATTTGACTCATATTCTTGTATAAAAATAATTATTTCATTTATTTGCTTTAGGTTCCGTAGTTTTGAACACGGTCAAAAAGAATTGGCTGAGCTACTTGATAATTGGGATCGTACCACGTTACAAACTAAACGACCACCAACACCATCTGAAAAATCAGATGAAGATGGTGCTCAACATCCTCCTTCTGGTAAAAAAGGAAAGGGCAAAGGTAAATAAAGATTGTGAATGTTATATGATTAAATGGGGGTTGGGGGCTGGATGGCCGAATGGTTAGCCTGTGTGCGCTGTATCATAAGGTCTGTCATTGAGTCATCTTGCATGGTTTTGATTCCCCAGTTGTAGTGACAAGGAGATTGATTCAACGTCGTGTGTTTTCTCCTGGTCCTTCAGTTTCCTCGCACCGCTTAAGACCCCTACGTGCAAGCAATTATTGAAAATTGAACCATATGTTAGTCCCAAATGACCTATTTCGTGTCGTGGAAGTTAAACCCTATTTCTCTCTCACTTTGTTGGTCCTATTTGAACTGATAAACATTTATTTCTGTTGGTTATATTTAAACAGATAAACATTAATTGTTGTTGGTTCTATTTGAACAGATAAGCATTTATTGTTGTTGACATTAATTATTGTTGGTTATATTTAAACAGATAAACATTAATTGTTGTTGGTTATAATTGTTGTTGATTATATTTAAACAGATAAACATTAATTGTTGTTGGTTATAATTATTGTTGGTTCTATTTGAACAGATAAACATTAATTGTTGTTGGTTATAATTGTTGTTGATTATATTTAAACAGATAAACATTTATTGTTGTTGACATTAATTATTGTTTGTTCTATTTAAACAGATAAACATTTATTTTTATTGGTTCTATTTGAACAGATAAACATTTATTATTGTTGGTTATATTTAAACAGATAAACATTAATTGTTGTTGGTTATAATTATTGTTGGTTCTATTTGAACAGATAAACATTTATTATTGTTGGTTATATTTAAACAGATAAACATTAATTGTTGTTGGTTATAATTGTTGTTGATTATATTTAAACAGATAAACATTAATTGTTGTTGGTTATGATTGTTGTTGGTTATAATTGTTGTTGATTATATTTAAACAGATAAACATTAATTATTGTTGATTATATTTAAACAGATAAACATTAATTATTGTTGGTTATATTTAAACAGATAAACATTAATTGTTGTTGGTTATAATTGTTATTGGTTATATTTAAACAGATAAACATTAATTGTTGTTGGTTATAATTGTTGTTGGTTATAATTGTTGTTGGTTATATTTAAACAGATAAACATGAGAAAGAGAAGGAAAAGGAAAGAGAGAAAGAAAGACAGAAACAGTTGGAGAAAGAAGCAGCTGAAAAAGCAGCAAAAGAGGTAAATAATAAAAACATGATTCATTATATAGAAAGCAAATAATATCAACTTGACCACTGTGGCCCCCCTATCTGCCATTAAGTAATAGATGTTTAATGATATTTCTTCCATAGTCGGGGGATTGGATAGCCGAATGGTTAGCGTGTGCGTGTTGCATTTTGTATCATAAGCTCTGTCATTGTGTCAACTGGTGTGGTTTCGATTCCTTGGTTGTACGTGACAAGGGTTGTCTGTTTAACCTCATGGGTTTTCTCCACGTCCTCCAGTTTCCTCCCACTGCTAAAGACTCCTATGCATAAAGGAATTATTGAAATAAAATTGAACCATATGTTAGTCCCGAAATGACCTAGTTTGCGTCAAGTGGACTTTAAACCGCATTTCTCTCAGATGTCTCTCTTCATTGCTGATTATTAACACTGTGTTATTCTATTGTGTATCCAGGCAGCACTAGCAGCTGGGGAAATAGTTGAAGGTAAAGATGGTGAAACTACAGATGGTGATAATTCTGAACATAAACCAGAAGACGGAATCGGAGTGACACATATTATTATTGATTGTGCTGATAAACAGACACACCCGGGAGATAAAGCTCTAGCTGTCGGAAAACTACCCAGTCTCGAAGAGGTAATTGTACAAAAGAATGGTTTAATGCCTTCACTTTGGATCATAAGGTCTGTCATTGAGTTAAGTGGTGTGACTTGTATGTGACAAGGAGTAGGGTCGCATGTGCAAGTGCAAACGAATTATTGAAATAAAATGGAACCATATGTTACTCCCGAAATTACCTACTTTGTGTCGAGTTGACGCAAAACTCCATTTTTCCCACATTTTTCCAAAACTAGTAAAAAGAAAATGGGTTTGAAATATATCTTGTGAAATAAATGAGATTGAATTATCTCCCTTTAGTTTCCAAAAGATAAAAATGCTCCCTTTAGTCTTCAAGGAATTTATAATTTAGTAGAGGTTTGTAATTATGAAATATGTTATATTCTTGTGAATTAAGTGTTTTAATTATCTCCCTTTAGTCTTCCCCTCCCACAAAATAATATGTGAATTACCTCCCTTTAATCTTGAATGAATTTAGTAGAGGTTTGTAATTGTTATGATGTGTGTTTACTTCAGGTTTTAGATGGATTAGGACTAGGACCACATGGTCCTCCGATTCCACCAGCAGCAGCATTCAGTGTTGTACCATATCCAGTTAAACGTAAAGCTCCTCCTGTAGCTGAGTTTGGTGGACAATTTGTCTTTGTAGCTTCTTCTGTTGATGATCCGTAAGCATTTGTAGTTATAGGCCACAGCCATTTAAACTTGTATTCTCCGAGAACACTTAATTAAAATTTAGCTTTTAAAAACATACATGTACTTGGGTGTTCTTCTCACATTCTTGGAACGGTTGGGTGGCTGAGTGTGTTAATGTGTGTGCGTTGAATCAGAAGGTCTGTCATTGAGTCAAGTGGAGTGGTTTCGATTCGCCGCTTGTACGTGATCAGGAGTAGAATCACCTGTCCAACCACGTGGGTTTTCTCCGGGTCCTCAGGTTCCTCCCACTACTCAAGACCCACTACTAAAATTGTTGAGTGGACGTTAAACCCCATTTCTCTGTTAATACTGAATGGAATTGAACCATTTTGATTTATATTTTATAGATTCATCCATCACAATTTAATTTTTCACAAGGGATTAAATAATAAAACCCCTCAAATGATGTTCAGAAATTTTAATACGATATTGATAAATTATAACACATACTTATGGAGGAACAAATACTGATTTGTTTATTTAGACCATGTTTCAAAGAGTATTCTCTCATCTTGTTTGAAGAGTGGAAGTTAAACCCCATCTCCAGACATGATTTATTATGTACCGTATCTATGTTTGCAGCAATGTTGGAATAGAAGAAAAACCTAAAGAAGCTGAACTTGAAGAAGAGAAATCAGTTACACCTGATAAAGGTGAACATACCACACCTACCAAAGGTAAAGCTAAATCAGATAAACAGAAAATTGCATCTGAAAGTAAGAAAGAAAGAAAGAGTAGTGCTGATAAGAAGAAAGTATCTAGGCGTGGTTCGTTACAGGTAGCTTCTCCACCTCCAGGTGGGGCAACTCCATATTCAGATGTTGATGGTCAAAGGTCAGTATTTGTTGTCATCAGCTTTTGATTTAATATGGTACTGTCGCAAAATTTCGACACTAGCATCCAAACGAATAACCCACTGATTGATCTTCAATCACCTGCCCATTTGCGCTGACGTAGTAATAAAACGTTGAAACATATGACTTTTGATGCAAGTTTACGACAAATTAACCAATATTTATCTGTGGTGTCGTTCAACACACCTCTCCATTCACACAGGTTCTTTGTTTGGAAGGGGGGTTGCATGACCGAATGGTTAGCATGTGCGCGCTGTATCATAAGGTCTGTCATTAAGTCAACTGGAGTGGTTTTGAATCCCTGGTTGTACGTGACAAGGATTTGGGTCACCTGTCCAACCTCATGGGCTTTCCTCGGGTCCTCTGGTTTCCTCCCACTGCTAAAGACCCCTAAGCGCAATCGAATTCTTGAAATAAAATTGAACCATATGTTAGTCCCAAATTGACCTAGTTTATGTCAAGTTGACGTAAAACCTCATTTTTCTGTCAACCCACTCACCCAGTTCCATAGGTTCTTTGGTTGGAGGCTAGTGTCGAGATCTTGTGACGATGCCTATAAACATGTATTAATTATTTGTGTGGATATTAATACGCACTTTGTGATAATCCTGGAAACATGACCTTGACCTTGCTGTAAGAAAATATGAGGAGAGCAAATAATCACTCCCAAGAATTTATTTGATGGCGATCTGTACCATGTCCATGATGCTTGGATGGTTGCTTTCCTACTTTACACATTCAGGCAAGGTCTCGGGGTCAGACCACTGTATAATGGTATTTAGATATGTTTGCTGTGTGATAATGAATATATATAATTAACAGTATATATGTAAATGATACTAGTATTAGCTGACTTGTATATATGTATTTTATAACGTCTTTCATCTTATTCTTCCACTGAAAACTAAAGAGTGCCGGTATAGGCCATATTTATGAAAGTATAAATCTCTTAAAAATAATGGTAGCTCTAAATCACTATATAGTTAATCTTGGTTACTATAAATTGGTTTCAAGTTATAATCAATCAATTTTAAGAGGTTTACATTTTTCTAAATACGATCCCCGATGTAATTTAACGAGCAATTGTAACCTGTGACAGCAGAGTGAGTCGCAAGTTATTTTTTAGGATCTATAAACAAAATTGTCGAAATAGGCTAACTATATTTTTTTTAAAAATATGAACAGAACACATAGTTTTTATTGGAAACAATCACTAGTTTTATTCTAAAAGCACCCCATTTCGACAAGTATCCACTTATCGTTATCAAGCTTGATAGCAGTAAGAGCCCAGAGGATACTTGTTGAAACGTCGTGCTTTTAGTTTTAGAATAAAACTGTGATTGTTTCCAATAAAAACTGTGTTCTGTTAATGTGTTTCCCGCTCGCTAAATGCCACTCAAAGATGATAAAAGAAAAAAATAGTTGGCTTGTCAAATCTAAACTTTTAACTTTGGCGTGGTATATCATTAAAAAGATATTTTAGCCTATTTAATCATTTTTCCTCATACTTCGGACTCACTATGTTATCACACAGGTTCCATAGATACTTATAAAACACATCAGCTTTAGCATGGCCAATATACATTCTCTATTAGATTGTCTTTCTATCATATATTCACTGCTTACAGCTGGACAACAGAGGCTTTAGCCCTCGATGAACCTAAAATACCGAAGTAAGTAAACTAGGTAGTATAGAAATAGAAACGCTAACATTCACTCCTGCACCCAGTTTGTTTTAAAACCAAAAGCTTTAAGTAGGATGCTAGGAATTTTTGGTGGGAAGTTAATGCTTTTTCTGGCCCCGAGTTCACAAAGCATTCTCAGACTTAAGTTGAGAACTTACTCAAAATTGTTTGCCTTATTTTAACTAAAATATAGCCCTTTAAAACTTTTGTTGTTTTAATGTATCAAATACATCAATAAGAAACTATGTGCTAAGTTTTGTGTTTCTGCATCAAAGATATTTCTCATAAACAGTGATTGAAAGTTGAGTAAATTCTCAACTTAAGTCTGAGAATGCTTTGTGAACTCGGGGCCTGTATGTTTACCGTACCCTCTCCGTCTACAATTTGCTCAGCTTGAGAACAGACACTAAGGTAGTTGACCGACATTTTAATTCCTAAATCAACCAATCTGATTAAAATACAGATCCTATTTCGTTTCGTTTTTATAGTTCAAAATTTTGTTTTACTTGTCTTTACTACACTATGATCTGGAAGATTTGTTATGTAACCCACCTTCTGGATGATGCAAGGGATTAGCTAATGAAACAGTCTGTTACTGCTGGTTTTTGGCTTGAGTTGCACAGAACGGTGGGTAACCCACTAGAAACATCAACGCTGATTGGTTAATCGAATGTCTGACATCATAGGGTCAAAAGCCACTCGTATGACCTCTGACGTGACCTTCCACTACAACCGATCAGATCTTCATGTAGAAGAGGCCATCGAACGTATAAAAAAACAAAAACGAAATATAGATCTGAATTTTAATCAGATTGTAATTCAACGATTTTACTTGAAAAGACTAAAAAGTTTACTTTGAGAATTTTGAGAAGTATTTATTCCACTTCCATTTGATAAAATTGACATGATTTATTTACTCCTTGTGTGTGTATGAAACGGAGTAGGGGGATCACAGTGGCTAAGTGGGTATGGTGCTGGCTCGCTAGCCTGGAGATCGGGTGTTCGATCCCTGCATTGGCCGAGAAAGTTTATCCAGATTTTCCGGCGTGGTTCTCCCTTGTCAGTGATGCAGGACGGAGGGTCTGACAAGGACAGCTGTCTAGTCGTTCGGATGGTACGAAAAACCGAGATCCCATGTACACATTGGCGTGCACATAAAAGATCCATTGACAGTTGGAATTCGATATAAGAGTAGGTCGTAGTGCCGCTGTCCGGGCAAAATTTCCCTCATAGCACACTTTATGGCGTATGCCCGTCTTCATTAACCCAGTTTGGAGCAAAACAGTAGGACGTTAAACCCCATTTCATTTCATTTTTCATTTTTTGAAACGGAGTAGAACCGAATTACAAAATAGTTAACTAATTTTTAAATATGGCAGCCATTCAGAGCAGAGATACTTTCACGAAGTAGATACATGTACTTCTCTGCGAGCAGAATGTATGATTGCTTGTTATTATATGAAATAAATGTATTTAAATATTAGAAAAAAAAACTGTTGGCTTTTTGACAGTTTTCTTTGTTTGGTATTAATAAGACAGCATTCCATTTATTTAGCTTTTCTCTGGATCTAGCATTTTTTCATAGTGGCTAAGAATTTCCCAGAGACTCTGCTTATTTAATTAAATATGCATTATGCAAGAGCTTAATCTACCTATTGCAGATCTTTCTTTAGGCCTGAAATGTTACCTAAGTTATTAATTAGACATTAATAAACTTATCCAGGCCATAATCAACTCTCGATGTCATCGCTAGCCTGCAATATTTAGTGGATTTATATATGTTTTGTGATGGATGAAATAACCATATAAATGGATAATCAAGACTTTGTTTATTGTAACAACGGTAGAAATGACAATCGAATCGCTAAAATCTAAGATTCAGAGTGAAGCAATTTGACTGAAATTTTCAATATATTCTCTTTTTATTATCATTTTTTTAATTATTATAGCGAGAACTGTCAGCTTTTTATCTAATCTTGCCTAACGCCCCTTTAATTTATTTAGCAAAGAGATAGATGTTCTAGCTAGCCTTTTTTATTGGGTTTTTCTTTCAGTTTAATTATAAGCTTACTTAAAATAGAATAATATTTTAATATTATTTAGTGTAAAGATAAAAATATTTGTATGTTAGAATTAGATCAGATTCATAGTCAGATATCAATAATTTAAATGCATTATGTATGATTTTAGTGCTATAGACTCCATTTGCAAACTACGATACTGTGCAAGTAGAGCTATGCTGCTTCCTATGTAAAGGCAGTCACCATCTTTATTTGCCATGAACCAAATTGACGGGCCTGTTTTTAGTTGGATTGATATTTTAATTTAGTTTTCTTAATTAAATTTTAAATAATTAATCTGAGTACATATAGTGTAGATTGAGCTGTGAGAAATTTGATATTTTCTAAAAATGCAAATCATGCTTCATTACTTTAAGAGCTGGTTAGTTTAGAAAGATTAGAAAATGTTTGATTAAAATGAAATAAGTAACTACCCATTTATAAACCACCATGCACATTTAATTAGGCCACACCAATAAGGCCTGTTACTCCACACAGTTTGGCCTTAGTTACTCCACATGAATTTGGCCTCGGTTACTCCACACCAATTTGGCCTTAGTTAATCCACATGAATTTGGCCTTAGTTACTCCACACCAATTTGGCCTTAGTTACTCCGCAACAATTTGGCCTCAGTTACTCCACATGAATTTGGCCTCAGTTAATCCACACCAATTTGGCCTTCGTTACTTCACACCAATTTGGCCTTAGTTACTTTGGCCTTAATTAATCCACACCAATTTGGCCTCAGTTAATTCACATGAATTTGGCCTTAGTTACTCCACACGAATTTGACCTTATAAGTTACTCCACAACAATTTGGTATAGTTAGGCCACGTAAATTCATCCTTAATTAGGTCACACCAATTTGGCCTTAATTAGGTCACACCAATTTGGCCTTAATTAGGCCACACCAATTCAGCCTTAGTCAGGATTAACCAGATCAATTTTTATTTTTACATTACTAATATATAATTGACACTCACCCTTCTAACAAAACTACCTTCAAATATTTTATCATTTACAAAAACATGTTCTCAAATCTTTGTCTATCTATCGGAGCATTTCACAGATAATTTATAAGTTCCAGTATTTAAATTGTTTCTGGTATATTTAATGGACAGTTTTGAAATATGACAAATGATAATTAAGAAGAGGAATTTTTCCTTTGCACAGGATCATAATATACAATGAATATTTCAGATTGACTATTTTCCGATGGATTGTACCAGCAAATGGAGAAATTGTCCTCAAACTGAGATTCCAGTCCGAAGAACTGGGACAGTTTGATCAGACACTGAATTTTGAGATAGTTGGAACGAGACGAAGATATCAGTTATTTTGTCGAGGTGTTTGTGCTTTTCCAACAATAAGCAGAGAACCAAGGTAAAAATTTTGTTTGTATGTCTAGTCCTTCGGATGAGTTCAAAAAATGTGGTTCCCCTTTGTACCAAATAGTAGTACAATTAACATATCACTTGAAATTCGAAAAAAAGATGGAAAATGTTACTTATTGTTACTTGTGGCTAAGTGAGTAAAACACTGGCTCGCTACCCTGGAGGTTTCCTGTTTGAGACCTGCATGGCTCGAAACAGTTCTTCAGGATTTTCTGACATGATTTTCCCTTATCAGTGGTGCAGCTGGCCATGTCGTTTGGATAGGTCGGAAAACCGAGGTCCCATGTATACATTGGCCTGCACATAAAAGATCCCTTGGCAGTTGAAATTCGATATAAGAGTAGGCCATAGTGCCGCTGCCCGGGCAAAATTTCCCTCATAGTACACTGTATGGCGTATGTCCGTCTTCATTAGCCCTGTCGGAGCAGAACAGTAGGACCTTAAAGGGACAATAACACTCTTGTTGGCTTGACAACTCCAGAAAATAAAAAATAGCCTTATTCTAAGTACTAAATGTGTTAGTGTCCTACCTGTTGTGTAAATTATCCATTAAATCCTATTTTACTTGTCCAGAGGGTTCAAAAATATTTTTAAATCCAAGTCACATTTGAAAAGCTTTACGTTAGGCTTTTCAAATCATTTAGTTGAATTTTTCCAAATTTTTAAATTAGGTGTGTTAAGAAGAAATTTATATCATCAATTAATTGGAATATTGTAAAATAGTACAATTTGTTGACCAGAATAAAGATTGGGACATATTATTCAGTTACAACAAGAGTGGTATTGAGCCTTTAAACCCCATTTCATTTCATTTTATGAGTCAGGACATCTGTATTGTTATATACGATGACATGTTTCAGGATTGTATTCGAACAAAGAAAGAAGAGCAAGAAAGCTGATGAAATTGTAAACAAGAAATATATATTGATGACAGAAATATTTGAATTTGGACCACTCCTTGTTGGTAAAAGCCGAGATAAGTAAGTATATATACAATCATTCTATCTGGAACACCCAATGCCACTTGTTTTGCAAGTTGATATGACAATCTAGAAGTCACAATTTGGATTCAGTTTTAAAAAACGTTTAAATATATCACCCTTACACCTCACCAACCTCGTGGGTTTTCTCCGGGTCCTCCGGTTTCCTCCCACTGCTAAAAACTCGTAGGCGCAAGCGAATTATTGAAATATAATTTAAACCATATGTTAGTCCCGAAATGACCTAGTTTGTGTCAAGTGGACTTTAAACCCCATTTCTCTCTCTCTCTCTTTTTCTGTTACACCTCAATGTAGTATGAGTTTGAATGTCATAGAAATCCGACCGAAACTGCCGAACAAAATGGCTGCTCCTTGAACTCAAATAGTGTAAAAGTTTGTATACCAAGGTTGTAGACCCACTAGAGGTCACAATTTTTTTTCCGATTTTGATGAAACTTAAAATGTATGTTTATAACCCAAAGATCTCGGCTTCTGTTGATATTCGTGCATGTAGGATCGTAACTTCCTGAATGATGACCTCTGACTGTACAAAAAATCCAGTTTTTATCTTGTGAACCCGTCTATAGGTCTCAATTTTTATCCAATTTTTATCTTGTGAACCCGTCTATAGGTCTCAATTTTTATCCAATTATAAAAAACGTTTAAATATATCAGTGTTACAACCTAATGATGAAAGAGTTCGAATTTCATGAATATCAGACCGAAAGTCAGAATTTTTGATAAAACTTAAAATACATGTTTATTTCCCAATGATTTCTTTTCCTTTTGATATTCGCTCATATCAGACCATAACTTCCTGGATTATGTCCCCTGATTTTACGAAAAATCGCTTTTTTTTTAGCTTGTTTTTTATCCATCTCTTGCAAAATGTGGGCGTATCTTGCCTGGCAACCATTTGTTTATAATAGCTTTTATAAGAGAAAATTAACTTTTATAACAAGAAATTAACTTTTGAATCTTTTCTTTTCCAGATACAAAGAAGGAAAATACCCAGAAAACATGTCAACGTTAACTATACTGAATACGTCACCACTGGAGGCTGATATTAGTTTCTGTTATCTCAACGATAGTAAAGGGGAAACATATTTACTGGAGCCGCCAACGATGGTGTTAAAACCAGGGAAATCCGCGCCACTGACCATCTGGGCTTATCCTAAAGTACCTGGTCGTTATGAAGACGCTATAGTTTGTTGTGTCCGAGAAAATCCGGAACCTATTGTGTTTAAAGTAAGCTGTGATGGATTCCGACCAGAATTGGAATTGGATAAGAGACAACTTCATTTTGATAAAGTTTTATTACATAGGTATGAGATACTGTTATATATAAATATATATATTTATATGCGGAGTTGGATGGCCGAATGGTTAGCATGTGTGTGCTGTATCATAAGGTCTGTCATTGAGTCAGCTGGCATGGTTTTGAATCCCTGGTTGTACATGACTAGGAGTAGGGTCGTCTATCCAACCCTGTGCGTTTCCTCCTGATTCTCCGTTTTCGGGGGGTTGGATGGCTGAATGGTTAGCATGTGTGCATTGTATCATAAGGTCTCATTGAGTCAACTGGCGTGGTTTCGATTCCCTGGTTGTAAGTGACAAGGAGTAGGGTCGCCTGTTTAACCTTGTGGGTTTTCTCCAGGTCCTTCGGTTTCCTCCCACTGTTAAAGACACATATGCACAAGTGAATTATTGAAATAAAATTGAACCATATGTTAGTCCCAAAATGACCTCATTTGTATTGACTAGACGTAAAACCCCATTTCTCTCTCTCGCTCTCTTTATATCTATATTATGAGATTGATACAGAGAGTAACGATACTTAATTTTCTGAATGGTGTAGATCGTAAGGTTTGTCTTTAAAGCAGCTAAGTCTCTAACTCAATATCATCCAAAATCTTCAACATTGAAAACACGATTTATTTGTCAAATTGAATCAACATTCATGTTGTGATCTTATCAGGAAAAGATGGGCTTTTGATATCCAATATTTAAGACAAAATAAACATTTTACCATTGGTACAGTTGCATCAAGAGACTCGATGGACGAGTCTAGACACATTGCACCAAATCAAACGGCGTATGTGACTGGAATAACCAGACGCTAGAAATTTGCGCTCGCTTGGAGTAAAAACGGAAACCATTGAATGTAAATCAGTTTATATACATTCATATTACAGCATTATATGCATTGCAACCAACTTTTGTCAATTTCTAGGTCCCAAATGTTAGCGATTTAGCTCCTTTAAATTAAGTGGTAGGAATTTGATTCCCTGCTTGTATGTGACGACGAGCAGGGTTGCCTGTCCAAACGGTTTCCTCCAACTGCAAAAGACCCCTACATGCATGCAAATTTTTTAAATACAATTGAACCATGAAAAAATTATGTTAATCCCGTAATGACCTAGTTTGTATCATCATGTGAACGTTAAACCTCAATCCCCAACCCACCTGGGGGGGTTGGAATGCTGAAAGTTAGCGCATGTGCGTTGTATCATAAGGTCTGTTATTTGGGTCAGCTGGGGTGGTTTCGATTCCCCGGTTGTATGTGACAAGAAGTAGGTCACCTGTCCAACCTCGTGGATTGTCTCCGGGTCCTACGCGCAAGTGAATTAATGAAATAGAATTGAACAATATGTTAGTCCCGAAATGACCTAGTTTGTATCAAGTGGATGTTAAACCTCAATCCCAACCCCACCTGGGGGGGTTGGAATGTTGAAAGTTAGCGCGTGTGCGTTGTATCTTAAGGTCTGTCATTGAGTCAACTGGGGTGGTTTCAATTCCCCGGTTATACGTGACGAGAAGTAGGTCACCTGTCCAACCTCGTGGATTGTCTCCGGGTCCTACGCGCAAGCGAATTAATGAAATAGAATTGAACAATATGTTAGTCCCGAAATGACCTAGTTTGTATCATGTGGATGTTAAACCTCAATCCCTACCCCACCTCTTTCTATTTTAAAAAAATATTTTTTTTTTCAAATTTCAGAAAAGATACAAAGACAATATACTTAAGAAACAGTACAATGTTACCCGTAGCGTGGAAGTTGAGTGGATTAGAGAATCTAGGAGATGATTTTAGTGTAGCTGCTGATTGTGGTGTAGTTGATCCTAAATCAGAATATCCTCTCCATGCTTACTTCCGTGCATTAAAACCTGTACAAACTAGTAAAAAGATGATACGACTTGAGGTAAGGAGATTTGGTTTGATCGTTTATGGTTTGATCGTTTATGGTTTGATTTTCATAAAAACTTTTGGATATCATTTTTATTGTGTCGCTGGTTCTGTGAGAATCATGTAATACCATCTAATCAACCTTTTTTTTCATATTGAATGAACGATTCCAATTACAATCCGAATTCATGCACCCACATTCTTTAAGATAACTCTTATTCTTTGTTTTACATTACTTATCTCCCTTTGACCAATAACATGATTTAATAATCCTACAATTTTTATGTTAATATTTTTGGAGATGATTTTGAACCAGAATCTTATATTCCTAGTTTACCAGATTTTTATTTTATTTTATCTTATTTTTTTTTTTTATTAATTTATTTTATTATTTTGTTTATTTTATTTATTATTGTTTTTGTTTTTTTTATTTTTTTTTATTTTTTTTTATTTTATTTTATTTTATTTATTTATTTTCTTAATTTATTTTTTTATTTATTTTATTTTATTTATTTATATTGTTTATTTATTTATAATTTATTCTCTATATAGATATCTGATAAAGATAATATAATAATTTATTTATATTCTACATAGATATCTGATAGAGATAATATAATATTTTATTTATATTCTACATAGATATCTGATAGAGATAATATAATGGGAGTAGTAACAACGGAACCAATACAAGTTATTGCTGAAGCTTATGATGTAGCTTTAGATATGAGTTTCCCAAAAGGTAAGACCCACATAACTCTTGCATATCTGGGGTGGAGCCATGGTGGCTAAGTGGGTAAGATGTTGTGTCGCATGTTCAATCCCTGCATTGGCCGAGAAAGTGTGGTTTCCCCTTGTCAGTGGTGCAGGACATACGGTCTGACAAGGACAGCTGTCTAGTCCTTCGGGCGGCACGAAAAAACAAACGAGGCTCCGTGTATACATTGGCATGCATGTAAAAGATCCCGTGGCGGTTGGAATTTGATGTAAGAGTAGCCATAGTGTCGCTGCCCCGGGCAAAATTTCCCTCATGGCACACTGTATAGTGTATGCCTGTCTTCATTAGCCCAGTCAGAGCAGAACAGTAGGACGTTAAACCCCATTTCATTTCATCTGTGAATAACCAAAGCCGTACAGGAACAGTGAAATTATTGCCTGACTTTATCACCAAATATTCCTAAAAAAATTCTATAGCCCAATAATATTTTATTATTATACGCCCATATTTTTATGTGGAGATATTGATATTTTGATTTAATGTGTGCGCCTTAGCTCATAAGATTTGTCATTGAGTCAAGTAGCGTGTTCTTGATTCCAAGCTTGTACAGAAAACGTCTTACATTCCAAAATGTTAAAAATTAAGCTACATTGAAATTATTAATTTTTTTGTTACTTGGGGGGTTGGATGGCCGAATGGTTAGCATGCGCGCGCTGTATCATACGGTCTGTCATTGAGTCAACTGGCGGGGTTTCGATTCTCCGGTTGTACGTGACAAGGAGTAGGGTCGCCTGTCCAACCTCTTGGGTTTTCTCCAGTTTCCTCCCACTGCTAAAGACCCCTACGCGCAATCGAATTATTAATATAAAATTGAACCATGTGTTAGTCCCGAAATGACCTAGTTTGTGTCGAGTGGACGTTAAACCCCATTTCTCTCTCTCTCTCTTGATACTTTTATTAAATGGTTTGAAGGTTTGACAAGACGTGTGCAATAATTTCAACCACGGTACTGGTTGTTTGAAGCTAAGTCTCGCTCCTCCATTTTTAGATTAAATCAAAATATGTCTGAACCATTCTAATCTATTTAATATCGGAGAAATTGGATGCCATCGAGAGTTGTTTATGGCCAGGATCAGTTAATTAATGTCTAATTAATAGTTTATAAAACATTTCAGGCCTTAAGAAAGACGGCAATAGGCAGATTTAGCTCTTGTATAATGCATGTTTAATTCTAGGTTTCAGGATATTGACATTCATGTTTCTTTCTTTCTAACAGGAACGGACGGAGGTCTAGATTTTGGTGTTATCAGAGTTTCAGAAGAAACTAAACAGATTTCTACGTTGAAGAATAAAGGAAAATATGAAATCATGTTTCAGTAGGTTTTATATTGATAACTTTAATTGAAGTAAACCTTTCAATATCAAACTAAGGGTGTTGGATGGCAGGATGGTTAGCACGTGCGCGTTGTATCATAAGGTATGTCATTGAGTCAACTGGTGTGGTTTTGAATCCCCGGTTGTACGTGACAAGGGGTAGGATCGCCTGTCCAGTGTCCAACCTCATGGGTTTTCTCCGAGTCCCCCGGTTTTCTCCCACTGCTAAAGACCCCTAAATGCAAGTGAATTATTGATATAAAACCCCTCTCTCTCTCTCTCTCTCTCTCTCTCTCTCTCTCTCTCTTTAACTCTCTTTAACTCTTAGGGGTTGGATGGCCAAATGGTTACTGCATGCACGCTGTATCATAAGGTCTGTCATTGGGTCCACTGGTGTGGTTTCGAATCCCCAATTGTACATGTCAGGGAGTATGGTCGCCTGTCCATTTTCCAATCTTGTGGGTTTTCTTGGAGTCCCCCGGTTTTCTCCCACTGCTTAAGACCCCAACACGCAAGTGGATTATTGAAATAGAATTGAACCATATGTTAGTCCCGAAATGACCAAGTTTGTGTCGAGTGGACATTAAACCCCATTCTCTCTCTCTCTCTAACTGAAAATTTTATTAACATATTATTTTGAATTTTTTACAGTTTTGTGTTTGAAAATGTTGATCCCAATAATCCTGATATCAACAGTTTGTTCTCTGTGATACCAAGTAAAGGCACACTTAGTGCCCTTGATCGACCCACACAAGTTCAAGTTATATTTAGATCAACGAAAGAAGTGACCATCAAGGATGTGCCCATATTAAAATGTAACGTTATTGAGCCGAGTTTAAGCGAACAAGGGGAGATAATAGCGAGCATCCCTGTCAAAGTATCTGTCAAATCTGTATTCAGCAAGTGAGTAGCTCATACAATTACTCATTTGTTCAAGGGGGGGTTGGGCCCGAATGGTTTAACATGTGCGCATGAGATCACAAGGGCTGTCATTCACTTGGGTGGCCGAATGGTTTAATATGTGCGCATGTGTTGACAAGGTCTGTCATTCCGTTGGGTGGTCGAATGGTTTAACGTGTGCGCATGTGTTGACAAGGTCTGTCATTCAGTTGGGTGGTCAAATGGTTTAATGTGTGCACATGGGATCATAAGGTCTGTCATTGACTTGGTTGGCCGAATGGTTTATTGTGTGCCCATGTGATCACAAGGTCTGTCATTCACTTGGGTGGCTGAATGGTTTATGTTCTCATGGGATCATAAGGTCTGTTATTGAGTTGGGTGGCCGAATGGTTTAACGTGTGCACATGAGATCATAAGGTCTGTCATTGACTTGGTTGGCCGAATGGTTTATTGTGTGCCCATGTGATCACAAGGTCTGTCATTGAGTTGGGTGGCCGAATGGTTTATGTTCTCATGGGATCATAAGGTCTGTTATTGAGTTGGGTGGCCGAATGGTTTACGTGTGCACATGGGATCATAAGGGCTGTCATTGACTTGGGTGGCCGAATGGTTAAACGTGTGCGCATGGGATCATAAGGTCTGTCATTGAGTTGGATGGCCGGATGGTTTAATGTATACGCATTAGATCACAAGGTCTGTCATTGAATTGGGTGGCCGAATGGTTTAATGTGTGCGTATAAGATCACAAGGTCTCATTGAGTTGGTTGGCTGAATGGTTTAACAGGTGGACATTAGATCATAAGGTCTGTCATCGAGTCAAGTGGCGTGGTTTTGATTAACCGCTCGTACATAGCAAGGAGTAAGGTTGCCTGTCCAACCTCGTAGTTTTTCTCCGGGTCCTCTGGTTTCCTTCCACAGCTAAAGACCCCTGCGCGCAACTGAATTATTTGAATAAAATTGAACCATATGTTAGTCCCGAAATGACCTAGTTTGTGTCTCTTTTTGTTACCTGGTGGTAATATGGATCTAAATAATTGCCACTTTCTTTCATTTCTTTTCTATAATCCATATCAATTCATTTTTATTGGAATTATAATTTTTCATTTCTTTAATTTGGTAACTGAATAGAATAACACATGACACAATTATATTTTAATTAAAATTTTATTTCTGGTGCCGTTTCGAAGAGGGCTCTCCCGTCTTTATGAAGGAAAGAAGGCTTTGAAATATTTCTATGGGTTTTTTTTTTTTTCCAGATACAACATTTTACCCATGAATGACATCAACTTTGGTTCATTGCTAGTAAATAGCAAGAAAACGAGGACATTTACGATAGAAAATAAAGGAGAATTTGATTTTAAATACACTATACAACGTATGGTTAAAGATGTACCAAATCTTCCCTCAACTACGAGACAAAATAGACCGTAAGTAGTCCGATCTGTAATCAATCTAATTGGTCACGCTATTTTGAATTTCTGTTCTTCCGGGTCCCCGTAAATAACTGGCTACTTGAATCATGTTTTTCTGGCATTGTTTCCTCTTGTCAGTGGTGCAGGATAGAGGGCTGACAAGGACAGCTGTCTGTTCGTTCCGGGGGGGTGGAGGGGGATCACGGTGGCTTAGTGGGTAAAACTAAGATGCTGGCTCGGTAGCCTGGAGGTCGGGTGTTCGATCCCTGCATTGGCCGAGAAAGTTCATCCAGATTTTCCAACGTGGTTCCCGCTTGACAGTGATGCAGGACAGCTGAAGAAAGAAGGACAATTTCTACAGATGTTCCCGAAGTACAGAAAATCAAATTGGCGTGGCCTTAATTAATATAACAGTGTGTGTTTGCCTTTTTAACAGCAGATATAAATAATGTGTGAATAACCAAACATTTAATTCAATCATGTGTGTGTTTTAATTGAAGAAAGTCTAATCTTAATTCAGGAAAATGCTCGTTAAATTGTGTGTTTTAATTGAAAAAAGTCTAATCTTAATTCAGGAAAATGCTCATTAAATTGTGTGTTTTTAATTGAAGAATATGTTAAATTAATTTTGTGTGTTTTTAATTGAAAAAAACCCCAAAAAACTTCTAATCTTAAAATTTTAGTCTTTGAGAATATTCAAAAAATATATCATGAAATGCTAAGGCCATACAAGAAAAATATTCTGTTTCTCAGATAATCCCTCGTAACTTAAAAGCAGTCTCATTAATGACTGCACATAAATATTTTTTACCCCGATTACATGAAGTAACTCTATAAAAAGATTAGAATGAATCTATAGGATCATTTATCGAGTACGCAACCTTGATAATGTTTATGACAATCATAATAAATGATACTGGTTACAATCCTCTAAACAATTTTAAAATTTCATTAGTTAACTTTGCATGAAATCAGATTTGCCCAGGGGAAGAACGATCTAAGTCACGTTTTTTGTCTTTTCGCATAAAAGGCAAAACAGACTTTTGGACGAGAATGCTTGACGCGAATAGAACAGCGAGTGGGTTTAATTACAACTTCAAATTATACGAACCATAATTACCAGTACAACTGACTTCAACTTTTCAGGCAAATTAAGGTTAAATAAAGGGTACGATGGACTTGTATTTGTCCGGGATGCCATTTCAGAAGGGCCTTGGATCGATGTGACTCCGATCGTT